ATGAATTTTTATTACACCAATCAAATTTGAGACAATATATATAACTAAAATGCTATATAGTACCGATTGACAACATATTCCATTAGAAACAAAGAGTTTTGCTAATCTTATTGATATTATTAAAACCTTTAATTTGGGTTCTATAATTGATGTCACAGGCTTCCCATATATTGTATATATGATGTGCATTACTGTTTAGGCCTAAATTAAATATGTTATGACAAATTCCCAAATTGTTTTCAAAATTAAATGTATTTTAAAAATGACAATGTAAATACTTTTAAATTCTTATATAAATATATATTTTCCAAGTTAATAGAACAATTGTTGATCTTTTAATAAAATTATAATTTAATTTCTTTTTAATCTGTAACTATATCATGACCAATCATAATATGCCTTATAATATTGAATTTCAATCCTCATTACTCAAATAAGCCATCACTCGGAATGTTTGATTCATTACTCACTCCGTTCTTCCTAAATAGTATAAATAGGATTTGATATGATATTACCATGATATTTTTAGTCATCTCTTGGTAGATATAGTAAATAGGATCTTTAATTTTATAATATTATAATTTTTTCAATATATGATATTATTATATTCAAATCAATTCGTCTCATTCCATAGAGTCATATATCTGTAATTGAATAGACTAGGACAGTTACATTAGTTTGATATCTTAACAACTTTTTTAGATTTCGAATTCAACCTCCGCAATATATTCTACCATGTACCAGTATTATAATGTTATAATACAGGGTTTGGATCTTCATGCATTGTGGTTTTAGAAGCAAAATAAATTTCGACTAATTGCATGATGAAAGTCAATCTCAAGCCTCCAAAATCATGTGTTAGATACTCTAATACCTACATAAGTATATACTATTTTCTCCAAAGAATATCTCTAAGCTAATAGCTGTATTCATTGGTTTTAATGAAAAGTTACGGGCGTGTCAGATTCTATTTACAAAAAACTTAGGGTATCTAATTATTTTTGTCGATATTTTGGAAAAAATGGCATTTTGAAAACACGATAATATCTAAGGTGAATGCGTTTGCATCATTGTTTGATATTGAATTTATACATTAAATTTCATTAAAGTTTATAAAAGTTTATCTGATAAAAAGTATTTATTTTGCTTGGGAAATATGGTATTGAACAATCATTAGATTCTTATGGAAAAGAATGGATAGAAAATAAAGGACATTTGGTGAATTTTTAGACGATTTAAAGTTGATCTGCCTTGACGGCAAATTATTTGAATCGCTCTCAAAATTGAGATTTATTGGTTATATCATTTCAATGGACGAAATGTCAGATCTTTGAAAAATGTCAAACAAATATTACTGCTTATATGATATTAAGTAAAAATGCACCAACTTTGTTATTTCAATTTATGTCAGATTGTCAGAACATGTGAAAATTTAGCGTCAAATCTGATTCAAAATTAACCATTTCATTTTTATAAATGTTCTGTTTCCTTGCATTAGCAGAAGCAAGAAGAGGCAAGCAATTGCACCAATATGGACAAAGATATCCAATGGGCAGGCGTTCACACGATATTCCACGCCGTCACCGTGTTAGCGTAGAAAGCAACTTAGGATTATCTAATTCTTCGTTTGGCCTAAACTTGAGAAACTGGCACACACTTGCAAAACCAGCAATTTACTTATATCCAAAGAAGACAACAGATCTTTCTATTGGTGTTATGCTTCCAAAGGAAGAATTCACAGCTACAGCTCCAGAGTTCACACAGGGAACAATGTGGAATGTTACTGCCAAGCCAAATGGTGAGATCATTCACAATGGCAAGGTTGTCCCATACTTATTCTGGGAATCCTTCTCCAACATGGAAATGAACTTCGAACAAGGCTTCGTTGTCAAGAGAGGACAGGGCAGAAAGTTCCTTGAAAAGATGTTAACAGCTTTCAACTTAAGGATGGGCACTCATTAGGGTGATGAAAAAAATCAAGTCTAGCAAAGTCAATATATTAAAAACAGTAAAGACTATTATATAGCATTATAGTGCACAAGCTCAAATATTTAGTGATGCATTTCTCGAACTTATTTTATTTCTAAGTTAACCTTGAAACATGAATTTTAGTATATCATGAGCATATTTTTTCTAATTTTGCAATACTTATAATATCATACCAGGATTCATGTGGAAGTCTAATATTTGGTATATAATATTCTTACAATAAATGTATTAATTCAATTATATTCAAAATGATGGGTCGCAATTTTTACTGAAATTGCAAATTTAATTTCAACAATGAAATTATTGTTTAAAAAAAATAGCACAACAGCAAGATGGACAATCATATATAGAATTATAATGCTCCATATAATGCTTTGATTTGATGCGTATATAATGTTATTTTTCGAACATCTTTGTAAAAAATTGATTTTTGTAATTTTTGAAAAAATTCGATTTTATTTCGAGATTTCCTCTATAGGTGAAGTATATTGAACAATATTCCTATGGGAGAAAATAATTGTAAGTATGAGTACTTTCATTAATACTATGGGTGCCATGGTTATCGCTCAAACGATCAAGTTATATCTCGATTGCGTAAATTGAAATTTTGCTATTTTCTAAATTCACGGCAACAACATTCTTTTATCCTGATCGTACATCACAATATTTGAATGTGCGACCATTTGTTCAAGAAACCGTCAAGTTATTCTTCATTTTTCATGCCGCGGCGAACAAAAGCAGTTGCAAAGCGTATAAAGAACTTAGTTCAAAGCGCGAAAAATAGGGTAGAGCCATATGTCGTCAACACTGTTGAATTTGTGCTATCTGTATTATTGAGCGGCGCTACATTTTGCCAATCAGAATTTCAATTCATGCTGAATAACATCAAAGTTCCGTCAGAAGCTACATTTCATCGAGTCCAAGAAAAGGTTGGTCGTGTTATCATAGAAGTTGCCAGAGAATCTGTTAATTATTGGAAATCTCGAATGAGAAAATGTTCGGGACTTTTGTTTGACGGTTCTTGGAGTCAGAGAAGAAATGCAATGTTTTGCTATGTACAATTTGTAGAAGAGAAACTCAAAAAAATTGTAGATTGGGAAGTGATATCTAAATCTTTTAAAAATTTCAAAGGTAATTTCAACGGAAAATCAAATGAAATGGAATTTGAAGGCTTAAAAAGAATGCTGAAGCGTTGGAATAATGAAAAACGTGTAAATTTTTTTGTGCATGATGGCGATGTCAAAATTGTTTCTACAATCAAAAATACGTTCAAAGGTATCAGAGAATACAGAGATCCTGGACATTTTCTTAACAATATACAGAAAAAGCTCAAACTGCCAGAATTCAGAATCTTATCTAGCATTTCAAAGAATTTATTGCGTTGGCTTAGGCAACTTCTCAATGACACACATATGTCAATTAAAACAAAGAAGTTTTTATGGTTGAATTCCGCTAAACATTATGCCGGAAATCATAAATTTTGTCCAGATCCTGAAAAATGCAAGATGATTAAACCATGGAAATATGCAAAAAATAAAACTGCTATAAAAACACTTAAAAAATTCCTCGAAGATACCGTAAAAATCTTTGATATGGTAAAAAAGATTCATTCAACTCAAGTAGTTGAATCGATAAACCATATCAAAGCAATGCTTGCTAATAAAAATATTAATTGGCATGCTTCTTGGCCAATTAGGATGGCAGTCACAATATTGCATTTCAATGAAAGTATGTTTGAAACGATTGTAGCAATAAGATACAGGTTAAATTTACCAACAATGCCAGAAATGATGAACAGATATTTCAGAATGTATGATACAACAAAAGATTTAATCAAAGCATTCAAAAATTCAAAGCAAGTTCAAAAAAAGTTTGCGGCATTAAGAGCTATAAAGAGAGGTCTTCAAGCTACCGATGATCGTATTACTCTTAAATCACATAAATAATTATTAAATTTATTTCACCCTCAAAACATCATAATCTTGCACCTTCTTTGAATAAACACTTTCACCTTCTATTTTTAATTAATGTTTTTTAATTGTCCAAAATTTTTAGATTATATAAGATATAATTTTTTATAAAAGTATTATTTTCTAAAAGATAAGTATATATTCTTAATCACAAAACCTAGCATTTTATCATATCTATATATCAGCTTCCTAAATATAATACTCATATAGTTAGTATGATTTTAATGTTTTTGAACATGAAACGAAAATATGATTACAATCATATAACATAATGGAGTTATTGATATAACTTATATACATGATACATTAAGAAGTCTTCTAACAATATAGATATAGTTGTAGATTCCTATGATTCCTTTTATATTGTGAGATAATAACATTTTTATGCTGTCAGGAGCCTATGAGTGCCCATCCTTAAATGACAAGGAGAAGTTCGATTTCATGGCTTACTGGCTCCCAACATTCAACAAGATTGGTGATGCATTCGTTTCATTCCAATTATCAAACTATTGCCACAGAGTTCCACTCTTCTCCAATGTTGAACCAGACACAATCATCCGCGTTTTCATGGCTATCAAGCGTCTTTCAAAGGAGGATTTGAAGAAGCCAACACAGACAATCCCACACTTAGAACGCAAGGGCTTCACAGTTGTCGAATGGGGTGGCTCTCATGTCCACACAAGCAGAGGCCAGACAAGAGGCAACCTTCTTCAGTAAACATTGATATTTTGGTCCAAATTTGATATGAACTAAAAATATAAGAATATCATTGTTTTAATTCATAACTTTTTTTTACATAAACATTTTCACAGAGAGGTATACAAATTGACACCCATATATTCCCTGGATGCAAACATCACAAGTTCCCACCGTAGCCTGTATACAGAGAGGGATTAATAATGTAATATCAAAATTAAACTTGTTTTCATATTGTAAGCGCCTAGTCTTTAAAATTTGAGAGAACTCAGATATGTTTTCATGCAAAAATTTGATTTTGAGTTTGAAATAAAAATAATAAAAAATAATTTTACAAACATATTATTAGTGAGACTTAAACTTCCTAATAACTTCCAATGATGGACCAAAAATCGTTTTCCTTACTTCAGCTTCGAACACGGAAATATCCATTCCGAGAGTTGAGCCATTTTCCTCCAAATAAGAGGTCTGAGCAGCTGTAGAAATTAGGTTGGCTATGTATTTCACATCTGGTTTGTAAAGAGCTGCTTGGAGGACACGATGATGCTCAGATGGCGGAGCGGAGTCACAGAATCTGAAAAAGTAGAAGCAGACGAACTCTAGGCGATTCTTGTTATCTGTTTCTATCGAATTCAGGAATTCCAGACCAGTATCTGAAATATCAGTATGATATGAAAGGAAAAGCTTCTTGTAAGTGTTATATTGATCATGGTACTGGGCTATATGGAAGCTTACAAGGCATAATGCAATGGAAAATACCAAATCTGTTTGGAATTGTGAGTAAAATAATATGAAATTAATAGAATCGGCCAAGAGTCTTACATTTATATCAGGAAGCTCTTCAATGAGTTCCTTGATAGTTATCTCAAGCATTTGAGGATGGAAAAGATCATCATTGATTTTAAGGAAAGATTCAATGATATACTTACGGGAATCATCGGCGCTCTCATTGAGATAATGTGTACGACTCGTTGTTGGGTAATTGGCCAAATTCGTGAATTGCGGATGAAGAAATTTAATTTGAATGGCTTCCCTTATCTCATCCGTCTTTATTGACTCAATCAGGGATGCTGTATTATATATAAGTGGGTTCTGGAGGTCTTGGATGATCTGTTCTGCGAAATCAGAAGGTAATGAGCCTTTTGTATGCGTCCTTTGGAGTTTTTCCATCATATTAACGATGGCGTAGTAGTTACTCGATGTAGGTGTTGGTTCGCCAAGGATATTGCTTTGTGTTGTCAATTGACAAATTTGTAAAATTCTTTGGACAGAAATTAGGATAATGAAAAAGACAACATCCAAAATAATAAGTAATATCCAAATAAATGACGATCCGCCGTCATCTTCAACGAAATCGCTGATGCATAACAGAGAAATAATTTCCCATTCGTCATCGTTCGTCAGAGACACAGATAACGAAGAAGCGTAGTAGGATAAATTAGTACCATCAACATTGGCTTTGTAGGAGTAGCCTTTTTTGTAATTTGAGTTAGTTGTGGCTGCTTTCCAATATGTTTGGGATAAACTGTAGATATTCGGCAAGTAGTAGGCGTATTCGCTTTCGTTGATTTTAGTTCTGTCAAGAGCGATGATTTCATCTGAAGAAACAAAGGCCAAATGCGAATGATTTGATGGAAGCATTGAATTGATCAGATCGGAAATTTCGGACGTTCTATATCGAGTACTGATCGCTCCATAAAAACTTTTGTTGATGTAGAGTGGGCAAGCGCCTAAAAAGTAGTTGGAATTTACAATTGGCTCATTCCAATGAGTTAAAATGGTGAATGCGGCTTTATTTGACTTAATCAGAGCATACCAGGCAAAATTGATAAGATTTATGTTTTCATAATAAAATCCGTTTTCGCTCGGGTATCCTGTGATATTGGTGAGGTTCCAATAATTTAATGGTATACTCTCGGTATCAGAAGTACCATTAGCGTAATAAATCGTTGACTTCTGGTTTCTGTAAAAGTAATATTGTCCTGTTCGTGAAGCGAATTCAAAGTTGTCGATTGATGGATCTGTAGCTAATTCACCTTCTTTGAATAACTCAAATATTAGTTCTGGTACCGTTATGTTTGTTAAATTTTGAGTTAAATAAGGATAAATTTCAGAAATCAATTCCGAAAGAAATAGCGAAGTTTCCGTATTATACCGGATGATTAATGAAATTTCGGTCGATAGAGGTTGAGAAATATTTTTAGCTAAATTAACAGTTACGTTTCGATAATTTGTCCGAAGAAGATACTGACTGATGATCAGGATGAGAAGAGTGATTATAATGAAGCATCCAGCAGTAACAAACTTGACAATTCGAGACCGACTCTCAACAAAATAATGTTCAATACCGGAAGAGTTTCTTTTTGAAGCGAAATATGCATGTGGCTGTAATAAGTGACTGTTGGGCATCAATTGAGTAGCTTCCGACCGGGTACGCTGACAGCGTTTCCGGGGGAAGAGGCTAAACTCGAGAACCTGCAACAGAAATTTTCAAAATCAACAAATCTCTCTGAACTGCAATTTGAAGTTTAAATATATAAAAATATTATTGTTTAAAGATATGGAGTTATTTAATTGATAACTCTCAGATTTCTTTTCATATTTTTTTACATTGACGGCTGCATGGCATTCAAAAAATAGAGGGTGTCCAACCAAAATAACCTTAAAATGAATTTTACCTTTTTGAGTTTTTCTTCATATTCAGAGGAAGTAGAGAAAAGTTTAAACGGTAAATACATGCGAATGCATATCAGCATTATGCTCGAGCTGGATTTGTATATTTTTCTTTTCGTAATTTGAATAAATTCGAAAAATACTGATTTATAAAATTATAATAAGAATTATAATTTACATTAAATATCTGATAAAATAATAAAATAAAAATGATGATTTTTTGAATCAAAAAATTGAACGATGATTTTTTCAAATTATTATATTTATTGTAAATAACGACAACTGAAGGTGAGATATTGAATATTCATGATTGGGAATAAATGTTCAATTTTGAGATTGAGTTGAGATATCATATTAAAAATTGATTTAAAAGGTTAACATATAGCTTAATGATATGTAATATATACATATTATGAGATATGCATATTTAAAAGGGGTATGATCGTTGAAAATGGTATGATTCCTATTTTAATCGGTAGGAAAATATTATGAAATTAAATAATTAAAAGAATTTCAAATAACTTCTATGTGTGGTATTAAAAGTATCAATATATAGCAAATATAGTAATTAAGGTTTAAAGAAAACAGGGGACAAATTAAACATCTTATATTAATAATAAATTGAGAGCATGTCAATATCTCATAGTTCAATTGGTTTTCTGGTAAAAATGGATCGGTAAAGGTTGCAAGTTTGATTGTGATCAGCGTTTTTTTTAATTTTGAACGATAATAAGATTGTGAATAATAGATAATAGCAACCAAAACATAGTTCGAAAATTTACCTAAAATGATAGAGTATGGTAGGAAGTACATACCCAGGTATCTAAAATATCACCTAAAAGCGCTCTTAATTTATGCCAATTGGCATAATAAAGCTACAATTAGAATGCTGACATGATGAAGAATCATTATGAATCATAATTGGCCAGTATGATACAAGATTTAAGAAATCTTAGAGATTATCTGATTTCATGAAACACAGTGATTACTAAGTTTCAGACTTTGAAATTTTAACATGTTGATATGGGTACATAGGATTTATGATTCCAGTCATTTATTTAAAAAATTAGGAATAAGAATTAATATGATGTGAGTAACATTGGTAATAAATGCTTAATTACTAATATATTATTTCTTGGTAGAAATTAAATGTTTTGGTGGCATTTATAGAAGTTAAGCTGAGAATCAAAAATGCAAAATTTAATTTATTTTCGTGTATCTATATGGGTACACTAAGTTATTGATGTATATATGAAAGAATCATGAAAATGAATTGTGAATCTCAATATTAGTTGTGTAATGCTGCGTCATATTTTGAATTCAAAATATCCATAATGTTGATAAATGTATTTTAAGATAATACATAAAATTAAGCTTGAAAAAAGATATCGAAATGTAATTTTCAATAGATTCAAAGTTTGGCATATATTTTGATTTTAACTATTGATATATTTATCGAACATCTATAGTAATAGAATGCAGAACTAACTAAATATAATCAATAAAAAAATATGAGTTGAAGTAATATTCTAAGAGATATATGTGATGTTACCAATATGACATGATATTAGAAAACTGATTTAATGGCGATGTGAGACTAAATATTATATGATAATGAGTAGGGAAAAAATATTAATATGAATTTCTTGAATTGAATGTATTTGAATGTGTGGTTGAGGATAAATTATTGATATATATATTGGAATATTAACTAGAAATAAGAATAGGAAAGATTGTTAATGAATAATATGAGATTAAAGGAAAATATATTGTTTTAATGGATGAGTGTTGAGGCTCAATATATCTGAAGATTATATATGAGAAAGAATTAAATAAACTATGAAATGAGAGAAAATATAACAAAAATGTATATGAATTATAATAGTATTTAAGAATGAAGATGCGTTATTTATTGATCTGTAACGATGATAGAGGAATGATAAAAGAAAGATATAATGAAAAAAAAAGTTTATTAAGGGTCCACTGTAAAAATTGAAAGTCTCTCAAAATTGAGAGGCAATTTGCAAATAATCGTTATCGTCATTTTTCGAAAATCCACTTTTCCTAGTGTTCTGATTAATATTATGTGAATACAACAATGAAGCATATGTTTCAATAAGATGGTAATATATTCTATCACTTCAAATCTCATAAAAATTGCAAAATCAGTGAATTTTATAAGAACATGATTTTTTCGAATTTTTTCGCTTTTGGATGCGTGTTTTGAAAAATAGATATTTTCGAATTTTAATTTTATCTTAAGTATAAGTTTTATATTAGGAATTTTTTTGACCTATTTCCAATCATTAATTCCAATGTTTTTCAAGGAATTTAATTGAGAAGAAATTAGGAATTTCGCTTTAATGCCATTACAAACTAATATTATGATGCATAATATATATATTTATTGAGGCTAATGCCGGGACATCTTGCATTTAAAAAAAATTCAAAGAATTGACAATTGGATAGCACAAATTTAATTCCCTGGACAAAGTATTATTGTTTATATATTCAAACCATTATCCTTAGTTTAGATATGTTGGCCAAAAATTTTCGTGTTATTTTTTGTGTTTAAGCATAAATTATGTATTTACTTATGAAAAATAAGCATTTTATTCATTATCATAAAGATATACCATAACAATTGATAAATTTTTTTTAAAAAAATTGTGTATTTTAGTGGGTATTATTCTGGATAATGCCAATTTTTACAAGATTTAATATTAACCATATCAATAGCCGACTCAATGTAAAAATTTAGATATTATTTTTTCATTAATCAAACTTTGATAAATTTTAGTATAATGAACGATTTTGTTTCGTGTATGATACAGAAATGAAAAGCTTAATTAATATCATTTTACATTTTTTAAAGGATGTTAGAGTACATCTACATTAAAAAATCAGATTTGAACTGCGATACTGCATCAAATTGATGCATATCTGATAAGGATCTCAAAAGAGTAAAGTTAATTTTGTTGTGTTTTTTTAAGTTTTGGGCCTTAGTAAAACACCATCTCGAGCAATATTTTTGGGACGACGATAGACCTTATTTGGCCTTACAGTGGACCCTTAAAGCATGTTGGGGACAGTTTATAAAATTTTAGGTCATTTTATATAGTAGTTAATTATGGAGTCTTCGGGTAATTATAAACTTTTGTTATAATAGAATTATAATTGGAAATTTTGACCGACAAGAGTGTGTTATGCACTCTTGTCGGTCAAAGTTTTGCAATCACACTCTGATTGCAAAATATTATGCCATTCCGGGAGACATGCATTGGCAATGTCTCCCACAATGACACATTGCGACCGACAAGAGTGCATAACACACTCTTGTCGGTCAAAGTTTTGCAATCACACTCTGATTGCAAAATATTATGCCATTCCGGGAGACATGCATTGGCAATGTCTCCCACAATGACACATTGCGACCGACAAGAGTGCATAACACACTCTTGTCGGTCAAAGTTTTGCAATCACACTCTGATTGCAAAATATTATGCCATTCCGGGAGACATGCATTGGCAATGTCTCCCACAATGACACATTGCGACCGACAAGAGTGCATAACACACTCTTGTCGGTCAAAGTTTTGCAATCACACTCTGATTGCAAAATATTATGCCATTCCGGGAGACATGCATTGGCAATGTCTCCCACAATGACACATTGCGACCGACAAGAGTGCATAACACACTCTTGTCGGTCAAAGTTTTGCAATCACACTCTGATTGCAAAATATTATGCCATTCCGGGAGACATGCATTGGCAATGTCTCCCACAATGACACATTGCGACCGACAAGAGTGCATAACACACTCTTGTCGGTCAAAGTTTTGCAATCACACTCTGATTGCAAAATATTATGCCATTCCGGGAGACATGCATTGGCAATGTCTCCCAGAATGACACATTGCGACCGACAAGAGTGCATAACACACTCTTGTCGGTCAAAGTTTTGCAATCACACTCTGATTGCAAAATATTATGCCATTCCGGGAGACATGCATTGGCAATGTCTCCCAGAATGACACATTGCGACCGACAAGAGTGCATAACACACTCTTGTCGGTCAAAGTTTTGCAATCACACTCTGATTGCAAAATATTATGCCATTCCGGGAGACATGCATTGGCAATGTCTCCCACAATGACACATTGCGACCGACAAGAGTGCATAACACACTCTTGTCGGTCAAAGTTTTGCAATCACACTCTGATTGCAAAATATTATGCCATTCCGGGAGACATGCATTGGCAATGTCTCCCACAATGACACATTGCGACCGACAAGAGTGCATAACACACTCTTGTCGGTCAAAGTTTTGCAATCACACTCTGATTGCAAAATATTATGCCATTCCGGGAGACATGCATTGGCAATGTCTCCCACAATGACACATTGCGACCGACAAGAGTGCATAACACACTCTTGTCGGTCAAAGTTTTGCAATCACACTCTGATTGCAAAATATTATGCCATTCCGGGAGACATGCATTGGCAATGTCTCCCACAATGACACATTGCGACCGACAAGAGTGCATAACACACTCTTGTCGGTCAAAGTTTTGCAATCACACTCTGATTGCAAAATATTATGCCATTCCGGGAGACATGCATTGGCAATGTCTCCCACAATGACACATTGCGACCGACAAGAGTGCATAACACACTCTTGTCGGTCAAAGTTTTGCAATCACACTCTGATTGCAAAATATTATGCCATTCCGGGAGACATGCATTGGCAATGTCTCAATGACACATTGCGACCGACAAGAGTGCATAACACACTCTTGTCGGTCAAAGTTTTGCAATCACACTCTGATTGCAAAATATTATGCCATTCCGGGAGACATGCATTGGCAATGTCTCCCACAATGACACATTGCGACCGACAAGAGTGCATAACACACTCTTGTCGGTCAAAGTTTTGCAATCACACTCTGATTGCAAAATATTATGCCATTCCGGGAGACATGCATTGGCAATGTCTCCCACAATGACACATTGCGACCGACAAGAGTGCATAACACACTCTTGTCGGTCAAAGTTTTGCAATCACACTCTGATTGCAAAATATTATGCCATTCCGGGAGACATGCATTGGCAATGTCTCCCACAATGACACATTGCGACCGACAAGAGTGCATAACACACTCTTGTCGGTCAAAGTTTTGCAATCACACTCTGATTGCAAAATATTATGCCATTCCGGGAGACATGCATTGGCAATGTCTCCCACAATGACACATTGCGACCGACAAGAGTGCATAACACACTCTTGTCGGTCAAAGTTTTGCAATCACACTCTGATTGCAAAATATTATGCCATTCCGGGAGACATGCATTGGCAATGTCTCCCACAATGACACATTGCGACCGACAAGAGTGCATAACACACTCTTGTCGGTCAAAGTTTTGCAATCACACTCTGATTGCAAAATATTATGCCATTCGGGAGACATGCATTGGCAATGTCTCCCACAATGACACATTGCGACCGACAAGAGTGCATAACACACTCTTGTCGGTCAAAGTTTTGCAATCACACTCTGATTGCAAAATATTATGCCATTCCGGGAGACATGCATTGGCAATGTCTCCCATAATGACAAATTTCGAACTACTTATTTGCATAAAATACTATTTTCTTTCAAATTTCTGAACTTCATTTTTTTAATATAATAATATTGTATTAACCATTATATTTTCTATATCTATCTTACTTTTACAATGATGTTCTCAATGAAATCTATTGTATCATATCTCAAATACTCTCAAACAAAATCTTTTAAGATCATCAAAGGATCCACTTGATTTACATCTTTTTTGTACAATGAATGCTAAATACCGACATAAGAATCTTCAATATTTTATATTATTTGTCAAATATCTTAAATCTGAGATTGATTTATCCATGATTATTCTAATATTTTTAAAATCATTCTAATTCTTTAATTATTCATTAATTCATATATATATTTGTTAATTTTCTTGATATATCAAACAATCAAAATTGGGAGAAAAAAAATAATTAGATGAGATTTGAACCTGATACCTCTCTTTGTAGGTGCAAAAACCTTTCCGTTACACCACATATTTTATTTCTGCAATTCATATTGACGTTCCTATTAGATTTTAATTTGTGTTTCCCCCTTCTAAAATCCATCATCATGCTAAATTACTCATTTTGCTTTAATTGACCAAATCGCAAATTATATAATTCTAACATTTCCATAAAAATCTCCCATATTCATTATTTACTTTTTTAATTTTCTTCTTTTACTATTACATTTCTTTAAATTTTTCAAATATTTTCAAAAAAATAAATTTTTTCCTCATATAATTTTATATCTCAAAATTGAACATTTTATATTACTAGTGAATACAATAGTATTGACCTAGACACCATCCCCATATCATATACCAAATTTGGAGCCAAAATCATCGTTAAATCTTTGGTTGGACACCCTCTCAAAAAATCGGGATAAAATTTACAATTTCATTTAATTTTAATTAGTGAAGTTTAAAGTTGCTTCTAATCCTTAATCAAACTTGTTTATGCAATAAAAATCGTTTAGCTTTATTTTGTGAATAAAATTATTTCAAAGATTGAAAATCAAGCTCTGAGCTTTTGTCCTTGCCGTTGTATGTGCATAACTATACTAAAACTTTTCTCTATATCAATAAATTTACTATATTATTGAGATATTCTTGGGAATATGACCTTCAATTTCAAATAGTTTAATGTTTACCCTGGATATTATATAGCTGAATGTGAAAATATATAGATGTAGAATAACATCACTGGATTTTTTTACGATAAAAAATAAATTGATAAATCAATTATTAATTATCAGCTTTGGAACCTTTATTTACTGAAAATAGATCCATTTAAACCATTTCAGTCATCTAATGGAATTAATATATCATGTTGAGTTATTCCTTTATTATCTTTTTCCTTGATAGAAGCCCAATGCGAACTAAGGATGCGTTTATATTCACTTTTCTTTGCGTCATATTTTTGAAAGAATTTGTTGATATTTTCTTAATGATATCTTTACATTGATTTTACTGTGATAATTAATAAGATTTTTTATACTTCTTAATGACTGATCTATTCTACATGATACATGGAAAATTATAAATTTATAATTAAATTGAGTAAATCTATATAATTTTTAATTAAACAATAATGGAAAAAACAAAGGATTAGCAAGCTGCATTAATATATAAAGTTTGAATCTATCTTAATGTTTAGTAATAGTCGTCATCGTCGTCATCATAATCGTCATCATTATAAATTAAACCAAAAGGAAATCCATTATAAGAATAAATTTCATCATAGTAGCCATAGTCATCATCATCATCATAGTAGCCATAGTCATCATCATCGTCATCATCGTCATCATCAGTATTATCATCTATACCATTTATTCGATTATACTCACGAATTAGTTGTTCTAAATCTCTATTTCCATTAATACGTGTATATTCGAGTGGATTAATATAATCTTTATCTCTAGCAACAGTACTGGCTCCGTTATTAATCAAAACTCGTGCTGTTTCAAAACTATTATTCATTGCTGCATAGTGTAGAGGAGTCCGATGATCATCATCAAAGGCATCAATTCTGGCTTTATGCAAAATAAGTATTTCTGCGATTTCCTTAAAGTCCTTTTCTGCTGCATAATGCAGAGGCGTTTTACCTTCTGATCCACATACGTCAACATCTGCACCATTTGAAATAAGAAGTTCTACAATTTCTTTATTATTATTTTTTATTGCATAAAGAAGGGCACACATACGATCCATATTTATTGCATTAGCATTTGCATTATGTGTAATTAGAAATTCTGCTATATCACTATAATTATTTTCTGTCGCAATTTGAAGACAAGTTTTATTTAGCCTGCTTTCATTGACATTTGCTCCTTTTGAAACAAGCAATTCTACTAATTCTTTGTTATTATTGAGCACAGCTTTACAAAGAATACTTTCGTTGTTTTTATCTCGAATATTAACATCTGCTTTCTTTTGAATCAACAATACTGCAACAGTATTAAAGTTATTCACTACAGCTGTGTAGAGAGGTGTTTCTCCATTATTATCTTTTGAATTGACATTTGCTTTATTGGAAATAAGATAATTTATCACTTCCTTACTGTTATTTAATACAGCTTTATGAAGAGCAGTCCTTCCGATTTGATTTGTTTCATTAACATCACAGCCATGTGAAATAAGAAATTCAACAACAGATTTACGATTGCTCCATGAGGAGATAGAAAGTGCTGTTCGACCAAATTCATCTGCAGATTTAATGGAGGCACCTTCTGAAAGAAAATATTCACAAAGTGATGGAATGCCTAAATATGTCGATTTAACAAAACATTTGTTAGTATCATGAGTAATTTCATAGTAAAATAAAAATGTTTCAAGGTTATGGAAATAAACACAAAGATCTAAATCAAGATGAAGATGATATTCGTTCACTAAGTAAATAACAAAATCAATGTTGTGTGATGCAATAGCATATTCCATGCATTCTTGTGTAGGACGAACAACATTCAAACATTCGGTAACAATGTGTTGATTTCCACGCAAAAATGAGAGTTGAAGACATTTTGATGTGATTTCTGTGTGAAAATTTGTTCGCAGGAAATTAAAACAATTAACGGACCCATGGTAGCAGCATAGTTCAAGCAATGAGTAACCATCAACACGAAATGGATAAAAATCATTGTAAAACTCTTGTTTGATTTTAAAATCTTTCCTTTCCGTATATATTTTTAATAACTCTACATTATCATTCATAATAATGTTATAAATTGTGTCGTCTTCGAGCCTTTTCTTATTTTGGTCGTTTATGATAAAATAGTCTAAGCATTCTGTATTTTTCGAATCAACTCCGATAACACATTCATTACATATAAAGTAATTAAAGAGGTTTTCGCCATATTCAACTTGTTTATGTCGAAATGTTTCAAATATCCTTTTGAAAATGACACGGTATGAGCTAATATAGCTGTTATTGTATTTTGCTGCGATTGCAATTATCCTTAATATTTGCATTGGTAAGAAATATTTTGTTGTGATCAGATTGTTTTTGATATCTTTGCATATTTTTTTGATTTCGCTTTCATTGGAAGTGTTGAGTTTGTATAATGCATTGAATGTATCAACATATGATTTATTTAACTCCAGAAGCTCATGATAACGAGAAGGAGAATTATTTTCCATGATTTATAAAAATTAATTCTCCATGAAGATATTCGTTAAATATCTACTACCATTATACTATGATGGGTACTAATTAAATAGATGATTTCTGGAAAATTCTAACAGAATACCCTATATTTCCAACTCTTGGAAAATTTTCATGACCCCCAGGGTCCTAAAATGGGTATTTTCCTCACACAGACACCGTGGTTTTTTGAGCCGGGAAATAAATAGCGCAGACAGTTTCTACATATAGAGACATGCTTATACTTAGAGTTTGACGGGAATCTAAAGTGATTCTTTTCTGCATCGCGAAATCTAATGCAATCTCAAAATAGTAGTAGTAAGAATCATAAATATTAGAATCTGACGATAATTTATTATAACTTTATATAGGAACAAGATTATAAATGATGATGAAAATAAAGATTAAATTTAAATCTGAAAATTTGAAAACATTAAGTGTATATGATAGCATTACAAAATTAAATTTTATGTGGAAGAGGAAATAGAGGAATTAGAAGTATTATGAGAAAATAATAAGATATAAAAACAAGATTCTATTAAATGAGTTAATTTATAGAAAGGAATAACAGTGTGAATGTAGTAAATGAATGTTTTCATGATGTATTATTGAAATCTTAAGTTTTGTTAAGAAGATAATAAGGGAATCAAATTTTGTATTAGGAAGTTTGACCGACAAGAGTGTATTGTGCACTTTTGTCGGTCTGCATGTGTCATTCCGGGAGACATTGTCACTGCATGTCTCCCAGAATGAGACAATCTTCCGCATTCATAACTTGAATGCTGAAGTTTGACCGACAAGAGTGCACAATACACTCTTGTCGATCTAAATGTATCTTACAAGCAAAGACACTTTCATACAATCTTTTCGAAGTTAAAAAAGAAATTTAATTATTTCTTTCTTTTGTTTATTAAATCGCCTTACTCACGTACTAATCTCTTTTAGAGACTCTATCGAGCTATCCCCACATATAAACCTGTGACAATAATACATATTTACTCTCTTCATATTCTGATCTCATGACACATTATCGCAAAAACTATAATTATACAACACATCTCATAAAGTCTCATTTTAGCCCTATCTAAGCGTTCAAAACCTATTTTACACACGTAATCTGATTCTTCTGGCTCCGCTGATTCGATTTCTGCTGTCAGATCGTGAAAATATGCATCACATAAAGAGATAAACACAACTCAAAATTATTGCTTTTTTTTTCAAATTGTCTATTCATCCATCTTTACATATTTATTATCTCCTCCGTTTCCCCTCACAAATTCTTTTAATTTTCTGAATAATACGTATAATAAAATGAATATCTCAAAAACTAAAACACAAAATTAATGTTGGAAAATGACTAGATATAATCTGAACTTTTGAATTCATACATTTTTGGAAAAAATTGAATTTTCAAAAAAAGAGCTTATTTAGGTATGAACCTGAAGAGAAATTTTAAGGAAAATATTAAGTTGTGCAATTTGCATTTATCTCTTTATGTGATGCATATTTTCACGATCTGACAGCAGAAATCGAATCAGCGGAGCCAGAAGAATCAGATTACGTGTGGAAAATAGGTTTTGAACGCTTAGATAGGGCTAAAATGAGACTTTATGAGATGTGTTGTATAATTATAGTTTTTGCGATAATGTGTCATGAGATCAGAATATGAAGAGAGTAAATATGTATTATTGTCACAGGTTTATATGTGGGGATAGCTCGATAGAGTCTCTAAAAGAGATTAGTACGTGAGTAAGGCGATTTAATAAACAAAAGAAAGAAATAATTAATTTTTTTTTTAACTTCGAAAAGATTGTATGAAAGTGTCTTTGATTGTAAGATACATTTAGATCGACAAGAGTGTATTGTGCACTCTTGTCGGTCAAACTTCCGCATTCAAGTTATGAATGCGGAAGATTGTCTCATTCTGGGAGACATGCAGTGACAATGTCTCCCGGAATGAGACATGCAGACCGACAAGAGTGCACAATACACTCTTGTCGGTCGAAGTTTTGCAATCGCGTTGTGATTGCAAAAGATTGTGCTATTCCTGCATATTTTCTACGAGCCTGCTTCATAAAATTGAATCCTTCTATCCAAATTAAATGCGATTTCGCTAATCTTTCATCTAAAATCACTAATCAGAAGCATATTGCAAGTTAACTTGAACCGGCATGTTCCTCCTATCCTGTCTTTCAGTTCTTTCTATCAGCCATGGTTCACAAGGAGGAGAGCTTTGCGCACAATCAGACATAAGATTGCGGCAGAGGAACCGGGAAGAGAGCAGCTTGAAGCGGTAAGATGTCCGAATGCTGTCTCCCAGGTGTATCTGTCAGGCAAAGTTCACAAGGAGGAGAGCTTTGCGCACAATCAAACAGAAGATTGCGGCAGAGGAACCGGGAAGAGAGCAGCTTGAAGCGGTAAGCTGTTTTCAAGTCTTTAGTTAACAAACTTTAACAAAAGACATCTAAAAAATTTGAAATAATTGCAAAATAATGCCGTCAGGTAATGCGCACCTAAGGGAGGTGTTTTGCGGGAGCTGGGGGTATCTTGGTGAGTACTCAGGAGGCCAAGAAGGGCACCCCAACCGACATTTTGCTGACGCATTGTGTAAGCAACCATTCTGATAACCGCTCAAACCGTCGGGACAAAATAATTTATGAAATTATAAGTCATCTTTCTAATACATATTTTTGGAAGGGCGTAAGATACGCCAACTTAAATATATTATTAAATATGAGAAAATCGCTCAACAAAAAAACAATTCTTTCAAAAAGTTTAAAATTTATCTTTCTAATACATATTTTTGGAAGGGCGTAAGATACGCCAACTTAAATATATTATTAAATATGAGAAAATCGCTCAACAAAAAAAATTCTTTCAAAAAGTTTGACATTGATCTTTCTAATACATATCCTATGGAAGGAGTTTACATTCCCAAAATAAAAACCAGTTCAAAATCTTATTACTCCTTGAATTAAAATCATTTAATTTCAAATCCATTCCAAATCCTTAAATCTGTATTAAAATAATTTTGCCAACAACCAACACAATACAAATTACATTTCCATATATCTTCTTGTCCATTTTAATTTTTTATCTCATTTTATTTAATTTTATTTAAAGCATATAGACATCGAGATCCTTTACACATAGTTATATAAAAGTCAAATACATAATAAATTCTTAATTCTAGAGATATCTCAAAATCTCAATTTTTTAATTTAAAATACCTTTCATTTTTCACAGTACTATCACAACAAACAAGCCATTTACTAATTAACACATATAAGAAAAATATCAAATTACAAAACAACTTTCAATATCATTCGCATCGAATTCTATTTTTTCATAATTATCAACTACATGTTATTATATAATATATGTCGGCGCATATTCCACTCTATACAAGTGTCAGACACACTCACACAAAGCTGTGAGATTCATACCTCTATCAGTAGGACTTCTCAAATCAAGAACACATATGTTTCACTATCGCACATCTGTGTAGGATCTAATTAACCCTTTGGACTGGTACTTCAAAATTTGATAATTTGATAATTTCATGTGATATCATCATTTGCCTTTAAAACAATTGTGCGTTAAACTAGACACGTTTCTCTATCATAATGCAAAATATCAAAGTTTGGGAGACTCCCAAAGTGTCTGAAACTGATCATAAGGGTGAAAAACCGTTTTCCAGAAGTTGGGAACGTAGGGTATTCACATTAAAATAAAAACAAGATAATATTGAGGATTGATTCGGGGAATGTTGCATTTGATCGAGTTCTGTCTGTTACTGCATGATTGGTATGAACTTTTAGGAAGACCATCATTGTCGATGACGGATTGGATGAATGTCTTATTTTTGCTTTCGATGTAGACACCACAAACAAGTTTATCACAGCCAAGGAAAGCGTTTTGATCAACTGTTTTGACACAAAGTGGAATGTTGATTGATATCAAGTTTGAACAACCTTCGAATGCACTCGTTGAGATTCGAGTAACGCTGTTGCTTGGAATAAGAACGGAAATCAAGTTGGTGCATCCGATGAATGCACCTTGATCGATCGTCGTGACCGTTCCTGGTAAGCTGAAGAATGTGATTGGAGATGCGGGTGGATATAGGTAAAGGATGGTCATTTCGACATTGAATAAGGCTCCGGTCATCACAGTGAATAATCTGCTTCGATCATTGGGACATGATATGTTCTGAAGATTATAACAGTTGCGGAATGCACTCAAACCGATGTTCTGAAGCTTTGAGTTTTCCAATATTTCGAAATATGTCAGCTCTGTGCAATCTTGGAATGCAGAGTTGCCAATAGATGCAGTATTAACGGGTAAAACAAGTTTTCTGAGTTTAGTGTTCTTGAATGAAAAGATTCCGATGGTTTGAATGCTATCTGGAAATGTAATAGTTTCGAGGTTGATACAATTGCTAAAACAGAATTGACTAATATTTGTCATTTTGGTGCACATAGATAAATCAACTTGTGTTAATCCACTCCCTGAAAAGCAATAATCTGATATGGTCTCAATACTTGATAAAAAAGTTAATGTACTTAAACTTGGTGTTGATTCAAATGCATTATCAAGCAAATATTTGACGTTTTCTGGTAACATGAATGTTGTCAATTTCGAACAACCAGAAAATGCAGATATCCCAATCTGTATTAATGGAGAAGTGCCAAAGTTTACTGTTTTAAGATTGATGCAATTTTGAAAAGAATAGCTTCCAAGAGCTAATAACTTGGAAAGTGAAATTTGCTCAAGTTTTTGGCAACCTTCAAAGGCATTAATATCAATTCTTGTTATAGTAGATGGTAAATTAACAAATACTAAATTCGTACAACCTTGGAAAGAAAAACTAGAAATCTTTTCAAGAACTGAATCTTGTTCGAATTCAATTCGACTCAAAAGACTTTTTTCTTTGAAGGCACCACCGGATATAGTTTTTATAGTTTTTATTATAAGAAATTCTTTGGCAATGTTCTGTCCAATATATTGAACAATCGTTGTGTTATCTTTATCAATAATTAAGTTTTGATTGTCAATGTAGTAATTAGAATTCGGACCAAATTCAATCTTTGTTGTGGACTCAAATGCATTGCCATATATCATTGTAATATTATCTGGAATAATAACTTTCTTTAAACTATTGCAAGCTTGGAAACAGTACTCATGTATAGTTCTTACAGAATCTGGGATTTCGAATGAAGTTAATCCGCAATTTCCAAAACAATAAGCGGATAAAGATGTAACATTCTTTGACATTTTAACAGATGTTAATTTGGAACAATACCTAAAGGCACTACCATCAATTGTAGTAACAGAATCAGGAATCACGGCATCTTCTAAAGCTTTGCATCCATAAAATGAGTATCCTCCAATTTCTATCAAAGAAGATGGGAAAATTATATGCGAAATTTTGCATTGAGCACAGCATGCTGGAATAAGATGTGTAACTGTATCAGGAACTGTAACTGTACCTGTGATGAGTTGTGGCAGCATTACAACAATAGTTTGGTTATAAGTCAATAAAAATTTGTTCACAACAATAAAATTTTTGTTGTTTTGACTGACAAAAATCTCTGTTAGTGGGACATTTTCAAAAGCGGAATTTTCTATAGTAGAAATTTTTGATGTTATAGTGAATTCACTAACTTGAGAATATCTTAAGAAATTCACAGGAAGAATTTCTAATTGTGAAATTGGATTTAATGTAAATGTTTGTAAATTCCTACAATTTAAAAAACAATATTTCCCAAATGTTGTAACAGTATCTGGAATGGAAACAGATGTGAGTGATGATGAATAATTAAAGGCCGAATTTGAAATTTCGATTAAATTTGGTGATAACTTAAGTGATACGACACTTCTACAATCTTGGAATGCAAATGATCCGATCTTGATAAGTTGTGTACATGAAGAAAGATCAATTGATGTGAGTTTAGAACAATTAAAAAAAGAGTAACTTTGGATTTCAACTAAATTAGGGTTATTTGCAAAGGTAAATGATTCTAATGTATCTCTGCAATTGATAAATGCATATGAATCTTGAGAGTCACCTTGAATGTACTTAGCATGAGATTCAATTTGGACAGAAGTTGCTTGGGCAACTGCTCTATAAAATGTGAGCTTATCTGATGAATATATATTTCCCTGTGAATCTTTGTAGTTGTTTGTCAAGCCAAACTCATATAATCAAACATTCTAAAAATTGAATGGGAAAAAATTGCATTATTCCTCGTGGAAACACCAAAACAAGATGGAAATAGGTCCTAAATTTATAAATGTAAACAATTGAATCACAATTTTTTTTTGAAAAAAAAAAAGACCAAAAACTTTGATGTTTGAGTTCAAGAAATCTTATATTTATAATGACATGGGATGGAAAACTCCTTGTAAGTAAAAATTTGGTAGAACTTATAGTCCACTCATGTTCACATTCTTATAGTATCATATAATTAATAGAAATGATAAGAGGAAATATTAGAATTTTCAAAAACCAATGAAAACTTTTATTAATTCATAACAATATACGGAAAAAGTGGGTCTTAAAATCATTTTGGGTCTTATTTTTAACCGCAAAATTCCCACAATTTTGAATACTTTGGCAAAAAACTTGCAAAAACATAGCGTCTATATACTATGTATATTAAGATTTTGCAAAGTGTCAAAAAATAAAAAATTTTAAAAAAATTTTAGGGAGTTCGAAAAAAGTAATGATTGTAAGAGATGGGAAGTATTTACGCTTGAAGTCGGAGCGGATATGAAAAGAATTTGTAGAGGCGCATATCTTGGTATGCAAAATTGAGATACTGTGTTGAAATCTACAAAATTCAAAATCTGACACAAGTCTCTCTGACCATATTAGACTCGTATTCTTTCTCTGTTGTATGAGATTTAATGAAAATGCTCGTTAATAGATACACATCTATTTAAAAATGATATCCGTTATTAAATCATATGCTCTGTGGACGCAGAAACTTGTGTTTTCGACTTTGTAAGTTGGTAATGAGCGATGCGAATGGGTCAGTTTGGTTAGTAAAGTCATCTAAGAAAAAATCGTTAATTGAACAATATGTAATAATTTTTGAAAATGAAGTAAACAGTATATTGAAATGTGCAGTATTAAGCTACTCTTTGACCTTGTAAGTTTTGATCAATTATGTAGCTGAAGGTATATTTGCAGGTAAGTAAGTTTGGGGAAAAATCTTATAGCTAAAAATAAAAATTGTATGAAATAATTATGTGGTTCATTTGCTAACGTGCTTTATTTTTGGGGTTGGAAAACCCAGGTTCGAATCCGAATAAATCTTATTTTTTCGTTTTTCATTATATCAATAAATTGTATTATACCCAAGAATTATTTTAATAAGAATCAATTTGGAATTTGAACCATGAATAATATATTTCGTATTTAAATACTCATATTTTTGTAAAATAATCTTTTCGGTTATATTACAATCAAATTACAAAACAGGTATAAGATTTTTTAATCCTAAATTCAAAATATATGAACTTTGATCTTTAAATTTTAAACAATTTTGAGAAAGAAATATTGTTAATCGCTTAATATTCTTATGTATATAAGTTGATTATGCAGCTGTGTGTCAAAATCCAATTTTTAATACCAATCTCATTTATTCTTCAAATTATTTTTATTATTATAATCATGAGATCTGGTATTATATGAATAATATCACATTTCAACATAAACGTGAATAAATTTCAAAATTGCAAAACAATCACCTCAATTTCTCTATTTATTCATATTAACTTATTTTCGATATACCCATTTAATTAGTTTCATGTATGTTAGCATGTGACAATAGATATTTGAAGCTTAAATGATGGATTGCCGAAGAAATTAACAAAAAATTCTTATATTTTTGATTTATGATCATACAAACATAATGACTTACAACAAATATCATTGTAATACATAATTACCATAGTTGGATCTCAAATTAAAAATATTATTATATTTGGATATTATTCTCAGTAATTTTCAATTTTGCTTTATATGAGATTCAAACAGACCATTAGATACATGTTATAGCCAATCAATATTTTCATAAGAATAAAAATTTTTTAGAATATTGTTTTATGTTTTTTATAATTGACAGTCTATTTGTATCTACCTATCTTAAAATACATTTTATGTTTGTAATCGCTCTTCCACCTATAACAATTTAGAACAATTCTGAATATTTAAATGTTTTGATATGGATAATTCAGTTATACCAAGATTGACTAAGTCTCTTGGTATGAATAGTGAATTTGAGAACATTCACTTGATTCATATTAATAAATTTGTGTCAAATTCAAATAATTGTTATTAGTAATCTTAATTTATTCAATATATATGACTAAAAACAGTTTACTTGTTTCTTACTAATAGCAATCTTCTATTTATTTTTCAAGTATAAAAAAAAGAAAAAAAGAAATGCGTGTCACTTAATTCGAACTCGGGACCCCAAAAATAAAGCCAATCCGGCGGTTTTAACCGTTAGACTACAGCTCAATTTCATACAAAGTAAATTTCACAGATATTTATGCGGCCCACTCTGTCAAAAAAATAAGACCAAAAGTGAGCTTAAGACCCAAATTTTCCGTATACTGTAAACCAATAACATTCTAAATTTTGACATTCACTGAGTAAATAGGTAAAATACAGAGTAGATTTTTAAGACAAACCATAACTATTCTGTAAATCCATTTTTGCGAAGAATTTCAACAATATTTTCTTGATTGTGATTTATTGCACATTGAATAGGAGTAATATTGTCTTTGTTTCGAGCATTTTTATCAATATTTGGCTGAGAACTAAGATATTCACATACTGCTATGCAATCACTTTTGGGAAATTCAATTGCATCATGAAGTGGTGTATAATTGTGATCATTTTTTTCATTAATATCAAAAAAGTTGAGAGCAAATTTAACACCTTCTAAATTTCCTTGTTGGCTAAAATAATGAAGAATAGTTCTATTAGAATTAGATCTACTTAATATATCTGCACCATAATTAAACAACTGCTTTACAAGATGCAAATTATTATGCCAGGCTGCTTCCAGAATTATATTTTTTATATCATTTCTAACGTCAGCATATTTTTCTTCTACTGCAAATTTGATTGTTGAAAGATCTCCTTCATACGATGCCTTTTCAAGAATTGAATAAATTTTATCAAAATTCTCATTGGTCTTACTCAAACCTATTAAATTTCTCATATTTTCGTCTGAAATATCAATTTGATGGAATTCTTCGATATTAGAAATTCTTACTTCTCTAGAATTTTTATCACTCATATATATTGTATTTGAAAGTTGAAGTCTATTATGAATTGGAGAAATTGTTGAACGATTAAGAAGTGCGCGTTCGAAAACTTCTATTGAGATAGATTCTAGACTATGTTGAACTGAAAATTTTTTGATGGATTTGATTGAGTTATTGTTGCAAAATTCAACTCTGACATGACTAAGAAGGCAAAAGAATGAACTATCTTCTTCACTCAATCTTATGATTGTATTAACTAGTGAATCTTCATTTGATATTTTAAGAGATTTTGATGTCAAAACATGTTCAAAAAAGTCATAACCATATCTTTTGATAGTTATGATTTTATATTCCTCTTGAAAATCATTCATTTTTGATGCAAAGAATGAAATGCATTCTTCAACCTTATTTATATCGTTTTGAATTGTTGCGCAGTCATATATATCATAAAAGTTTTCTTCGTTGATTTCTTTATATGTTGACTTAACAAACTCAGTAAATATGTTTGTCAAAAATTCGATACCAAATGCTTTGCCAACTTCGAATATATCTCGATTATGTACCTGATCATTCTCGAATCTGAGAATTCCTGTATTGAAAAATTCTGAAATGTTGTCGATTGTGCTATTGCATGATAGATGCAAATTTTTACTAACTGATTTAACTGAGTTATCGCGCAAAAATTCATCATGAATGTAAGTGGAAATCATAATTGAGATATGTTTCCATGTATTTATTTCCTCGTCGTTAATATATATTGAAAATGGTATTTTCTCATTAACATCATTACCTCTCTCAATCACTTGATATTTTCTTGTAATGATATTCATTATTTTATTTAATTTTTTTTTCAAAATGGTAAATTTATTTTCATTTCACTTCACTATATCATTTTTACCGCGCAAATTCATAATTTGCTTGTTGAGAGTCTTTTTGGAAAGATTACCAGCTTATGTACCCATGTCATATGATTATTTTTGAAACAATTTCTGAATTATAAGTGGAAAAAAAATATTTACTAAACTGTGAGACAAAATATATCACTATTGAAAATGAAACATACATTTTTTTCCGCAATATAGAGAATTATACTATTAAGGCATTCTTTGTCCATCATTAGTCTCTCAAAATTTGAGAGAATTGAAAGGTTTTCATGCGAAGAATGTGATTTCAAGTTTAAAATGAAAAGTAAGAAAAAAAAATCATTTTAATCACAAAAAGATTTAATTTAGAAAGAAATATCTAATTTGATAGTATTTGGTTCTTTTCCAGCTTCCAAAATAATAACATTAGAAATCTTCTTTGTAGCTAAGAAATCAGGAATAGTTTGTTCTTTATCTCCAATTCTTTGATATGAAACTTTTCCATCTTTGTAAGATAATTCTACATAAAGATATTCACCATTCTTGTAGTTATAAGAAATTCCATCATCCAGATACAATCTTCCTTTCGCTGTTCCTTCTTCATTCAATGCAATGACAAGATCAATATCTGATGATCTCAATGTTTCGTGTGTATTCTTTGTAACTGTACTGAATAGTGGTAATATCTTTCCTTCTCTCAAATAAACTGGATATTTAGAAATCTCATCTGATTTAACTTTTTCATTTCCTTTTATTCCATACATTGGTAATGGGAAGAACTTAGTATTATACATCTCTATGTAATTCAATTTCTCTGTTTCTTTTTCTTCATCATCTTCATCAACAATTGGTTTAACTAAAACTAAATCACCAATCATGAAATCTTCGCCATTTTCATGTGAATCATCATTATCTGGGAACTCCGCAAACAATGGTCTTGTAATTGGTGATCCTGTTTGTGATGATTCGTATGCAAATGTATATATTGTTGGTAATAGTTTGTATCTATTAATAATTGCATTTCTCAATGCATTTAATGTTTCTCCTTCGTAATTCGATGGTTCTCTTCTTTGTGATTTATGATGACAGTGTTCTCTAAAGAAAGGATAACAGAGAGATCCCAACTGCATCCACCTTGTCAACAACAATTCATCGGGTGATCGTAAGAAACCACCAACATCAGAGCCTGTCAAAGGAATTCCACAAATTCCAGATGTAATGGCCATGTGAACTGATGTATGTAAGTGGTCCCATGTCGCTGTGTTGTCTCCTGACCATGTGAAAGCGTATCTCTGTGATCCTGAGAAGAAACTACGGGAAAGAACAAAGGGGCGGATGTTTTGGTCGTTGTTTCTATGTAATAAACCATCAAATGTTGAAAATGAATTTAGATGGCCATAGATGTTATGGACTTCTCGGTTTTCGACACCGCCAAAGTGGATGTTGTCCTTAGGGAATGTCGATTCGTAGTTCTTGAAGATGGATGGCTCGTTCATGTCGTTCCAATAAAATACATTTTGTCCGGTAACGTCCATTCCGTAATTGAACTGCTTGGCCCAGTAATCTCTGACCGCTGTATTAAGGAAATCAGGGAAAGAACATTGTCCTGGCCAACTATCGCCGATAAAAGTCATTCCTTTTGATGTTTGGACCAAAAGCTTCCTGGAACGGGTTTCTTTGTACTGCCTGTTATCTACTGATGTTGGAAAATGAGGATCGCAGACTCGAACAAGGTTTCTGTGCTGTTTATCTAATAATTCAATGAGATCTTCAAGAGGTTGGAAGGATTCGCTAACTGTAAATGGTGTTTTGCCTTCTAAATGGTCGATATCAAGCCAGAAAACATCAAATGGAATGTTCGCATCATCTAATTCTTTAATAACTTGTTTTACAGTGACCAAGTTCTTGTAATCCCATCTGCTTTGATGGTAACCTAATGAAAATAGCGGTGGATGCTGCGGACGGCCTGTTAATAATGTATATGAATTTAATATTTCGTAAAATGAGCCTTGGATGATGACAAAGTCAAGGAAACCGCCTTCACTGATGAAGAAAGCTTTGTTTTCGTCGAATTTAACAAATGTATCGGATGGATTCATCCAAAAAACGCCAACATTGTATCCAGAAGCATGGGCAAGCAAAAATGGAACTGATCCGTAAAGATTTGTGTATGAATCTTTATCGTATTCATAACCATCTGTGTTGTATAAGCGAATTGGCTCTTGTTGGTTTTCTATATTTAATGGAGCTGATCTTTCGCCAAGACCACTGAAATGAACGCCTTCCTTCTCGAATTTGAAGTCACATGCTACGGCTGTTGGACCGTTTGGAATCAAATCTGTAAAAGATTCCCATTTATCTGGTTCTTCAACTTCCATATGATGTTGGAAGAGTAAGGATTGTTCGCCATTAATGGTAATGATTCGTTCTCCATTGTTTTCGATGTAGATATTAAACGGTTCAAATTCTACGGTTAAAGCCATAGAATCGCGCTTAAGAATGATTTTATCTCCAATTTCTGACTTTAATACTTCTAAGTTTTTGATTGTATCTTGATCAATTACAAGAGATTCGTTTGATAAATCGTATCTAAAGAAATTATCTGCAGGAATTGGATTAGCTCTAAATCTAAAGCCAACATTTGCTATGTAGCTGATTTGGAAAGATATTTTGCTTTTCTTTTCTTCATTCTGCATTGTAAAATAAACAGAATCGTTTGCGATGATTGTAGACTTGTCAATGGCCCACGTTTGGGACTTTCCGATATTCTCCGCACAAAAATCTAAATCTTCGCATGTTCTAATTGCTGAATATGAAATACGAAGTAATATTCCAAACATAAAAAGTGAAATTTAGAAAAATAAATTAATTTTAATCAAACCAGGCATAATATCTTGTACAATTTGTGGATGAACTGTGAATTTCGGAAGAAATTTCAGGAGTATGATCAATTGAAATCTTTTATCATGAAATTATTTCTACAAAAGAAATCTTCAAAATAAATTATTAATTAATTTGGGTTTTATGAAAATACATTTGGCTAAAAATGCATAGAATTCCATTATTAATACTGTAGCACATATATGTGTCATATATACTATTTCTTCTTCCATGTAATAAACAGAAATTCATCAAAAGTGACAGCTCTCAATTTTTTGACATTTGTAAATTCTAAATTGAATGAGAAAAATGAAATAATACTAAGCATAATACAATATTCGAGATTTAATTATAATTAGGAAAAAGTTAGTTTTGAGAGTACTTTTCATAGGCATATAGAATGAAATCTTCTGAAAAATAATATCACATAAACTCATATTATTTTCTAATATATAACTATTTTATATAAAAATCAAATTCAATGATCTTAAAAGCGAAGGATAAACCTCAAAATTTACGAATATAATGAGTGGGAATATAATGCTTATCTATCATAAAACCATATGAAATATCAATTTTTGCTTTACGCCTAATTTTTGACGACAATTAGCAAAAAATGTTAAATGTTAACACTCAGTCCATTTGAATATGAAAAATAAAATTGACTTTGATTAAATGTTTTTATTTATCATGCAATTCTTCTTGCGACCAAAGATTTGAATAAAAGTTCAAAAAATAAGATAGCTTAAAAAATAATATACGGTAGTGTTTACTAATAGATGAATAGTATATAAATTCTATTAAAATGGATTTGATCCAAAAAAATATATAAAATTTGATCATAAATAAAATCGTTTTAAATTACTTCTTCATTTAAATTATAACAATTATTTTTGATTTTTATTTATCATCCACATTCAAATTTGAATCTTATCACAAAAGAAGGACCACTTTTATGACTACTGCCAAATATATAAGCAGAGAATGGCTATTTGAAGCTAAAAGAAGAATAGAAGAAGGTGAATCTTACAAAAGTGTGGGAAAGGAAGTTGAATTGGAAAATGGTAAAATTAAATTGAATGTTGCCGAAAATACAATAAGAAGAGCATTTCAACTTCAAGAAATCGAATTACCAAAAGTTAGTCGCGGCAGAAAACCAAATCCACCAACATTTGAGCAAAAACAATTAATTAATTCTTGTGTTTCACAATATAAAGGAGGAATTTCAAAAACTTATTTATTGATTAAAAGGTTTCAAAATATTGCTCAAAATCCCGATTGTGAGAAAGAAAAAGAAGAAATTGCAAAAGAATTTGAAAATATAGAAGATTTGACAAAAGATCAAATTTTTGACAATTTACAAAAAATAAAGCATCATCAAGTGGAAAAATTTATGATGGAATCAGGTTTATCTTCAAAAAGAGATTACAAACCAGCAGATCCACCTACCAAATATCGTGCCATATCAAAGAATTTGATATGGCACTGCGATATTCATTACCTTCACGGTAATGTTTCTTTTCCATTTTTTGCCATATTGGATGATATGACACGTAAAGTTCTCAAAACTAAATTATTGAAAAACAAGTCTTCCAACTCAACAGCGAAGGTTTTAAGAAAACTTTTAGAGGAGTTTATTCCTTACTGCATCTGGACCGATAACGGCGGTGAAAACCGCGGTGAATTCGGCCAGGTTATGCAGGAAAACGGAATAGTTTGGAAGCACAACTTGCCGTATATGCCAAGACAGAACGGCAAGGTGGAGCGCCTGTGGCCAAGCTTAGAAAAGTTTTTGCCAGACGAGTTGGATGATATTCAACAAATCAAGGACTCAGTTCAGCAGTTCATTGAAAAATACAACAATACACCACATTTATCTCTCGATATTAATCCAAAAACGAATAGTAATTACACTCCTAACGAATTATTCGAAGTTTCAGAATTTTGGTACGAGCCAGAAATGCAAAAATGGGAGTAATATATCAAAGACGAATGGGTCTTAGCAAAATTTGAATAATTACATCATTTTAAATGACTACTAAACAATTTTATTTATGATCAAATTTTATATATTTTTTTGGATCAAATCCATTTTAATAGAATTTATATACTATTCATCTATTAGTAAACACTACCGTATATTATTTTTTAAGCTATCTTATTTTTTGAACTTTTATTCAAATCTTTGGTCGCAAGAAGAATTGCATGATAAATAAAAACATTTAATCAAAGTCAATTTTATTTTTCATATTCAAATGGACTGAGTGTTAACATTTAACATTTTTTGCTAATTGTCGTCAAAAATTAGGCGTAAAGCAAAAATTGATATTTCATATGGTTTTATGATAGATAAGCATTATATTCCCACTCATTATATTCGTAAATTTTGAGGTTTATCCTTCGCTTTTAAGATCATTGAATTTGATTTTTATATAAAATAGTTATATATTAGAAAATAATATGAGTTTATGTGATATTATTTTTCAGAAGATTTTGTGTTCTTCTTCAAAATTTTATTTTTTATTAAAAAGAATCTTTACAAAATATACATTTACTTTAATTAATATTTAAAAACGTGCTCTATCAAAAGTTCCAAAAATTCAATATTTTAGCTTTTCTGAGGTGTCACTTTTGATGAATTTCTGTTTAGAACAATTATTTATATACAAATTGATTAAGATGACCTAGCCTAATTACCGTTGTATTTCGACGTTATCGAATTTTATGCCTTTGAGAGAACTTCACAAATTTTCTTGACAAAATTTATCTCAATTGTTGGAATGGCAAGAAATGCCACACTATAAAAATAGGTACTAATACAATTATCCGGACAAAACTGAATCTCACCTCTCAAAATTTCAATATTTCATTTTTATAATGAGAAAGAAACGCACAGAGAGATATTATCTTTTTACAGATGAAAAAACTAAAAAAATGTTTTTCCATAATGCTGTTACTAACGTTGTTACGTGGTTTCCTCCTGTGGATTCTGTAATAATTGATCCACAAACCTTAAAAACCGTTACAATTGATTTAAATGCTCTCCAAGAGGCATATAATGCATGCAAGCAACCAACACACCATGATGTAGGAAAAAAGAGAGAGAGGTACTTGGCAAGAAAAGCTTCGTTACCAATTTACAATAATCCGGTCCCACCAAAGAATTTCCACGATAGAAAATTGACTCTCGTTAAACTTTCAACGTCTTCTTTAGATAAAAATCAACTCATTTTACAAGAAATTCCGATATATCTCCCAACATCCATTTTTCAAGATTCCACGCCGATTGATATCAGGAGTTTTGCTGCTGAAAAATTCAATACTCGCTATCGTGGTAGTTTCTTTAATAAAAAAGAGATTCCACCAGATGAGCTTTTACTTTTCGATACGGACTCATCGGTTCTTCCTATTTTGAAATCGACACCAAGTTCACTACAAAAGCAATGTGTCGAAGTCTTTAATTTCATAATAAATTATTGCAAACAGTCTGCAAAAGCTCAGCCAAACGTTCTAGTAGAGCTTTTATTCAAGGAGCGTTCGATTATTAACGAAGCGTATATCCTACTGTTCAAGTTTATCCGAAATAATCCAGTCAATGAAAATATCACGAAAGTTTGGGACTTGATCCTAGTAGTTTGCACTTTCTTCCCTGCCTCACCAGAAATACAACCTCTCGTCAAGTACTACCTTTCTACAGAAGCACTTGGAACAAAAGCAAATATTAATACAACGGCCAAGATCGCATACTTTAGGTTTTGTGCACGATGTGCAAGCAGAGAAGCATTCCATGTGCAGTCTGCACAATGGATCAACTTCATTCCAATGCATGTTTATCAAGATACATTTATTTGTGGTGCTCCTCTTCTTGAATTGATTTTTTCACAGAGAAGATCAGCTCCGAAATGCACCATTCCTCTCTTTTTGCACAGATTCGTTAACATTCTATTGTCCAAAGGAATAGAAAGCACAGAAGGCAACTTCAGAGCAACAGGAGACAAAGCACAAGTTGACGCATTAGTTGAAGACATAAACAACGGTAAAGAAACATATAAAAACGCAAAAATCGATGACATGGCAGGTCTTTTCAAGAGATGGTTTGCTGATCTACCAGAGCCTTTCATTCCGATGTCGATGTTCGAGAAATTGGTTAAAGCACAAAAAGAAAACAAAATTATTGAATTCATAAATAAATTACCAAGAGTTAATCACGATACGTTGGGCTATTTGGTCGGATTCCTCCAACAAATTGTTAAATCAGCAGATGTCACTAAGATGGGTGTTGTCCAGTGTTCAATGCTCTTCGGACCAAATGTTGCAAGAATTATAACTGATGACCAAACAATTGCAAAGGATTCGGCTAATGTAGGAAAGGATGTATTAACATATCTGATCAAAAATTGGGATACAAAGTTCATTTACCCACTTCCTGTTGAATATATTACATAAAGATATAAAATTAATAAAGCAATTATCGAAATTAAGATGATATATGATATGTCCTTGCAATGTTTATTAAATAAATGTGGAAAATTTATGATAAAATTTTGGTATTTTTTTGCAAAAATTTTGAAAAGAATTTTTACTCATTGTAAACTTCGACATTAGTAACATTTGGAACTCTCTCGCCATGGAGGAAGTGAACGGCTGCTTCAGCAGCTTCAATTGACATTTCATTGAAGCATTGTGCTGTACCTGATCCGATATGTGGGAAGATAGCAAGGTTCTTGTTCTTAAGGATGCGGTGGTTGTGTGGTAATGGCTCTGGATCGATGACATCGAGTGCAGCACCCCAAATTTGCTTTTGTTCCAAAGCATCGGCAAGAGCTTCTGTATCGATGACTGGGCCACGGCCAATGTTAGCAAGAATTGCTGTCTTCTTCATCATTGCAATTTCTTTGCGTCCGATTAATTTTCTTGTTTTTTCAGTTAATGGGCAAGCGACGACGACAACATCGGATTCCTTGAGTAATTGCTCAAGTGGTGTATACTGTGGGCCGGTATCGTTGAAGAGAACCTTCATATTGAAGCCTTCTCCACGTTTTGCGACAGCTCTTCCGATATGTCCTGCACCAATGACGCCAAGTGTCTTATGGTGGACATTAATACCCCATAAGCATTGTGGTGATGTCTTTTCCCAGTCGCCATTCTTTACAAATTGATCAGCCTCAACAACTCTACGAGCGCAAGCCATAATAAGTGACCAAATTGTATCTGCACATGTATCAGCAAGTGATTTATGTGTGTTGGCAACAATGATTTTTCTCTTTGTTGCGTAATTGATGTCGATATTATCGTAACCAGCAGCGCAAACTGTAATAAGCTTAAGCTTTGGGTTATCAAGAATCTCTTTGTTAATGACATCACGTCTATCAGCATAGATGATGTCTGCCTTCTTTGCCTTTTCAATAAATTCTTCTCTTGGAATACCATTAGGCTTGGATGGAAGAATAATATCAGTAAAATGCTTTTTGAGAAGTTCCATGCCTCCTGGCTTAACATCACGAGTGCAGAAAACTGTCATGAAGCGAGAAATCGGTGCTGAAAGCATCTTGTAATAAAAATGTGTTGTCAATTATTTTCAAAATATTTTCAAATTTGATCGTTCTCGATGATGGGGATTCAAATTCTATTAAGATTACACTTCGTGGAAAATGTCGATTATTGATGATATTCCTATCATTTTTTACAATTTCATATCAAAATCTTGACAAAATGAAACTTTTCTTTTACGAATACATTGCATATAACATGAACATGCTATCTTGGATGGTTAAACAGTATGGAAATATTTGAATAGTTATTCAAATTTGGTGTAAAACTGATCTTTTCTCCCATTCAAAATATGAAATTGCATTGAAGGGGTATCGCATTAAGTATTAAATCTAGCACATATACTTTGATGATATTTTAGAGCTTCCTTGCTTCAATTTGTTTAGAAAAACCTCAAATAACTCAAATCTCGGTTCATGAATGTGAGAATTGCCTATTGAGTAGAAACATTAATGTATAATGTAGGCGTGAAACTTTCATATGAGGAAACATGACTTTTAATGATGAAAATTTAATAATGTACCATAAGATTTTCTTTTGAGCTAGCTCATAGTGTGTATTTATTATTCAAAAGAAATGAATTTAATACCCCATGCAAAGGCTTTCAAATATATATATATTTATCATATTAACTCAAAGCGGAATCTTTGTTCAAATGATGCAAATTTATTGTGAAATTGTTGGTACATATCCGAAAGTTTACATTTTAAAAGATATAACAACATTCTAACAACTCTATTGTCATAATTTGATAATTAATAAAATATTTTGAATTAAATAAGAAGACAGCAACGGTGATCTGATTTCTTTTCTACTGGCTTGCTATCCACTGCAGCTGGTGGAGGAGTTTTAAATAAATCTTCGGCAATTTTTTGAAAAAGAGGATCAACAGTTCCATGCTGTTTTGCTGATGTTATGAAGTACGGAAGAGATTTGGATTTTGCCCAATCAAGAAACTCACTCTCATTATAAGTAGGTGGCAAATCGCATTTATTTGCAACCAAATAAATTTTGCACGTTTCTGGACAATTTTCCCTAACCATATTGTACCACTCCTCACCTTGGACCAATGAGTCGTGATTAGTCAAATCCGTTACAACAATTGCCGCGGCAGAATTTCTAGAATACATTGGAATAAGGCTTTTGAACCTCTCCTGGCCTGCAGTATCCCATAAATTTAATGCAACTTCGCCTAAGCAAGTTGCAACACGCATTTGAATATAAGTTGCAGCGATCGTACTTGAGCAATTTTCAAAAAATTGTTGAGTTGTGTACATCGTAATCAGACTTGTCTTTCCAACGCCTGCGCTTCCAACAACGATTACTTTTCCCTCTGGCACACTTTCTTCTTTTTTCATAATGTCACTTTTAAGAAAATTCAATAACCTCATTGAATCAGACGAGTCAGAATTCTATACTGAGATTTAATTTTTGTTTAACAGTTAAGGAATGGTTATAAGAGCATGCTCCTGGTGATAAGTGTTCAATCTTGGTTAATTATTTCCTTAGAATCGCATTAAAATTCAATTAATTCAAGCGTAAACTCATATTAACACTATATAAAAACGTCATAAAAATATGTTTGAAATTCATTAATGTCTGTTATGCAAATTACTTAGCTTCAAATAAAGATATTGATATCAATACTTATAGTTTTTAAAGAAGAGGAATATGGTGTGATCATGTATTCGTATATACTAAGATTTTTTATTACCTGAGTTCATCATTTTCAAAAATATTCAAAAAATATGAAAAAAATAATAAATGTTGAAATAATAAATGATAAAAATGTCGGTTCTTACGAATTATGTGAGTGGAGAAACAGTTTGGCGCGTCCATCAATGGTCGAACGGCATCAGAGAGACATAATACACATTTAACTAATAAAAGTGACAATTTAATTTTTTTGGATGACTCTTTCTCCAGAAGAATCTCAGAAGATTTTAACGCAAAAGCTCGAGATGCTCAAGGATAAAAAGAATGATAGGAACATGCAATTCCTTCAGAATTTATCTATTTCTTTAGAAACATCACCTAAAATTGATGATCCAAACTACGATAGAGGAAGAGAAGCAGCATTTCAAAAAGCAACTATAGAAGGAGTTTACAAAGCCAAAGAAATCATGGATGAACTCAATATCCAATATATCAGGCAAGAAAAGCCAGCACAACCACAAGAAGAGAAGAAAGCAGAGCAGTAATTGTCTTCTTTAAATAATAAAATGTTTGATAAAAATAGAATTTTCATTCAATAAAAATAAATATTTATAAAATTACGAAAGTATTATATTATACATTTAAGATACTAATATCGTTAATATAGTAACGAAGGAATTGTCTTCCAAATATGAAATCATCTTGAATAAAAAAATAAATTTTCACAAATATTACGTATTTAATAATGAATAATAATGACAAATTCTTTTATTCTAGAAGGTAATGGAGATGAATATGATGGTTTGTAAAATTCGAAATTTGTATTCAAATCTACCAAAAGAAATGTTGGAAAACAAAACGTTTTGTTTCTAAGATGAGACTAATGAAATCGATTATACTTCAAGTTGTAGTTTGCCTTTCATTATGATATTTCCAGAGAAGGAAAATTTTGAAATAACGTATTTTAGTTACATCGCCCCTTGAAAAAATTGAAACCCCCTTGATAATTTGTTCGTTTTAGAAATTCAAAGTTTTTACATATGCAGCAACCTCCCGTATCCGTATTTGGAACGGGAGCTCGCCCAGTGACATCTTTTTCTGTTTCAATGCCAAAAGCCAAGCCTATGAGAAACTCTATTCTAGGCACGCCTTTGCTTGGAACAAAAAATAACCTCAAGGCAATACAAAACAGACCGCAAACAAGATCTTCTCTCGGTGTGAAGTCATGGAGAGCGAACCTATTTCCATCAAGCTCGCCAGCTTCTAAGCGTGAAGTTGAATTACTTGGAGAATGGTTAAATTCTGTACTTGCAGAAAACCTCGAAACCAACGAAAACCCATTAGATGTTTGCACTAATGCTCAGCACTGGTTTTCAGTTGCTTTCAATGAATTATTACGCCAAGTTTCTGTTACATGTGCTGAAAGAGGCAGATTATTCGCAGTCATATGGAAACGTAATCAGGACTTGCTATCCAAGCTAGTCCAGATACAGAAACAAGAGCGTCAATACATTTTACAGTGTCATAAGGAAAGAGTACAATTCCTTAAAACAGATTTAGATTTTAGCAAAAGCAGATTCGAAACAGTTCAGAATGCTTATAACGAAGAAATGGGACGTTGGAATGAATCTCATGAAAAAGATTTATCAAAATTCGATAATTTACAGCAAAAAATCGATGAACAAGTTGCATCTCGTAATGCATTACTTGCTGAGCTTAGAGACTTACAGCAGAAGCTTGGAATCAAGCCTGCAATGGAAAATGACCCACAATCAGAACCCGCTCCTATTTTTAAGGCAGAAGAAATGCGCGCGAAAATGCAAGATCTCAGAAAACGTATCCGTACAAAGAAAATTCCAAATCTCGAATTAGTAAATATAATGGACGAATTAGACGCACTTTTGAAGCAGCAAAAGCTTTCTGTTGCTGTCTCAGGTATACGAGCAACATACTCCGAATTATTCCTTTCTTTGCCATCAAATGCTCAGCCAAAAAAACATGACCACGCTTGGCTTTCTGCTGCAATCTCTTTTATATACTCATACTATCTTGCAGCTATAGAAAGCAATGGAGTCAAAGAAATGGCACAAATTCCTTTCCATCACTTCATTTACGAAACATTCTTAAATCTCTACGGTACAAGACCAGAAACTGAACAGACAATATTAGATATGTTTACTCTTGCTTACAGTTTACGCCAAGAATCTTCTCGTGTTGAACTTTTTGTTAGATTTATCGGATTATCAGAACCTCTTGACAGTGAAGTCCTACAGTTCTATCTTTACTGTCTTAGCCTTATGAATAAAGAGCATAACGGACCTCTTTTCCCAGAAAATGAAGGAGCTGACCAAGTTTTCATTTCTCCGTTCCCGTCGAACTCGTTGATCAATGCTAGCGATGTAGTTTTGCAGCGCTTTACAGAAGGAAGAACTCTCAAGTTCTATACGGAGCGTATTGCAAAGATTACTCAAGATGGATCGATAAGGTTCGGCCGCCAGAACGTCGCAGAGCTTGATGCTGTTCTTGGCTATCTTACAAATGCATATATCGATGAAAGCGACAAATACGATGACATGATTAATCAATTTTTCGATAAAGAAAATATTACGACATTTACACAATTCAAGACTGCAATTTCGGCATCAAGACAAGAGATATCTTCAGAGGAATATCCTAAAATCATGGCAGAAATTCTTAAACGCGGTGAAATTACAAAGAATTTGTTCAAAGACATGGTTAAGAACTACGGCTACTTTAAACAATTCGTTATTAAGACAGAAGAATTTAAAGGCGTTCAAAGTACGGATGATATTGTTCCATTTGTTAAAATGGAAATGGAATCTTGGGAGCCAAAGTTCCAGGAAGTCCTCAAAAAGCTCGAAGCGGCTACAGACGAAGTATCTGCAAAACAACTCAGAGCTTCAAAAGCTAAACTCGAGCAAGTTCTTACAGGAAGATCCATTGGTAGAACATCAAACCAGTTAATGAGAGAATTCTTTGAAAGAACGACACTCTCATCTATGACTATGTAAGTAAATATTTTTGTTTTTGTTTATAATTATTTTACATTTTTAACCAATTACCTTTTAAATCTGCGCTTGGGTACATGATACCTTCATTAATCAGCATTTCCCAGGTTTGTTATAAGCGCAACCCTAAAAAAGATGAAAATATTAGGCAATTATTATTGTTATTTCAAAATCAAAGTGATGATATCGATTTCCTAGTGTAAATATTACTAGTTCCAATGTTTATTAAGCTCAATGAGAACTTTTGATTTCCAAAAAAATTTCAAAATTTAAAATTTGATTTGAATTTTATAGAGATTTGATCTGATTTTCTTCAAAATAAAATTTACACTGGATTTCAATTTTATTGCATTATCAAATTTAAATAAAATAAATCATAAATATATTTAAAAAATCAAGAATTTAGTGAATAATCATTTCGGAATCAATGATATATAGCTTGAACGCAACAAAAATGAGAACACATGGATGTGGAAAACATTGGGTCTCTTAAAATCATATCATTTAGAAAATCAGACTTTGATGAGAAATTTATACAAACAGATGAAAAATATCAAAGCGAAATGTCAATATTATAGAAGAAAATCTTTATGCCAATATATACTTGGCTTCCGAAACTTCAGGAATTTGAATTCACTTCTTTTTGGAGCAAATAAAATTGGTAATCTGTGTAACATTTTCATGCATTTTCTTATTGAGAATAATGATATCTAACCTGCACATACGAAACATTTGTGTCACCATATAGGATATGAGTTTATGATAAACTCTGATCTTCAATTATTTCAATATTTGTATAAAAGAATTTTAATTTATCTATATATACTAATGTCGACATCTACATTTGATTCATTATCGCATGCTTTGACTTATTTTGTTAATCTAAACTTCAAATTCTTGCAATATGATTTCATATTTTTTATTTGCTGGCCAGAGATAATAATTTGAATTCCTCGAAGTGCGTTAAAAAATAGAACAATATTCCCAATATATAATCTTAAATTCAAAAAATTGAAAATTGTAAGTTTTTACACCGGTGCTAATTCTAAGTGGAATACATTCCTGTTACTTTAGAATAACACAAATGTCATTAAATTTTCTTTATTTAATTTTAAATTAATTTTTGATTAATTTTGTAGTGAAATCAGAGTTTTGTAATCAGCTAAACATCTCAAAACACATAGTAGAGAACACATTATATAGAATAAATTGTCTAGATAATTTGAAGAATTCCGAAAATAATGCTCAACCAATATCGATCAATGTATAATGAATCGAATAGGGTTATTAATCTAGTTTAAATCAGAATTAGTGATAAATAATAATGGAATGCGTATTCACATATATTTTCCTAAAATATTTCTTACAAAGTGTAACGAAATGCTTCGAAACCCTTAGGCTTATATGTTACATGCAGCAGGCGCTAGTATAGATTCACCCAATCTAAGAATGGTCGTATATTTTCTAAGGTTTCTGAACGAACTTTCTCAGAACGAGAAATTAAATGCAACCGAAAAATAGAAATCATATTTTTTCATATTTATACTCCGATTCGTATTTGTATAAAATTTATCCCACTCACTTGATCTGTGAAATAATTGTCACTTTTATTGTTCAACACCGATAGACTTTAGACTTAAATGATCAAAGCAGGTTGGGGTACGAAACAGGGCGGCCTTATCAAAACATGGAAGAAGCGCTGGTTCGTCCTCGAAAAGGATGCACTCGTCTATTTTACAAAGGAAGGAGGTGAAGAACAAGGAAGAATCCCAATCGGATCTACTTGTGTTGTTTCACCAGCTCCAGATTGCAAGAAACAACCAGCTTTCAAGATCGTCACAAGCGAGCGTACTTATTTCATCGTTACCGATACTCAAAAAGAATGTTCTGATTGGATTTCAGCAATTTCGAACACAATCGCTCACTGTCCCACATCTACAGCAGCTGCTCCAGTTCCAGCACCAGGGGCGAAAGCGGCCGGAGCACCAGTTAAGAAAGCTTCTATGGAAGATTTTACGATTATCGGCGTTCTCGGTCGTGGAACATACGGAAAGGTCCAACTCGTCAAACAAAAAGAAACAGGCAAGCTCTTTGCTCTTAAGACAATGAGCAAGAGGCTTTTAGCCGAGACAGATCAGATTGAGCAAACAATTGTCGAAAGAGATCTTCTCCTCAAAGTCAAATGCCCATTCCTTGTTGGTGCCCACTATACATTCCAAACAGACGCAAAGGTTTTCATGATTCTTGATTACGTACCGGGAGGTGAATTATTCGGTCGTTTGAAACAAGAATCCAGCTTCCCAGAATCACGTACAAGGCTTTATGCAGCTGAAATCCTTCTCGGTTTAGGATACCTCCACTCGAAAAATTACATTTATCGCGACTTGAAGCCCGAAAACATCCTTGTCGATATTGATGGCCACTTACGCCTTACAGACTTCGGCCTTGCAAAACGCGCTACAGATAACGAATCAACAAACTCATTCTGCGGAACTCCTGAATATATCGCTCCAGAAATGATCCAGCGCCTTCCTTACACAAAGGCCGTTGACTGGTGGTCACTCGGTATCTTAATCTTCGAGATGCTTACAGGCCTTCCACCATTTTACGATGAGAATGTTAATCAGATGTACCGTTCTATTCTCAGGGACGAAGTAGCCTTCCCATCCCACATTTCTCTTGCTGCTCGCAATCTTATCAACAAGCTCTTAGATAAGAATCCAGCAACTCGTCTCGGTTCAGGTCCTACTGATATGGAAGAGATCAAGACTCATCCATTCTTCAAAGACCTCAACTGGAGTGAAGTCGAAGAGAAGAAGGTCAAGCCAGAGTGGGTCCCAGAAATCAAGGACGCTACAGATACTTCTTGCTTCGATGAAGAATTCACTCAGGAAACAGGAGGTGTTTCATTCGAAGATGGAAGCTTAATCGGACATGATACACAACAACAATTCACCGGATTTACTTGCACACAGGATTCAGCTCTCGATGATCTTTAATTTTTTTTTGCATTTTCTTTTTTTTATGAATTTTATTTAGGATAAAAGTTATATTTCGTTTGGAATGAATCGAGTGAGTTTTTTGGATCTTCCTTCTCAGAATGAACCGAAATTTATTTTATTTTTTCTGAGCGAGTGACATGGACAATTTTTATCAAATTTTGAGACAAATGATTATTTTATGCGTCATTATTTCCTTACAATCACATCACTTTTAGCATTATCTATAATGGGTATAAAGAGTATTTCTGTTTTATCCGATTAAAAACTCTTATTTATATGTTATTTAATCAAAAATCATTAACTTATTTGTTTCAGCGAGAAAAAACTTTAGTATTGTTGTAAACAGAAATTCATCAAAAGTGACACCTCAGAAAAGCTAAAATATTGAATTTTTGGAACTTTTGATAGAGCACGTTTTTAAATATTAATTAAAGTAAATGTATATTTTGTAAAGATTCTTTTTAATAAAAAAAATAAAATTTTGAAGAAGAACACAAAATCTTCTGAAAAATAATATCACATAAACTCATATTATTTTCTAATATATAACTATTTTATATAAAAATCAAATTCAATGATCTTAAAAGCGAAGGATAAACCTCAAAATTTACGAATATAATGAGTGGGAATATAATGCTTATCTATCATAAAACCATATGAAATATCAATTTTTGCTTTACGCCTAATTTTTGACGACAATTAGCAAAAAATGTTAAATGTTAACACTCAGTCCATTTGAATATGAAAAATAAAATTGACTTTGATTAAATGTTTTTATTTATCATGCAATTCTTCTTGCGACCAAAGATTTGAATAAAAGTTCAAAAAATAAGATAGCTTAAAAAATAATATACGGTAGTGTTTACTAATAGATGAATAGTATATAATTCTATTAAAATGGATTTGATCCAAAAAAATATAAAACCAAAAATAATTGTTATAATTTAAATGAAGAAGTAATTTAAAACGATTTTATTTATGATCAAATTTTATATATTTTTTTGGATCAAATCCATTTTAATAGAATTTATATACTATTCATCTATTAGTAAACACTACCGTATATTATTTTTTAAGCTATCTTATTTTTTGAACTTTTATTCAAATCTTTGGTCGCAAGAAGAATTGCATGATAAATAAAAAACATTTAATCAAAGTCAATTTTATTTTTCATATTCAAATGGACTGAGTGTTAACATTTAACATTTTTTGCTAATTGTCGTCAAAAATTAGGCGTAAAGCAAAAATTGATATTTCATATGGTTTTATGATAGATAAGCATTATATTCCCACTCATTATATTCGTAAATTTTGAGGTTTATCCTTCGCTTTTAAGATCATTGAATTTGATTTTTATATAAAATAGTTATATATTAGAAAATAATATGAGTTTATGTGATATTATTTTTCAGAAGATTTCATTCTATATGCCTATGAAAAGTACTCTCAAAACTAACTTTTTCCTAATTATAATTAAATCTCGAATATTGTATTATGCTTAGTATTATTTCATTTTTCTCATTCAATTTAGAATTTACAAATGTCAAAAAATTGAGAGCTGTCACTTTTGATGAATTTCTGTTTATGACAGTATTGAAATAGAAATGATATGTATGGTAAGAATTATTATCAAACATACTCAAATATTCATTTTCAGAAATACGAATAAAAGATTTCGTATGTTCATTAAGGAAACTATAGCAAAATATGCTCAAAAATTGAGATTTATGATCTAAAACTTCATATCTTACGCTCTCATTAGCAGTTAAGATGGTTACAATTCACTATTGATAATTTACTTAAATCACTTGAAGAATAACATTACACACAGTTATTATGTACTAAATGTTATCTTCAACTCTGCTTTCTTAAGCATTAATTGAGAAATGGAATTATTTTGATCTGAATAATAGTCATAAAACAAAAGATAGATCATAAAACCTAACAATGAGCAGGAAACATGCATAATATAGTGCCTGTGAGCTAAACAATATTTCGAAATTTGGATATAAAATTTCGGTTGAAAAAATGTACGTTTAGAAATGGAAGGGTTCGCAGAGCAATATAGCTATGATGATGACGCATGGCAGAAAAAGTTTATTAGGGCAACTCCAGAATTCTTGTACATTTTCAAAAGCGATAAGGATGACAAACCAGAAAAAACTTACAATATTGTTGGCAGCCGAGCTAAAAAACTGAAAAGAACTCAATTTAACAAAGAGAATGTTTTCAAACTCGAAATAGGCGTTATTAAATTAGTATTTTCTGTATCAGATGATGAAGTCAGAAAGAGTTTCATTCATTATTTCCGCAATTCCACAAAAAGAGTCTCATTAATCGCAAGCAAAGTTAAAAGAATTTCTCTTTCTCAACCAAAACGTGAATCATTAGCAGTTCTATCAAGAACTGACTTAATGGCCGAAAATTTCAATCTCGAAGAATACGTAAAGAGCTATGACTTCGCTCTCGAAAACAAAGATACACAAAATGGACAACTAAACTACGCAAAACTTTGCGCAAAATTCCTTTCAATATCTCATCAACAGATTGAATCTGCAATAAAGCAAGGAACAGATGTTAAAAGCATCGAAGGTCTTACAATCCAGGAAATATGCCAGCTTGAACGTCCAATGGCAGAGAAAAGAATATCCTCTCTCGCTTGGATTGCTTCTCAACAAATTGAGTATTTATATGTTCCTCTTCTTTCTTTGTTCACAACAAGAGGAAGGACATTTCTTGTTTCAGTTGACATGTTCCATCCAAGAACTAAATTGAGTGCTGGAAGTAATATCAAACTTTTACATTTAAAGATGCAACTTGGAATTACAGATGATATCCTTCAGAGATTTAACATCTGCGAAGATAAGAAAGGTCGTCTTTGGATTTTAGATGCTTCTTCGCTCTATGATATGTATGAATCAGATGATACAATTTCAAACTTTTCCAAGGAATTGGATAACATGGAATATTTCATTTACGATTCTGTTACACTCAATGCACAACTTAAAAGAATGCACATTTTAACACAACATCTTCCAAAAATCGCAAATCAATTAACAAATCCAATGATAAAGAAAGTTATCGAGACAGAAATGATAGCAAGATTATGCATGAACATCTTCAATTCTTCGTATGATCAATCAAAAGACTGGAAAGCTCAGATTGTTGACTTATTTAACAAAGTATTACTTGATGAAACAACATATTGGAATAGTACACTTGCACAAAACATGCTTGACACGTTTAGCTACACAATTCCTCCAAAAGTTACGATTCCAAGATTTGAATTATTTATTGCTTTGCAAAACACTCTTGGTGTTGACTTTTCTGAATCAAAGGATTACAAATTTGATACACCACTCGATGAATCACAAATTATGTTCGAGCAAGTTGTTCCAAATCATCAATTACTTGAACTTTGTTATTCAGTTCGCCCAATCAACAAAAATGAGTTCAGTTTATTCTGCGACATGAAATATGAAGAATGCTGTGCATCTTTGAACGAAAGAACCTCAGTCATACAAACTTTGTACGGAGAACAGAATCCGATGATCTCCACAATCATGGGAATTCTCACAATTTGCTATTGCTTTGCAGGAAATCTAAAATTTGCAAAGCTTTGTTTCGAGACATGCAAATCAACACATCGTGAGATCAGTCCAATCATTGGCTTGGCAACAGTTTCTCTGGAGAACTATGATCAAGGAGCCCATCTCATTTCTTATTGTCTTGGTGAGAATCATTGGTTTGAAGGATTGTTTTATCATTCTGCAACGATTATTGAATACAGAGCAGGAAATTATGATCATTCACTTCAACTGACAACTCAAGCAAAGAACTTTTACGGATCATTTAATAAGTTATCCACATCTTTGCAGTTTTTAGTTGGAAAGATATTACTTGCTCAAGGAAAATTGAAAGAACTTAAGACATTTGTTGAATCAGAAATGAAAGATACTCCTTTCAAATATTTGCTTCAATCACAAATTTTATACAATGACAAATTCTATGAAGAATCTCTTAATTTGGCAAAACAAGCCTACCAGAAGTTTTGTTATTATTCAGATGAATTCATTGCCTACGAGAATATCCAAATTCTTGCAAATAATTTTGATGTTTTATGCGATTTTGATAATGCATTTGTTTTCTACAACATATTATTTACAAGAGATTTCTCTGGAGAAAATGAAAACAAATCTCCTTCGTGTCGCATCATTGCAAAGAATATCATTAGATTATTCTTTAAGTCAATGGCAATCAACAATGCTAACCAAGTTGCTTCAATAAGACAACAAGCATTAAATGAAGAATTCCCTGGTACTGACAAACTTCTTGATGAAATTTGTGCAAACGGACCAGTTGAATATCTTAAATCTGCAAAGCCAGACGCCTATCCAAAGATCTACAAACTCATTCTCTAATCCTCTTTTCTTTTATCCATGTTAATCTATCTTTTATATTAAATAGTATTTTTGTTTTATATAAAATTACAACAATATGTTTTTTTTTATTATTATATACAACAAACAAAATAAAAATTAAATTCCGAATTGAGCCTTTCTGGCTCCCATACGAACCTGATGACTTACAGCAGCTATATCTTTTCGTATCTTACTGTTTTCATTTCGAACTTCATCTAAAAGCTCTTCTTTCTTCCTTAATTCCATCTTGAGAATACTTCTCTTTTTCTCTAACTCTTCTCCATTCTTTTGCTCTTCGCCAAGTATTTCGTAATCTTGATCATTTTGAACTGGAGAAGGCATCATATCTATCTCTTTCATGGTCTCATGCAGCTGCTGCTCATTGCTCTGCTCTAAGTTATGTGCAGCTTTTCTGAGAATCTGCATTCTTTTCTGTGTTTCTGTTAAATGTCCACTCAACATCAAAATCTTATGATTGTGCTGCTGAGCTAATGAAGCAAGTTCTTTTTCGTACTGCTTATCTATATGTTCGAGCGCATTCTTACGATCGTTGAGAGCTGTAATGTGTTCTTTTTCCATATCTTCAATTTGTGCAACACATTCTTGTAATTTGGCTCTCGACATTAGTAAATTGTTAGCACGTTCATTATTACATTTCTGAGCATAGGATCTTAGCTGAAGAATAACTCCGTTGTTAATAGTATTGCAGTGGTCTTTAGTTTCAATATCTAGATTATCTTTTTTACGATTTGTACGAGATAATGTTGCAGCATTAACATCAATTGTATTTCGAAGCATTTCTATCTCTTTTTCAACTGATTTATAAGATCTTTCCAATCTTCCATCAATGAGATTTGAAATATTTTCAAGTTTTGTTCCAAATTCATCTTGTATTCGGTTAATTTCGTTTTCTTGTTCTTCTCTTAGCTTCTGTATAAATAATTGATGATTTAATGTCATTTGAGAAAGCCTCATTTGATGATCTACTTGCATTCTTCGCTTTTCTCCATCCTTTATTTGAGTGAGAGAATCTATTTTTCCTTGAATTCTTTCTAATTCTTTTTCTTTTCTTACAATCTCTGATTTATACTGAGTTAAAACTTCTGAAAATCGCTCAATTTCATCATCAGCAATACTAATTTTTTGCTGGATACGGAATTGAATATTTTTAACCTGGCGTTCAAGAGCGAAAGGTGCTGCTTTGCTCATTGTTGCCGTTTAAAAATTCGAAAATCATCAAAGAGATATAATAATGAGATGTTAACACACATATATAAATTAAGTATAGTGTATCTAAGATATTTATTAAATCATAATGGCTATATATTGAATTGCTCAACATTATGAAAGCACAATTTTGAAATTATTGCCTTATCGCAATAAGACATAGCCCATTTAAGTTATTGATAGAATGATTGGCGTATTTGCCAAATTTTCCATTTTCAAATAAATATAAAAGTGACGAAAATTTTAATTAAAAAGAAATGGGTATTTCAACATGTCTATACAAGATGATGGAAAAGAAATGGTTTGTAATGATAATGTGGCAAGTATGCGCCATAATGAATGTTAGTGGCGCATCATTTGTCACACTTATGAATAATTTGAACGGAAGAACGATGCCATTCTTCCAACTCGCATTAACATACACAACTCTGCTCCTCGTCCATTTTAAATTCGCCCCAAAAACATCAATGCCATGGATTAAATACTTTATTGTCTCAGTACTAAATTTTGGCGGTGATGTTACAGCTATTTATGCATATACAATGACTTCATTGTCATCTTCTATGCTTTTAGTTACGACTGTAATCTTTTGGGTTGCACCAATTAGTTACTTTTTCCTGAAAAGAGATATTTCTTGGCAGCAAGTACTTTCAATCTTTATTGGCGTTACAGGCATCGTTTTAGTATTCGTTGCTGATGGAATTGGCGATACCCATTGGCAAGGAAATGTTCTTGCTCTTGCTTCTGCTTTTTGTTACGCAATTGCCAACATTTTACAAGAAGTTTTAGTATTTGAGAATACAATTTCAACATTCTTATTCAGATTTTCATTATGTACAGCTCCTGTTGCTACAATTGTTACAGGTTCGGTTGAATGGAAACAAATTTATACGTATCATTGGAGCTGGCAGATAATTTGCTTGCTAATAGGCTATGTAATAATTCTGTCACTATATTATAGCTTAGTTCCTTTTGTTCTTCAACATTCCAGCGCTACTGAGATGAATATCTCGTTTTTATCAAATAACTTTTACTCTCTTGCCCTATCCATACTATTTTTCGGACAGAAAGCTTCCTGGCTCTATTTGATCGGATTTATTTGCATTCCAATCGCAATTATTATTTTCTGCGTTTGGGCACCCGAAGAAAAATACAGAAATGCAGGACCACAATATTCTGACAATCCACATTACGAATTTTCCCAGAAATACATCGATAATACAAAACTTGTTAATTAATTTGATTTTTAACTATTACCATTATACAGCATCGTTTACCATGATATTTATGATAACTTTATGCTTTATACATATATTGTTTTTATTTAATATATGTATAATTATACCGAAGATGAAAAGAAGTCAGATTCTGATAGATTAAAAATTAAATTGCAAGCACAAACTCGAAGAACTCATCGCTAACGATAAGCTCAACAACCACGTAATGCAACTCGTTCGTGATTCCCACAGAATATAATTCTTTAATGCTCATTTTTAAGTAAAAATGATCTTTATTTTTAAAATTATGTCTTTTTGAGAGTTCAAATTAAATTTAGATAATAAAAGCAACGAAATTGAAACAAAATACTTCAAGTATAGCTTTGAGACAATATGGAAGTATGATGTACATCTTGAATTCATTGAAAGATGGAGTAGGTGCCAAAAGTGCTTACTCTTAAACAACCGTCGGATTTCCGGGTGAAATCGTGACACACTTTCGTCTTTCGTAGGCGGTGGTGGTTGTTACAAAAGGTAACTTCGAATGTAGCGTGAAATCTGCAAAAAAAATTCTGAAATTTGAATGGATAACACAAAAATTGAATAGTTTACGTCAATAAAAAAGAGAAAAATAAAGCCAATGTGTCTCGAACCTAGGACTTAGAGCAGCAATCCCACTGTTTATCAAATTACACTACATGCATCTCTCACCTCAGTGAATGAGATCAACTATATGATAACTTTTTCCCCATTATATTCTTGTGGAAAAGTGACAAATAGCAACTTTGACCCTCTCTCTTGAAAGATGCTCGTTTTGAAATGGCCGGGTAAATTACGAGGATTTCGATAATTTTTTTTGTGAAATGAATTGAAAAATACACTTGAAGTAATATTACTCCAAGTCTAATAAAATTGTGTGATCGGATCTTTGAATAGTTTACATAAATTTATGAGAAAACTCTTGATTATCTTCCTATCCATTATTACTATTCTCTCATTGTTCTTAGCATACGTTATAGATAGCTCATGTGTTGTTAAACCAGGATTCACAATCCATAATTTAGATCCAAACAAAAGTATTTTATCTAAATTTGTACAATTTTGCATCTATGCATTAAATTTCAAACCCGAACTCGATGGTATAATCAAGAAGGGAGTATTTGATGATACTCCAGAAAGAGTTCCATTTTATATGGTTCGAAAATTAAACATTAATTACACAAAGTTCGAAGACAGACATTATTGGATATTACAACCAAAGACAGGTGCTACTGATAAAGTAGTATTTTACGTTCATGGAGGTGCTTACGTTCAAAATATGATTAGCTTCCAGTGGTTTATGGTTGGAGCTATTATTAGTCGTACAAATGCAACATTTATCATTCCAGATTACGATCTTGCACCAAGGTGGACATATACGAAGCTGTTTTCATTCATCAAAAACTTATATTTACATGTTTTGGAGAAAAACGCACCAGAGAAAGTATATCTTCTAGGAGATTCAGCAGGATCAGGATTTATACTTAGTTTCGCCATGTCTCTCAGAGATATGAAACTTCCTTTACCATCCAAGATATTTATGGTCTCACCATGGGTAGATTTATCAATGACAAATCAAGATTGCTATAAGAACGATAAAGTTGATACGATGACAAGTATTTCTGGTCTCATTCAAGCTGCTAAACTCTTTGCTGGAGATATTGATCTGAAAGATCCAAGAATCAGTCCACTTTATGGCAATTTACATAATTTACCAAATATCTCTATGTATGATGGTACTCATGATGTCTTAAATCCTGATGTCAGACTTTTGAGAGATAGATTCCAGAAAGAGAACATTCCTTTGAACTATTACGAGTTCCCACATATGTTCCATTGCTTCCCAGCTGTACCATTCCTTAGAGAAGCCAAAGTTGCAAATCAAAATATAGCAGATGCAATTTTGGAGTAGAAATATTAACTATAATAAAGACTATTTGTGAGATAACTTAAAAATTTCCTATCTATTTTGCTATATCTATTTTATTTTTCTGAATTTTATTCCATTTCAATGAAATTCAAAATTCTATGGAGGAATATATATGCACAAGATTAACATAGACTTTCGTAAGTATAAATTTATGAGATGTTTCTTAATTTGCTGTATCAATTTAGATGAATGATTTGATTATCATGAAATTTAATAAATCAAAGCACTACATGCGGTAAAAACTCAAGAATTTCATATGTATGTACAGAATATGTTAGAGAAAGCTCAAGAGATTTAAAATTAGCCAGGTGAAAATTTAATAACGTGCGTAAGAAAAAATGAGTCAGGATCTCCATGAGGAAGAGGAAGAGCAAATACCAATGATTACACCAAAAGCTATTATGGACTCATGTGTTAAAAACCAGCTTTATACAATCCCAGAGCTCAACGATGTTCTTTATTTGCATTTCAGTGGCTACCAAAAAATCGCTAACTTAGAGCCATATGTAAATTTGACATCAATATGGCTTAACAACAACGCTATTTATGAAATTGAAGGATTAGATACACTTACAAATCTTGTCTGCTTATATCTTCAAGGAAATGTTATCCAAGAAATCAAAGGACTTGAGAAACTCGTTAATCTCGAAACATTAGTTCTTTCTCATAACTACATTTCAAAGATTACAGGACTTGAACATTGCCCAAAGTTACATACGCTTGAAATCGATCACAACAGGCTCAAAGATGCTGCAAGTATCGAGGGACTGTTAGCTGTCAAAGATTCAATTGGTGTTTTGAACTTGGCTGATAATAAATTCGAAGATGAATCTTTATTTGAAGTTATATTCAAACTTCCTAACTTAGGAGTTCTCAAATTAGAAGGAAATGAGATTGCTCGTACAATGAGTGGCTACCGTAGAAAGATTATTACTACATTAACAAATCTAAATTATTTAGATTCACAACCAGTTACAGCTCAAGAGCGCCGTATAGCTATTGTATATCTAGCTAATGGCCCAAGTGCTGCAATGCAGGAGCGAATAAAGATTAAAGCGGAAAAAGAAGCCGAAGATGAAAGAAACAGAAAACAGCAGAGAAGAATTTATCGTGAAACAGCCAGGAAACAAGGTATTGATATCAGTCATGACAGATTCTTCCTCTCTAGCGATGATGAACTTCCAGAAGATCATGAAGGAGAAGAAAATCTCGGAAAAGGTGAATTAGAAAAGATAAAGATTGAACAGGAAAAGGCTGAAGAGGAAGATAAAGATTCCAGTGATGATTTCGTCATGTCCGAAGAGAAAGCAGAAGAAAAATTCGTAAAAGAACAACCATTAATCCAAGAAATTCCAAATGAGCCAATAATTCATGAAGAAATAGAACAAGAATACGAACAAGTAGGTGGTGAAGATGAAAAGAAGTCAGATTCTGATAGTGAAGATATTTTTGCATTAGATTAAAATTTCAAATTGTTTTTAATAATCTTTTCTATGCATTTGCTTATGAGTATTGTGAGCATATATGAATTTATAGGACTTGGCTCAAGATTCGATTTCTGTGGAATGGGGAAATTGAAATTGCTTCGGAGTTGTACGTTTTTTGTTATTCACAGACAGCAAGCCACATTCATCATAAAGAATTAAAGCTAGGGGACTCAACTTTTTTAGAACTAGACGTTAAAAAAGTGACAAGATTTTTGATTCGGAATTCGAAAAAAAATGTATGCAACACCTTCACTTCAAGGGAAACCCCTTCAATCACTCCATTTAACAGAAGATGGAGTTCCAGCATTTGTACCAGAATGCACAAGTTTCATCAAAAAGTTTGCAAAAACAGTTGGAGTTTTCAGAATTAATGGAAACAAATATTATATTGAGGAATTATACCATGTATTAAATCACAAAGAAGTAGCTATTCCTCCATGCTGTCAAGTCCATGACGTTTCTGGATTTTTGAAGAACTGGTTGATGAACATACCGGAACCAATTCTTATTCCGGAAGTATTCAATCAATATTACGTAGAGCTTAGAGAAGAATCTATTTACGATGTAATTAAAAATCTCCCTCAAATTAATAGGAAATGCTTAGCTTACATCTTTTCTGCAATAAATGAAGTATTCATCAATGCTCACGTGAACCAAATGTCTATGGCTAATATATCTACTTGTTTCCAAACTTGTTTAACTCAGGATTCTACCAGATTTCACAACCATGTACCATTTCCAAAGATTTTTCAGCCATGCGTTAAAATACTTAATGAAACTGGATCTGACTTTGATATTCCGGATATGTAAATAATTTATTGTTTTTATAATAGGGAAAGTTTGCTATATTATGATCATGATAATGGTTTGTCTTTTCCATATAAACATGATAATAATTGGAATTTCTATGCTAGCGAAATATTTTTTTTTAAAGTAATACTTATGATCAATTGTATTGAAATATCATATCTATCACAATCTACCGGGATTGTTACATTGTGAAATAGTGTCTGTAAGAAAAATAAGCAATTGGAATTTCACAAATATTAATTTCTTTACGTTAGCATGGAATTCATATAAATATAAGTTTCAGTTCCAGAGTTATAACAATTTTCTTTAAAAAACTAGCTAATTTACTCCGTTTTGTTTTTTGATAATACTGAATTCGCAGAGATAACTATTCATTTTTAATGATCTGCCATGACAAAGCATTAACATGACGAATGGAGCACTAAAATGCATTATCGGTTAAGGTTCTTATCAAAAAAATTACTTCTTTGTGTATCCGAAATAACGGATAAAGAATGAATTCACTTTGAGAAGATGAAAATTTTATTGATGACATAGTGTTCATTACAATAATTTGGAAAAATTTGGATAAATCTGTTATCCACAATTTTAAGGTTTAATCTTACATTTAACGGAATTAATATCTAAATTTTAAACAGATACTTAAATTTTATATAAAATAATCTTGAAAAGTAAGTTAATTTGTAGATACATTCAAATTATCTTTGAAATCTTTGAATCTGATTTTGTTCCGCCTTTTTTCGTAAATAAGGTTGTAAAATTTAAGTAGATCAAATATCTTAACTGAGAACCCCAATTTATGTCAGATTTTCCGACGATAATCCTTTATATAGAATCTGTAATCAAATATATGCATATGCTGAAGTTGATTAAAATTGCTATTGTTAATATTTTGAATGAACTCAGAAAATATATATTAAATGTGATCAAACATCACTTTTTTATATTGAACTATTATATTCTTAGATCACTTGCAAATAATTATAATCATTCAAGTAATTCAATGTGATTCAAAAATAAAAGTGGCTATCAAATAATGATGATTTGTTTTTACTTTAATTTCTTAATCAGAGCAACTCATGCCTTATATCATCCAAATCTTGTAGAAAAGGATAGCGGAGATCTCTTTGTAAAGGGCATTTCAGAATCGACTTCTGATTTATTTGAATTTCATGAACAGTCAACAACTATTCAAGATAAAGAAATCAGTCATTCAGGAAGAAATCAGACGTTTTATAAATGCGAAATTACAATTACGGGCCGTACAAAATTTTTAAATAACTTCGCTTTCGGTGCAGGCGTTACATCAGGCTCAGGTGGAGCTATTAACATATTGGAAAGTATATTTCAAGCACATTCAGATTCACCTGATTACCAAATCATTTTTGAATCTAACAAAGCGTCTGTAGGTGGAGCTATTTGCTCTGTTTCATCCGCAATGTTATTATATAACTCGACATTTACCAGTAATATGGCTTACAAGAATGGTGGCGCTATCTATTTCCAATCGGAATTTAATCCAACAGATGGAAGCTACCTTTCTCCCAAAATTACGCTTATAGGCGGTTGGCTTGAGTTTAGGCAAAATATCGCTTCAGAAGTTGGTGGAGCCATTGCAATTTCATATGCAGTGGAAGTTTACATTGAACTTTCAAAGTTCTACAGCAACAAGTGCAGTTTCACAGGTGGAGCAATATCATCTGCTAACTGTGATTCTCTTAAACTCTTCAGAAGCTGGTTTGCTTATAACGTTGTTGATGCATCGACTCCAGAATACCGTTTAACTACAGATACTAAAACTAAATTACGCGGCGAGACCATGAGTAAAGATTACCCCAATAAAGTTAACTCCAATCATGAATTGGGAAGAGGAGGTGGTGCAATTTACTTCTACTCTGACTCCAGGAAAGGTTCTACACCAACAGGTGCAAAGACTTACGAGATGCGTTCTCTTCGATCATACCACACCTGTTTCTACAAAGACTCAGCAACAACAACCGGATCATCTTTGGGAGGAGGTGCCGGTAATGAAGTTCTTCTTGATGGCTACCTTGAATACGTCACATATGATGACTACATGTACGGAGCTGTCCCAGAAGTAGAAAGAGATGAAGCAATTTCAAAGGTTAAACGTCCTTTGAAAGGAAACTGTTCCGTCAATTATCTTCAGATGAGAAATACAACAAGAGAACCATGGGGTATTTGCGAAGTCATTACAACAGATTTACCAGGAATTGGAGATGCTCCTTCAGTTTATAACGAAACAAACATTTCCTACATCGTTGGCACACCTACAGTGAATGGAACAGCAGCTGGAGTTCCAAGTCCAACAAAGTTTGTTTATGATGCAACACCTATTACTAAGGTTCCAGGTCCAACAACAGAAAAGAGGTATCCAACAGCTCAGACACAGCTTGGTCCTTCATTGAAGTCAGGAAAGATATTCCCAGGTTCTTATTCAGTACCTTTGTTTTATCCTAACTTCACAATTACAATTCCTAAGCCAACGCCTCATGAAACAGCTGCTTCTACACCACATAGTACACCTAGACATACATTCTCACCTTCAGCAACTCCTATTATTATCAAAGTTCAAGCAACACTTGAAGCAAAACTTCCTGAAGCCCAAGGAAATTCCTCTACTATAAAAAAGGATAATAAATTAATAGCAATTATGCTGGTGCTGTCGCTGGTTTAATTGCTCTGATTGCCTTAATTGTATTCTTTACTTATTACTTTATGAGAAAGGATGAAGTAAGTGACGATTCAGCTATCTCACTTCAGGAAGAAACAGTCCTTCATGCAGATGAAATGGCGACAACTGACTTCAAAATTTCACTTAATAATGATTCAATTGTTGCAACAGAAGGCCCTGCTGAGAATTCTAGAGCTGATCCATTCGGAAAGATTTCATGGAACAAGATATGGTTGAAGACTTCTTCGCACAGAAGGATCTCCGTGAATTTTAACTTCGAATTTTATATTTTTAGTTTAGTTTTATATGAAATGCGATTAAATAATTTATTTTTGTGAATGGTCATTGAAAAAATTGAATAATTTATTTTTTAAATATATGACAACTGAACAAAAGAGAACTATTTTCCCAAAGAAAATGTTCTCTACCACTCATAATGCACTACCTGTTCAGTCTAAGATCGAATCTGCTATTCCATTTTGGACTGCAATTGCAACAAAAAATGAATTATATCATACAGTTTCAGTTTTCATATATTTCATGATGCCTGACAATACAGCAATTTACGAGTGGTTCCGTGTTCAAGAACCTATCTCAAAATTATACGATTTTGTTGCCTATTTTTTGGGTAAAGAGAGAGAATTTGACCTTAAAGTAACAGGTGAAGTTTTAGACAGAAACAATATAATCAATGATATTAAAAAAATAGAAAATACGGAAATAATCGAAATTCAAGTTGTAAATCGTTAAATTTCACTCGAATTTTAATGTTAAATTTGCTAGCATATACACAGAGCTATGTTTACAATATTTAAATCTACGTTTCAAATGTAATTTTCAATACGATTATCGGTTAGATGAATTAATACTAGTAACTAGTTCTTGTTAATGCACACTATACTAGTGTCTTACCATTAGTCTCATTAACTCAGTTAATATTGTTATGAAATCAATTCATCGATTTTTCGTTTTCTTTTCTGCTTCATAATGATAACATCGAATTATCCTAATCTATAATTAGTTAACATTGTACAAAAGATACTTTTTCTTTAATAAATTAATATTTATTTCCTTTATCTATTTTTTTCCCATGCACAATCAATAATATCACAAAAAGTTCTCATATAGTATATGAATTTGAGTAAGACTATCTTACTAAATCAGACGATTTCAATAAATGAAACGTTGAAATAGACTTTCAAGAGCATTTCAATGAGATATACTATATTAGAATTTATAAAAAGTTCTGTGTTATCCTAAAGATGTGTTTTCACATCATAATTCTGCAATAATAAAACATATAAACATATATTTTTTTTAAATATAACAAACAAAACAATACTTTTATTAACTTTCCCATATACTACTTTCAATTTCAGCCCACTTTGAATCAGGAAACAAATTAGTGATATTCATCACAGGAACTGGTAATTTATTAAAGTACGGATGGCGCAGGGCATCGTGGGCACTAATTCTATTTGCTGGGTTTAGTGTTAGCATAGATCTCAAAAGATCTTTTGCAGTTTGATCAATATTACTAAATTTCATGTCAAAAGTACTTTGAAATGGTCTATAATTTAACTGTTGGAATGGTATAAGAAAATTACTCTGATATTGAGGCAAATCTGATGGTCTAAAATTCCCCATCACTCGTAAAATCGATTCCATTTGAACGTCACAAAATTCGTTACTATTTTCATTCTTAGCTTTAGAGCGAAACAATATTTCGCCCGTTAATAGCTCCGCAAATATACATCCTGCAGCCCACATATCAACTGCTGTTGTATAGTGTTTGTCATCGAGTAAAAGCTCCGGAGATCTGTACCATATTGTGACTACAAACGTATTTTCCTCTTGATTCTTCCATTCTGCAGTTCTTGATAATCCAAAATCGATTAATTTAAGAATTCCTGGTCGCTCGTATGCTTTCGGCATTATAATTAAATTGGATGGCGTAAGATCACAGTGTATGATTCCATGGCTATGGAGATGATTCAATGCCAGTAATAATTGAAACAGAATTGATTTTGCAACAATTTCTGAAGGAGATCTATTTAAATATTTAGTTTGTAGTTTATATACGTCAATTGCACCAAATTCATAGTTGAAATGAATGCTATAATTCGAATTAATTCCTTGAATTGAAACCTTTTGCGCATGAATAATATGAATATATTTAGGTTCGCTTAGGAGACATATTTCTCGAATTATGACAGATGGAATTGGTTTTTCTGGTTGAATCGGTTTTGATTTTTTTACGGAAATAGCATCACCCTTTTCGTCAATAAATCTGTATGCTTCGCCGTATGTTCCACTTCCTACCAACTTCTCAGATTTTAAATTGCGTACGTTCATCATGAGAGTCGAAAGGAAATATTGGCAAATTTTAGACGAGTTCAAATTTTTCCGAAGCTCGCTCTTATTATAAAAAGATCGTAAAAGTCATTGAGAACTGCAAGGCAAGAAAGCAGTGAATGATTGAAAGCTACCGATTGTTTCCTTCTTCGTTAGTTCGACGAAAATTTCCCATCATTTTAGTCATATGAGTATTATAAGAATTCTTTCTTTAAGGAATGCATATATATCCATAAAATTATTCAAGCATTACGAGTTCATAGTCAGAGCATTTCTTTGATGTATTTGATCATTTACAATTACGAATAATCAATAAGCAAAGTATAAATCGCATCAATAAGAGTATTGGAATTAGAATATCATCATGACTATGCAATGCATGGATAATATCAAAATTATTTATCTCATCTGGACATAAATCTAAACTCCAAAATGAGAAAGATCCAAAAGAAGCGAATTTGAGGACTGTATGCAGAATTTATTCCTCGCTCGATATATATATATAGAAAGGGAAGAATATATTGTCATGGATATAGAAGTCATACAACTTTTTCAAAAATATATGTACATAATGAAATCATTCTCAAGCAGTTATAATGAAAAGAACAGTATTTTATAGCTTATATTTTCATTATTTGCTCCAACCTTACGATTCGTCGATTCATATACCTGTTTCATGCGCTTTGTCACCATATGTAAATCTCAAAGCGAACTTTTCTATCTCTCCAAATCAAAAATTCACGAGTATGATAGAAAATAAACATTATGCATAATGGTAATTAAAAATCTTATAGTCTATCATTTCCTAAGATAATGGTTAAATAAGAGTTCTTATTAAATGAAAATTGACCGAATATGAACTCATTATTTTAATAAAATCCATGTTCCTTGCCGAGGGAATTCATATGCAGCATACATTGTTGTAAACAGAAATTCATCAAAAGTGACACCTCAGAAAAGCTAAAATATTGAATTTTTGGAACTTTTGATAGAGCACGTTTTTAAATATTAATTAAAGTAAATGTATATTTTGTAAAGATTCTTTTTAATAAAAAAATAAAATTTTGAAGAAGAACACAAAATCTTCTGAAAAATAATATCACATAAACTCATATTATTTTCTAATATATAACTATTTTATATAAAAATCAAATTCAATGATCTTAAAAGCGAAGGATAAACCTCAAAATTTACGAATATAATGAGTGGGAATATAATGCTTATCTATCATAAAACCATATGAAATATCAATTTTTGCTTTACGCCTAATTTTTGACGACAATTAGCAAAAAATGTTAAATGTTAACACTCAGTCCATTTGAATATGAAAAATAAAATTGACTTTGATTAAATGTTTTTATTTATCATGCAATTCTTCTTGCGACCAAAGATTTGAATAAAAGTTCAAAAAATAAGATAGCTTAAAAAATAATATACGGTAGTGTTTACTAATAGATGAATAGTATATAAATTCTATTAAAATGGATTTGATCCAAAAAAATATAAAACCAAAAATAATTGTTATAATTTAAATGAAGAAGTAATTTAAAACGATTTTATTTATGATCAAATTTTATATATTTTTTTGGATCAAATCCATTTTAATAGAATTTATATACTATTCATCTATTAGTAAACACTACCGTATATTATTTTTTAAGCTATCTTATTTTTTGAACTTTTATTCAAATCTTTGGTCGCAAGAAGAATTGCATGATAAATAAAAACATTTAATCAAAGTCAATTTTATTTTTCATATTCAAATGGACTGAGTGTTAACATTTAACATTTTTTGCTAATTGTCGTCAAAAATTAGGCGTAAAGCAAAAATTGATATTTCATATGGTTTTGATAGATAAGCATTATATTCCCACTCATTATATTCGTAAATTTTGAGGTTTATCCTTCGCTTTTAAGATCATTGAATTTGATTTTTATATAAAATAGTTATATATTAGAAAATAATATGAGTTTATGTGATATTATTTTTCAGAAGATTTCATTCTATATGCCTATGAAAAGTACTCTCAAAACTAACTTTTTCCTAATTATAATTAAATCTCGAATACTGTATTATGCTTAGTATTATTTCATTTTTCTCATTCAATTTAGAATTTACAAATGTCAAAAAATTGAGAGCTGTCACTTTTGATGAATTTCTGTTTATTACAACATGAAGCGTACTCTGCGTCCCCCGCTTCATGGCATAATTAAATTTGATATTTAAAAATTGAATAAAAATTAAATACTTTGTAGGGTGATTAACCTTATCAATTTTTAAAATAACCGTTTCTTCCTTCTCAAATTTAATAATGATTGTTGATAATTTATATCATAAGAAAGTAATGAACAAAAATGAAGCTGAACCAGGCCATCATCATACACATTCAGAACATAACGAAAGCGATACAACGGTTGGCCTACTAGAACCAGAGAACTGCGAACAATTTTTACAGGTCGCCGAAAAAAATAATCATTTTCATGTTCATGACCACGACCATCACCATGATCATGATCACGACCATAACCACGCTGCTGAGGGTGTAACATGGCGCTTAATTCTTATGATTAGCTTGACTGGTATATTTTTCTTTGCTGAATTAATCACTGGAATTATAACCAAATCATTATCACTTCAGTCTGATGCTTGGCATATGCTTTCAGATGAGATGTCGCTAATTATCGGTCTTGTTGCTCACGAAAAAGCAAAGAAACCTCCAACAAAGAAATATACTTTCAGTCTTGCACGTGCTGAAGTTATTGGAGGATTCACAAACGCTATTTTCTTGCTTGCTGTTTGCATGACAATTCTATTTGAAGCAATCGAAAGATTTATTAAAGTAGAAGAAATCGTCGAACCCAAAGCATTCTTAATCGTCGGTATCCTCGGCCTTCTCGTTAACGCTATCGGCATTTTCATTTTCCATGATCACCATCATTCGGATAATATTCAAGGAATATTTTTACATATCATTGGCGATCTTCTTGGATCAGTCGCTGTAGTTATTTCAGCTGCTGTTTGCCAATGGACTACATGGAATGGACGTTTCTATTTAGATCCTGCTTGTTCAATCTTTATCTTCATCATTTTAGTTTATGGATCTCAAGGATTATTACGTCGCACAGGTAGCATACTTCTTGAATCATGTCCTGAGTACATTGATGTCGAATTAATTAAAGCAGACTTGATGAAGATTGAAGGTATAGTTGCTGTTCATGAACTCCATGTTTGGGAGCTTTGCAAAGAAATATACTTAGCTCTACTTCATGTTGTTGTCGATTCTAAAGAAAGAAACAAGAAAGTTCTTGAACAATGCCATAATATAATGATCTCCCATGGTGTTTATTCAACAACAGTACAAATAGAATTCGTAGATGACTTCCCTCAAGGCACTGATAGCGTTGGTTCCTGCTTCTACGCAACATCTTTTGGAAGTGATAAAAGAATCTTCCAAACTCCTCCAGTTTACCAACATTCAATCGGTTGCCCACATGTGAACCTTCCTGGCCATGAACACGACCACGATCACGATGATCACGACCATGCACACTTGCACAGCCACAGCCATGATCATTTGCATAACGAAATGCAAGGTAATCTTCGGACACCTCTTAACGAATAAGAAATGTTATTGTTTTGCATATTAAATATTTTGTTTACTAGTTAATTATTTTTTTGGCTTTCATTATAAGAGAGAACATCATTACGATAGATATAGAAATTAAATTGCCCACCAAACATACCTTTATACCATTTGCATTTTTCAAAATTTAGAATTTCCATCAAAAATCTAGTCAAATAGGAGAATTTGACTCCAATAACAAGTTTTCGGAACGTATCTCATTATTGCAAATCTTTCAATTGCTGATAAGAGAATATTTGAATAAATTTTTATAAAAACACGTTAGCAATTTCAAAATTTCTATTTAAAATTTGCTGAATTCAATTTATTTTAAGTTCTGCATATGTAACCGAATATTTTCACTCGAATTTATGAATTGAATTGATAATGCTATTTTATAAATGTATTGTAGATCTGCGTTTAATTAATATTATTCCATTAAATCATTTTAATTAATGAATTGAAAGAGAGGAAAAAATTTAGACAAATTTAATTCAAAAGTCGTTCTCAAAAAGTTTAAAAATTTATCCTACTAATTAGGATTTATGGTTGTTTTCTGTATGCAGTTCAATAATATTTAGGTTCATTTAAATATCAGTCGCCACAATTTTTGTGTTGAATTTTAACGATATCAATAAAAAGTAGTATAATTATGTTTGATTCTTTATCCTTGAGTTCTCCAAGTTTGCGTATAAGCAATTTGGATGATCCTGATTTTGTCAATAGGCAATGTTTCCCTGTAATTGCTCAGCCAATTCGCAACGAGGACTTTTCTATTGACTTTATCAACGTACAACTCATACCAGAGATCAAAAATATTATCAAGCAAGACAAAAAGAACAAGTTTGAAACACTTCCAACATTAATTCGTTTAATTCTCGATAATTTTCCGGAAGATAGATCTTCGATCATCAGGAATGAAATCTTCTCTACAATCCAATCAACAATAAAATTTGGCGGTCCAAGAAAGGCCTCTGATTTAACCGAATTAGCCGTTGAAATTGCTTCTTCTATTCCGAAATACTACCGAGATGATATCATTTGCGAAATCATTTCTCACTTATATCAAGACGAAGATCAGAATACACGCAAGTTAGCAGTTCATTTGATATCAATTGTTCGCGATTTCTGGCGCGTACAACAATATTTTAAATTATTAGCTCGAGATAAGTCATCAGTTGTCAGAGGCACAGTTCTTACAATCCTTCCAAATTGCATGATTGACGATGATTCAATGAGAAATATTCTTATCCAGGCTGCAAACGATACACATCCAGGCGTAAGACAAGTTGCAGCGACCGTCATTGCAAAGGCATCACCACCTCTCTTAGATGAATACAAGAAACTACTTTCTAGCTCTATAACTGTTAGATACGCTTTTCCATCTTTACCGGAAATTGTAATGGCCACATCGTTTTCTCAGATCATCGACGCGTTCTTTGAAGCTATTAAGATCGATAGAAACGATGCTGCCGTTGCTTTACTCGAAACAGCAAGCAAAGCCGATATCAAATCAGAAGAACCACTTTACTTAAGAGCTGCATCAGAATTAGTTTCATTTACTCCATTCGCATGGAGATTGTATTCATTTGCACAGAATTTTACTAACCAAAGTGACTTTATCGAATTATTAGATCCATCTAACATTCCAGATTGGAGAACCAGATACGCCCTCCTCAAACAATGCGAGGAATTCATTCCATTCTCTCGGAAACCAATTAGTCAGACTCGCAGAAATTTATTCCGAAGATCAAACAGCAATTATCAGGAATGAAAGCGCAAATCTTTGGGCCATGTTGGTCAACTCTGATAATTCATTGATCAAATGCATGGAAGAGAGACTTATGCGTGGATCTTGGCATAAGAGACTTGTTTTATGCAAAGTCATCAAGCAAGTCGGTATTTCCATCTTTTCTAATGAGCTTGTGAACAAGCTTAAGAACGATGAGATATGCAACGTGAGAGATTGCATCAATTTATAATTTTTTAATTGTTTTTTATTTTTCTTGTTTGTAAATTTATTTGTTTATATAATCGTTTTGATTTTTTCACATATACAAGCCATGTTATCGTAACAATAAGAATAAAATTATCTAAATTTCAATCTTATCTCTCTTCAATGGCTAGAGAATTGTTTGTATTTGCTTAACATCATGTGGAACTTCTTGGCTCATTGAATACTCAATAAAATATAATTAATTTCAAATGAGATATCAATTCGCATATCAATCTGATGTATGAAAAAGTTATTAATAACTTGACAAATCATTACAAAACATTTATTCATATGCTTTTGTAATTATAAGATCATCCCTTGATAACGCCCATTGGAACGAGGCGTGCAACCTTGTGTGAGATACCAACTGTCTCGCATGCATCGATAACCTGCTCGATGTCCTTGTATGCGTCTGGAGACTCATCCTGAATTGTTTGCTTGTCTGCTGCCTTGAGGAAGACACCATGTGAAGCAAGATCATTCTGTACCTTCTCGAGAGGAATTGTCTTGAGTGCCTTTGAACGAGACATGAGACGTCCTGCACCGTGGCATGTTGATCCGAATGCACACTTCATTGACTCATCTGTTCCGACGAGAACATATGATGCTGTTCCCATTGATCCACCAATGAGGATTGGCTGGCCGATCGAGCGGTACTTCTCTGGGATCTCCTCACGGCCTGGACCAAATGCACGTGTGGCACCCTTACGGTGGACGATTTACTCCTTCTCAACACCGTCGATGTTGTGCTTCTCGACCTTTGCGATGTTGTGTGCAACGTCATAGACGAGGTGTGTCTCTAATTTGCGGTCCTTGAAGACATCAGAGAATGCGCGGCGAACGTTGTGCATGATTACCTGACGGTTGCACCAAGCGAAGTTTGCAGCTGCGTACATTGCACGCAAGTACTTCTGGCTTTCCTCAGAGTGGAAAGATGGTGCAGCAAGCTGCTTGTCTGGGAGTGATTCCTTGACAAACTTCTCTGAGCATACTTTCATGTTCTCATCTGCAACCTGGTGACCTAAGCCACGAGATCCTGTGTGGATCATGACAACAACTTGTCCCTCGTGAAGATCCATCACGCGTGCTTTCTCCTCATCGAGGATCTTGTCGACACGCTGAACTTCGATGTAGTGGTTTCCTGCACCAACTGTGCCAAGCTGGCCTGTACCACGTGTAATTGTGCGGTCTGAGATCAAAGATGGATCAGCACCCTTGAGACAACCATTCTCTTCACAGTTGTCGATATCCTCTTGAACTGCGAAACCATTCTCAAGTGCCCAGCCAGCGCCCTTTAACATTACATCACGAAGATGGTCACGATCGCAGACGCCATCGAGCTTGCCACCAACGCCAACTGGGATGTACTCGTAGAGCTTCTCAACGAGTTCCTTCTTGACTGGCTCGACCTCTTCCCATGTTAAGTTTGTTGTCATCAAGCGGACACCACAGTTGATATCGTAGCCAACACCACCTGGAGAGATGAATGCATCTGGATCTGTTGTATCGAATGCTGCAACGCCACCAATTGAGAAACCATAACCAGAGTGCATATCTGGCATACCGAATGAGCCCTTTGTGATACCTGGAAGTGTAGCAACAAATGAAATCTGTAAGATTGATGGGAGACCCTGGTTACGGTTCGACATCCAGTTCTGAAGTTCATCGAATGCGTACTTTGCCATTTCGGGTGTTGAGTAGAAATAACCTGGAACCTTCATGTTTGGAACGAAACCAATTGGAATCTCGTAAACGCAAGGCTTGATTTCCTTGATAAGAGATGGATCTATAGCGAGATGCTGAAGATCGAACCACATTATTAAAATTGAAATTTTTATTTTGAAATTTTATTCTGCCGCATAAGTATTCAAAAAAATTTCAAAAGGTAAAAATTCCAGAACAATTTTCAAGATTGAGAGAACGATGAAAAAAGACTCACATCTTATGAATAGTTTACAAATATCATAATATTTTCGAAAAATTTTGTTCAATGTAAACTTTTCATTTTCTTTATACAGCATTTCGTGCAACATTAAATTTAAAATAGTTTCAGTATTTGGCGAAAAATTGAAACTAAAATTTTGGTAAAATTTCATTCAAAATTTCAATGTAAAAACTATTTTCATACAATCAAAAGAAATACAATATTATATAATTATTAAAAATTAAATATTTACATTTTCTTTGGATGAAATTTTGAATTTATGTTTTTGGATCAACATTTACGAATTCAACAGTTTTTGGTGATTCCTGTTTTGAAGGTTCTTGATTTTGTTCTTTCGGAGGTTCTTGGTCTTGTTGCTTAGGAGTTTCAGGGGTTTGTTGTTTTGGAGTTTCTGGTGTTTGCTTTGGTGCCTGGTTTTGCTTTGGAGAAGGAGGTGGAGGTGCATCATCATCTGAAGAGTTCTTTTCTTCAGAAACTTCTTCGATATCATTTGTCATTTGGATGCAAGTTTCTTTAGATCTCACAACATCCAAAAGTTTCTCAATCATCATATATTCTTTATCATAAGCTTCTACAAGTTTAAAGGCTTCGATAGCGATGATGTATTGGTACAAAACTTCAGGATGTCTCATTCTTTCTATCCACAAACCTTCATATGAATTGAGAACTCTTTCTCTCAAAACTTCACCAAATGTGAAAATGATCAAAATATAGATACCAATTATAGATGTTGCCATAACTCCTGATGAGAATACCTCACCAGCAGCAGGAACTTCTGATGAATACAACATGACTCTAATTGTTGGTGTTGCCAACAAAGAAGATGCTGATTCTCTATGAACAAAAGCAAATTTTCCTCTTGCTGTGAATTCCATACCGTAAATCTGGCTTTCAGATTTAGTTGGCATTATTGGATATGAATAGAAAGTCATCAACAAAACAGGCAATGAGAAATTGAACATGACAGTTCCGTTGTGAGAAAGATAGTTCTCATACAACATTGTCTTGTTTTGAAGTGACAATGTCTCATTAAACAACTGATATTTTTGTACAACATTTGGTGAAAATGAATCTGTTGTTCCTTTCAAGAAATTCAAGTTCAATGTATAAACAATCTCATAATCATTTGACTTGAAAATCGTGTCAATTGTTTCATTAGGAAGTTCAGGAACTAACTGACTTTCAAGCGGGAAATCTATGATATACATATTATCTGTTGGAATCGCTCTCAAATAATCGAATTCATCTGAATCCTTAATTAATTCATTCTGTTGTGCTGTTGTCATCGGCATAATGTGGGCGTAGCTCTTGTAAAGATATCCTGTTGAGCTCAATCCACATTCAAGAGATGCTGAATAAATTGAATTTGGTTCTGTGCTGATCTTAGATTTGATCAAGAAGAACATTGGACCAAACAAAACAATAATGATTAACAAGATAAAAATTGTTCCTATTAAACCACTTCTTTGGTGTTTGAGTTCTTCTTCTTTATGTCTGTGATTGTAGACCATTTGGTTCTCCAAATAAATCTTCAATTCGCTCATAACAAAGAACTTTCTGTATGAAACATAAGTTGTTTTTGACATCATTTAAATCTTACACATTTCTATTTCCTAATACCAGTAACCAATATTCTATTAATAATTGTAATAAAAATTGAGAATTTGCTCATAATTTTTTTAAAATTTTATTGTAATATGATTGAAGTTGTGATTAAATCATAAGATATCATTACTTAGCCACAGAAATATCATTTTTTGAGAGAAGATCTCTATTTTATGTAAAAAAACATGTGTTAAAAATTCAAAACAATAAATAAGTTTAATAAGTTAAATCTTATGAAGTAATTGCAGGAAAATATTTCATTCCTTAAAACCATTTCTTTTAAGAAGATCGACAATCTTTTGTGGTGCGAATTTTATTGCGGATTGGAGTGCAGTTTCATTATCTTTGTTTTTAACAGTTTTATTAATATTTGGCTGAGAAATCAAATATTCGCAAATTGCAACTTGATTTTCCGCTGCATATTTGATAGTATCATGAAGTGGCGTACAACCATCACTATTTTGATCATTAACATTAATGAAGTTAAGAGCGAATTTTACACCTTCTAGATTATCATATTGACAAAAGTAATGAAGAATTGTTCTTTCAGTATAAGATCTGCATCTAACATTTGCGCCACAATTAAACAATTGTTTTACAAGGGATAAATTATTTTTCCAAGCTGCAATAAGAACCAAATTTTTCTTTTTATCATCACAAATATCCGTGTATTTTTCATCAACTGCATATTTGATTGTTGAATAATCTTCTTCTTGTGATGCCTTTTCAAGGACATCATAAATCCGATTCAGATTATCTTTTGTCTTACTTAAACCTAATAATTTTCTCTTATTTTCATCGGAGTGATCAATATAATGGAGTCCTTGAGTGGTTGATATGTTGAACTTATTGGAGTATGTTGTCGACATAAAACTATTTAGATTAGAGAGTTGGAGTTTTGCTGGATTGACATTTCTTTGATAATAATTTGTATCTGAATATTGAAGCTTATTAGGAGTGCTTGCTGCAGTATAATTAGTTGCTTTTGAAAGTGATAGTTTATGGTGAATGGGTGAACGACTAAGAAGTGCTCGCTCGAAAACTTCTGTTGAGATAGACTCTAAACTATGGTTAACTGCAAAGTTTTTGATGGCTTTGATAGAATCTTGGTTACAAAATTCAACTCTGACATTATTAAGAATGCAAAAGAATGAATTATCATATTCGCTCAATGCAATGATTGTTCTGACTAAGGAATCTTCATTTATAATTTTCAGAGATTTTGATGCCAAAACTTGTTCAAAAAAGTCGTATCCATATCGTTTGAGAGCTCTAACTTTATATTCTTCTTGAAAATCATACATATTTGATGCAAAGAACGAAATACATTCATTTAATACTTTTTTATCGTTTTTAATCATTGCATAATCACAGGTGTCAAAAAAGTTTTCTTCCGTAATCCCATTGACTGATGATCTAGCGTACTCTTTAAACAAGTTTATCAAGAATTCTATACCGAGAACCTTGCCAACTTCGAATATATCTTGTCTATGTAATTGATCATTTTCAAATCTGAGAACACCAGTTGAAAAAAATTCGGAAATAATGTCGATTGTATTATTGCATGATAGGTTCAAATATACACTTACTGAATTAACTGTACTATCTTGTAAATATTCATCATGAACTAATTTTGAAACCAGGATTGAAACTTGCTTTGGTAACTCTACTTTCACATCATTGATGAAGAAATAAAATGGCTCTCTATTTTTAATATCATTACCCCAATCGATAATTAAGTACCTTTTTGAGGTGGTGTTCATATTGCTTTAAGTTAACTAAACTCACTTCACTTTCAAAAATTTTCAATAATGGAAAAAAATTTCAATAATGCTGGTAAAATTTAATTTCCCAATCCTCAAAAAGCTTGATGGCAAGGATCATATATATCGTTTTTATGGAAATTACGAGAGTACCGGCAAATCTCACAGTTTTATCAATTTTTTGTTGGAAAATTAACAGTTTTTTACTGTCAGATTGATTTTTTTTACCAAAAAATTGGGCATGTTAGTCACATAGGCCTTTTTCTAGTAATCTTTATACTCATAATACCATTAAAATGGGTTATTATCAGTAATGTCTGAATTTTTTTTCCGTGAAAAGATAATCAAGTAATTTTTGGTGAATATAGAAATTTTTAGTGAAAAACATATAAAACTAATAATAATACTGCTTTCAAAACAGATTAAAAATCTAAACTAGTTCCCGCTTCATCAGCGCCTTCAATAGGTTCATCAATCTTTTCAATCATTTGAGCAGATCCGATTTCTTCTTGCATTGTGAGTTCATCTATTGAATTTGTTTCTGAGTCCTCTTCTTTTAGTGCTTGTTTGTTCTTTCTGTACAAGAACAATCCAATGCCAGCAAGAATAAAAGCAGAACCAATACTTAGTGTGGAAATGAGAATAACTTCTGATGCTGATGTTTTACTCTTTCCCACGTCTTCATTTCCAGGAACAATAATAATTACATCTGTTTCTGTCTGAATATATGTTTCTAAAAAGGTATAAATGATTTGTAAAGTTGATGATTGAGTGAAGACAACTGTTTCAGAGAAAACAGATGAATTTGTTAGAATAATAGTGTTTGAAAGCGTACTTTCTGATTCTGTAACTGTTGATATTTCAATAATTGTGTTGTTTACATATATTCTTATTGTTGTTGTCGTATATGTATAAACAATAGTTGTTATATTTGTCTGTATTGTTGAAAAAGTTGTAATATTCGTTGTTGTAACTTTAAAAGTTTCTTTTTGGTTCAATGTTCTCGTGGGATCAGGTGTGGGGCCAGGAGTAACTTTGCTTACTTTCTCTTCTGTTGGATTTGGCTGTACATCTGCCAATGTTGGGTTCGGAGTTTTTGTTGAATAAGTTAAATTAAGAGTAGAATACTTACGATCACTGAGAGGTGACGTTAATTTAGTTATTGGTGTAGCAGCATATGTATATGGTGTTGGATCTGGAACAGAATCAGTAACTCCGATGGTTAATAATTTTGGAATTGCATTATCTTCGCTGTTTGCACTTTTGATGATATTTTGAGGCATACATTTATTAGTTGTGCCAGTAATTTGATACGTTGCCTTGGTATCGCCATAAATAAAATAGTGATTATTATTTAGGAAGCAATCTGAAGTTGACTGCCAAAAAGTACAGTCTTGAAGCATTATATTAACACCAAGACCGCCACCTTGTGAGTTTAATTGAATTGATTTTAAAAATCCGTAATTCATTTCATTTAAGAGAAATTCACATCCATCTGTAATTATACTTGAGCATTTAATAGCTGATATGCATGCACAAGCTCTTCCTGTAAACCTCATTCCTAATTTTGGTACATTTGAGCCATTATATCCAACGTACTGTGTATAATCACCAGCACTATTTTGCTTAAATATACAATTAATAAAGGATGCTGATGATGAAATGACTTCGACAGCACCACCTTGGATTAGAGCTGTGGATTCTTGGAATAATGTATTTTCTAGATATAATTCTGTACAATTATTGGCAAAGATAGCTCCTGCATTGGAATCAGCTTTGTTCCTTAGAAATTTTTGATTATATAATAAAAATTTTCCGCTGTTCATAAATATTGCTCCGCCTTTAATATACGCATGGTTTTCACTAAAGTTATTCGATGTGAATAAAGCATCATTACCGTTCATCGCAATGGCTCCGCCAGTAGTTGCAGAATTTACTGTAAACTTAGAGTCCATTAATAATAATTGAGATTGATCTACATAAATCGCTCCTCCGTATCCAACATTTAGTCCTCTACCGAAACCCATACTATTTTCAAAAGCGCAATTCTTTATAATTTTTTTTTACAACATCCAGTGGGGAGAAGCTTCCTAAACTTTTTAATCCCATAAATATGGTCATTATCTGGAATAAAGAGTTAAGCGTCATATGTCACTTTTTGTACTAAGGAAACATCGACTTTATGCGTTATGACTTTTCGATGAGGAAACAAGTGTTCACGTATTATAAACTTCCTTATTCCAATAAACCGACCCTAAACATAATTAATTCTAAGCATGATAATGGTCTCTTTTCTATGATAACCAAATCAATTTGGTTATCATAGTAAAGCACCAAAAACTGGAATAGGAATCGGCAATATGGAATCATGAAGCAACTCGGATAAAATAAATATGGAACATTCATACATCCATTCCTATTTTTAACCATATTATATTTTCAAACAAAATTCTCGTACTATTTTCAATAAAATTTGCATAACCTTGTTATTACTCTTAGGCGAAAGATGATTTTAATGTTAATTTTATAGAAGAACTTTTAATGCATAATAAAATAACCATTTCCTATAAATTTAGACTTAAAACGGTGACAATAAACAAGCTTTAGTCTAGAAATTAATTTTCTACTACTATAAATGCATCTTTATCTTTAATTAGAAAAAAATTTATCAATTTTATTATCCAGATGAAAAAAGAAGTGACATATGATATTTTATCTAATTTAAAATCTTTTATTGATTGTTTTTAAAAACTTTGCATTTTGTATGAGTATTTCATGTTTAAATCAGTATAAATACGCAAAATACTTATGAAATTCCAGCTGTTATTCAGTACTATTCATTTTTCAGCAATCATTAACTGTGGAAGAGTATGGCAAACGTTCGATAATGATCATGTATACTCAGATCATCAAGAATGAATTAAAGTCAATGCAGGGAAATGGATAATCCGATTAAAAACCCCAAAAAGGAAAAAGATATTATATGAACGTCTCACAAATGGTTAGTACTAAGCTCTTTCCTGATGATTGAATATTCTTTCATATTTTTGTATATTGTAAGGGATTTTCTCCCCAAATATATAATACCTTCCTTATAAACGATCTACTTTCTTTGAATACAAGTATAATTTTACATTTTAGGAAAAAAATTTATTTTTTCAAATTTATCTTATAACAATAGAGATTTATATATATGTGTGTCAATATAGGCTTTAGTGGTATAAAATTGGGTAGATTTTGTTTTATTTTGAGTAAAAAAATCAAAAAATACTACCTTATTTTGCGTGCAAAGGAATAGTCAGAGCTATTTAATAACATTTTACGAATGAACTATAGAATTACTATAACTTTTGAAGAAATTTCAAAGTTAATAGAAGATTGTATTTTAGAAATCAGCTAAAAGAATGATGTGCATGCATCAAGCGTTAAAGTATCCTAATCAGAATATAGTAGTATACAATGATTAGCAAAGCAGATTTGAATCGGCAAGAAGAGTTGCTTAAAAAATCAGTTGAGTCTTCTCTAGTTTCCACACTGCCTATTCCTGTTTAAGTGCGGTTATTCCTATTCCAGTTTTTGGTGCTTTACTATGATAACCAAATTGATTTGGTTATCATAGAAAAGAGACCATTATCATGCTTAGAATTAATTATGTTTAGGGTCGGTTTATTGGAATAAGGAAGTTTATAATACGTGAACACTTGTTTCCTCATCGAAAAGTCATAACGCATAAAGTCGATGTTTCCTTAGTACAAAAAGTGACATATGACGCTTAACTCTTTATTCCAGATAATGACCATATTTATGGGATTAAAAAGTTTAGGAAGCTTCTCCCCAGTTTTTGGAAAGAAGTAAATCAGATCAAACTAGCAGCGAATAAACTAGGTGCAGTTACCAAGTTCATGATTTAATTTTAATATAAAATATTCATCCAAGGAAGAATTAAATCTACATAGGTTTTTTCCACCTTGACCCTACCACGAATCATTTTGAACAATTAGATTGAAAACTCTTGCAACAATTAAGTTTAGTTGAGAAATCCAATTTTCCATTGAAAATTTGAATTTGTCAAAAAACTTCCTTTTGATGTCAAATTGGCAAATCAAATCTAATTTAATCCACAAATAAGATATAGTTGATTTCATGTCAAAATTCTGATTATTTCATACAAATTGAATATGGATACTATCAAGGACCTCCTAGAGAAATCCGGAGGTCCGGATTATATAATGGTTTGGATCAAATACTTCACTAAACCATTTACAATCAAAGAGGCCCATGCAAAATCCAAGTCTCCCTTCGATAATTTTATTTCTTCGTTCAATTATACGCCTACACCGCTCCAAAACATTGCTCAATTACTTAAAACGCCGCAAACTCCTACGGAGCTAATAAATACTTTCGCAAATCTTTTCAATTTAAACGAAATTCCAATTCTTCATCATCTATTTTTCCTTCACTCGTGGTTTGAGTCTCGTATTGAAGTTCAGCGTTCAAATTTTATCAACAATATTGAAGATTTTTTCGTTCGAAGCTTTATTTGCGTTTCATATCAATTTCGTAATTTATTGCCAGCAGTTTATCAAGGCAATACATGTACAGATCTACCAGAGAATTGCTGGGGACTAATTTCAGAAGCAGCATCTATCATATTTTCATTCAATTCTGTGGAAATTCAAGACGCTTATATTTTGATTAACTATTTCTTTACATCTTTTCAAAATCTTCAGATAATATTCAGGCTTTCTTCCACGAACTATATCCGAAATGCTATACAAAAACTCGGAATTATTTTAGTTCCATATCTAAATTTAGAACAAACAGAGTTTGCAAAGTCATTACTTGCATTTTTAAGCAATATATTCCATGAATGGACCGTTGTTTTCAAAAAGGATGCCGATTTAAATGATTATTCCCTTTTCACATCTGCATTTTTGAATACAGCCATCGAAGTGTTTTTTCTCTTCCAGGAAACGCAAGTTAGTGAAATAATAACTGATTTATCCTCTATAATTCAATACCTTTTGACTTCAAAAGACTTAAATGACTCAAATTTCCAGTTAATTACAACATGTTTTCGATTTCTGACCCATAGTACGTCATTTATCAATAAAAGTCCAATACTTATTGCTGTTGTTAATGATCTTTCCTTAGTTGCTATCACTTATTTCACAGATTTTCATGTAAAAATACTTCCTCAAGAAGATCCATCGGATATGAGTTTAACAACATGTTTGAACAACTTCGCAAAGAATTCTTTATCGAAAAAAGGTTGTTTAATTTTAAATCAGGCAATTTACCTTATTTTCGCTGAAATGAGGAAATATGTCACAAACTTAGAGGATAAATCATCAGTTTTGGTTGAACTGGCAACAAGAAATCTTCAAGTTACTGATGAAATTTCTTTACCAGAAAAATCTTTTTCATTATTAATTGCTTTATCGTATTTGAAGATTACTAACTTTGAATATGTTGCAAATCTACTCAAAAGTATACCTTTCCATATCTTTTTCCCTTATCCTTTGAAATATGAAGAAAGAATTCAAGAATATCAGTCTGCTTTCCTACATTTTATATTCCTGTTTGTCCAAAACAACCCGAAATACCAGGATTTAATGTTTGATTTCCTTCCAAAAATGTATCCACCGGAAAAATTTGATTTAATTGTTTATTTCATACCTTTATTCAGATCATTTGTTCAAGTACAGAACAAAAGATTCCTAGAAACACAAACTTTTATATTAATTTCTGAAGTTATTTCGCCAAACCGCGGAAGAGCCTACAATGTACAAGAATCAACTTTAGATCAGCTAATACAATTCTTAGTAGCATCGTGTTTGTTCGCAAATGACCATACATTGATAGAATCAATTTTGGATGTTCTTATTCCAACTTCTGCTTTGATTCATAAAAGATACTATCACTTTTTCAAGCCAGTATTGAAGCACGAGTTTGATTTAGTCCATAATGTTCAGTTTTTCAATGCAGTTTTGAATTATATTTCAATAATTTTAACTTGTATTGAAAATAACAGCCATATGTATGAAATAGTTTATTTTATATTCGAATCCTTCTTGAATGGCATCACAAAGTTCCCCGTTGATAAGAATATTTTGATCAAATCCAAAATTCTGACTTTATTCGCTCAAACAATTGTTACTTTCAAGTCAAACAAGTTGTTCTACATATTCATGCAGATAATTGACTATTTGGATAGTATTTATCCGCAATTTACTTTAAATAATTCGCCACAAGTTTTTGAGATACTTAAAAACGCTCATCCACTTGATTCTCTTGATAAAGAACTCATACATTTAATAGAAAAGTACGCTTACGATACAGATTTTCAAACATATAAAATTTATAAACCAAAAGCTGTAAATTTCTTATTAAAATTAGTCGAAGACACTGAATTCGAGGATGATGTTATGACATCTCTATGCGAACTCTGTTCAAACAATGCTTCCAGCGCATATAAATTATTTTCTAATAATTTATTGAGCGAATTGCTTGAAAGACTCTCTAATTCTATTTTCTTCAAGGCACTAACATTGTTTTCTATAATTGCATCACAATATTTCTCACCAATCGTGATGAGAGACATAATTAAATTATTACGAACTACAGAGAACGAAGGATTGAAAATTGCAGTTGCTAATTGTCTTCTAGATCTAGTAAGCAGGTCTCAGAAGTGTCCAGTTTCTTCTTTCTTCAATTTTACTGAAGATGATAAAATTGAATCGGTTCAATACAATTTACCATTGCCATTTTCAGTTGCATTTTGCTTTAGAGTCAATAAGAAAGGACTTGTGAGCTCAAGAACCATATTTTCCATTCAAAATGGAAAGAAAATTCTTAAATTTATGATAACAGAGAAAAATAACATATGCCTTGAGATAAACAACAAGAACAAGATAACACAATTCATAGGAGAACAAGTTTCAAAGCAAAAATGGCATACAATTGTTTTTATTTTGAAACAAACTTCATATGAATTTGTTTACGACCAATCAACATATGTTAAAGAAATTTCTTTGACCAAATTCGATGAAAATTCGGTAATTTCGTTTGATGATTCAAGAGAACATAAATTTCATGGAGATATCGGGCCAATATTCTTCATGAAGACAGAGAAACTCCAAACAGCTGTAGAACAAGCTCACGAATCATTTATCAGCAAAGATTTCCCAATTTCTTGTATTTTAGGTTATCTTCCAACGAATGTCAGTGAAGGAATGATGAGCGGTGTGCTGAAGAACGAGATATCGATATCAGCAGAAATTGTTCCTTTCGTGTCTTCTTTTGTCGACGTAATTAAATTTGATTCGATTTTCCCATTAACTTTGCCATTGATGCTCATTGATAACGGTAAACAAGGAAACCTTTATTTAAGGTCCCTTTTCGGACTTACTGTTTCAATGATCACGAAAGATGAAAAAATGGAAAAGTTTTTCAGAGATTCAGGCGGTTTCAGAGTATTTTCAAGTATTTTGAAGCATACACCTAACGCTTTGACCTTTGATATCGTTCATGACATTATGTTGATATATAAGAACGTATCAGCAGAATCAAAGCATGATTTGGTGAAGTATATGATCTTGAACTACGATGTATGGATGGGAAAAGACATTTAATTCCAAAAATCATTGTATGGAGATATTTTACCACAAATTCTTTCCCAAAACAGCGAATTACACTCTATTTCTGCCGAAGAACTACTCATGACAACAATTAGCTCATGCACTGATGACCAACAAATTTCTACTTTGAGTGAAGATAATTTTCAAAAAATACCAAAGTCTGAAAGCGAAAAATTATTCTTCATTCCGATGAGATGGAACTTCTTCGAGAAGTATTTCGAATTAAATCCAAGCGATACTTGTTTTTCTGCAATATTTCTGAACGCATTTTTCCATCCTGACGAAATTGTAAGGAAATATGCCAGAGAAACGTTTACTAAGACACTAAGACGCTGCAAAGTTAACATAATTCCTCCTTTGAACCCAATTAATTTACTTCTTGACGAATTATTGGAAAACAAAGCAGAAATAGTCGAAGATACCCTCATCGACATATCTCTTGTCATGGCCACAAAAAAAGATATAGCAAAAGTCGATTATTTTGAGTTATTATACTCATTAATTAATGAAAATAATTATATAACTTATATGAGTGTCTCATATATATTGTTTGCTTCTAATACAGAGATCTACAAGCATTTCTTCCTTCTTTGGCTGTCAACTCAAAAATATTTCAAAGAAAAGGACGAAATACAGTATCAGAACATGATATCTTACTTCACAGATAGATCTGTATTATGCGGAATCTCAAAACATTCACAAGTTTATAAAATTTTTGCGGAATTTTGGAACAAATACGATTTTACTCCGGAAAAAATTGCGAGTACCTTAGATATATTACTTGAAAGCCAACCATCATCAAATTTCACTCCTTTATTCACTATTTTAGGAAAAGAAAAATGCAGATTAATTCTTTGCAAATTAAACACAGAATATTATGAATTGGCATTCTTCTGTTCATTCCTAACCTATGATGAGTTCTCAGATCCACAAATTGCCTTGCTAACCATTGATATCTTGGTAAGAACTATAAATTCAAGGCCAGATTATTATATAATGTTTGGAACTACTAAGATACATCCTTTTATTGTGTTTTCAAACATTGCTGGCCAGATAATTTCAACAAAACCTTCCAAAAAAGATGATATGGACCAATTATACAAATCTTTAGCGACAATTGTCCCTATTGATGCACATATCAACTATTCCAAGATAGTTTACAACAAGTATCAACCAGATCTCTTCAAAATTAACTTTGATTATAATAATTTTCTGAAAGATCTGCTAGATATGCACAAAACAATGGTTGATAATGAAAGAAAGAGCTTCAACAAGATCCATGATGACTTCGATCAGGACATAAAGAATGATAAATTAAGGACTTCCAAATTATTCACTTCATTTATGAGAACTATCAGCACAGACGGAGGTCCATGGTCATCAGAACTCTGTAAATGCTGGAAATACATGGCGAAAGTTGATTCCACCGGTAGAATTCTCTTCTATTCACGAAATACTCATTTCACTGACCATAAAAACGCAAGAAACAAGAAAGGTGACAATGATGAAGAGATAGAACCAATCAAAAGCTTTGTATTATCCTTTAAAAAAGAAATTCGGAAATCAATTTCAGTTTTCCAAGCGACATCAAGGAAAATTACAGGGTTTTACAATGGATACTTGCATATTCTTGATGATTCCATCTGTTTCGATGGCGTTTATTCGGCAGATTCATTTGGAAATACGAGATTATTAGAAAAGAAGCGTCCGTTCTTCAAATTGATACAATACTCCGATATAACATTTATATTTAGAAGATATTTCCTGCACGAAGACTGCGGAATTGAAGTTTTTACCAAAAATTTCAAATCTTATCTTTTTTATTTTGTCAATTTTGACACAAGGAACAACTTTTTGGCAACTGTATCCACAAAAATACCCAAAGTAACGCTTCCCAAGGACCATCTCTTCTCACAACTCGTTTCAAAATTCGGAGGAATCCCGATACAAAATTGTGAAGCCGAAGAATTGCTCTGGAAATCGGGACTTGCGAAGCGTTGGTCATCAGGAAGATTATCTAACTACGAATACCTGTACTTATTGAACGTAATTGGCGGAAGATCGTTTAATAACGTCAGTCAGTACCCGATCTATCCATGGATTATAGCTGATTACAAGACAAATAAATTTGATATCAGTAATCCATCGTTTTTCAGAGATCTTTCGAAGATGATTGGAGCTTTGAATCAAGAAAGATACGATACTCTCAGAAACGACAGAGATTTGATAGACGATCCAACAGAAAAATCTTTGTTCAGGTCAAACATGAGTAATCCAAGCTCAGTTTGTGGATTCTTAGTTCGTGAAGAGCCATTTACGACGATGCACATTAAATTACAAGACGGATACTTTGATAAAGCCGACAGATTATTTTATTCCATTGAATCTGCATGGAATAGCTGTAATAATTCGGCTTCCGACTACAGAGAACTACTTCCCCAATTTTATTGCAATTCAAGGTTCTTAAAGAACGAAAACAAGTTCAGTTTCGGAACTAGATCTACAGGCGTAACAATAGATGACGTAGAACTTCCGAATTGGGCTTCTTCTCCCTATGATTTCGTTGATAAGAATCTAATTGCCCTTGAAAGTTCATATACTAGCCAGCACTTGAACGAATGGATCGATCTGGTTTTCGGAGTAAACCAAAGAATCCCTGAAAGTGAGTTCCATTGTTTTTCATATCACGATTGTATGATTGGATTGACAAATGAAGAAGATATCGAGCTCAGGAAGAACTATTGTGCAAATTTCGGATCAATGCCTACGAAAATATTCAGAGTTAAGTCTCCAAAAAAGAATATTCAAATTCCATTAAAAGTTTTTGACTACCAGAGCAATACAAACTCAAATGGAAACACAGCACCACCTCCAAAAATTCTGTGTCTGCTAAATGGCTGCTGTTTAACAGAAGATGGCGTTTTTACGAAATTATCTCGAAAAATGCACAAAGTTAAGTTCAATTACAGGTTCACAGATGACATGTTATACGCAGTATCCACAAATCCACTGACGTTATTCGTTTGCGGCAAGAATTCGCCTGTTGTCACTTCATTTCCATTTAATCATCCAAATAATCCAACCAGATTAATGCATTCGAGTTCAAACCTTATCTGCATGTCAGCAACATCAGATAGATTAGTTGTTTGCGGTTCTGATTGTTTTATTTATTTATGGAATTCAATGACGAGCGAATTAATTTCTACGATGCAGATCCATTCATATCCTATTGTAGATGTATCCGCTTCAACAGAACTCGCCGCTTTTGCTTCAATTGACAGATCTCATAACATTTTCGTTGTTTCTTTGACAGATAAGCATGTTATATCACCATTTAATGCAAAAGTCTCTGAAGATGTTAAGAACCATAAGATTTGTCTCACACAGAATGGAAGAATCATAATTTCTAACAGAAGTGACTCAAAAGAGAACAGTATCTTAATTTTCGATATTTGTGGATCATTAATAAACAAATTGGCTTATGGCTGTGAGGTTGTTGCCATAAGATCTGCAATGCTTTCAAGCGGAAACGTATTTTGCATCGCATCTCTTGGATCAAGGAGAATAGAATGCATTAGTGATAAAACTAATGGTATTGAACGTATGCCAAATGAGGATTCAAAAAAGGTTAATGAAAGTTTCAATCCAAATTTCGTTTCAATTCGATCTAAGGAAAAAACAATTTGGTATGGTACAAATTCCGGATTATTATCTAGAATTGTTTTATGTAATGATGTTTGAATTATTAAAATATTAAAATTTTTTTTGTCAAATTTTTTTTGAGTGGATTTTTTTTTCTTGAAGGAATTTTTATTTTTAAAATATGAGTGATCCAATGAAAGAGCAAATAGCTATCCTTGAAGCTTTGAAGAATAAGAAAAGAGAACAGCTAGATGAACTACAAAAAGAAAATGATCGTCTTGAAACGACTTTGAAATGTCTTCAAGAAAAAAAAGATAAAGTTTATAAAGATGAGTTAAATAAATATAATTCATTGCTAGTACAGATAAATGAGTGCAATTCTGCAAAGCGTGAATATCCAGTAGAAGTTTTATACGAATTACAAAAATTAACATACAGCCAAGATCAAAAATAAGATCGGTAAGCTTTGCGAAATGTACTATATATTGTAATTATTGTTATTTAGTTTTGTATTTCTAAATAAATGTTTTTCTTTTTATTTCTTTCTTTCATTGCTTTGATATCTAATAATGTATTCTTCATGCTATTAATGCACTATGATCTTTTGTGTTTCTTATAAAATATTAGAATATAATTGTAAAATGATAAGTATTTATTTATATAAAAACAATCAAACTTTTAATAAACAGTAAATTTCAATCTTGTGCGTAATCAGTTGCTATCTGAGCTCTGAATCTGGATTCCTGATCAATTAATCCATTTCGCATTACTTTGTAATTATCAATTTCTGAAATACGAGATTGGTAGAATTGCATGATTTGCTCTTTATTTTCAATATACTGTGGACTTGTTTCATTTAATATTGCACGATATTCATTATATGCCCTCATAAATGCTTGTACATTTTGTGGGACTTCCTGAGTGGCTTCTGGATTTGGAGGAGCAACTAGAACTGTTTCAGATGGAATTGTTGCCATTTTTGAGATAAAAAAGTGACTCTTTACATTTTTATATCAATTTCTGAAATCTTTGTTATATGATAACTTCTATTAATTTGGAAGATTATAGTCGTTCCTATCTACAAAATACTGATCTATCCTTCTAATCTATATGTGATTTCAACAGAAAAGAGATAGATTAATTGGAATATTTTTGTTGTTATGTGCTTGTACCGTGTTGTACAGTAGTTAATTTATTTATGCATAAATGCACTTTATCCTTACAGATTTTTAAGATAGGTCTATTAGATATAAATTTCAAGATATTTTTTTAATATCGTTCTTGGATATGAACGCATATCCAAGGCTTGTATATGCAAATCATGATCTTTAATTTAAAACAATATAAGTTTTTTATGAATTGACAATATATTACCTTTGAAGATCTCAATTTTTTTAAATATCTCATTGACTTAGATCAATTAATTCTTACTGAGTCATTTCATACATAAAAGCATCATCAATTATTTCTAACTTCTTATTTTAAACAGACATAATGATTTCGAAAAATTTAAATCAGAAAATCCAATTTACAGAGCAGTTACGGATGATTACTAAAAAAGATATCATGTATATCATAGAAAGAAATGAATTTTAAAAAGATCAAAAACATAGTTGCTGCTTATATTCATTTGTTTTCAATTGATATTCATTACTTGAATTGTGTTGTTACCATCGATCAATTAATTGTTTCAAACAATTAAGAACAACTAACTTAACTTTGTCTATATCATTATAAGTGGCAAATCCATAAATCATGATTGAATGCATGAAATAGGCAATTGTTTCTTTCTTGATGAATGAATACAGAATAGAGTTCAATTTAGAATATCATGCAAGTATTAATAATCTTGATTCATTTTTCGTTCATTATGATCACAATACCATCCATTTTCATGAAAAAGAAGAAAATGGAAGAACATCTCTTCATTTTGCAGCTGATCTCAATATAGTAATGGCTGAAGATCTTCTTGCACATGGTGCAAAAATTAATTCAAAAGATATAAAAGGAATGAAAGCTCTTCATTGTGCAGTTTCTCATAATCAACCGTTGAACTTCTTTTATTGCAAGGTGCAGAAATCAATGAAAAAGATCAATGGGAAAACACAGATCTTCTTTATGCCGAACTTCTTTTTTCACTTAAGATAGATAATTTGTTCTTAGGTTAATCAAATATTTTGAAAAATTAAGTAAAGCAATTGAAATGATCTCTTTAATCATCTCTGAAATATAAGAAGTTTATCTCAATTGAATTCACATAGATTTACATTTTATTTTTTGAGTACCTTCAATACTTAGATTTTGGGATCAGTTATGTATACATTTGGGATATCAAAACATTAAGATCTTTTTAAATGTGTCGGAGAATAAATTGTCAGATGTATTTCAAATTTTCATTTTTTTCCCCTACATTTATTCATATATTGATATTTTTTTTGATAAGTTGATTTGAATAATATTGGAAATATTGAAAACTCATTCAATGATTTATATTTAATGAATGTTACCGTATTACATATGCACAACGAATACATTTGTTATTATCATTTAAATTTATTCAATGGTTACTGAAATATTCAGAATGAGTAGGAAAAATATTTTTGAGATGTATACAAAAATTTTTTCAGACCAAATTATCGATGCTTTTCAGCCTGATTAGCCTTGCATTGAGCTCTTGTTCTGATTCCAAAACTTTCATATTCATATCACCATATAAAGGAGTTACATATGCAAACTGCACATGTATGTTAACTGCAAATACTAGAAATAGTTTGCCAAGTGATTGGACCGTGCCAAGTACTGTTAATTATAATGGTGATGCATATACTGTAATTGCTATTAAAGATTTTTCATCTTACCAATTTACATCAATAACATTCCCCGATTCGATTCAAAGAATAGATTCAAAAGCATTCCTGGCAAACACAATAAAAAGGGTTACATTTGGAACAGGATTACAATATTTGGGAAGTGGTGCATTCAAAAACGCGTATCTTGGAACCGTCATTCTTCCGAACACATTTAAACTTCTGTATTTATCTGCATTTGCAAGAGCAACAGAAATAATAATTCCATATGGAATACAAGCTTTTGGAGATGAACCATTTAACAACTCTAATACATTAATCAATATTAAAGGCAATTATCCCTCAGATTCAATTCAAATCCTCAATGCAGATAAGATTTATTACTATGGAACTGATGATTGCTTAACAATAACTGGTACAGTAAGGAAAATATATGTAACAGCTAATTATAAAACATCAACATTAGGTGGTAAACCAGCAACTGTTTGCTTACAAGGAGATTTCAGGTTCGAAGCAAAAACAGCTAGTCCATTAACATATGCTGCTGCAGAGTATTTCGGAGCTGATAGAACTCCATCAGTCCCAGCAACATTCAATGAAGGCAAAGTCACACAAATAGGCCAGAATTTATTCAAAGATAACACAATTATATCTTCATTTGTAATCGGAAAAATTATTTTGAAAATAGGCGATTATGCATTTTCAGGGTGTACCAATCTGAGAAGGATTACATTTGAAGAGAGTTGCAAATTAATTGAAATAGCAAGCTATGCTTTTTCAGGTTGTGCATCATCTAGCTTTACTTCAATTGTTCTTCCAAAAACTGTGAATAAAATTGGGGCAAATGCATTTTTGGGATGCATTAAATTAACTACTGTAACTTTACCAAGTTTAATAACATCAATTGATCCTTCATGCTTTTCAAATTGCCCATTAGAAACAGTCAATATTATTGACTCTGGAGATGGATATATTTCAACTTATGAAGGATGCTCAACATTAACAGGAAAGGTTATTATTGGAGACGGAATTACCGAAATCGATAGTTTTGGATTTAAAGGAACAAGAATCAAAAATGTTCAATTCAATTCGGTTACAACCATCAAAGAAGGTGCATTTGAACAATCTTCACTGCAATGCATTTTAATTTTACCTGCAACAGTTACAACAGTTGAAGTGGATGCATTTTCTAAATGCGCTGATCTATCCAGAGTTTATTATTGCGGAACATCCAAATTTGATCAAAAAGCATTTAATGAAAACTCATTCACAAAGATTTATGTATTATCAACTTATCCAGAGTCAAATATATTCGGCTTAACCTCAAATAAAGTACTAAATGAGCAATGTCAGGATCCTGAATCAGCAGATCAATGCCCAAGTCATGAAAAGCCAATAATTATTGAGCCTGATGATGAAACAAAGTCTGGTGGTGGCTCTACATCAGGAGGTTCCACTTCTGGAGGATCTACATCAGGAGGTTCTACTTCTGGTGGCTCTACATCAGGAGGTTCTACTTCTGGAGGATCTTCATCAGGAGGTTCCACTTCTGGTGGCTCTACATCAGGAGGTTCTACTTCTGGAGGATCTTCATCAGGAGGTTCCACTTCTGGTGGCTCTACATCAGGAGGTTCCACTTCTGGTGGCTCTACATCAGGAGGTTCCTCTTCTGGTGATGAAGTATCAAAAGATAATAAAGATGGATCTCTTGTTAAAGATGCCGCCGAAAGTCTCAATAAACTACCAGTCTGGGCTATAGTCCTAATATGCCTTGGAGTTGTTGGAGTAATTGTTGCAGTAATTATTATGGCGTTACGTTCTCAAATTACACAATTCTGTGGGGAGTGTAATATAATTAAAGGCCAAGCTGAAGTTTAATTCATATTCAATTTTTTTCATTTTAAATTTTCCAAATAAAACTATTTTTAATGAGCAGCAAACACACATGCATATAATTTTTTTACAATTTTGCATTTTGCATTTACGCATTCAGAATTCCCTTAAACTTTCATATGATCACATTATTCCAACTCCAGATAATAAATGTCAATGCAAAAGAAGATGATGGATTAACTCCCCTTCATTATGCAATTAAGTTTTGTGGCCTTGATGTTGTTCGACTTCTTATTTCACTTGGTGCACAGATAAATGCAATAGATCAATGGGGATATATTCCTCTCACATGGGCAGTTTTTAATGGCAAAAAAGATAGTTGAATTTCTAATTTCAATTGATGAACATTGAGGATTAATGATCAACGATAATTATCCTCAAAATACACAAGTTGATAATAGTTTGTTTCCGTTTTATTTAATAAAAAATCTTTCAATTGAATTTATTTATGAAATCAGTATTTATAGAAATATAAAGCTATTTTTAGGATATAAATAGAATTTAATTCAAATGATGATGTGAATTATGAAATATCATATGAAGCAATGATGTTTGCTATTTCATAATAATTGTTTTCGATTGAAATGCAAAGTGCTGTTTTTTCATATCTATCTTTGATGTTAAGATCTGCATTGTGTGAAAGAAGAAGTTTTACTAATTCTTTGTAATTATTTTGTGCTGCAATATGGAGCGCTGTTCTCCCATATTCATCTATGGCATCAACATTAGCACCATGTGAAACAAGAATACTTACTTCTTCGATTTCATTTTACTCAGATGCACAATAAAGTGCTGTTCTACCTTCAATATCTATCGCGTTGATATCAGCGCCATGATTAATGAGTAATTCTAAAACTTCTTTATAATCGCAAGGTTCATGATATTTCAGATTTTCATGACTAATTATTGATGCAAGATGGATTGCAGAACGTCCATCCTTTTCAATTCGGCAATTGATGTTGATTCCATGAGAGATTAGAAACTCTATCATTTCTTTATCATGAAACCATGATGCAAAGTGAAGAGCTGTTAATCCATTCTCGATACTTGTATTCACATCAACACCATAAAGAATTAGAGTTTTCATGATATTCACATTATAATTTCGCAATGCATATTGGAATGGAGTAATATTGAAATTATCCTTTGCATTTAAATCAGCATCATTTAAAACAAGAAATTCGACGATTTCAGCATAATTATTTGCTGATGCCAAATGAAGAGCAGTTCTTCCTTCATCATCTATGGTATTGATATCAACACCATGATGAATGAGCATTGTTAATATTTCTTTATTATTGTTTTTGACTGAATAGTGAATAATCGATAATCCATTATATCTTAAATTGCAATTAGCGCCATGCGACATAAGAAGTTTAGCAATCTCTGTATAATTATTTGTTACTGCATAGAAAATAGGACTTTTTTCGACTGATTTAGTTAAATTGACATCTGCTCCATGAATGACAAGAAGCTCTGCGATTTCTTTATAATTTTTTTCAGATGCAATAGAGAGAGCGGTTTGTCCATAATAATTCATTGCATTTATATCTTTGATATGATTTAATAAAATTGTAACAATATTTTTTTCTATATTTTTCAACAGCTCGATGAAGACAACTTTCCCCATATTTATTTTTTACATTGCAATCAGCTCCATACATAATAAGAAGTTTTATTATACGATTTTTACAACCATAAATAGCCTTACTGAGAGGAGATTTTCTATAAGGGCGTTTATCTTTTGTATGAATATAATTTGAGAGGAGAAATTCAACCATTTTTATATCGTTATTGGTTACATCATCCAAAATCGGAGAATGTCCATATTTATCCTCTAAATTTATATTTGCACCATGTGAAATTAAAAATTTAATGCTGTCCATATTTTTGTTCTTATATGCAATATTGAGTGCTGAATTTTTATCATCATCTACGGTATTTACATCTAATCCATGATCAATTAAAAATTTCATCATTTCTTTGTTAGTAAATTCCGCCGAGTAATGAAGAAAAGATTTTCCATTAAAATATCTGGAATTTATATTTGCACCATGCTCAATTAGAAAATTCATAATGTCATAATTATTATTTTCAACTGCAAGTTGAAGGTGGCAATAATCACGATAATTATCAATCTTATTTTTAACTTTTGCACCTTTAAAAATAAGAAGTTTGGTAACATCATTGTATTTGTTTGTTAATGAATAATATAGGGCATCTTTATCATGTGAATCTTTTGCATTAATGTTGGCACCATGAGCAATAAGGATGTCATAAAGAAATGTAAAATTAATTGCAACAGCAGGAAAACAATTTTTGAAATTTCTTGTTTGATCAAGATATATTAAAAGTCCTTGAAGGAAATTGTATTCACAACAGCATTCGAAATCTATATTAATATTGTATGTTTTCATTAGAAAAATAACGAAATCAATGTTATGAGAAATAATTGCATATCTCATGCACAATTCATTCGGGATTTGCTCTTTTAAACATTCCTTCATGATGTCAGGATTTCCTCCTAAAAAAGAAAATTGAAGACATGTATTCGTTATTTCTGCTTTGAATTCTGTTCTTGAAAATTTAAAACAATTTACAGATCCACAGTAACAACATTATTCAAGAATTGAAAATGAATAATATGGAAATGAATTTGGGCCGTAATCGTTTATTGCAAAAATTCGAATTTGTAAATTATGATTGAAATTAAATCCGAGGATGTTTTATTGTCGTCTGGAAAAAGTGACAAAATTATTATTGTCGTCTAAAAAGGTGACAAATTATTATTGTCGTCTGGAAAAGTGACAAAATTATCATTGTCGTCTAAAAAATAGATTTTTCAAGCATGTTTCGGTACCTAAATAAAGGAAGAACATCAATTCCATCTATGTATATAGTATGCAAACACGCATGATATATGGAGTAGCTCTTTATCTGGCTAAAAATCCTATTATTTGAAAATTCGCATTGTCGTCTAAAACCGCCAGACGACAATAATAATACCCCATTAAATCCTTTGCGATTTGTATGCAAGATGAATGATTTTATATCATCATTCATAATAGCTTCATGTATAGTGTTATTTTTATAAAATATACGATCAGGTTAAGCCTTATGCATGAATAATTTGCTGTTACTAGGAATTGATAATAAATTTACACTTTTCCGATGTTTTGTCAGGGGCGTGAAGCGACCCAAAAAATGTCGGAAAAGTGTAATTCTCAGGTATATGATTATTTTTGCTTTTAATGTCGAACAGCATTTGAATCAAAAATAATCGTATGTCTGAGAATTTTCATTTAAATACTCTTTATTGATCCTCTTTACTAAAGTAATATATGAAGAATAATACTTAATATTGTGCATAAATGCATTTTCAATTAGTATAATCACTTGGATTGGAACTAATAATTTTGGTTCAATAATCTTGTTTATGATGTCATTGTATAAGCTATTAATAGCATTTTCATCGAATGTATTAAGTCTGAACAATGAAACAAATATGTTATTGTAATCAGAATACAAACTCATAAGTTTGCTTTTTTACAAAACCGTCAAAGATGTTAACATTTTCTATTTTGCATATAAAATTTAAAATTTATGAAAATACCACAAGATTTAGATGGAGTGCAAAAGCGATTATTTAAAATTTATTATTTTTTAATTCAAAAAAATTCATGATTCCATATCGGGTACTTGTTTTGACAGAAGATGGGACTGAATTATTTGATTATAACTATGGAGAGATTGAGAATGGTTGCTTGGTGCCAATACTTCAAACAATAGAACAAATAGACGCGTCTTCAAAAAAAGAACCTAAAACCATTATGTGTATGGACATGGGAGACTATAATATTAGCATTTCAACATGTAAATCCTTATATTTTGCATCAGTTATCAATGAATCAGAAAATCGAGATCATAAATCTCTAAACACTCTGTTTTCTATCTTTATTGGACACGGGTATAGCAGATATGTTGCATCTCATCGTAAGTCTCGTGATCCAAGGCAATTTTTCGATTTTGAAGATTCTACATTTCTTAAATTTGAGAAAGAACTCCAAATGTTTTTAAATCCTGATATCACAAATTACGTTGCATTCTTTATTAATGGAAATCTGGAGTATGATTACGGAAAGTTTCCAGATAATTTTAAAAATTTTGATGACCAAGTCGAAGTTCAAGCTATAATGGGTGATTTATCTGAAATATGTCGTACAGAAGAGTTTGCAGCCTACCAAAATCGTTCAGAAGTTGTAGTTTTACCGTTTTTCAAGCATTTACAAATCGGATTTCTGAATAATAAGCCTTTAGATGAGAATGATATATTTGTTACTGAAAAGCAAACGCAAATTATTATAGCCAAATATACAATTCCATCTATTTTCATTAAGAAGGATCCAAATGAGGATGAGGAAGAAGAAGAAAATGCCGAAGAAGCTGATAATTAAAACGCGGCTCAGTAATTATGCGTCTGATATATTATTTGTGTTGTATATATAAAAAAAAATTATGAAAATTTATATTATTTTTCACAAATCTTTTGTTAATCATATTTAGTGATAATATAAAGGGGTAGTAGTACATGATACGTGCAAAATCTCTCAATTTCAAAAGAATTTTTCAATATTTTTTCTTTGTATTTTAAAATCATGTATATCGAATGTAGTAGAAATGTTTAGAATTTCATAAGATGGACACGATCGCCCTTCTTGATTGTGAATGGAGCCTTAAGGTATTCGACCATTTCTGGGACCTTGGCAGCAGCGGCTTCAACTTGAGCCTCTGTAGCGTTAGCAGCGACTTCGATTGATGTAGATGTAGCGATTAAGTAGTCCTGAGAGATTTCGTTAACTGGGACAACTGGACCAGCAACCTTAAGGATTCCAGCACCCTGGTCAGCAACGACAACAGCGCGCTTGCCCTGGTTCTCACCACCAACAATGATGACGACTGTACCAACCTTGAGGGATGGGCGTGTTTCTACTGGCTTAGCATTGCATGCTGGCTTTGTAAGTGGATCGACTTCAGCAGCAACAGCTGGGCGTGTGAAGGAAACACGTGGGATTCCTCTCCATGATGGTTTCTTAACATTCTTCTTTTCGACTGGGGCAATGAAGAGAAGCTCAGACATCGTCGTGAAAGGCCAGCTCTCTCGATTTTCAGAGAAAAACGATTATTTGGAAGGCCGATAAGTTCTGCTAAATTTTTCTAGATAATCATAGTTCCATTATCAGTATCTAAATATAAGCTTAATTACCTTTAATATCGACTATTCTCTCCAAAATTTTTGGAAGCAAATTTTGAAAAAGCCAGATAGAATAAGCTAATTGATATTCTTTAATTACATGCTAAATGTGTCTTCTTTTTCTGATATCCAATATAGCGAACTACTATATCAAAATCAGCAAATCATTCAAATTTAGAGTTTGATTTGAATCAACTTACTAATTTAATAACTCTCAGTTGTTTAAAATATTGAGCACTTCGGACTGTCATATATCATATTAAAATAAAATAAAGATAAGAATTTTTCTGATAAATGAGTTCCCAGAAAAATCAATTTAGTACATAAAAACAATTTATTTCCAAAAAAACAAAACTAACAAATAAAAAATAACAAAAAATAATCATTATCTCTTCAGCCTTCTCTTCGATTTAACTTGAAGAGGTGGTAAAGGTAATGGATTTGAAGCTGGAATAGATGGAGCTTTGTGATTATTTGTAACAATCGGGATTGGTTTTGAATCCGCAAGAACTTTCTTTTTAACAGCAAAAGCTTCTTGATTTGAAGCTTCCTGTTCTTGTATTTGAGCCAATTTCAGCCTTTTTTCAGCAACTTCAAGTGCAATTGCGTTTTCTTTTCTAAGAGCTTCCAATTGGAACTGGTGAAGTGTTTGGAGTTCATGGCGTTGCTTTTCATGCTCATCTTGGACTCTTTGCAAATCAGATTCGTATGAACTTTGCAATTCTGAAAACTTCTGTTGGGATTCCTTCTTTTCAGCTTCTCTATTCATCTTTTTAATCTCTTCTGCCGCTTCAAGTTCGCCTGCAAGTACCATATATTTCTCAATTGCGCGTTGCTGAAGCAAAACCTTACTTTGCTTAGTAAATTTACGCTGAAGTGATGGATCAAGCCATTTGGAGTCGATTTCTTCCATCTCGTCCATTTGCTTTTGTTGTAATTCTTCGGCTTCGCGTTTAAATCTTTCATGATACTCCTGCTCCTTAATTTTACACTGCTGCTTTGTATAATCCAGGGCTTCTTGAGCCTGCTTTGTTCTATCTTTTGCCTGCTGAAGATTTTCAAGGTAAAGATCTTCAAGATCTTTGCTTGCAAATTGCTTCTTTAGGTGAGCAGTAATATCATCAATTTTCTTTGATTGGAGGTATTGGTTGTTTTGCATAGCGATTTTCCTTCGAGTTGAAAATTCAAGTAATAAGTCCTGCAAATATTTGGTAATATCTACGTCAACCTTCTTTCCAGCAAGGAGTTTATCGCAGATTGCAGTGACTTCGTTTGGAGACATATGATATTGAGGTGATGAAATTCTTTTTAGTGGCTTTTTATTAGTTCTTGAGATAGTTCTAGGTGAAGGATTTAGAGCTTTCAAAAATTGGGCCTTTGGCGTTGGCTCTGTACTTTTTCGTACTTGATCATCTTTTACAACTAAAATATGAAGACCTTCTGTTGTTGTTGGAAACGTAGACTCGGCTTGAGTAGTTACATTTTGCTTTTCAACATCATCATTGTTGCTTTCTTCTGTTTCTTGCACTTGTGGTTCGTTATTTACTGATTCATTATCTTGTAATTGTGGAACCTCTTCTTCTTGTGGCTGCTCATTATTCTCATTTAATGTATTATCGACAATTTGGTGTATTGTATCAGCCACAGGTTCCATTATTTGTATTCCTTCTTTCTCATGGCTTGATTCTTTAACATTCATTAGAAATTTTTTTTGTACGTTATTTCTTGAATTCTTGATTTTATGTGGGAGCATAGGATTCTTATATATTCATAATGCATACATTACAGACATCAAATTGTGCCTATCAAATTTCCATAATTTTACAGATTTAGATGATTTCGAACTCTAAATTCAATTTGATTACCTGGGAATAATCATTTCTATTTTAAAACGAATTTTAATTGTGGTATTAACTGGATTCTTTTTAAAAAAATCGGATATTAATTCGATGGGAATTTTATTAACTTTGTTTTGCATATTAAACACTCAAATGTTACAAAAATATACCAGCACACACAATTCAACTTCTACGTTTCAGTAAATAATATGTTATTTCTATTCAAATATCAAAAATAAGTAAGGAATTTAAAAAATAGACAGTGTAGTAATCATTAGAACATTTATCATTTTAGACATAACGAATTTGATATAAGCATACAAAAATGCAAAAGAAGCTCATTTATTATTCGGCAGGTTGATTATTTGCCTGGCCAGCTTCTTCTTGATTTTCTGTAGCTTCTGTTTCATCTGCCTTTGGCTGTGTTGCATCATCATCGCCTAAGTTATCATCAAAGCCTTCATCACCCTGGAGAAGTAAATAGCAATGGGAATCTTCTTTCATTTGGGAAGCAATAGTTGCATTTGGATCGAGTGGCTTGTCAAGATATTTGAACTGTCTGTAAGAGAGATGATCAAAACCACTTCTATCAAAGCGAAGAAGTGCAACATTTGCAAGCCATTCGACATTCTGCTTGCCTTCACCAACACTAACTGTGTATGTCTTATCTCTGATGTGAACGTAAATCTTCATTAATTTAACGTTTATTAAAAAGTGTCGGGCAAAAAAAAAGATCTTCACACCCATAAAATTCATCAAAGTTAATTCAATATCACTTTACAGAATATCGTCATAAATGCAAAGCATCTAGTCTCAACGTTTGAAAGCAATAATATTATTACATTTAAAAATGCGGACAGTATTCCCGATTGCGATTATTTTTAATTCAAAAGACGTCATATCACAGTATTTCATAAGTTTATTGAATAATACTGTTATATAAAAACGATATATCCCCGTTCACATTAATAAGAATAAAATGAAATTCATTTTAAGATCTGCCATGTAATCAGAGTGAAATTCGTTTCAAAGTAGAAATCTAAAAAATTAAAATGTTATTGTTCAAAAACAATTTCAGAAATATATTTGAATGATTCATGTGGTATCTTATCATGATGCTGTACTTTCGATGCAATTGAAAAAAATAATGAACTTTCATGAGATGTGAAATTATTAAATTGAAATTATTCATGACTCAGGATTTTTTCCCCATCAATTGCTTTGTATTAGGGAACTTAAAGAGTCTTTCCTGTATACATTAATAATTTTATTGGTAAATTTATAATTGAGAGTATAATGATCACATTTTTCCTAAATGTTAGTCACCGTTACGGTTTTTTCTTTGGGTGGCGAGCTTGCGAGCCCCCCAAAAAAGAAAAAACCGTAACGGTGAGCTCACATTTCGGCATAGTTTAAGTCTAGGTTTTGCATTTTAAAATGTTTGTTACCTTATCTTCTTTCAAAAAGTGGCAAAAATTTGTTTGAAATTTGAAAAAGATATTTTTATTTGCATAAATGACATTCAACTAAGCTGTAGCATGATTCTTTTGCATGCTCTAGTTTTTTTCTCAGTTCAATCTCCTTCCATACTCTTGCTTTTACCAGTAAGATCGCACCAAAATTCTCAAAATTTAAGATCTCCAAATTTTATGTCCAACTCCAATTATCAAACGCCCTCATTAACGCCACTCATAGCCATCTTTCATGCATGAGAAATCGTTATGAGAAGATTTTTACGGCTAATTATCTGATTCAATTCAGATCAATACTCAAAGCCCCATTATTTATTTATAAATCCTTGTTTGTCGCCTATGCGAATAAAAATTCTTTTTATATTTTAAACAATTTTTTTTCACTTTGGAAGGAGAAAGGTGAATAACATTTTAAAAATGCAAAAACCGACTAAACTATTTCTAAATCCATGCATTCGCTGCTACCTATAATAATTCTGTTTCAGATTATGATTTTCGGTTCGTATTTAATTTTAACATACAGAATCTGAATGACGATGATTTATAAATGATTTTTCATAATAATAAATTCGATTTCGAAAATTAAATCAAAAGTCTAATAATTGATGGCAAAATGTATTATATGTATATTGATTTGACGTAATAATTATATTTTTGATTAATATTTTTATTTCTAAAGAGCAATAAAATATTTTCATTTCCTCTTTTTCTTTTTTTAGAACGGAAGACTCCATGACTTTTCTTTCATTCAATATTGATATGGAATATATTTAATTTGTCATTCGATTTTAAAATTATTTGGTAATTTCAAATCTCTTTTTTTTTCTTTTGTGTTTGCACATGATTTCGATTGACAATCCACGAAAATTGTTTATTTTATAAACAATCCATTAAAATTGCTGGATTTTGGTTTTGAAAGGCTTTTCAAAATAATATCCAGTTTTATAAATCTCTTCTTTATTATGAATCGATTTATATTTTCGTATTTTTGAGCTGGAATTACAATAACTGAAAATTCAAAAGTGGAAATATGTTTATCACAAATTTTGAATAGCACAAATTCAGATAAACCAGAATTTATTTACTCATTATTTCAGATGCCAAGGTATAAACCGAAGCATAATATAATAGTGATACATTTTAACCCTACAGATCCATTCACTTATTACGATATACTCGGAAAAGGTGTAAATGATACAAAATTGTTAGATATGAAAACTATTAAAGAAAACAAAGAATTGTATGCTTTAATTCATCCACATGTTCCTCCACCTCATCCAATTCCTATAATAGACTCAATACAAATTGAAATACAACCAAATGCACCCTATATTAATAACAATTTAAGTCTAGCTCCACCTGATACCCTGGATGATCAAGATTTTAGAGAATTTTGTGTAACAAATGAAGGTGGTAATACCAATTTCAATGAGTTGATTCAGTATATTTAAATGAGGAAGATTTTCTTCCTCCAGATGATTGCTTTTAGAAATATTTATCATATCCTATATCAGATATGAAATTCACAAGGCTTAGATTTTAAAAAATTATCTCAAAATGTTTTGGATTTTTTTATAAATAAAAAGATAATATACATAACAAATAAAAAATATAAGATATGCTGATTGCAACATTAGTTACGCTTGAGTACTTTCCTGAGATTCTGGTTTGCAATTTCCGAATAAAGTAACAACTTCCCAAAGCTGTGGAGGGGCTATAGCATTTTGTGCACCATGATCTTTGACATCTTCATGAACGCAAACAAGAATTGATTCGCATGATGCAAAAAGAAGTGTTTCTACGGAGTCAACAATATAGAATATAATAATATATGTCATGGATACGAAGATTGTTGAATAAAATAATCCAATATAGCTAGATATAAAATATGCAATTGCAGAAAAAGTCAAAGAAATAGAAATCTTAATAAACCAGAACACCCTGTAAATAATTATTTCTGTTGCAGCAAAATTCGGATCCATAATGGCATCCACAGCCCATTTGCAAGAATCCCAGAAAGAAACTCCTTTCAAAGCCGTGAAAACAAAAGAGAGTCTATTAATATCGCCAGCTATCTTTGTAATGATGATAAATAGAGAGATTAGACAATTAATCAGAAATTTGACAAATCTGTTTTGTACTTTTTCTGAGTACTTTTTCAGCCTTTTGAGGAGATATACGAGATCGCTGAGTAAATATATGATAAACGATCCAAGGAAAACTGTGCCTGTATGATATTTAAGGATATGTTTGATTGATTCTGATAATGATGGGGGTTCTTTCTGGAAATATAAGCGGCATACAATTCTGGAAACTGAAATTCTCAAAAGTGTCCTAAGAAATTCATAAAACCATTGGCCTGCGAGTATAAATAAGATAATTGGCCAAACAAGTGATCCATGGCTTTCGATTTTCATTCTTCCATCTGATACTACTGCATCGCCTATTCCTTTTGAAAAGAAATAACCGAAAACGACAAATGCAAATGCAAACAGTCCTCCAAAGATAAGTATTGGGGCTACATGAAGTAACGAAGGTACTCTTCTGAATATATCAACTGAAACGGAGACCATTGGCGAAATTGCTGAGATATTTTTCCTGAAATAAATAAAAATGAAAATTAAGCTTATTGTAATGCTAAGAAGGAAAGCAAATGATGAGTAAAATTGATATCTTATTGCAAATACGGATGTTCCTCCTGTTAAAATGCATGAAGCAAAAATTGCTACTGTAAATAAAATCGAAGTAATCTTTGCGCATATAAAATAAACAGGTAATGATAAAACTATAACTATGGAAGCAAAAATAACGATGTATATCCAGTATGACAAGAAATCATCTACTAATTTAAACTTGTACGGGAGTTTTTTCATACTTTTTGCATCTAGCGGGATACAATATCGGAAAAATTTCCTTCCTGTGCACTGATTTGAGCAATAACGCTGAGTTCCATTTAATATAACGTAAGGAAAGTTTGTAAAATCATGATCTGTTGCACCGTATTTATTGTTATTAATTCCGCATCTAAATCCTTTTTCATTTTCAGGATGAATGAAGGAAAATTTAAAACCAGTTATTAAAACACCGCAAAAAACAAATAAAACTGCAACAAAAATAGGTAATGAGAAATGATAGCAGAGACTATCAGTTGTTATACCTCTGTCTCCAGGAAATTCCAATTCCTCATCTTGTTTAAGCATAAAAAATTTATCAAATTAAATCTTTAAAATCTTTAACCGTCACTTTCACAAATAAAATTTTATTCGAAATTTTCTAAAATTAAATTTGTGTTTTAAAAATAGTTGACTCGATAATTTTATTTGAATGCAATCAATTTTCAAAGTGCTTGTCAAAAAATCTGCCCATGAGATTTTGAATCCAAATCATTAAGAGTAACATTATTGCCCTGATACAAATACATGTTTTAACATTGTTGTTTTAAAATAACCGGATTTTGAAAAATTTAGATTGAAATATATGCAAAAAGTTGTATTCAAGCAGCATACAGAAAGTCAATCATGAGTTTTTGCACCACTTAAGGAGAAAATCTCCTATTGATTAGATAGATAAATAAATAAAATAATATAGGCTTATTATTACGTTTTTATCAGCTACACTAATTTGATACATATTTTTATAAGCCAACATAATAGTTTTGGGTATGATATGGTAATAATACATTTCTTCTCAATCAGAATAGCATTATTTCTTTCCTCTTTAATAAATTGTGTACATACTTTAGTAGTGATAACATGCATTTAAATTGAGGGTCGCTGATCCACGAGAAAGCCTTGAAAATCACAATAGTCAAAAAAACCTCTCAATTTTAATGGTGAGAATCCACATGAGTAGCCCAATTCTTCAACGATCAAAAAGCTTCAAGAACGCTCATTATGCAAAGATCACTATCAACGATAAAGAATTTAGAATTTCTCAGTCTCATGCAGTTTCAATGTTCGAAAAATTTTACTCTTGTTATCTTTTAGACTCAACATTTAATCATCTTCATATAAATTGTAATGTTAAGTACCAAGACTCATACGATGCCTTTGCACATTTAATTTTATATGGAGTTGCCGATTTGGAGTGCAATGAAAACGTTCTAAAAGATCTTTTTGCAATAGGAAAGGCTCTTGGATGTGAGGAACTTATGAACCTATTCAAAGTATACGTTGTTGACAAAATGGAAATTGATGTTGATAATTGTCTCAAAATTCTTGAATACTATATTGATATAGGTTCGGAAGAAAATATTATTAAATGTATTGATTTTGTTGCTTCAAAATTTTACACAATTGACATAGAAAAACTGAAATTACTTTCAATTAAATTCGGATTTGATGTTATACAAAGAATACTCAATAATGACAAACTTGCTATAGCTACAGAGGATTTATTAGCCAGTTATATCATAGCCTTGACCAAAAAGAGCAAAATTTTCTTTCCGTTAGTTGAATTGATTAAATTTGAACACTGCAGCGACCAAATTGTGAAAGAAATATATGAAAATACTGATAAACACACATTTGAGTTCATTACTAAGTCTCTTTATGAAGCATTGATTAGATCAAGAGATCCGAAGAATATTGAAAGATCAATTTATAAATCTAAATATTTCCGAAGTGGAAACGTCATTATGTCTTGTTCTTCAACTTATGACGGATCTCCTCAATACATAAATAAGTATGAAGAAGATCATTACTTTATGAGTAATTCTAATTCATGGGTTGAATGGAGAATTAAAGAAAAATATTCAATTCAGCCATTTGAATACATTCTTAGAATTGCTCCAGAAAATAAACATGTTTCAAATCATATTCAATCATGGAAGATTGAAGGAATTACTGTTGATGGGGAATCTAAAGTAATTTCTGAAGTATTTAATTCTCCAATGAAAGAAGGTGAAATCAGAAAAATCCCAATTAAAGCAAATGATAGATTTAAATCATTTAAATTGATTCAAAATGGAACAAATGTTGAAGGTAATTACTATCTTTTAATTGATGCATTTGACTTTTCAGGATTTATATTTGAAATCGAGGAAAAGAAGAAATAAATACTTTTTTTAGCTAATTATTGATATTCTTTAGAATTTTATAGCTCTGAGCTCTCATCATACTCTTTGCTTTTGGTTCACAAAATCAACAATAGGCATACTTTCCCAAAATAAATGATGTGAATGGATTGCTAATCAAAAATATGTATGTAACTCCCCTTTAGAGCAATCAATTTCGAATTAATCGAGGCAACAACTTTGAGAGTTTAGCTAGAAAATATTTCCAAAATTTATTGCTAAATACCTATCCATAACGTGAATTGGTAATGTTCGCACAATCCATACTCGAATTTCTCTTTGTTAAAAAATAGAGAGAACATGAGAATAAAAAGGAAGATGATAACAATGATGATTTAGTTATCAATGTTTTCCAATCAGGTTTCAACAACATTCCTGTACCTACACTGAACATAATAATATGGGTGAAGCGGGCATTCTCTGTGTAAAGCAATTCAAAGCATACATTAAAGAATTGTTTGAATCAAAATCTCTTGAAACAGTAATAATTAAATCTGCATTCTTGTACAGTCCCATGCATGACTTTCATATGAAAATTGTTAAAATATATTCCGACAATCATTGAAAGATATGGCATATTTTCATATTTCTTCAGACCATTTCAGAGATAAGACATGAATTATAGTTTGATAACTCGGATTTTCCTACAAGTCCAAAAAAAATGCCTTATCAATTCTGAGATATGGCAAATTGAAAAAATTTGACATTCATTTTCGGTGATGCCCAATCACTTTGATAGTATAATATGCATTTTTGGAGATGAGGAAGAAGTTGATAAATGTTGCCAAGACTTCGAAGCTTCCAAAATTAAATGGGATCATGAAGATCAATTATGTTTTTGTCAATTCATTGATCCACTGCCATCAATTGTAATTTATACAGATGGAGAAAGACATTTAAAAGAGAAAAGATTGCTCACCGATGAAGAAAAAAAGATAGTTGGCGAATATCTTGATTATCCATCAAAATATTGGGATGTTGAATGTTTATGTCAGGAAGGGCATTTAGTAAGGCATAATAAAAATATGGCGATTTACTCATGTTGGACACCCAATGTACCAATTGCAAGAAGAATTTTTAACATTTTTCACATGAAATATCCTAAATTAAATATAAGCTTCGAAGGAGTTGCCGAATTTTGCCCTGAAACCTATGTTAAATTTCTTATAAAAGCAGATTCTCCAGTAATGACCATCGAAGAAATAAATCAAAGACATGAAGAAGAGCGGCGACGTAAAATTGAAGAAATTTTAAGGATGCTTAACTACCCTTTTTTTCCCCTTGCAACAAATTGATTAAAAATATTTAATTGAATTTTTATAAAACAAACAAAAAAAATTTTACAACAATAAAAAAATAATTAAGATAAATATTACCAAAATGGTGCCCAGCCACTATACATCTTTGAAAGATTATAAGCGCTTGTTGCTGAGTTAATCAACAGCTCTGTCTGTTGTTCAACTGTTAGCGGCTGTCTCTTCTTCTTCGCCATGTCTGTTCCTGTCAATTTACTCTTGACAACTGATCTGATTTCGTCAGTCATTGATTCGCTTCTTGGAATTCCGATTCTCTTTCCTCCAGCCATGTATGTGTCCATAACCTTGTGGGCTGGTTTCCTTCTCCTCACTGACGGAGAATCGGGGACTTCAATCAATGGCTCGTGGACGAAAATCGCGAGAACTAAAATGAGAACTCTCCAATTTTCTCTCAAAATTGCCAAAATGTCACTGAATGAAGATTTGAAGATTCCGTTGTATCCAGTCAATCCCATTGCTTTCACCATCATTCTGGTGAGCCTGAATGGAACAACTTCAGGGAGATAAGGTCTGTTCATTGCTTTCTCGAAGCAATCACCGAAATCGATGTGAACGACTTTTCCTGTGATTTTATCAATCAAAATATTTCCAGGATGTCTATCTCCCAAACCAATGACGTATCCGATTGCGTCGTTGATGGAATTCGATGTAGCAAAGGTATCAATCATCTTTAGCCAGTGCTCAGCGTCAGTCGCCTTCAGCCAGAAGAAAGAAGCAATATCAGTATCAGGATTGATTCGACAGAAATTGTTGAAAATTTGCAATTTCTGTATCGGCATCATGTTATCGTAACTGATATACATTGTTTGCTCGAGCATCTTGAATTCGTCTTGTTTCTCATCGAATTTCCTGATCTTCCTGTATTGATCTATAACGCTCCTCAATGTATCTGTGCCTGGAACCCATTGAACTAATCCATTCGTTGAAGAAATCGGAATAACAGACATCGTGTGGAGCAATAAATCTTTCATCACACATTCTTTCTTCAAAATTGAATTGACCAATCTGAAGAACTGCATAACTCTTTCATCCAATCTCAAGTCTTCGTGTCCTTTAAGTAGATACTGATACATTGATCCATCTTCACCTTTGATAACTAATGATTTCGGCTGTTGTTTCGTGTCGTAAATCATTAATTGTTCGATGAAATATTGGATTCTTATTATCTCTTTTTCGGGTTTATAAGTACCAGGGACAGCGAGTTTGAAGTGAGTTATCTGGCAGAGTTCTTGGGATATCGATTGCAACTCGATGTATTTGATATCTCTGCATGCAATTGCAAGTGCCGATTCGAAGGAATTTCTCCAAGAAATCAAGGAATTCATGTGGAAATGACTCGAAGGAGTAAATGTTTCCAACAAATGTTCAGCTTGGCTCAACTCGTTTGCGAATTGTTGTTTAACAACTTCTTCTAGCAAACACGTTGGTGTTTTAGTTGTTTGAACAATGTCATCAATAGATTCAACGATATCATTCCATCTTCCATCGGAAATTGCGTCTTTTATGTCCAAAACAAATTGTCTTAACCAATCATACCATGTAACACTGACTCTCAACAAAGCATCTCTTATTAGGATGACTTCTGATGCTTCTTGAGGCATTGCTGCTTGGAATTCTTGGAAAAGATTGGAGGCAACTCTGCATCTCCTTTCATTTGATGATTCTTCCATGACAATGATCGAAAAAATAATTGCATGGTAATGTTGTTTCAACATCTTGAAAATGATGTCATGAACAAAATTCGCGACATCTCTCGATGGATGAGAAAGTTGTACAAGCAATTGCAATGTACTCTTCAACAATAATTGAGGAGGCAAATTCTCAATCGACTCAGATGTTTTAGAGAAAACATCAGGATGATCAGCGTGATCAAAGAAAATGTTCAAAAGTTGGACAACGTCAGGGAAAGAAGCGTCTTGGTTTACGCATTCTGTTAAACAAGAAATTGCTGTTGTCACGTAACTATCGACATTGTTTTGACCATTTTCAATGAGTTCAGCTGCAACGAAAGCCCATTTTCGAAGCACTTCCGCTCTCATTACATTCGATGTCAAATTCAAAAATGTTGATTGAGTAAAAGTATATTCTGTGAAAGAAGAAGTAACTCTAGAGATTCTTCTCGATGAATGTTCGTTTTCACTTGACAATCTTCTTTGTATCTTGTTGTTTCCAGTGAGTTTCGCTGCTTCTCCGAGGCTTTGGTACGCAGTTAACAAAGAATCAAATGAATCTTTTGTTTCTATCAACCAACTTGAATAAAGATACAAACATTGGCATCTTAATGTATCTTTTGTTTGTGGAAGCATTTCTGAGATCATTTGTATTGCTTTCTCTTTTTCTCCACAGTTATATCTAGCAATGATGTTGCACAATCTATCAACGAAAGGTGCTGATCTTTCATTGTATTCTGGGAACAAAATATTAAATGTATTCATGTGGATTTGAGCATTATGTTCAGGACTTTTGAGTAAAAAGAATTTAATCAAGTTTTCATCACGAGTTTTTGTTATACAAACTCTATTTGAAATTAATTCGAACCAAATGTGGAAGTTTCTTGGCGCAGTAACTAATCTTTGTGCCCAGTTCTTTTCGAACGCAATTTTATCAGTTGAATTCATGTATTTCATCATTTCTTCGATTTCAACTAATTTTTGCGCTTGAAGAACGATTTCTTTATGAACTTTTTGATGCTCAGCCCAAAAAGAGAAAGGTCTAGAGGCAATTAAAGAAAATCCATGATCAATACAACTTGAAATCTTTTGGTATTGTTCAGGAGATCTTTCTCCCAAATAAGTATGTAATCCATGGAGTGCAATCATTATGTTGCAATGGAAATTGTCTTCAGGAGAGAATTCCAAGAATTGCTCCAACATATCCCATTTTCCAAGATGAAGAGCTGCTTCTGCCAAAAGAGGAGATGATTGTGTCTTAATAGATCTTTGCTGTTTCTCGAATTCATCTGTGAAATCAATTACTGATTTCCATTGATTCAATCCACAGTAACTTTCTATCAAAGAAATAAAAGTATTAGGATCTTTTGATTTAGATCTAAACTTGTTTTTCAAGTATTCAACAGATTGATCATACAACTGCAATTTTGTTAAAATTACAGGATCTTTCAAAGTTGTTTTACACATGTTGTAAATTGCCAATGCATTTGGTCTTTGTCCCAACTCCAAATATATATTTATTATCTTTTCAAGAGCTTTTTTATCTGTTGGTTTATATAATTCTTCTTGGAGTTTCAAGGCAAATGAATAATAACCATATTTCATTGACGCATTAACAACACTTTGTTTAGAAATAGGAATATCTTTTTGAATCTTATGCATGAAAACTAACAAAGTTAAAAGAATTCTTCCTACTTGTTCATATGTTTCTTTCGATTCTAAAATAGCTAAGATAGTTTTCGCCATCATCTCTTTTCCATCTTTTGACAATTCATCCCAAACTGTCAAAAACACAATGTTAAACATACTTAAAGTGAAAGTTTCAGAAGATTGAGAAATACTTGTGCATTCTCTAATGACTAATTTAGGATTCGTTGATATCATTAATCTTGTTAAATTAATCAACCATTGTCTTAAATAGCTTTCTTCGCCAAAACTTGGATTTGACAATTTTTGCATAATTAAATCTTCATTAAATGAAAATCCTGAATTAGAATTGTCCAAAGGAACAACATTCGGTTTTTGTGGAACAGGAGTTGTTACATTATATGTCCCAACTTCTACTGATGTAACAACACTTATAAATTCATCGGATGTCAGTTTCTTAGCCATCATTTGCGTCATGATCGGAGAAGCACTGAATAAAAACGGTTTGCCATAAGATTTGACAAAAACCGTCATCATTTCAATACCAGCGGCTTTAATTGCCTGATTTTCAGAGAAAATACTTGTTCTCATTGATCTTAAGATCATTCCTATAAACGGCATTAAGTTATGTGTCGGAGCGAAACTCGACAAAACCTTTAAAGAAGCAACAACAACTTCAGGAATTGTTTTATCACAAATAATTGCATCGCAAACTTGATTAACAATTAAATTCGCTTGGTCGAAAGTATAAGGATTCAATTGTTCAAAGATTTGGAGTATTAATAAAGCAGATTCCAAATCACTTGTCTTAGAATTATCCATACTTTCTATTAACAAACAAAACAAAGAATGAGAAATAGGAGTAAAAGCATCACGAATTGAAACAACCAAAGCTAAAATAATCTTGATTTGCTGCAAACTAAGATATCTTTTCTTTTGAACATTATTCAATACAAAATTAAATATCTGAGGAACAAAATGAACAATGACATTTCCCGCCTTATAAATGAAAGGTATCAATATCTCTACATATCTACTTTTCGTGTCATCATCCTTAGAAGTATTCAATAAATTCAAAAGTTGGTTTGCGAAATAATCAATCAAAGGAAGCATCCACAATTTTTGTGGTTGTATTACTTTGACAATTGCTTCACTTGCAATTGCGTGATAATCCTTTTGTGAGATGTCCATTAATATATTAACTAATGACATCATAACGTAATGACCAATATATATTTCTTCCTTTCTTTTATCCAATAAATATGATTCATCAATTTCGGTGTCAGAATCTCTACTTGGCTGGAAGAATTTTCTTGCGAGATCTTCATCGATGTTATCAGGAAGAGGTGTTGTTATTGGTGGATTAGTTGGATGCAAATCCAAAACACCTATTGCACCGAAAACTCTCAATATTGCTATACGTGTTTTTCTTGAAACAGTTATATACAACAATGCAGAACAAGCATTAAAAATTGTTGCACACGTTGATCTAACAGCTACAGAAGCGGCAGGAGGTGTCAACAAGTCAAACAAACAACGAAGAACAGCAAGAATCAATGCTCTTGGCATAGATAATTGTAGATAACTACATAAGTCATTAACAATCTGTTCAATGTTGTTTTCAATTTTATCTTTGTCGTTTACAGCAAATAATGGCAAAGATTCAATCAATCCTATTTTTAATGTAACATCATTATTCTCTTCAATGAAATTGATGTACGGACTTTCTTCTTCAACATTGTTTTGACTCATGACATCAAAAAATACTTCCAAAAATATATCCGTGTAAACTTTGATAAATTTTTGACCGGCTCTGAAAATATGAGGTAATAAACGACCGATTCTTCCTCTTTGTCTGATGGATGTGATATTCTTGAGTGCGTAGAAGTAGTCGATGATGCATTGCCTAATTATTCCCGTAACTGTCATAGGATTGATTTCAATTAAATTTCCAAGAATTTTAATTGTTTCAATTCGAACGGAATAAGCATCATCATTCACGAAAACCTTCAACATCTCCAATGCTTTGGGTGTAGCAAGTTCTTCGAGACAGGATTCGGCGATACTCTCTAAAACTGCGCATCTGACACTTAAATCGAGGTCTGACATCGCTCTTTGTAGTTCCTGGAGGACAATCGATTGTGCTGAGATGCTTTCGTTCGATTGGAGAATGTTAAAAATGGCTTTCGGAGCGGTTTTTCGGATAGATACGGATCTTGATGTCGTAAATGGAAGAACCATCATTAAAAGCTGGTTATCTGGTGGGAAGTACTCTGATGGCATGTTTGCAATAAGTTGGAGACTGAATAATGGGGTTTCTGTCGTTAATTCTTTTTGGAGTTTTCCAAATAGGGAATTTAGAATGTAATCTGGGAAGATGTCGTCGAGGGATGTAAGGACAAGGAAGAAATCTCTGTAATTAATGGATAATGGAGCTTGTACAAGCTTGTGTGCCAAAGATGAATCAAATGGAACGAAAGAATCAGGGTCAAATTGAAGGAAATATGAAAGTAAACTAAAGGCTTCTGAATACATCTCGTGATTTACTAAAGAATTGGCGATTTCTTTGATTGATTCCATATTATCCAAAACAAAATCGGGAACAAACTTCGAAAGTTGGATTAATGAGTTCGTTAGCTCTGTAGTAAATTCAAGAATCATCTCTTTGACGTGAGTGAAGTAGTTATCTCCGAAATAATCCATAAATTGTGCAGAATCTGCGTAAGAAATGGATGATTCAAGGCATAAGCAGTTCGATTGTACAAGAGGTGTTGATGTTTCGTAAATATATTCGATTTGTCCGCATAAATTTTGAATAAAAGGAGTAAAGTAATCATTTACTTGAACGATCAAGCATGTAAGTAATCTGATAGCGGCATTTTGTTTGGCAGGATCATTTAATGTTAGTAATGATAATGAGAGCTTGCTTAATACTTCTAAATAGTTCAGAAGTTCCGATCTGCGATAACGAAGTACTGCTGTAGTAAATGCTGAATATGCGGCAATAGTTGCATCTGAAACACGTGTTGATTGATGAACAAGTAGTATATTTGAAGCAGATAAGATAGAAGAAAGGTAAATTACGACGCTACTGCCAGCATTATCGGATAATTCGTAGATCATCCATGCTGCAGCAAGATGGCGTTCTCTGCGGCCGTGAGAATGAAGCCAGCCGATTAAACGATTGATTAAATGAGAAACGTAATGAGATTGTTCTAAATTTGGATGATGAATTAAATTTCCTGCGACCCAACTTGTAAATTTGACAAGTTCAATTTCCTTTTGAGGTATAATTCTGTCAAATAAATTTGATAAAACGGTAAAATTATTGTACCCGAACGAGTGAAGCGAATTAATTGCTATTGCTGTTCTAAATGCATCTTCTGGTTTGGATGATTTGGCTAGACTCTCTACTAATTGTAAATATTTTTCGATGTATTCGGTAAGAGATATATTACTCATGCGCACCATTTCGTGGTAGAATTCAAAATAATATTTGTCGTATTGCTTTTTCATCTCTTCATATGTATTAGGGAGAGAATAGCTCGACAAATTCATCTATAAAAAATTTTTTAATATTCACTTCAATTATAAAAATTTTACAATATTTATGGAGATAAAATAGTGTATTTTCAACAAAAAGCGATTAAAAAAATTGAAAGATAGCGGAACTTTATTTCGTTTCAATTTTGATGATAATTTGACCGATCAAAAATTGTACTAGATAGATCCTGATAAACTATAAATTGAAATTTTTTATTATAAAATCTGTCGTTTAAAAATGAATCCTTTTCTACTCACAATTCCTTTCAAATTTTGTGAGAATGTGTAAAGATAAATAAACAGTTTTTTCAATCCCCATAGGAAATAAATTTTCCAACACCCTAATGCTGTTAAAATGTTACATATTAAGTTCTGTCAAAATGTAAGCTATTGAATTTTTTGAGAGGGAAATAATCGTCGAGGAAGTAAAAAGTGACGCTTTAGGAAATATTATTAGAAATATGATAATAAATATATTTGAAAAAATATGTTTTTTTCCAAAATTGAAATGTTCATAGAATATTTTGAAATATGTAGGGAATTGAATTTGGTAATATATGATAAACAGGATTTTTAAATTTCAAGGAAAAATAGCTTTTGTGAATACTTTTGAGAACTCTTCTCAAAGATCATGATTCAAATATATTAAAGAGCCAAAATATTAGAGATGACTTCATAATCAAAATTTTACATTTTAATTATTTAGAAAAACGTATTAACCTCAATAAAAAATATCTCAAAGATTAATAGTTAATTTAGGGTTTCCTAGCTATCTAGAGGGAATTGTTCCTTATGATGTATATATTTATAATGTATGCATCATAAGGAACAATTCCCTCGCTGAAGTGAGAAAACTTGTTCGCAATTGTTTATCATTTCGAACAAGTTTTCTCGTTTTTAATAACAAACTAAAGGCTATGAGGCACTGATTATATATTAGTGCCTCATAGCCTTTAGTTCCCAGTAGATAGCTGGGAAACTTTCTCCAAATGATAAGTTATTTAGAGAAAGTTTCCCAGCTATCTAGAGGGAATTGTTCCTTATGATGTATATATTTATAATGTATGCATCATAAGGAACAATTCCCTCGCTGAAGTGAGAAAACTTGTTCGCAATTTTCATTGCGAACAAGTTTTCTCGTTTTAATAAAAACTAAAGGCTATGAGGCACTGATTATATATTAGTGCCTCATAGCCTTTAGTTCCCTGTAGAAAAGATCGAAATTTTATTGTGATTTTAACTGATCTATATTTCGCTTGCGTTATTTGAATCTTTTCTTTTGCATATGTCATTCCTTTCACTTTTCGAATTTCATTTGCCTGCATGCTCTCTCGTTTTGGTTGAAAATCAACTCAATCTTAAAATGAACTTCTTCATTCTTTACAATAAATTCAATTTTTTTCGAGATATATCTTTATCTACCCCTATGTGAGCTGCATATTCTTTCTCGCTAAATTCTTTTGATTCTTTAGAGCTAAAAATCAAGTTTAATAAAAATAATGTTTATTCATAATTTTGAAAACCAAATTCAAATTTGAATGAGAATTTTTGAAAAAATATAGAATATTTCAATAGTTTGGAATCTCTTCAACTTCCCACTGCTTATTAACACATTTTTTCCAGAGCGGTTTATCATCCTTGGTCCATTTCTTAAATTTGTTGTAAACCTCTCTTGGAGTGTATGGTCGAACTCCAATTTTTGGATGAGCGCCATGTGGCATGTCATTGTATTTTTTCCTGAATTCTTCCAATTCCTGATTGATGCTCTCAAATTCTGAAGACTTTGGAGCATTTTTGTCCAGTGATGGCCAGAGGCGTTCAATTTTGCCATTTTGACGTGGCATGTATGGAGCTGATTTTCTGATTTGAATGTCATAAGTACTCAAAAATTTTGTGAACTCTCCCTCATTTTCTTTACCGTTATCTGACCAGAAACAGAAAGGTGCTCCATATTTTTGAACTGTTGCAATTGCCACTTTTGAAGTTTCTGTTGAACTTTTGTTACGAAGCAATTTCAATGCTAACAAATAACGACTTTTGTCATCAATTATTCCATAAACCGGTAAAGTTTCTGGTTCTTTCAAAAAATGAATATCCACATGCCAGATTGTATTTGGAAGAATTGCTTCATAATCCACATAATATGCTTTTGGATTACTTTTATCTTTTTCTTTGTAAATTCCCAGAAATTTTGCTGCCTTAATAACTGCATTGTAACTGATTTGAAATTGTTTTGGATTCATATTGAGAGTCCAATACAATTTTTGAACTCCACATTTGTAATTTTCATAAGAATTCTGAACCTTCAAAATTAATTCTGGAGTTAATTCCTCTTGTGGAGGACCACTTTTAATTTTTGGTGTACCACCGATTTCTTTGAATGCTTTTTTGAGAGTATTTCTTGAAATTTGTTTGAAAATTGTAACATTTTGATAAGAATATGGAACTTTTTTCAAAACTGTTGCGTATGTTAACTCACCACTTTCAAGTTTTTCATACATATATCTTACCCATTCATTTGGAATATGAGGTCTCGAGTTTTCTTTCATTTTTTTTACTTTACAAAACTGTTTATTTTTCAGAATTTTTAAATTTGAAAAAATCCATTCTATATCTGATAAATAATATATTATTTTTCAATCAAAATATTTTGATAAAGGTAGGGCAACGATAGAAAATTTTTGGAAAAAAAGTTCGGAAATCTTAAACGTATCATATTCCCTGCATGGTTTGGTATCTTCCGCCATGCGTTGTGCCAAACATATTGACACTTTCCAATAATTAATTTATGGTATGAGTCACAGAGTTAGATTATAAAAAGAAAGTAAATAATTGCAATTAGAAATCATATATGTCGGAAATCAAATGTTGATGAGCAGAAACCTTTTACTCATCATAAAAGAGATAAATCACTAAAGATTTGTATACATTAAAATTTGATATTTGGTGCTCGAAAACTGTCTGATGGGACTCCTCCAAAATAAACCAATCTATCGCTGAGGACCAAATTAGATGATGTGGATGGTGTATTCTCTAATTCTAACTTAGGAAGAATGGGAACAAAACGAATGACGACAACAACATGTCAAACATAGATTAAATATCTATGAATCAATAAAGTATACGTGCATTGAAGGTGATAACAATCACTTGAGGCTTATAACTCTTTGACTAAATTATGCAATAATTAAATATAATCATTTTTATATTTTTATACTGATAGTAATTAATATACTATCCTGCTTAATAAATGGTATGATCAAATTTGTTTGAAAATTTAATTATGTATATGAAACTATGTCTTCTATATAAAAATCAAAATTTTCGGACGAACCTAGATTGAACCTTTATGAAAATCTATCATTTTTGTTAATTGAGTTAATATGAATCTTTTACATATGTATATATAGCATTGATAGCTTATATAATCATGGTTTATTCCATATTAACATATTTTTTCAGTTAAATTTGTTAATAATATCATGTAACAAATTAATTCAAGATTAGAATGTCTACAAAATGCTAACAAATAAGAACAAAATACGATTTCTCGACTTAAATTTTAATATGGAGTAGTTTTTCGTTTAAATCTAATTAAAAATGAATAAAAACTTATCTTGTACTATTTTCATTCAAAGATTTTAATAATGTAAATCATGCATTTTCATAATTCAGTACAGTTCTTTTTAGAATTAAAGTTGATGAGGATGATATTTGTGATTTAAAATAATTTGTTAATGTTCACCTTTTATTCATCACCTTGTGGTATGCCCTAAAGCAATAGCATTATCAATTCTGCTGAATTGATCAACTCAAAATTCCAAAAAAAATTCAAAATTTCAAAAATGAAATTAAACAATTTGAATTTTCACATGAAAAAATCAATTTCGAAAAAAATTTGGAAAATCAAAGTATTTGATAATTAGTCAAATACAATAATCAATTTACATCGTTTTTACTCATAAAAAACAACTAATTTTTGATTTTGATATCATATTTGATAAATACTCATTCCAGAGTTGACGTAATGTATTAATTATTGTTAGAGATATTGCTTTCGCAGCAAAATTCTTATTTCATGAAAGAAAAAAAAAATGATTTTATTCCAACAAAAACAAGTAAACAGATGAATGGAAACGTACTATATTTTCATAAATGTAGTAATCAGCGTGTCGCTTTTGTTTATCATGTTCGAGTCAAAATGTATTAACTTGTAATAAGAAATATTCGAAGATTATATGAAGTATTGAGCATTCTTTGTAGAAATATTTGTAATTCATTACTAACATATATAATAAAGTTGTTTTTTTTTCCTTATTGCAATAATTTTGTCTGATTTTAATAACTTTTCATGTATACGAGTTGTGTGAATATGCATCATAATATGCGTAAATATACTTATTTGCGACGAATAATGTGGTTGCATAATGGAGGTGCTAAATTTTGATTTTTAATATGGGGCTTTGGTATGTATAATCATGTTCTTATCTCAACGTAGGAGTATTGGTGCAATATGATTAAAATTTACGAGGTTGATCTTAAATTGAATAATTCTGGAGTATAAATCACAATGCAGCTAATTCTATGTTAAAGATAGATACAGATTGTAGTAATCAATTAGGGAGTACAAATTCATTCTTTCATTTCTGTCGTATTGAGCATAAAGGAAGAGATCATATAACCCTAGAAAAAAAGCCCAAATTTGTCACTTTTCATAGTACGTTAAACTCAATTCGCTCGGCGAATGCCGAGCACACGTACTCATCATTCAATATAATATTCTCATTCTTTGGTTATTATAGTGCCAGACAACACAAGATTTCAAAGAATTACTTGAGTTTTCAATTAATCTTAATCCGATTTTAGATTTATCGAGAACTCCATCATCACAATCACATACTTCAGTGCGGTAACTACAATTATCCATATACAGAAGGAAGTTCTTTTCGAACAACTCATTTGGAGTCTGTTTTGGAAAGAACTTCTTTCTGTCCGACTTAATTTCATAGTTCCTGATCAACCAAAAGACAGAAACCACACACTATCTACTTAGGAAAGGAGTTCTTTCTAAATCTTCCTTAAATTGAGATTTTACGAGAGATAACCCTTCTATTGCACTTAAAAATAAACATTTTGATATCTTTAGTATCACACATGGTCATATATAGTATTTCATCTACATGAATACATTCATCTTTCGAAGTCTCTCATTAAATGGGAGGCTTCGAAAGATGAATCGTTTTATTCATACAACTTTAAATCTCGAACACATTTAGAGAGTGAGTATATCATTTTATTCTTGTTTTGAGTTTATTCTGATTCAAAATTGCAGTGAAAACAGAAGTTCACACATCATATCTGAATGTGAGCTCATCTATACTTATACGATCTCAATACCTCCACTCTAAGCATAAGAGGTGAAGTTATATAAAAATTATCAGATGCGTTGAAGTCTCAAAAGAATTGCCTGAATGCTTGTTTCATATTTGTCCAAGTAGTTTCAATGAATAAATGTATTGTTTTTTATAATTTCGATTTATTTTTAGAAAATATTCAATATAAACCTTTATTGTGTTATTTACATCTCATAAATTCTCTGTCTAAATCATATAAAAGCGCGTTTTACCCCTAAATTCAAGAAATTCATTCAATATTCATGGTATATTTATTAAATTTATACGATTTACTAATAATTAATATTATATCCTCATAAATAGCAATATATTTTGGTAATCTATGATAATCATATACAATATTTGAAATCAAATTTTCATTAGTTTAGGTTCCTTGTTAATAGTAAACCATTATATTTATTACTAATAATAAAATCTATGTGTCGTATTGAAATTCAATAAAATTACTTATTCGGTCCAAAAAAACAAATTAGATAAAATTTTTCTCTTTTTATGTAATTTTTGTTTTTCATTTTTCTCAAGATCCTAAGTTATCTTCTAACTTTTGACATCATATCCTATCATGCTAGGCTATATATTATAGCATATCCAAAAGGCAAGGAAATCTATCAGAGAAGCCTTTTTGACCTATCGTTGCCCTACCTCTATTTTGATTATCATCTCAAAAGTGTTCTCAAAACCTAGTTTTTCTTATTTTGGATAATCTTAATATTTATATTATTATAAACTAATTGAACACCATATGTTTTTGTATACTTTTACAAAAAAATTGATAGATTTGTGATACTTTCCCCAACGATAGAATTGAATAGCTTACATTTTGACAGAACTTAATATGGAACAAAAATTATAATATATTTCTCTTATCAGCAAGCTGTCGAGATAACTTAATGAAAACCATCATTTTTAAAAAAGATAAATTGAAATAATTTTTAGAGCAAACAAAAAGTTTATTCGATTCACATAAACAAACGTTTACAATGTTTGTAGTATATGCTTAGCTTTGCGCGGATCTACTGGAAAACCCTCAGTTATTGGAGAGATTTTCAAAAATTTCCTGTCTTATTCTAAAACTTATTCTATATACTTGACTTTTCGTAGAAATGTTCAATGGGTGGTGTTAAGGTTAACTAAATTTGGAATTTGATTACAACAAAATTAAAATAAATAACCTAAACTATATGAACTTGTTTTCCTTTCTTGTTATAATTTTTTTCTATTGTCATTTATTCGTCTTATCCTGCAAATTTAAATTATTCGGTTGTAGAACTTAAATTATGCATGAATCAGCTTGGTGGCCTGTTTCCATGTGTTATTGTAAAGTTTTGCGAATCTATAACAGAGATCAAATCCATTAATTGTCTTACGTAGGTTTTTTCTGCTGAAATCTCTTCACGTTTGAGTAATTTTCTTGCATAATCATTAAGAATGTCGTTTCTTTCCTTCAATGTTTCTTCTTTCAAATTTTGAATTAGATTCTTTTTTGTGAAATACAAATCCTTTGGAGGAACTTCTATCTTATATTCTGTATTGTTTGTTGCTCTAGTATTTTCGGTTTGAATTTCAATTTTGCCCAATACTTTTTCAAATGTCTTTAAAACGAGATCTTGTTCTGATTTTTCGCTAAATTCCTGCTCAACTGTTTCATTTATAAAGGATCTTAATGCTAATAGATCTTTGTCGTTTTTAAATTGATTAATTTTTTCTTCTACTTTTTTTTGATTGGCAACTGAGAATCTATATAAGCTCATATCTGATACTTCATCCAATAAAGAGTTCAGGTACTCATTTTCATAATTTTGCCATTCTTTATTTATCATAAGACAGGTAAGACGTAATTATTTTGAAATAATCCAACGGGATACTCCTCTCAAAAAAAATATCCCGATATGACCAAATAAATGATATCGTCGGATCAAAAATCTCAATTAATCTATGATATGATAATAATAAACATTGCTTAATCAGACGAATTTCACTCGCCTTAGTATTGTCACACCTAATTACAAAAGAATACTTTATTGATTGAATGATTTTGTAGATGAAACCGATATTTGATTAAATCAATTATACATTATCACAAATGAACTTGACCCATCGAATTTCACACTTTACTATAGCAATATCTCATGCACTTCCATAATCATTCGATTGAAAATGACTCCATGGGATTAGTTTTACAAGATTTAAGTAGATTTCTTGTTATTTTATATGGAGACAAGGAGTTTCATATATCTTGACATTCGATTAACGAATAATTTTTTTTTCTGAAATAATAAAATCTTGTACGTTTAACAATGCTTGGAAAGGCAAAACAGTCTCCCCGTGTTACCCCAAACAGGAAAACTGAAAAAAGCGCAGTTTCATCATCAAAGAAGGTCACACCAACAGGGAAATCTCCTTTAAAGCTAAAAAACTTATGTTCTGTAACACCAACTCAACGAAATGTTGTTGCCAAAGAAGAAAAACCGGCAGAAACACCATCCCAAATGGAATCACGAATCAGATGTGAGTTACGTCTTGAAATGCTCGTAAGAATGAGAGAAATGCAAGACTATTACGAATCAAAAATTGCAGATCTAACCGAGGCAATGGATAACGACTCATATACAATATCTGCTTTATACGGCAATGACAATAGTGATAGTGAATCATCCGAAAACAAAGTTAATCCAGAAATTCTTGAAATTACTAAGAAGATTGAAGAAGCAGTGGCTAAGAGAGATCAATTACTTAAGATTCTCGATGAGAAGAAGAGACAAAACGCTGCAATTGCTCAAGAAATACAAGCAGGCGCTGCTCAAAATGCTAAACTTATCGAACAAAGAAATGGACTACAGATGAGAGTTGATGCACTACGCAAGCAAAAGCAAGATGAAGATCTCAGAATCAATGCTGCAAAGGAAGAGCAGCAAAGATTTGAATTCCTCGCAAGTGAAAGCGCCAATGAAGAAAACATTCAAGCTCCAGTAGTAAGGAAGGACTCAAGTAGTTCATCACTCCAAAGAGGAATGTCACAAAAGTCCGTCGATAAAATTACAACCATCAAAGAAGAAGCATCCCAATCGAAATCAAGCAAGCTTAACCCGCACGACTCATCAAAGAAGGACAAAAAACCAAAGTCCAAAATTGTCAAGGGAAGTGAAAATTCAAATGTTGATCAAAATTCTCTAAACATTGCTAAGAAGATACCAAAAGAAAACACAGTTACAAACGTACCTGTAAATATTGCTCCTCAAAGAAGTATTACTGATACTGTGGGTGAATTTAATCAGAAACCTTATCGCATGAAGATCACTGCTCAACTTGTTCACAAGGCGAAGAAAAACAAAGATTAGAGAATCGTATATCAGCTCTATCCTCAATAAATGATTTGTTTAGTAAAGATCTTTTCTTGTAAAACGAGACATTATCACGATTTGAAGTGTGTTCGTATAGCTATCAAGCATTTTGGGTAATTTATATCAGCAAAAAATCGTTTTCTAATTTGAGCCTTTTTTTGATGCTGGTCAGAACTGTCACTTTTTTCTATAATGAAACCTGTTGAAATCTTTTCTCTTCAATTTCATCCTTCTAATTTAAAATCACTTCCATGTGATTTCGAAATTCGCGTAAAGGGTTCACCTCAGACAAGTTATAAAGTTCATTTATGTGTTCTTTCTGAATTTTCATCAAAAGTTCGTTTGTTAATACTAAATGATCCATGCAAGCGTTCAATAGAATATCCTGGAGCCGATCCTCTTGGATATTTGCAGCAATTAATTAAATATATGTATGGAGATGAAATCAATATTACTAACGAAAACGTATGTTTCTTTAATACTGCCGCCGCATTTTTCGACAACCAGCACTTATTAGATACGACGTCGAATTATATACAAAAGTTCGGTATTCAGCCAGATTTCTTCCAAAAATTACGTCAATCCGATCCACTTTACGTTCTTCCTCAGATTAGCTTAGCCGCACTCCAATTCGAAGCACTGAAGCAGCAATTACAACTAATGGATCTTTCTTTACCGATTTTAGATGAAATTTTAAGGAAACAAGACCTGTATTACGAGAACGAAGTATCTCTATTTTTATGGATGAATGGATTGGTAGAAAAGCATGGCCCTGAATACGTTCAATTATTTGCTCATTTAATTTTAGAAGATTTAGATTCCTCGTGTATGCATTTACTATACTCTAAAATTACGCCTGACTTGATAGGAGGAGCTCTATGGGAAGCAATTTGCAATAGATTAGTATATAGTGTTCCAACCGAAGAATCGCCTCACGTAAGGCACTGGTCACAGAACCAACAACAAGGATATCAGAACAATAACCAAACTAGGCCACAATTTAATAATTCGATTAATACATTTACTCCGCAGTCAAATCCGATTTCTCTTCCGAAATCCTCGCATTTCAAAGAGTATCCTAAGCAGCCTGGCCAATATTTCAACGGAATCTTCCAAGCTCTTACGAATACCTACGGAAAGAATCCATGTTCTGAGAATATTGTATTTATTGATGGCGGAGGTGGTCCAAAGTCTCGCTTCCTTCCTAGATTGCTTGAATACGAAGATATCAGTCCTTGGTGGAATAATTATAACGGATCTGGTTTTAATAAGAACGATCAATGGATAGAAATCACGTTTTACAAGCATCGTGTTATTCTTACTGGTTATACGTTCGCTTCTCCAATGAAATATCCAAATCAGTCGCAACCAAGATCTTGGAAAATTTTTGGATCGAACGACGACGGCCAAACATGGGAAATTATCGATGAGGTTGTAAACTCTGATGATATGAACTTTTCTAATGCAATTGCTTCTTTCCAAGTCAAAAAACGACCAGAACCTTATTCAAAGTTTAGAATAGTACAACTCGCAAGCCAGCTTAAGAAACCGTCTTTGGAATTATATCAGTTCTGTCTGAATGCTATAGAATTCTTCGGATATATAGAAGAAATCCAAGATTGAATTATTTTTTTTATTTTAGTTTTAGATTGACTAAATATTATATTGATATATTTGCGCTTTAGTTGCAAATATTCAGATTATTAAATTATTAAAAGTTTTTTTTAATATAAATCATTAGATATCCAACCTTCTCAGAAATTGTATCTGGATATGTGCATAATGTGTATAATCTGTAGCTGGGGTTTGAGGCCAATATTTTGGTTATAAGCTAGTATCCGTACCTTTTAAAAAAATCAATGTTGAGATAAAAAAAATTATGAAGTAGTTTTGGTGTTTCTATCTCTTTTTATAAAAAGCCTATTAGAAGTTTCCAATAATAATATGATTTCATATGGACTAAAGTATATAATAAGCATACATACACTCAATGGAAATAATTTCATCTGCGTGAAAATCGAAAATTTATATTGCTATAAAATTATTCATGTGAATCCTTGAAAAAAGCAATTCTATAGTGCTTTTATATGTTGTGCTCGTGGAACTTTCGTATCCTTTAGACATTTTCAAGCAGTACCATTAAATCTAGGCCACACTTTACGTCAACAGTTTGGTAATCTTTACAATTCTTTTTCATCAAAATGAACAAGCATTGATTTCAATAAATTCGATACATTGAAAGAATCAAAAAAATTGTGATGGCTTTTACACATAGTTTTCGAAATTTTTCTAAATTTATTCAAACAAAACAAAATTTAACAATAATTATAAAGATGTAAGAAGTGCATCTGCTGCACGATCAACTTCGTAGTTGTAAGATCGTAAAGCATGTTTGCATTTTTCGATTGGAAAGCCCATTTCTAAAAGTTGAGCGATAAGTTGATCAAAATTAGGAGGATCGAAGTTGTATTCTTTCTTTTTACTTGCGGATCTTTCATGATGTTTAGGTTCTGGATTTTCTGTTTCTGGAGCTGGAGAAACAGGTTCTGGGATCGGTTCTTCGACTGGTGGTGGATTTTGAACAGGCTGTTGTGGTTCTTCTATGATTTCTGGTTGTGGTTCAGGACGTTGAGGAGGTTCCTCAACTTTTTCTCTTTGTATTAATTTTGGACGTCGTAAGTTATGAAAAACTACATATGTATTTGGAGCATAATTGATATCTTCTATTTTTGTCGAATCTTCAAGTATAGATGCACCATAAACAAGTTGAAGTGGCTCAAATTCTTGATATCGCATTGTACCGATTTGCTTTTTTGCATCTAACACTGTTGCACCTGGTGGTATATCTATTGAAAGTGTAAATCCAGTCATAGATCGAAAATCAATTTTCATTTTTTGAGATTTTTGACAAGGTTATTTGAAAATTTTGAGAATAGCATTTTCATAACTGAATAACTTTTTTTATGTTATACTTTTAAATAGAATGAATAAAATTGTTAACTCTGATAAATTTCATGAATTTCGCTTATATTTTTGATTTTATTTATCATGTCAATAGGAATTTAAAAATATAAACGAGTTGTAGATTTAGTTTTTCTTGTAATTGATCTTTTTAATTCCAAAAATTTTTTGAAATCAAAATTTCGAAGTTAATTTTCAAATTATTTTAATTGATATCCTTCTTTTTGAATTTTTCTTGGAAAAATCTGAAACCTCAAAAAGGCATCTGAAGAGGAGGGCTTGCGACATAGACACCAAATATTGCTAAAAACAAAAATTTGATTTAGAGAGGGGGCACACCCAATATCCCCAGTTTTGGCAAAAATGAGTGATTCTCCACATTCAAAGCCTCCTACGGGCTCATTTAGAGATTCACCATTTCAGTTCAACAATATAACAAGTGAAACTCTTTATTGTGCTCTTTTTGAGTTTTTGCAAAACTCTCAACCTATAGTTGTTTGGAGATACAGAGATTTAGAGCAAAAGACGGAATTCGACTTAATGTGGTATATTATGTCAGTTCCTAATATCGCTCCAACATCAGAACCATTTCCAAAACCAACATTTATGTCTTCATCTTTCGAAAATTTCTCATTTTGCGCTATATATGCATTAATTCCCGATATTGAAGCAAGAGGATTCACAAGATCAATCTGTTTAACAGTTGTAACTCAAAAACCAGAAATTATTTACTCAATAAACTCATTATATAATGATAAACTCTTAAATATACTTGATCAAGCAAGAATAAACGCGGCATCATTATTCAAAGCAGAAATAGATCCTCATATCGAAGCAATAACTCAATATTTAAAGAATACAACAATTGATGAAAATGCGAAGCTACATTTCCAAACAAAACTCGAAAAACTATTAGAAATACGCGATAACTTTACAATCGAAACTCATTCAGTTAAAATTTCTAAAGAAAGATGCTTAAAATACGCAACTGAATTAATTAACTACGATTTAAGAAAAATAGAGTTCATGATTGATCTACCAGTGCTACAGAATCAGATTTTCTCTATTTTGAACATCCTTTCGCTTCCTACATCAGTAATTGCAACACAACTTTATATGCCGAGCATTGCAACGAGTGTCTACGTTCCAAACATCGAAATACCAGAAGGCAGAGGTCTTCTCCATCTCTACAAGAACAATTTACTGAAAAATTCCTTATATTCCATCATGACCGGCAAAACCCTCATAATTGTGTCCTCAACCCCCGATAATTGGAAGCCGTTAGCTTATTCCTTGGCTAGTTTGTCACCTTTCCGATGGAAAAACGACATTTTACAATTTAATTGTCCTGTTAAGCAAACAGACTGTTTATCAGCGACAATTGTTGTTGCACAGAACATAATAGGCGCAGATTCATCATATGCTTCTGTTTTGAACATGGATTCTTTAGTATTTCAGGGAAAACAGTGTCCGGAGAAGTCCTGCATCAATAAATTCCAGTTATCCGACAAACATAATGAAGGAACATTTTGGTTACGTCTAAACTACGCAATAAGGAACGTAAAAGAAAGATTTTCCAGATTTACTTTGATTCATTTAACGAGAACTCCTCCAAATGAAGAGGAATTGAACTCATTGTTACAACAATCAGGTTTTAATCAGTGCGATATCCCAATTTTCGCATTTTGGACAGCTTCTTCTCGAAACTCTGAAAGAAGACCTCTAATCATCTCTGTTCCTCAATCTCAATCACAATCACTGTTTTCATCACCATTCTAACATTTTAATCATTGTTTATATATTTGTTTATAAAATAAATATGTTTTTTTTTATTAATATAAATTGTTGTTTTTTACTATATCAAAAATAATAATTATAATTATCAAGATAAAGATAAATATCATTCTGTAAATCCTTTACTTCGAAGAAGTTCTACAATTCGTTGATGATTATAACTTATTGCTGATGCAAGTGGTGTTTGATTTTGATCATTTTTAGCATTTTTCTCTATATTTGGTTGATTACATAGATATTCACAAACATCATAATTATTACTATAAATTGCTCCATGAAGAGGAGTATCAATCCAATCACATTTAACATTGATATCTATGAAGTTAAGAGCAAATTTAACTCCTTATAAGTTTCCTTTATAACAAAAACAATGAAGGGTTGTCCAATTGCCTGTACTTTTACTTCTTATATCAGCACCATTTATATACAAATGTTTCACAAGAGAAAGATTATTTCTATATGATGCTTCAAGGATCATATTATAGTCACAATCACCACGAACATCAGAATATTTCTCATCAACTGCAAGTTTGATTGTTAAAAGATCTCCTTCATTTGATGCCTTTGCAAGTAATTCATATATTTTACCAAAATTATCTTTTGCTTTCGTTAAACTTCTTAATTTTCTTATATTTTCATCTGGTGAGTCAATCCAGTGAAGTTCATTGATTGAAGAAAGTTCTAGTTTATGTGGAAGCGGCGAATGTTGAAGAAGTGCACGTTTGAAGATTTGACTAGAAATAGATTCAAGTTTGTTTGCTTCTGCATAGTTTGAAATATCTTCAATAACATTTTTGCTGCAAAATTCGATTCTGACATATTTAAGTAATTCGAAGTAAATATTATCATGTTTGCTCATAGAGATGATCGTTTTGCATAAAGAGTCTTCTGTTGATATTTTAAGAGATTTAGATATCAATACACTCTCAAAGAAGTCGTATCCATATCTTTTGATTGTTTCTATCTTGTATTCTTCTTTGAGAAAACTCATCCTCGATGCAAAGAAAGAAATGCACTCATTGATCTTATTTGTGTCATTTTGAACTGAAGCAGCATCATATATGTCGTAAAAGTTTTCTAAGTTGATTTCAATATAAGTCTTGACAAAGTCACAGAAAACATTGATGAGGAACTCATTTCCGATTGCTAAACCCACCTCGAAAATGTCTCTATTGTGTTTTCTGTCGTTTTCATAAACAAGTTCTCCACTCTTGAAAAGATCCGAAATTATTTTTAATGTATCATTGCAAGACAGATTTAGATCAAGAACTAATGAATTGAATCTCTGATCAAGACGATACGCATCATATGCAGTTTTTGAACTGATGATTGAAATGTATTTTGAAGAAGTCATGTTTTGTTTGTTAATTATGATAGAAAGATCATGGTCATCTTTAATTATATTACCCCTCATGATCTCTGGATACTTCAATTTCACAATTACCATTATTTTTTATGTTTTTTTTTAAATCACAATGGTGGCAATTTTTTTTCTCTCAAAAATCACAAATACTGACAGTTCACATATTATATCTAAACATCAGACAGTTAACAAACTCCACCAGCATACATGGAGTATATTGCAAATGGCTAGTCTCATATGAAAAAACCGCGTTTAAAATATGATTATTTCATAAAACTGGAATTAATTCGATAACTCTGGAATCTTAAGGTCTATTATCCAGCGTTTAGCAAGCTATTTATATATGATAATAGTTAACGATATGAATGGCCCATTCTGTGTAAAGATTTGCGCAAATATACTCATGAAAATTGAAAAAAACTAGGAAATATAGATTCTTTGAGATGAAACAGATTTATAAATTAGCTGTAAAAAATAAGAAAGTGATTTGAAACAGAGAATCTAATATAATAATTTATTCAGTTTTAATTTTTCCTTCTTCTTCTTGGGCTTTACGTTTGGCTTCTTCCTCTTCCATCTTCTTTAATAATTCGCGAGCTTCTTTGATCTTTGCATCGCGCTGGGCTTGAAGCTTAACCATTTGAGTGTATTGGGCTTCATCTGGTTTAATAATATCTGATAAATCAGACATCTTGTAAAGTCCTGCCGAAATAGCTACTAATACCATGATGAACAAGAAAATATGATAGTAATAATGGAAAATATTTTCTTGAGTGGTTGATTCGAGCAAAATAGTTGTAATATTGTCTGTAAACTGATCTGTTATTGTGAACATCATGTTTCTTCCCTTAAATAAGCCAGTTAATGCGTCATTTGATGGAATAAACCGACCACGAATTGTAAATACACCATCGGTATAGTTTAACTTAAATAATGCGACTTCTTCGTCAAATCTGTTTGTAATTGAGAGCATTGATTGGTTATTATCTTCGATTTTGAAGAAATACTGGCTATCAATTGATTTATCGGGTGAAGATGCAGCTATTGATGAGAATCCTCTTGATTCTTCTGTGTTAAATGTAACGTTTATTGATTGATAATCAGTATCTCCAATATTTGAAGTCGGAGAGTAAACAACACGGCCAATCCAGGCTCCATTGACATCCCTAAGGAATCTTTCGGCTGGTGTTCTTGATTTCCAATAGCTGAATATGATACCAAAGAAAGTTGAATTCGAACTCATATCTAAAAAGTGACAGAATTTATCGATAACAAAATTTTTGTAAAAAATAAAAGGGGGATAAAGAAAAAAAAGGGGATATTTATTAATGTCAAAAGAAATTACTGATGATTTTAATGATGATCCAAATCTTGCAGATGAACTTATTAAAACATATGATGACACTGTATTTGCTCTTCGCAATTTCCTCCCAAACAAATCAAAAGACGAAATCGAGCAAATTATTTGTCAGGTTATAGAAACTGGGGCAATGCCATTTATCCAAAAATAACTGGATAAATGACTATATAGTTGTCAATTATTCGTTTTGTTTGCATTTATTATTCGATGTTCAAATAATCAAGAATCGCGTTAAACACTCATTGAACTAGTTGTGTTGTTATTTGTATTTTAGTAAATTATATTTTAATAAATCTCTTTTACAATAAATTTAAAAATATAATTTAAAGCTAACAATATTATCAGAAACTGATATATTTTTTTCTAGCTTCTGGGTTGTATCTTTGATTTTTTGTTGATGAACAAAAAGCATAAAATAAATCATTCCATTTGAAATATATCGAAGTGTAATATTATTTCAAAGGGAATATCTACAAATGAAGAGGAATTGAACTCATTGTTACAACAATCAGGTTTTAATCAGTGCGATATCCCAATTTTCGCATTTTGGACAGCTTCTTCTCGAAACTCTGAAAGAAGACCTCTAATCATCTCTGTTCCTCAATCTCAATCACAATCACTGTTTTCATCACCATTCTAACATTTTAATCATTGTTTATATATTTGTTTATAAAATAAATATGTTTTTTTTTATTAATATAAATTGTTGTTTTTTACTATATCAAAAATAATAATTATAATTATCAAGATAAAGATAAATATCATTCTGTAAATCCTTTACTTCGAAGAAGTTCTACAATTCGTTGATGATTATAACTTATTGCTAATGCAAGTGGTGTTTGATTTTGATCATTTTTAGCATTTTTCTCTATATTTGGTTGATTACATAGATATTCACAAACATCATAATTATTACTATAAATTGCTCCATGAAGAGGAGTATCAATCCAATCACATTTAACATTAATATCTATGAAGTTAAGAGCAAATTTAACTCCTTATAAGTTTCCTTTATAACAAAAACAATGAAGGGTTGTCCAATTGCCTGTACTTTTACTTCTTATATCAGCACCATTTATATACAAATGTTTCACAAGAGAAAGATTATTTCTATATGATGCTTCAAGGATCATATTATAGTCACAATCACCACGAACATCAGAATATTTCTCATCAACTGCAAGTTTGATTGTTAAAAGATCTCCTTCATTTGATGCCTTTGCAAGTAATTCATATATTTTACCAAAATTTTCTTTTGCTTTCGTTAAACTTCTTAATTTTCTTATATTTTCATCTGAGATGTCATTTCTGTGAAGTTCGTTGATTGGCGAAAGTTCTAGTTTATGAAGAAATGGTGGATGTTGAAGAAGTGCACGTTTGAAGATTTGACTAGAAATAGATTCAAGTTTGTTTGCTTCTGCATAGTTTGAAATATCTTCAATAACATTTTTGCTGCAAAATTCGATTCTGACATATTTAAGTAATTCGAAGTAAATATTATCATGTTTGCTCATAGAGATGATCGTTTTGCATAAAGAGTCTTCTGTTGATATTTTAAGAGATTTAGATATCAATACACTCTCAAAGAAGTCGTATCCATATCTTTTGATTGTTTCTATCTTGTATTCTTCTTTGAGAAAACTCATCCTCGATGCAAAGAAAGAAATGCACTCATTGATCTTATTTGTGTCATTTTGAACTGAAGCAGCATCATATATGTCGTAAAAGTTTTCTAAGTTGATTTCAATATAAGTCTTGACAAAGTCACAGAAAACATTGATGAGGAACTCATTTCCGATTGCTAAACCCACCTCGAAAATGTCTCTATTGTGTTTTCTGTCGTTTTCATAAACAAGTTCTCCACTCTTGAAAAGATCCGAAATTATTTTTAATGTATCATTGCAAGACAGATTTAGATCAAGAACTAATGAATTGAATCTCTGATCAAGACGATACGCATCATATGCAGTTTTTGAACTGATGATTGAAATGTATTTTGAAGAAGTCATGTTTTGTTTGTTAATTATGATAGAAAGATCATGGTCATCTTTAATTATATTACCCCTCATGATCTCTGGATACTTTAACTTGACGATTACCATTATATTTTTTAATATCACTATGGTGGCAAATTTTTTTCTCACAAAAATCACAAATATACTGACAGTTCACATATCATACCCAAAACATCAGACAGTTAACAAACTCCACCAGCGAAAATGGAGTATATAATATATGGCTAATCTCATATGAAAAAACTACATTTAAAATTCTCTCGAAAATCACAACTTTTGACAGTTCACATTTCTTTCTTTTTATCACATTTTGTTGATTTTTCATTTGATTTCTCTCAAAAGGTGATGAAGATAATTGTATGAGATGAGTGAAAACACAATTATCTTGACTGTCAGCCTAAATTGCATTGAATTGAGAAGTTAGAAAAACATTATCCGTATATAAATAATTAAAATACATAAACGCACAATTTATACAAATAACATTAATAATAGCAATCAAAATACATATTTGAGTGTTTTGAGAATAGATTCAGGTAATTTCATTCCAGGAAGCAGTTCAAGAGGCATTGAACGGGTCATTTCCAAAGCTTTCTCCCATTCTTTAGCGTTGGGATGGTTGGATGGATATACCAAATGGAACAAAGTGTTTTTTTCTACATCACTTCTTGTAAGTTCCATATTTTCTATTAGACTTGGTGTTTCTTTGACAAACTGTAACCAGGAATCTTTGTCCCAAGCCCATTTTCTCGCAGCCAAAGCCATTTGTGCATGATGAAGCGGACAACAGATTTTTATTGCATCTCTGATAGCGCCAACCTTCATTCTACGCTCTTTACCTCTATAATAATCAAGAGATGGTCGGTTGTTGACTTCCAAAATCCAAGGATTCAGATTTCGGTCGAGAAGTACGTCAAATCCAAGCAAATGGAAGCAGCGGGAGTATCCTGTCTTCGGACAGTATATTTCCTCCGATCTAACTAAGAATTCGTGGGCTGCAATAACGGTAGATACAATTGCGTTGTCAATTCTCTCCCAAACAGCATTTACATCAACTCCCATTGCTTCCATGCGAGGGAATATATCGGATACAAGCTGGGAAATCTCACTGATGTCACAATCAGGGTTTTCGGAATTTAATGAAACGTTTGTGAGTTGGCTGAAGGCAGTTCCTGTTTCAAACTTCTCAGAACAGAATCTGGCAAGGCCATTTCTATAAACATATATTCGTAAAGGCTCAATTGAAGCAATTAAAACGTATAATCTTAAATCGAATTTTGTACCATCAATAAGATACGAATCAATGTACTGTTGTGCAACAGCAAGTGAACTTTCATGAGGAACTTCAAATTTTTCGCCTGATTTGAATATAAGAATTTCAACTCCTTTAGAACCTCCATCTGGCTTGTAAATATACGTCTGTCCGGATGTTTGGAGTTCATGGAGAAAATCTTTGAGTTGAATTGGCAATATATATGATTTCGGAAGGAAATTATAAAGATTTGGAAAATGAGGTTGCATTCTCATGATAACTCGAGTATATGGACATTTTCTACATATAATGTTAATGCTTGGGATCCTATTTACAATTTGCCAAGGCTTAAGAGGACCAAAGAAATCACATTCTCTCAGTGAATCATGCCAAACAAGCATTGCTGTTGATTCCTTATCCTCTATTGATACATCAGCTTCAAGCATCGCTTCAAGAATTGACCGGAATTTACCACCTTCAATGGTAGCATAAATTCCGGTCATACAATGATAAATTTAATAAAACTTCACATAGCAAAATAATTAATTAATTAATCAAAGTGCAGGGGATATTCATAGACCACAATGCTAAAATATGAAAGATTTCGATATGAAATCTGATATGTTATTTCGGTACAATTTATATGAAATGGCAAATCAGTATCGATATTTATCGAATTTTATGTTAGGATTTTCGAATTTTATCAGATATTCAAGAACTTTATTTTTAAAAATTCTTCATTTTGAATATATTCTTGAACAAAAATTATTGATAAATCACATTTATTTAATATCCAAAATTAAATAAGCATTAATTAATTTTGACAATAATCAATTTACATTGTCAAATATTAGGAAACGGTTACTTAACGTTTGCAAATTCTTACATAATTTAGAATATGGAATCGGGTGAAAGACAGAAGAAAAGAATACGCGTTCCACGCCAAAAAGATTCAAATGGTAACCCGATACCACACAAGCATGTGCATAAATCAAAACTTTATAAACACAAAAATGGAGATCTTGCTTACGGTTCTGAAATACCTGAATCTACAAATGCAGTATCATATTATCCAAATACAACTGGAGATGTTACTAGTATATCTCTTACAACTCATAATTCAACAAATGATTCAAAAAGTTCGAAACATTCACACAAATCAAAACAATCATCATCTTCCAAGAATTCTTCATATACTGTCAAATCTGGCAAGCGTGTAATACATTATGATCCAGAATCTCCAGAATTTAATGGAAAACCACTTCATATCCTTGATAATTTGAGTGATTTATACTACGATAGTGCAGATGGCGATGACTTTGCACAACTTGAGAAAGATAAGAAGTTTAGTCCACAAAAATCACTTAAACCTGATATGCGTTTCAGAGGAAGGCACTACATGGATACTACAACAATGAGTGAATCGACAATCGATACAGTTCCATCTACAGCACCTACTACATCCGAAAATGAGATCAAATCTCGTTCAATTTCTTCATTTTCAACATCAGATTCAAATAACTTCATGAATTCATCCCATAGTACACAGACTTCAGAAGGAGGTGAGTCAAAAGGCAAGTCTCGCTCCAGTAAACATCGTGATTCCGCGAATTCATCGATGTCATCAAATTCAAAATCATTAAATCAATACCAGCTTGGCCAAATGAAGCCAACCGAAGTACAATATTCATTATTCGATGAATACGCATCCGGAAAAGCCATTACTCGTATCGATGATATCATTTTGACACAAGAAGGAGATTCAACCATTGATTCTGATTATATCCCAGCCAGACCACACGAGGACAACCAGCTCGATGATGCAGAAGAAGCCAGTGGCGTTTATATCGAAGCTTCTGACACTGGATACGATTATATCGGAGTTGATCCTGATACTGAGACAATTCCAACAAATGCCATACCTGTTGAACCAACAGATAAAGTATATTATGGTACAAACATGGAAACTGACGGTCTTGTCACTGTTGAAGAATTTGTATCCGCAACAAGCGGTTCTGCTGAATTTGTTGAAGATATGACTGCTTCTGATGGTCAGGTACTTGTTGAAGTTACTGATACATCAAATCTTAATAACGATAACACGATTGATGTACTTAATAAGAAAGATTTCGATAAAAAGTACGAATACGCCAAATCTGTTAGATCAGCTGTTGTTAATCGCAAAGACAATAGCAGTATCTACTCTAGCAAGGTAGGAGCTCAGTCAGTTAAGGTAAAACCAACAGATAATAAGAAATTAGAAAGTAAACCAGAAGAAAAAGAGTCAGAAACATCATATGAGAGTATCTCAACACTTGAAAAGACACATGACTCTGAAGAATCACCAGCTCCTGTAGAAATTCCACAGAATAATCAAAATGAACAAAAATCTAGTGTAAAATCTCAAAATGACATCGAATCTATTGTAGAAGAAGAGGAAGAAGAAGAGGAAGAGGATGATTACGAAGAAAAAGATGAAGAGGACGAAGAAGAAGAAGGTTATGAAGAAGATTCAGCAGATGATATGTAAATTGTTATATTTTAATTGTTTAAATAACAAATATTATCATTTTTTATATCATTTAACTATCATAATTCATTATTAATAGAATATCGAAAATTAATTTCAAAATTTATAATGATTTCCTTTGCTAATAAGAAATTAAAGCATCATTATTTGAATTTTATAATCTATAGTAGCTTCATTTAGCTAATAATTAATTTTTTAAAAATTATCACGAAAAAGATAAACATTTATAACAAAAAATTATTTAATACAAACAATAAAGAGATGCAATACAATTATTGCGAATAGTTTTTTGAAATTTGATATTTCGATGGAGACACTAAAAAATATTGGATAATAAGATAGGAAAAGCGATGTAAAATGTATTAGTAAACCGAAATCTATGAGTAAAAGTGATTCTTGACAAAATAACCCAATTGACATAAAGAATCATAATTTTCTGGATAAATCATAGTAACAAATATTATCTCAGAGCTTATTCTGGTATACCATACATTTCAGCAAGTACTTCTTTTGCGTATTTTTTGAAATATGCATTTGCTTCGAAAACTGATTGAATTTCTTCATATGAAAATGGTATTCTTGCAATGATATCAGCGGGCGAGAAGTAGCAAGATGGTTTATGAGCCATCTCAATTTTAATTTCGTGATCTTCTTCTTTTGAAGCTTGAATCTCTCTGCAAGTAGTTCCAAATATGATGACTCTCGCAGGTAATCCATTACTAGGTCTAACCTGAGGGAAATTCTTTCGAATCAAAGCTTTATAAGCAGCAAGCAATCGTAATTTATCGTGAAGGTTTCTTTCTTTCATTAGAAGTGATGGTGGTACATTTTGAGAAGGATCTTGACTTGGAGCATTTGGATTATTTAATCCTCTCCATGTAAGCTTTTTCCCATCCTTTTCTATAACACCTGTAGCTGATAGAACATTAATAACATCATAAATCCTTCTTCTTACTGTTTCTTGACTAAAGGAACCAGCAGCTTCCACAGCCAACAGATTAATTAGCATTGTAGCTATAGTTTCTGATGTAGTTGACTTCATACTTCGCATCAATTCAAGGAGGCGAGGTGCAATTGCCTTTAAACATATTTTATCCTTACTATCACTCATCGGGTTTTTCAAAAAAAGTGAACGTTTAAAAAATTTGGCGCCATACGATCATTTACATGGACACTCTAAATGCCAGTAATTTAGGATATAATATTATTAATTGATTGGTTACAAGTGTTATTACTTTCACTTCTTTTCAGATTGACGTAAAAAAAAATATTCAAGAAACGTGACAATGAATCGAGGTCCAAGTGGAGATTTATCCCAACCAAAGATTCAGCTCTTCAATCCTAATGTAGTAAAAGTTGAGAAAATACTCCAAAAAATAAGAAACACGTTAACAAATTATTTACTTCCTTCAGTTCAGACAGATTTTATTAATACAACATATTCACAGCTAATAGAAACTATTCCTTCAGCAGAAGATCCTGAAAGTTCATTTGACACATTCTGGGAAAGCTGGGTTCCTTTCAGAGAAGATGCGATTCAAGTTTGCTCACAGAGCGCTGTTGAATACTCAGGAGACTATGTATCTGAATGTTTTGAAGAAATTAATAAGATTCTTGACGAAATATCGAAAATGCCAACAGATGGAATTGCAACCAAGAGAAACATTGATGAGAATGTCCAGAAGATCAGCAAACTTACTTCTAGTATTAAGTCTCTTTTGGATTCTCAATATGATTCTGATTTAGACGAAAAACAACAATTGAAGAATTTATTGATGCAAAGGACGAAAATTAGACATTATAAGACCGATATTGTTAATAAATACACGCAATTCTTCGATTCAATTCAGCGTTCTAACTCTCAAAAACGAATTATCGAAATAATTGACAATATTTTCAAGAATATCAACTGTTTACCAGAACAAGAGAAATCCATGAAGAGCATACAAGCAGACCTCTCAAATGCAGAGGCCCAATTATATCATTTGTTCGAACCTCAAAATGTCAAAATCGAATTACTTAAAACAAAGAAGGCTTCGAAGATAGCTTCTTCTAATCCTTCTATACTTGTTGAAGAGGTCGATTCCGAAGAAGATGTTGACGATGAACCTCATTTTTACAATACTACCGAAGTTCCAGAGCGAATCGGAAAAACTCGTAATTTCGTATCGGATTCCGATAGAGATGAGGCCAAACCGCCGAATTCTACTCCAATCAAATTAAAAGCGGCCAGGAAGCATTTCGGAACGGATGACTACAACGAGATCAAGCTTGGCATCAACCAATCACCGAAACCATCCCCCCATTTCGATAGCATAAACGAATACGAAGTTGAAGAAGAATATTTCGAAGAAGAACAGAATTCTCAGAGCAGAAGTAGGTTTTCATCAGGTCTACAGTCAATAGATGACAATAAAATAAAGAATATTTCAGAAAGAGATATTCAAGAACAAGAATCCGACATTTTGACTGATAATTACAGTTCCTACAACAACAAAGAGTCATCATCAGTCATGGAAGACCAGCCACCTTACATTCCGCCACTTATGACTCCAGATATCTTAAAATCAAAGCCAAAACCGCAAAGAATGGCCAAAACCCCTCAACCGCAAGATTCAATACAACCTCTTGATTTATCCCAAGAGAAACTTGGCCTGAATCTTGAATTATCCGACGACGATAATGATATTGAACAAAAACTCGCGAGTAACAACATTTCTAAGAAGTACAAGAAGAACATTAACATGACAGCAAAGGCAATAACACCTAATGTCAACAGAATGAAGAACAAACAAAAACAAATTCATTCTAAACCGATAAAACTCGTTGAAGAAGAGAGTTCTGACGACCAAAATACACAAGAACAGAAGAATGATGATTCTAAGAACTACGAACTGATAATTAAACAATTAAAAGAACAATTAGCCCAAAAAGATGATAATTATGAGACATTAAGGGTCCAATTAGAAATATCATTCGAAGAGAACAAAGAATTGACAGAACAGAACAAGAAACTCGAAGCAAAACTCTTATCTAAGAAAGAAGTAACGATTGACCAACTTAAAATGCCAGAAGAGAGTGATTCCGAGTATTCTGATGATGACGACAACATAGAAAACGAGCTACGAACTAAAGTCGACGTTTTGGAGAAGGAAAGACACGAATTATTAAAGAATATTGAACAGATGACAGAAGAAAATGAAAAACTGGTATCAATGACCCAACAAATGCAACTCCATAATGATAGATCCGCTGAAGATAAAGACAGATTGAGACTTTACGAAGAAATGCAACAAATTTTATTGGCAGAAGTTGCAAGATGCAGGAAAGGCCAAGATGCAAATGTTTCTGATATCTTGGCTGCACTGTCTGCAACAAGAGAAGAGAATTTGATGCTTAAAACACAAAAAGCAAAATTATTAAATGACAAAGGTATTAAAAACATCGATTCGATGCTTAGCGAGAACCAAAGATTAATAGATGAGAACGCAGACCTCAGGAAGAAGATTGGAACCCTTAAATTACAAATTGGAAAGAATCCAGGAACTTTTGAAGCTCTTAGACGCGCATTGCTTTCCTCAATGATGAGCGAGATCAATATGAGGATGCAAATGCAGCTAATGGCCATTTCAAAGGTCGAATCAAACGGAAATAACCAAATTGAAGAACTGAAGAAGAACTTTGAACAAACAGTTACATGGGCAAATGAACAGCAGAAACAAGCCCAGATGGAATCATCAAAAGCTGATATAAACGAAAAACAGATAAGAGATATCAAAGAAAGACTTGTTCGTGCAGCCAAAGAGAAAGGCGTTAATGTGGATAATATGGATTCATTAGAAATGTTGGATGTTCTTTTGAGTTAATTTAATATATTTTTTTTTTTTTGTATTGTTTTTTATTTATTGATAAATATGTTTGATATCATTAACCAATGCATAAATTTTTAAGTAATAAATCAAAAAGCCGAAACTTCTTTAACATGTGGAATGGGAAAGGGAGGAAAGTTAGGAAGCGTTGTTTGGCCTCCATTGAGAATCTTTTTGATAGAGTGCTCAAGTCATATGGTTTTTATAAGGATGTACTTATGCCCCTATGACATTGTCTTCAATTCAATTGTTTAAATCCTCCTTTTTTTCCGAAAAAAAATCCTTGTAAACTTTCGAACTCTAAAAATTTCATGAAAAATCAACCTGAGCTTAAATATATCCATAATATGAGTGAATTCTTATTCTGCATCTCATTTTGCAATAAATGATGTAGAGTTCAAAATGCAATTTTAATCTTCTGAATTTTAACGAAAATGACACAATAAGCGACCGGTAAATATATTTTCATATATATGAATGTGTGGAATATCGTTGACAACTTCAAAATAAGCTGAAATTCTTGGACATATTTCACAATCATAAATTTATTTCATATTTTTTGACATCAAATATGATATGATACTAGAAACCTTGCATCTGAATAAACTTATTGTTTAAAACAAGCATCTTTTATTTTTCAAATTTTAATTCAATTTTTTTAAGTGCTTCTTTCAAAAATTCTTGCTGTTTTGATATTAACAATGATTGTTACTTTAAAATATATTATTTTTTCTTAACATTTTTTATCAGAAAAAATTAAAATTTCGATATTTGATTTGTCATTATGATATAAGCAAAATTACATGGATTTTAAATTGACAACATATTCAATTTTAAACATTTCTTCTCAATTTTTTACTCTAAAATAACTAAGATTCATATATTGCCATTTAATGAAGAATCTATTTTTATAATTTTTAAGTCGAAATTTTCATTTTTTGAAAAAAAATATCCTCGTAGTGCACGAAATAAAAAAAAAATAAAAAAAGAAGGATTATTATTTTCGTCTGGAAAAGTAACACTTTTTCCAGACGAAAGTGATAATGCCCCCCAAAAAAGTTCCTTTTTCCTGGTCTGCGAATATTGAAGATTTTTGGAATTTTAAGATGGATATAGCATCCTTATATATGTACAATTTTGTTGGTATAAAGAAAAGTACATGATTTCGATCAAATTATCGAGAAATAAAATTTGGAGAAAAAAATATGAAAATTTCAAAATTTTTCATCTTTTATTCGAAGCTCATGAATCTAAAAGATATACTGCTCAAAGTTCTATGACATATTCTAGTATGAACACACATATCAAATTTATGATTATAATTAAAATTGATTGAGAAAATATAGATGAAAAATGAACTTTTATGATTTAGGAGGATAAGACTTTTGATAAAACTCTCAGAAAAAATTGATAACTTTTAATCCTCGTAGTGCACCTTTAAGGTTAAACTATTGAAAATTAAGAGAAAAACGATTATTTATAGTCAAAAAACGAAATAGAAAAAAGTAATACATATACAAGAGATCGAGCAGTAGAGTAATAATTTCTGGTCAAAGAGAACCAAATTTTAGAAATTTCATAATTTTGATCTGAAATTTCCTAGAAAAATTGGCCTACTTTAAGTGTATGGTCTTGGAATAGCCTAACATTGATATATTGCTCAAAAGCACAGCAAAAAGACTGATAGAGCACTGACTTTTTTGAATTAAACTGGTTTGTAGATTCAATTTTGCGATCCATTCAAAGCAACAAATTTAGAATTAGGCAAGAATTCCAATATATAGTCACTTTTGAGACTCCGCTTCGCTCCGTCTCAAAAGTGATTATATTTTGTTAAAATTTGAATTAAAGTTAGATGGGGGTAAGCGCTGCATTAAAGACATTCAATATTTTTTTACTTTTTTTCTGAGTTTACAAAAAAAAAAAATCATCACATTTTTCAATGCTCGATTTTTAAAAACAGTTTAAAAATGGAGCTTATATTGAAATAGTGTAGAGACTAAGAACTGTCAAATTGAGAATGAACAGAAATCAAATTTGAATAATTATTATTGCTTTATATCAACAATTATCCTAATAAAAAGATTTTCCTATCAATTTGTAACTCATAATCATGATTTTAATAGATATTTAAACGATGACATTGTTTTTGAATGTACTATGTCATGGCGGAGTTTACAACCCCAATAGATAATTCGGTTCATGCATATATATTTATTTATGCTTTCTATTGAATCATGCATATATTTGAATGCATTGTCATAATTCGAATGAAGATTATTAATCAATTTCTATCTTTTAATTCATTCATTGAATTAGTATTATGACCTTATACTCATTTCGAAGATTTCCCATTTTTTGTGATTAATTCCAATTGTCCATTGCTCATATCGATTTGTTCCCGAGCTCAAAAAGCGGGGAATTTATTAGGAATCATGATATTAGTGAAAGTTAAATTAAATATTGTATCCGGGTAAAGTGATAAAAGGTGACCAAACTATTTTTTGAAAGTCCGCCATAACTTTAATGGTACTATTTCAGCGTGTACAATGAATACAAAAATTCTAAGAGTGCCACATAAAATAGTACTTTAGACTTGAGTTAATGCTACCAAGCAAATGTTAAAAAGATGACTTTAGTGTTTTGATAATCAAAGATTAAAATCATTATTGTCTAAATCAATAATCATAACGACAGAAGTTAATGTTTTTTCATCAGTGCTTTAAATCCATTTTTAAAAGTATACCTCAAAAATCAAAATATCAAAAAAAAATTGGCCGATAGGTTTGGCTTTAATTTTTGTCTGCTTTTATGATTTGATATGGATGTTATAATTTTAAAAGTTGAGCCAAATTCACCAATAGATTTTTGAGATTTGCAAATACTCAATAATTTTCAGCGTGTTATCTTTTATTAAAAGAACTATTTGGTTTCAGTATCATATAAATTGATATTTACTTTCTATTTGAATCTTCATTTAGCTAATGATTTAATAATACAGATTTCATCTAGTCCTTATAAGAGAATTTTGAATTTGTTATAATAAAAAAACAAACAGATATAGCTTACACTTCTATAATAAAGATACCTTTTATAGAAATCAGTATGAAATGTGTTTTTTGACACGTAAAACTCTCAATTCATTATACCATGTTTGTCGATTTTTATATATTTTTTGCTTTCATTATCTATGATATTAAAAATTATGTCATCAGAATGTGAAATAATTAAACAAATGCCCTACGGGAAGTATTTTATACTAGAATTTATAAAAAAAATCACTGTACGTTTAGCCTACTGGTTATGTCGTGGGGTTCAAAGGCAATATGTTCAAATCAGTAAGCACCCAGTTTTTTTTTATTTTTTTTTAACAAGGTGAATATAACTTTTGATCGAAATCAATGAGTTACATGAATTATCATTTATCTAACTACAATTAAATTGTGAAAATATACTATCCAATATTAGCGTTTAATAAAATCAAAGATTATTGACTTATATTTTGAAAGTAATCTAAGCAGAATTTAGATATCCAAATTCTAAATATCTTCATGCTTAGATGCTAGATAATATATTCTTATTTGAAAAATTTATAATGTTATTATTTTCTTATTTGATATTTACTACAAGCAGAAAAGCATTTATATTGTAAATTAACAGATTATGATAATTATACTCGTTTTTATATGTTCTTAATGAAGAATATCAAACGTATTTCTATGAGTTTTAAAAAATGAAAAGTTTTAATATGGCTAATATATTTATTATCATTAATAGAATAAAAAAGTTTTTTTCGCATATCACTCGATGATTTACCTTCGAGTTTTGATAAATTTCGAAAAAATTTAAGGAATGCTCTTTGAATTTCTTTACCTATAAGCATATTATCTGCCGTATTATTTTTCGCTAATTGTAGAATTTTATTTAATTTTAATAATTAACCTTCTAAGCTTATTGAGAGATCACATTGTATATTTGATACGTAGTACATATGCTAAATCTGTGAATTAGATTGTAAGATATTGAACAAACGTTCTTAAACATTTTAGATTTTAGGGAATTACTGAATTAAACTATATTTCTTATATGATATCTTCATGTTTGGATGCTTTGGGTATAATTTATTGGGCTTTTTCTATCCAAATGTTTGGCAATGGTAACCCAATTTCTAACAAATTTATGATGGAAAAATTTATGACTTTTATGGAGCCGAAAAAAAAGCATAGAATGAATAAGACTATTAAAGATAAGCTGTAATTTGATTGTGAATTTTAAGAAAAGAATTTGGATTAAAATTTGAAATTCTTTTTTTTGAAAATTAGCCGATGATATGCTTAAGCTAAAAATTACTAGAAGCGGTGTGATATAATTTATATAAAAACAAAATACAGCTTGATTTATATAGTAATTTATGCTTTACATGTATTTTATATAAATTTTTATTGAATTCAAATATTCAATAGTTTTTTTATGCTAGATTAGTTGTATTTATTTAAATATATTATATTGGCAACCTTTCTTTACCCTGTCCTAATAAACGCATTTGTAAAAAAATATAGTGCATCGGTTTCGAACTAGCGTCCCCGGTACCAATAGTAAGGGGTAATAACCATTCGACCATTTGCCACGTAAAGCATCGCCAGATTTTTTTGTATTTAATCACTCCCAAAACACTGTTTTGGCTTATTGGAAGCATATCAGACATAATCGCCATAATCAAAAAATCTATATACCCAATAACTAATAAATTTGTCGATATAGATTTTCCATAAAATTAGTTTTTAGTCTGATCTTAAAATAAATTTAATTTTTTATAAAAAAAAATCACATTTAACAGTACCTTTTTAGTAGCTCGAAATCCTGTTGGTGGATTTCGGGCGTACTTCAAAATTAGCTTTTCTTCTACATATGCAAGCTATATTTTAAATATGGGGCAAATCGGATCGGCGAAAGGAGTTTAGTTACCTTTAAGTGATATGAAAATCTGACATTCATAGTCATCAAAAATATTGAACATTTTTCAAAAAATGAATCTAATGTGGAACATAAGAAATCGGATTTTTCTGCAGTTAATTTTGAGAGCGTCACCTTTTTATTAAATTAATATGAATCAGAATTTTATTATTTTTGTTCGAAAAGGTAAACCCAATGATCTCAGAAACAAGCAATTTGCTCTCGGAAAAACTGTTCAGCAAATTTCTAGTGAATTAGGCTTAACAGATGAAATTTTAGCTATCGTTACTCCAAATTACAGAATACCACTCGATTTAGACTTAAATCTTCTTGAAAAGTACCCAGAGTTAGTCTCGACAAAGAGACCAGAAAAGTTCGAAAGAACAAATCCATATGTCGCAATTGTCCCGAAGGACGAAATGGATACAATTACAATTAATGTCGATGTTCAAGGTCAGGAAGGTGTTGATTTTCCATATTTTGAATCAACAATAAAGCTTGCAGAAATGAAGGATAAAAATGGTGGCGATTTAGAGCAACTTATTAACTCATTTTTAATTGTTCCTCACACAGAAGAACAATTACTATTCAACGGAGAACCAATCGATAAAACAAAGCCTGCTTTAGAATACATTGAATCTGCGAAAACAACGAGGCTTACACTTAAGGCTGTATTTGGTCAGAAGGAGCTTGGTATTTTCGAGCACAGATGTAAACTATTAAAAGAAATGGCCGATACAGAGTTAACATACATAAATACATTAAATCGACTTACAGAGTTCTGGAAACCAAATGTTCTCCTCGGAAACTTATTCACCCAGGAAGAAACAGAAGATATGTTCAAGCACTTCCCCGTTATTTCAGCTTGCCACTCCAGATTTTACGCTTCAATTCAAAATGCCGGGTACAAATTCTCATCGCAAGTCGCTACATGTCTTCTAAATTTCTCAGAATTCTTCAAGACATGCTCGTACTACATCGGAACTTACAAAGTTCATACGGCATTACTCGCTGAGCGAATGAAGAAACAGGAACTCCATGACAAGATGAACGAAATCGAACTTAAGAACCCATTCAACCAGGCCGAAACACTGGCATCTTGTTTAATCACTCCTGTACAGCGTATGCCAAGATATATTTTGTTAATTAGAGAAATTCTCAAGAAAACTCCGAAATGTCACCCGGACTACCCACTTTTGGTCACTTCTGAAGAATATATCGACCTCGTTACGCGTGAAATCGAAGTAAAAGCAGAACATGCTGAACAAAACCAGAAAATGATCGAACTCGAGAGAAGATTGACCAAGTCTCTCATCATTTTCTCCGAAACACGTCAGATAGAAGTAACATGGGACGTAACAATTAAAGGAATGCAATCAAAAATTTATCTTCTTACGGATTTGATACTTATTAACATAATCGAAAAGAAGGGTGAGTCAGTACAATACTATGCCATGCTAAAGGATATGTGGATGTATCCTTTAGAAGGAAATAAAATTTTATTCTACAACGATAGCAACGTTTCTGACAAAGTCACCGTACAATTCCAGAACCAGGCACAATACGAAGAATTTACATCCAGAATCCAGAACCAAATTCCAAAGCCAGTGGATGGAGATTTGATTTTTACTCCTCTTTCACTCAGAAACCAACTTCCGACCTTCAAATCATGCGCTTACGAAGAGTTCGAAGGCACAATCTACATCTTTGGCGGTTACGTTGACGGATCAATGTCGAATTCTTTATATCTCATTAAACCAGCCATGAAAACAATTACGAAAATCGATACCCCTGTTTCTCCTCGTATCGAAGCACGCTGTGTCATAGCCCATAACTCTCTATGGATCTTCGGAGGCCATGGCGGCGAATTTGACTATCCGAAAGATCTTTGGTCGTATAACTTACTTACATCTACATGGTCACAACATGCATCCTCACCTGTTGGAACATCCGCTCATACGATGAATGCCTCTAAAAACAGAATTTTCGTATTTGGCGGTTACAAGAGCTCCAAATTCCGAAATCTGATGATGGTATTCAGTATAGACCGCAACATCTGGCACTCCGCCATATTCGAAGGCTCTCCAGAACCAAGAGCTTATCATTCATCAACTTTAATTGGAGACACACTCGTAGTTATCGGTGGCAGAAACAAAGAGAAATACTTCGACGATGTCCATTTCTTCGATGTACATAAGATTTATTGGAGACAAACAGGAATTACGTTTTCCAACTTCACTCCAAGGGCCAGCCACTCAACAGTTACTTTGGGAAGCTGCATCATGGTATTTGGTGGTACTTGCAAGGAAGGAAAACCACCAGAGGAAGCAATCATAATAAATACCAAAGAAAAAGTGGCAAAAGCAGTCTCGTTACATGGACATTTCCCACGTAAAGTATCAGATTTCATCATGATGAAGTGTCCTGTCGACAGTTTATGGATAATTGGTGGTGGAAGTGGAGATGATACGAAAGATGGCTTCCAAACAATCTTCTCTGCACAGTTTACAGCAGAAATGAAGAATTGCACCACAGAAATTCCAGATTTCTGCAAGAAAGGAAGCCTTTCTCGAACAATTATCAGAAAATCTTTCTTCACCAACAATGTTGTCACTCCTGAGATGTTCGGCAACTTGATGCACTCAGTAAAGAAGAAATCCAAGACCATGCAAGCTCCGAAACAAGTTCCTGTCGTTCAAGAAACACAATCTCAACCAGGAAATGAACCAAATCCAGCTTTGGTGCCAACAACTCAGTCAGATGTTGACAATGAATCATTTAATTCGGTCAATGCAAGTGCAGATGAATCAGAATCTTCAGATGATTCGAAATCAAATGTAGAATCACCACTTGTTGCACCAATTATTGTTCCTACTGACTATAAACCAGACGAAACTCCAGCTCCGCAACAAAAAGAAGCTATTTCGGAAAATTCAAATCCTCCTGTCGAAGAAACGAAGAAAGAAATACCGAAACAACAAGAAGAGAACGAAGAAGTATTGGTTCCTATACCAGTTGAAGCTCCAAAGAAAGCTGGATCAGATGATGAATCAGATTCTACTTCTTCTGACTGGGAAGGCATCAAAACAGTTACTATTGAGCAAACAGTCTCTGTTCCTCAGACCGTGGTCAAAGATACTGAGTCTACATTGGCAACTCCTCAATATCAGGAAGAAAAAGACCAAAAACCAGCTCTAGAACCAGTCAAAGAGGAGCCAAAGCCTGATCCACAGCCAGAGCCTGTTAAAGAGGAACCAAAGAAAGAAATCCAGACATCTCAAAAAGAATTACCGGCAGTACTAAGGAAATTCGCTGCCAAGGAGATCATCGATCGCCATCCTGCATCAAAGGAACCTCAAAAACCAGAAGAACCCCAGCAAAAACAAGATGAACAAATTGAAGTTCCAGTTCCTGTTAAACCTCCTCAGCCAGAGGAAGAAAAGGAGGAAATTGTTGTTCCTGCCAAAGAAGAGCCAAAACAAGAACCTCCAAAAGTCGAAATTCCTCAAAAACCAGAAGAACCAAAACCACAACCAGTCAAAACTCCAGAACCAGCCCCAGTCAAAGAACAACCAAAAGAAGAGCCAAAACCAGCCAAACAAGAGGAAATTAAACCGAAATTACCCGAACCAGCTCCAAAACAAGAACCAGAACCTCCGAAACAAGTCGAACAACCAAAACCAGTTCCGAAACCAGTCGAAGAACCACCTAAACCAGTTAAATCCGAAGAAATTAAACCGAAATTACCAGAACCAGCTCCGAAACCAGAAGAAAAGCCACAAAACCCAGTTGAACAACCAAAGCCAGTCGAAGAACCACCAAAACCAGCCAAACAAGAGGAAATTAAACCAGAATCAGCTCCAAAACCAGAAGAAAAACCAGCCGAACCAGAGCAAGTCAAGATTGAGCAGCCAAAACAAGAAGAGCCACCAAAACAAGGCACGGAGATCAAGAAATCTCCATCGCGAGAACTTCCAGCTGTTTTGAGGAAATTTGCAGCACAAGAAATCAAAACAAAAGAAGAACAACAACAGCCACAAACAAGGACACAAACAATAACTAAGACACCAAGTAGCTCTAACATCCAAACTAAAGCTCCATCACCGGAAGACAATGATCCATTGTTACAAGAACTCGGAATCAATATATCAGGACTTGCGACATTCCAGAAGAGAGTAATTTTGAGGAAGATCGCGACATTGAAAGATTTGAAGTCACAGAACCAAATATTCAAGGACAAAATACAAGAAGCAGAGGAAATGAACTCAAGTACAACAGCTTCTGAGATATATCCTATCTACATCAAAGTGAAAGTCGGAACACAAGTTTTCGTCATGAAAAAGAACTCTGATTTGAGTTTTGATGACTTGTCAAAGGAAATTTCTAAAGTCAGCGGAAAGAACATCAGTCAGGCAAAGATAAGAAAGGCAAAGAACAGTTTGTCTGGTGAGAATTACTCAAAGGAAGTGAAAATGGCTTCTTCTAAGTTCCATCCAATTGATATCGAGTTTTAGAAAATATTTATTTTATTTTTATTATGATTATATTTTTTTTAATTGTAAATTTCCAGGAAAAACAAAGTAAAAAAGTGTCCGTTTATATTTGAATTATATAATTATATAGTTTTTTTAGAATTTAAGCTTGTCCAAAATCTCCAAAATAAAAAGAATCACTGCCAAGAATCTCCGGAATTGACAATTTTTGATGGAATTTAATGTTATCACTAAAGCATTCGAAGGAAATTTTGAACTTATTATATCTCTTATAGAGGATTCTAATTATAAACAAGTTAACCACTCGGGTCATCTAGAAGCTGCTTAAATGTCTTATCTCTGTTGGAGCTGATAAAGAAACAAAGAATAATTATGGATCTACTCCACTCATTGTAGCATCACAAAATGATCATTCTGAAGTTGTTAATTATCTTGTCTCTGCTGGAGCATACAAAGAATCAAAAGATAAAATAAGTGGATGACAATTGTAAATGTTCTGAAAAAATGGCATTTTGACTTTACAAAGTGGCATTTTTGCCACTTTTTTTTTCTTATTTAATTCATTATACCTAATAAGAAAATATCTTAATATATTATTGGAAGAAACAAGAGTGCACCGTACTTCAATAATATGGATGCATGTATTATCAAAATATTCTAGGTTGTCAGAAATTTAAGGTAAATTAAGGAATAGCTATTGAATTTTTTTGAGAATAGATCAGAAATTTTAAATATGTTGCGTTCAAAACTAAATCAAACATATATCGGTTCACAATATAAAAGAGATTTGTTTTGAGTAATGACTGAAGTATCATATTATGAAATTAACAATGAGTTTTGCGTTGGAAATGGAAATGATCCAGCAATTGATCCTAGTTTTAGTGGCAGTCTTGTAATTGACCAGTATGAAGGCCATCCAATTTCTCACATATCCTCTTACGCATTCTATCAATGCAATATCACCAACATCACACTTCCAGATTCCATCATCTCGATTGGTGATCACTCATTTGCATGCTCAAAGGTCGAATCTATAGTATTTGGATCACAACTTGTTAGTTTAGGCAATTGTTCTTTCAATTATTCAAGTATTAAATTTGCAGATTTATCAAAAACTAAATTGACAAATTCTGTTGGAGAATCTATTTTCTATCACTCCAAATTAGAAGAAATACTATTACCTGATTCCCTAGAAATCATTGATGTCATTCCAAAAATATTGTTTATTAGATCTCGAAAATTTAAATATTATTGAGAGCGATTCACCAAACTTCATTGTGTATGATGGAGTTCTGTATAGTAGTGACTTTCAAACTGTTTATCGAGTTCCTGCTAATTTCACTGGTCAGCTTGAACATACGACAAAGTTTGTTGCAGAATGCGCTGTTTTTTCCAGATGCACATTTTCTGAATATAAAGTTGAAGCTCGTTTAGAAACACTTGGCAACTCTATGTTTCGTAATTGTCGGAATCTGAGAAGTATTGATTTATCTAACACAATTGCAACTATTTGTCCAACTGAGATATTTAATAATTGCAATATTGAAAATTTAATTTTGCCTGACACATTAATATATATTGCTAACTACTTAAATGTTTTTGGATCAATAACAAAACTTGTAATTCCTGCTTCTGTAAGAGTAATTGCTAAAGATGTGTTATACATAGCCAGTATTCAATCTATTGAATATTGTGGCGTTTATCAACTTGACTGTACAGCTGTAGGGACACCTAATCTGCTTGTGTCTTCTCATTACAATTATAACTCTTTCTTCGGATTCACATCATATTCTAATACACTCACAGAATGTCTTCCTGCGAGAACGCCAATCATGACACCATCCCGAACTCCAATTTGTTACAAAAGCGTTTCGTGTTTCAACATTCAAAACTTTATAAAGGTAACTAAACTCCTTTCGCCGATCCGATTTGCTCCATATTTAAAATATAGCTTGCATATGTAGAAGAAAAGCTAATTTTGAAGTACGCCCGAAATCCACCAACAGGATTTCGAGCTACTAAAAAGGTACTTTTAAATGTGATTTTTTTTATAAAAAATTAAATTTATTTTAAGATCAGACTAAAAACTAATTTTATGGAAAATCTATATCGACAAATTTATTAGTTATTGGGTATATAGATTTTTTGATTATGGCGATTATGTCTGATATGCTTCCAATAAGCCAAAACAGTGTTTTGGGAGTGATTAAATACAAAAAAATCTGGCGATGCTTTACGTGGCAAATGGTCGAATGGTTATTACCCCTTACTATTTGGTACCGGGGACGCTAGTTCGAAACCGATGCACTATATTTTTTTACAAAATGCGTTTATTAGGACAGGGTAAAGAAAGGTTGCCAATATAATATATTTAAATAAATACAACTAATCTAGCATAAAAAAACTATTGAATATTTGAATTCAATAAAAATTTATATAAAATACATGTAAAGCATAAATTACTATATAAGTCAAGCTGTATTTTGTTTTAAACACCGATTGTTTCATATAATATATATTCAACTCAAGTTTCTAATTAAGAATTTCATATAAAATTTAGCATATGATCAGCAACAATTAAAATTAGTATTACAATTAATAAATTTAGTATAAAAACATATAGATTTAGTATAGATTTTATAGCTGTAATAAAAGAACTATTATAAAAGAGTAATTTACTGAAATGCACCTTATATTTATAAACAAAACTTATAACGTGTTAGTTACATATAGAGTTGAAATTCATAGATAGCATAGAGAAGTTGGGATCTTGGCTTAATGGTCATAATATAACCAAATTAATTCAAAATTTGAAATTTTAATATTACTGTAACTATAATATATGGATATGTTTTATGAGATCATAATAAATGACATGTTAATGTAAAATTTAGAATAAAAAATTATATTTTTTTAAAAAAAAGCATTGTTCATGAGTGTTAATTGGAGAAGTAGTAAATTAGTTCAGTTTGCAAGTGATGATGGTTAATCTAACTATAATTACAATCAATTTTTAAAATACTTCCCGTAGGGCATTTGTTTAATTATTTCACATTCTGATGACATAATTTTTAATATCATAGATAATGAAAGCAAAAAATATATAAAAATCGACAAACATGGTATAATGAATTGAGAGCTTTACGTGTCAAAAAACACATTTCATACTGATTTCTATAAAAGTTAACTTTATTTCGTTTTCAGCATTCTTTGTTTTTATTCTTATCTAAAATAGAACTGAACATCAATAAAATGAAAATAATATATTAAATGATTTTCCTGCTTTCACTCTCTCTAAAATTTTCGCCAGAGGAAATATCTAATTTCACTCTTTCATTATATGCAATATTTTTCATGCTTTCCCTCTCTCACTATAATGAATATATGATTAGCTATAAATTCATTATTGAATACTGAAATAAAAAATTTTGGAGTTCTAGTGCCATCTTAAGGCTGCACTTACGCCCATCTGACTTTACTTCAAATTTTTGACAACTGGCGTGAAGCGCCATTGAAATTTAACTTTAAACATCCGAATTGAAGGCCTTAAGAGTGTAATGAGTGAAATGTCATAGGGGAGTAAGCGCATCCTTAAGAGTGTAATGAATTGAAATCTTTCAATGCCCATTGATATTTTATTAATTCATGAACATTAATTGGAATTACATTCAAGTTCAACAACAAATAAAATAAAACTATATTTATAATTTTGTTATGTTTACTCTAAGAAATATATTATATATATACCATTCTAAAATAAAAAAATATAAATTCTATTAAAAGTTAATTTTGTTTTTCTTCTTCAGCTTCTTCTGTTCTTTCAACTTGAGACTGAACTATTTCATCTACAAGCTTCTTAACTTTCTTTGACTGAGAGTTATCAAGTTTCTTAACTTTCTCCAACAAATCACCAATTTTGATGAATCTCTTTTGTTGGAACAAGAAAGCAGCCAAGAAAACTAAAGCATCTTCTTGTTTGCTTCTGTTTGCTCTTGAATCTCCTTCAGGGAAAGAAACAATCTTGTTCAATGCAACAGTTATTTTGTCTGCATCCAAGTTCTGTCTCGTTGCTGCTTCGTTTAACCATGTTCTGTATCTTGTCTGAACTCCATTTTTGTCTTCTTCTGGTTTCGCTTGTTCGATTATTGCGTCGAGCAAGCACTCAGCAGATTTAAGACCGTTCTTGAGGAATGCAACAGTGAAATCACTTGAATTGCTTCCAATATGGTCAATGTTGAATTTCAACATTTCTTTGGCGAAAAGTGACATTTTTTCATCTGACAATTTTGACACCAAATTTGTGAAAATGTTTTCGATGTAATTATTGTCAGAAGGAGCGTGAATCATTATAGACTTCAAGATCTCCATGGCCGAATCCTCATCTGCATCGATCCTCAGCTTGGAAGTGTAGTTCATGATCGATCTCGGCAAATTCTTCATTGTAATCAATTTAGGAATTGCTGATGAACAGAATTTCTTTGTTACAGAAGCTCTGATTACAACGTAAGGATCGAATGTGAAAAAATCGAATTGCTCTTGTTTGATGTACTCGAAAGCGGAGGAGATGATGTGGCGTCCCAATGTCTTGCAGAACTCGCAATTCTCTTTGATCAACTTCAAAGAAACTTTCGATAAACTCTCGATGTCAGAAATTTCTTCAATTTCTTCTTCGTGTTCTTTCGAAACATCTTTGTGGAGTTTGATCGATGCCTTGAGAAGGAGATTTGCATTGGAAACTGTTGTCTTCTCGTCCTTGATGAGCTTGAAAGAGATGGACTCTGTTCCGGAAAGAAGAGTAAGCCAGGATTCGCCTTCTGCAGTGAATTTATCAACAATGTGTTGGAACAACTCGAAAATTTCGGATTCTTCCGATGAAATTCTTTCTTGAAGAATTTCTTTCTCTTCTTCGAGTTCCGCTTTAGACAAATGCTCCTTGTCTTCATTGATCTTGGAAAGGATCTTAGAATAAAGGTCTTTGATGATATTTGTGTCCTTTAACGTTTCGCGGCGAATTTGGCCCCAAAGTAACTCAACGTAAGCGTGGAATGGCTTGTCAACTGGTTTTTCTTCGGATTTCTCTTCCTTCTCTTCATCGTCGCTTTCATCCTTTGTTTGTGTCTTCTCAGGCTTCTGACCAATTAACGAAATAACTTCTTGTGTGGTTTCGTCTGAGAGCTGGGCAAGGAACTGCGAGACCTGCTTGGAATGGAGGGTTGAGACAAGGGCAGCAGAGATCCTTGGAACTTTGCCTTTTGTAGATTTGTTGAATCTGTTTGCGGCGTCAACGGCTGCTTGGACAAGAACTGCGCCGTGCTTGGACTGGGCAAGAGCACGGATGGATTCTTCGTGCCTTTCGAAGATTTGGAGATATGTATTTACATCTAATGAAGGACTTTGGCAAACAGCTGTTAAGGCCATTAAGCTGACCATTGGGGTATCTGTAAATTTGTTGATTGTGTTGGTTACAAGCTGCATGGCGTTGTTTTCTGCAAGGAAATTGTACAATGTTGGAATATTTGGCAATTGGCGAACAGATGACTCGTAGATTGAAGCGAAGGACTGAAGGATCTTTGAGCCTGTTGGTGATTTAACCCATGGTTTGTTGCTCAAAGGCAATGATTTGTAGTATTTGCAAATCTTGTACCAAAATTCGAGAGAATCATAGTGTGGTGGGATAACAACTGAGCCAAGCTCTGCAACGATCTCTTTGTATGCGTATTTTTCGAAATCTTCTGTGGTATCAAAGTTTGAAATCATGATTGCGTAAAGAGTTTGGTAGCCTAATGCACGGAGAGACATGCAATCATTCGAATAACCATGAATGTTACGTATGATAGCAATGATGATTTCTTTTTGTCCTTTGAAAAGTCCTCCACGTGAGATTGCTGTCCAAGCCATGAAGATGGCAACCATGTTATAACGAAGATCAACTGTTTCTGTGCCCATTTCAAGTGTGCTCTTCGTTAATTCGTAAATCTCAGTTGGATTTAAGCCTTTGAGTCCTTTAATAAGCTCACTGAGTGCAAAAGCCATGTTAGCTCTGCGTTTGATATCTTTGGCACGAAGTGACTTGAACATATGTATTAATAAATTAGTAGTATATTTCTTTTTTTCTGTATCAGCAGATTCTGGCTTTGTTTTAGATATTTGTCTGAGGTCTTCCTTGACAGTTTCAACAAATGTCTTGACAACTGTAAATGGATCTGTTGTAGTTTTGATGGAAGCAAGTAACTCCATCCTAAAATTTTTGATCTCGATTTTGGGCACAGATACGATTTTAATATAGATATATCTGTTTCACACGAAAATGAGTGAAATTTGCTCATTTATGTCCACTTATGGGCAGGACTAAAGTAAATTTTAATCTAAAAGATTAAGAATTTTAATCAAATCATAGAACAAAATTGACTATTATTCGAGATAATACCATATGTAGCCAGCATAAACCAAATTATTTTGTTTAAATTTTACATGTCTGATCAAAACATTCATATAAATAAATTCAATGAACTGCGAAGTATTTATAAATACCACATTGATTCATATAATGCATTGTATCAGCTGCAAACTGAAAATGAAGAAGAATTAAACAAGATTTACAAAATGATCAAAGCAGAACTGATTGATTCAAAGAAATGCCCTCCCACAAATATTATGAATAGTATTTTAGAGATCATTCCTTATAATAATCGCTATTCAAAGTCATATTTATTTCTTGCCAAACTCATATGTGATGATTATCATGTCAAAGATGTCTTTAATGTTAAAGATATTTCAAACTACTTGTTTTATAAAGAATATGGAATTATATTAGACAAAAAATATGATTTCGAAGGATTTAAATCTGAAAATCTGGATATTCATACAGAAAATACAATTTACAAAGCAATTATGTATAATGACCTAGAAAGTTTCATCACATTCACTGAAATAGATGGTTTTGATAAAGATCAAAAACTTAAAAGCAAATTATATCCATATTCTATGAAAAGATATTCATTACTTGAATTATGCTGTTACCATGGAGCAGTTGATTGTTTCAAGCTATTAAGGACGAAATTCAATTCAGAAATAGCTCAAACATGTCTAGATTTTTCATTTTTAGGCGGAAATCCAGAGATCATGAGTGAATGTTTGAAATATCAAAAACCAGGTAAATTTTGCATGAAAAATGCAATTATTTCACACAACATTGATTTTGTTACATTCTTGATGAATGAATACAATATAGAAATCGATTTAGGTTCATGTGGATTATTTAATAATCTTGAAGCGTTTTTAGTTTATTTCGATCAAACTAATGATGTTAACAAATGCTTTCTTATATCCCCTTATTTCAATACTCCATCTCTTTGCAAATACTTCCTTTCAAACGGTGCAAATATCAACGAAAAAGATGACTTTGGAAAAACTGCTCTTCATTATGCAGCAAAAAATAATATTATAGAAATAGCCAAACTTATTATTTCACATGGCGCAAATGTTAATGAAAAAAGATTGTATTAGAAACACGGCTCTTCATTATGCAACAATAAATAATATTAAAGAACTAGTCGAACTTCTTATTTCACATTGTGCAAATGTTAATGAAAAAGATAATATTGGAAGAACCACCCTTCATTGTGCAGCTACAAGTAATAGTAAAGAAATAGTCGAACTTATTATTTCACATGGTGCAAATATCAACGAAAAAGATAGCTTTGGAAAAACTGCTCTTCATTATGCAGAAGAAAATAATAATAACGCAACGGCCGAGCTTCTTATTTCCCATAGTGCAGTAAAATAGTATTCCTATATATAATATTTCTCGTTCTTTTTCTGATATTTTTGATAATAGATCTTATTAAAATTTAAAAATGTCGTCAATTACCTTTTTTAGTGGAAATCAGAAGTTAATGTATTAATGCTTGAAAAGCAATAATACTAATTTAATGTTCATGAGGAATGCAATTATTTCACATATTTATGATTTTGTTACTTTTCTGGTGAACAATACAAATTGTATAATCTTATTGCAACACTTTCAATAATCATCAAACATTTTTAGTGTATTAAGATCAGACAAATAATATCAACAAACACTTTATGTAGAATATTTAATTTTGCCCAATGCACAAACCAAATCAAGTATGAACATACACTTCTTCATTATGCGACAAAATATCATACTAAAGAAACAAAAGAACTGCTTATTTCACATGATGCAAAAATCAATGAAAATGATAATTATGAACGAACTTCTCTCCATAATGCAAAACTTCTAATTTTCTAAGGTGTGATATTCTGAATACAATTTTCATACTCATATGCTATGGTTGAACTCGAAAAATGAAATGAAATATAATTTTCGAGAGAGGGTCAAAGTTGCTATTTGTCACTTTTCCACAAGAATATAATGGGGAAAAAGTTATCATATAGTTGATCTCATTGACTAAGGTGACAGATGCATGTAGTGTAATGGGATAAACAGTGGGATTGCTTATCTAAGTCCTAGGTTCGAGACACATTGGCTTCATTTTTCTCTTTTTTATTGACGTAAACTATTCAATTTTTGTGTTCTCCATTCAAATTTCAGAATTTTTTTTGCAGATTTCACGCTACATTCGAAGTTACCTTTTGTAACAACCACCACTGCCTACGAAAGACGAAAGTGTGTCACGATTTCACCCGGAAATCCGACGGTTGTTTAAGAGTATGCACTTTTGTCACCTACTCATATAATTTTCTATACATAAATAAAAAAAAGCGATATTTTTATTTTTAATAAAATTAATGTCAGATCTCAACAGTACATTTCATTTGATCTTCTATTTTTGCTTATGGCATATAAGCAAATCGTTGATTTTTTTTAATAATCCAGAGATTTAACTTAAATGCTGTTTTTTTTGAGACAAAAACATTGTAGCACTAAGTTTTTTGCTTAATATCATAGTGTCATAGAAGATTAATTATAAATATTAAAATTATATAATTAATCTAATATTAACACATTTTTTTTGGTAATGATCTAATAATTCAATTGTAAAAAGAGCATAATCCAATTGGCTATGATCAATCACTACTATCATCCATAACTCCTGGGTAAGAACGAATGAGATCTTCAAGATCTTGTAATTTCTCTCTTAAATGAGCCTTTTTCATCTCATAATCTGTATTTAGATCAAGTAATATTTCAATTTCTGCTCGAAGTTGTTCATTCTCTTCAATATATTCCTGCTTTCTTTTTTCTGTCATTTCAACGCACGCTGCTTCATAATCAGTGCCTAAGTTGAACCAAAAGCCATCAACCCATCTATAATGTAAATCCCCTAGATTCAATTCAAAAGGAGTTAAAGATTCGGGGGTAAAATTAAAGTAAAAGTTTTGTGGTTTTCTTTTTCCAAAATTTCTTTCAATAAATGTCGGTTTTGTCCATCTTGAAATTGGAATTGGAGAACTTCCGTATTCAGGAACATTTGGAAGAGGGAAAAGATCATCTCTTTCTGCAGATCTATCAGTCAAAGATGAAATAGATGTCAATGGAGCATTTGAATATGTTTGCTTTGATGATTCTTCCGTATCAGACGTGGTAGTTGAATTCATAAACGTAAATATGTCACTTTTTATGTAAAATTTATATAATTCAAGTTCAGAGATTCAGTTTAAAGAATCAAAAAACGAGCTAAGTTACAGATTGAAGTGCATTTACATGGTAAGGAATATACAAATATTGCATCAAATGAACTTTTTAAATGCTTATAAAAATTAAATTCATGAAATTTGGCACAAATTAGCAACATATCAAATGCCACAAGTCTATAAAGTTAAAATTGCTCATACTGAGATTCTCATTCGCCAGATTTACCTAGAAATAAATTCATTTTGAAAAAAAAGTGTGGATCAATCAGATACTTTTGTAATACTAACATATCTGATATCTACTGTAGTAAATGTGAAATTGCTCTAATATAAGTAGCGTTCAACTATATTTATTATTCTTTTTTAGGACATATCAAGATTTTATACAAAAGTTTGGTTCTCTGTTATGCAAATTGATAAATTTATGAAACATGAAGGATTGATTCTTTAAAAATAAAAATAAAATAAAAAATCTTTAACAATATGAGTTCATTTTGAATGTATATATCCTATTTGTTTGCTATTTTCATTTATGTAAGCTATTTAAAATTGAAGGTTATCTCGAAATTCTAATTGAGAAAAGAGTTATTTTATTCAAATTGGGAACCTGAAGATGAAAATTAAAGAGATTCACTATGAATAAAAAATAAATAAAAGTTAAAGTCCCTATATACAAATTTTATTATAATCAATTATTTCTTTTCCTCATTATATGGAGTCTGTCCAGGTGGAGCTGGAGCTGCTGGGGCAGGTGGTGGTGGAGGAGCCTGAAATTGAGGAGGCTGATTAGGAGGTTGATATTGTTGAGGAGGTGGTTGTTGGTAAGAATTAGGTGGATAGTAGTATGGTTGTTGACCATTTTGTGGAGGTGGAGGAGGTTGTTGTCCGTTTTGAGGAGGTGGGTAATAATTGTATTGTGGAGGCGGTTGTTGTCCGTTTGCAGTTGGAGGTGGCTGATTGTAATAATAACCGTATGGTGGTGGCTGCTGTGGTGCGCCTTGTTGAGGTTGAGGAGGATATTGTTGTGGATATCCTGGAGGTGGATATTGTTGTGGTGGGTATTGTTGAGGTGGGTATTGCTGTGGGGGTGGTGCCTGCGTCTGTGCTTGATTTTGGGCAGCTTGGGCATCATCGCTTGAAGAACTTGAATCTGAAACAGCTTCGCCATTCTTTTGCTTGTTGATTCTCTGTCGCATCTTCTCTTCGAACTTCTTTTCCTTGTGAGAGCCTTCACATAAAGCACCTGAAGATACACAGAGGAAAGTAATCGGGAAGAAAACTAAATGGAGAATGTAGAAGATAAGCCAAACAACGCCAACTAAGACAAGAATAAAGGCACCCTCGTCAGCATCACCAGCACCGCCACATGAGCAAGGGTCATCACAGCAGTGTTTTTTACAAACGAATCTGGGCATATCGCAGCAACAGCAGCATTCGCAAAAGCATAAACTGCAGACATATTCAGCCAGTGGTATACGGCATGTGATATCTTCAGCCTTCGCTTTTTTATAGAAGAATTTATATGATTTCTTGAAAAGACCTGGGTAACGGTTGAAGAAGCAGTAGTATACACATCCACATCTGATGACACATGTTGGATACTTAACGATGGCATAGTGAAAGATAATTGAAGAAATAATAACGATAACAACATAGAAAACCAGCAAACCAATGAGTAGACCTTTATATTGGAAATTGCTATAAAGTGCTTTCCTTTCGATGTTGAGGTATTTCTGTTTTGAAAGAACTTCTTTTTGTTGAGAACTAACTCTGAACTGTTTGAATGTGATAGACTTTTCGGTTTGTTTGCTGGAGTTAGATGGAATGAATGTGATGAAACCTTGTGAATTATTCAAAACTAAGAAATTGTTGTTAACGTTTGTTAGTTTTGTAACTTCTTTGTGTTCGTTGTCATAAACAATGAAAGTATAGTTGTCAATAAGATGCAAATACATTGAAACGGCTTGGTTTCGACCAACTTTGCCTTCGAAATCAAAACGAACACAGAACTTTAATTCAGTGACACAAATGTTGTTGTTGTTTATTAGACAAAAAGCCAAGGTCATTAGCTTTATACTCCTTCTGACACGTTAAATCCTTTGATAAAGCTAATTGCAATAAGATAAACATTGATTATTGTTTACCAACGGCGCTTTTTTTATTTTAATAGTTAATGTGCAAAATCATTTTTAAATTGTTTTTCTTTAATTTCCGGCAAAGTAAGAACAGTTTATTCTTTCAATTTTGAGAGATAAGATCAAATTCAATTACCCTTTTTGAATAGTTTACAAATTTCAAGATTTTACATATAGTAGTTTTTTTAAATCGCACATGATCTATGCAGCCTTAAAATATGAGTAAACACTTCAGTATGATATGATTGCTTTTGCAGAGTAAATCAATATATTATAAATTCTTATTATACTCAATCTTTCATTGCAGCTATTGAAAATATCAGCTTCTAAAAGTGTGTCTGAAACCCCACCGTATATGTTCATTTTGCGAAAATCATTCTTTTGATATCCAAATTCATCTTTATTTTTTTAGTCCTATTTTGTACACAGGTGTAAAAACTTATACTTGGTATTTAGATGTAGTTGCATCAATAGCTTTCCTATATTTTGGGTGCGAAGCACCGATAATAGAGTTTGTCAAGGGAGCTTATGGATATTTCGTTGAATAATGTATGTTTTCATTCCATGCTATTAACTGTTGTCGATTAAATTAAGAATATTTTTACTCTATCAAGCTATGGAATCCAAGAAAAAAAAATTCAGAATATTTTTCAGAATTCTTTTCAAAACATAAAACCTTTTAAATTGCACATAGAACATCTTGCTCTTCATCTCCGAATAATCGAACGTAAAAAATTGAAATAAAAGTGACAAATGAAAGGAAAAGAGAGTTCGATTTATTACTTGGATCAAATTACGGCAGGCAAATATATGAGCATTGTTCGTGAACGTGATTCCAAGAAGATTCCTGTTACTGAATTTTTAATATCAGATATTGAGAAGGCCCTCAAAGCTGATCAAATCGATTTAATGAAACTGAGGGAAAGTAATATTCTCGATTTAAAACATTGTGCTAATGAAGCTGCTGCTAAACAACAAGATTTCGTAGCAAATCTTTCAAACATTAAAGAACAGCTTATTGCGACCAAAAGCAAATCCAACGAGTTATATGCATCTACAAATCAGATTTCCACAGATTTCGCTAAGGTTACAGACCAACTTGACGTTGCTGCTTCTCTTGTACAAAGAGCAGAAGATATGTCAATTGTTATTAGCTATATTCAGCAATTTAACGTACCACTTGAGGATCCACCAATGGTCAAAGCACCAAATCAACCGCAACCCGATCCAAATAATCCGGATGCTCCAGTAGAAGAAAAAATGATTTCAGCATTCGATCCACTTGAAAAACTTATTGCCAAGGTTAAATTCCCTTCATCAATATATCAAAGAGCTGAACTTACAGCAAAATTATTGAAAATTGTCGCAAGTGCAGAAGGAGATTTCCTTTCCAACGCGAAGACCAACCTTCAAAACTACAGAGAACACTTGAAGAGGGAACTTGTCGAACTTTTCCAACAAAATCAAAAAGTTAATAAATACGAACAAGCAAAATGCGCTGCTGCTCTAGATTTACTTCAAGCGGAATGCCTTGCTTATGTCAGATTCCGGAAAGAAATTTTTATTCAAAGAAAAGTATCTTTTCGAGGATGAAAGCATCTTAATTGACCATTATAGGGAAACATGTGCTTTCTTCATTACAGATTGCAAGAAAAACTGGGAAATCATGGATACAATTTTTAATAAGAGTCAACAACCAAAATCAACGCTTGTACAGATGGTTTTTGAAGCAGTATTCAATCCTTACATTACAAACGTTCTCAAACATTATTTATCCCAGAAACAAGACAGATTTTCAGAAATGTTTTTCAAAATTCACAATGAAACAAACGAAATGCTAAAATCAATATGGGCATTAGATGGATCTTCATTTAATAACCAGAACATTACAGAAAATACCTTCAGACCGTTCCAATACGAATATGAAAGGATTGAAAACCTCGCAGTTGCAACGGCGATGAGTACAAGTGTTGCTCCTGTTCTTACAAAGCTCAGAGCTATTATCGAAAACTCAAAGAAATGGCTCTCAAAGCGTGATGAAGAAAATTATGACATTTTTTCGGAATTTAATCCTCAGTTACCAATTACTATCCTCACTGCTGGTGCCTCTGCATGGGAACGATGCATTGTCTTATCGGATCCATCAAAGAAACACCAGATTTTGAAAAATTTAATTGATATCATTATTCAAGGCAATCTACGTGATTATTTGATCACGTATCTTGATGCTTGTCGTATCTGCATGCAGAAAGATAACGATGTCTCCATTGTTCCGAAGTTTTTCGCGATCACATCTGTTATTAACATGACAATCCTCACGATTGAAGCTAAATACAACCAGATATTGAAGCCAGTCCTACAGCAGAAGCCTATTGACCACGATGCCTTCCTGAAAGAAAGAGATTCCCTTGTAAATTCTCTTGAAGAAGGAATTACAAAGAATTTGGAGATATGCATCAGTACAATCGTTGACAAAGTGAAGAATATTGTTTCCACGAAGACTTTCAAGCAATCATTCCTTCGCCAAAACGTTTTAGGATCAATTTCTCAACCTTGTACTGAAATTTGTCAAATTTTGACAGGACCAAATTCGATTTATTCAGAAAGTCAAAGTTTATCAGGAGAAAACAACATCTCTTTCTGTTCTGTACTTTGCAAAGAGCTGATTGACACAATAATCAACACTCTTCTTGAATTGAAATATGATTTTCCTGAAGGAACAATGCAGTTATCAATGGATATTTGCGAGTACTCGAACGCATTTGCAAAATTCAATTTAGATTTCGTGAATAGTAAGTTTGAGGACTTGGACAAAGCAGCAAAGTTAATGTGCACTCCTGCAGACAGAATTTCTCAAATTAAGAAAGATTTGAACATGCAGCCAAAAGCAGTTGATTTGGCAAGAAAGTTACTTCCTTTGAGAACAGACTCTAAAGAAAATGACCTTGTTAATGCTTTATAACTTATTGTAAATAATACTGTATATATGTGTTTTTAATAATCAGAAAATTTTTTTTTATAAAACTCTATGAAATTCATTAGATATAATGAGTTTTGGTATTGCAAATCACCATATAGTGCCTTGTTTGGCTGTTATACCTTTTTGCGATTGTAATTTACCGATTTTGCAAGAAAATGCCAGAATGTCGTAAGTGAACCTTAAAAAGTACAAAAAAAGAACGGAAAGTTGACTTTATTTCTCATCTTTGGTACAATATCTCAACAAATACCTAATCTAATCGAATAAACAAACAATCTCTTCATGAAACGTGTGCATTCAATCTCAATTTTGATAACAATGAAATAGTGGGAAAAAAATTCAAAGAATTTGTAAAGTAACATAAAATTAATGAGTCAATCGCTTGTTCAGAATTTTGAGTATACTGCAGCTCACATCAAAGATTACATTGATGATGATAAGTTATTTACTACGTTCGAAGTCCAAGATATCAGAAAAATCATGAAATTTGCAAATTTGACAACAAATGACTTCAATACTCTTCTGAAGCAATCAAAATCTATAGTCAAAGCAAACGATTTATATATGTGTATTCGCTATGCAAATGTTTCTATACGAAATCATGAAGAAGTCATCAATCTTCTGAAAACTGCTAAGAAATACCTTAAACTGACATTCCTTGATGGAACTATTGACTTTTTAATACAATCGCAAACTGTAGAATCATATTACACAGAGAAAATACAAATTCTTCAAGCAGAGTTAAAAACCATTCATGAGCAAAAACAAAAAAGTAACAAAGAGATTGAATCACTTCAATCCCAACTCAATCAAATTATGACCGAAGAAAAAGTTCTATCAAAAATTTCAGAACTTAAAAATTCTAATGATTTTTATAGAATTTACAATTTCTTTGAAGAACTCTCATCTCAAGGAAATCAAAGAATGATTTCAAAGGCATGCAAAGAAGGTCTTTGGTTAAAGGAGGCTACTAAGAGCGAAAATTTTATGGAAATAGGTAATGTCCTTCATATAGCATGTGAAAAAGGAAATCTCAATCTTGTAAAATCTCTCATTGAAAGTGGTTGTGATAAAGAATATCCTTCTTGTTTTAAAAATACTCCATTAGATCATGCATCAATGAAAGGTCAACTTGAAGTTGTTCAATATCTCATCTCTGTTGGAGCTAATATAGAAGTGAAAAGTACTGGTGGATGGAATCCACTCATTTATGCATCAATGAAAGGTCAACTTGAAGTTGTTCAATATCTTATCTCTGTTGGAGCTGATAAAGAAGCAAAGACTAATTATGGAATTACTTCACTCATTTGTGCATCAGATAATGGTCATCTTGAAGTTGTTCAATATCTTATCTCTGTTGGAGCAGATAAAGAAGCAAAGGATAATAAAGGATTGACTCCACTCATTTGGGCATCAGATAATGGTCATCTTGAAGTTGTTAAATATCTTATCTCTGTTGGAGTTGATAAAGAAGCAAAGTCTAAATATGGAGAAACACCACTTATTTTTGCATCACAAAAAGGTCATCTTGAAGTTGTTAAATATCTTATCTCTGTCGGAGCTGATAAAGAAGCAAAGACTATTTATGGAAGTACATCACTCATCTGTGCATCACAAAAAGGCCATCTTGAAGTTGTTCAATATCTTATCTCTATTGGAGCTGATAAAGAAGCAAAGGATGAAGGCGGGTCTACTCCACTCATTTGTGCATCAATTCATGGTCATCTTGACGTTGTTAAATATCTTATCTCTGTTGGAGCTGATAAAGAAGCAAAGAATAAAGATGGGAAAACATGTTACGATTATGGAAGTTGTAATATAAAGGATTATCTATCATCATTAAAATGAATTCATTAATTAATGTGGCTGTTCTGGTTGATTGTTTACATTAGATTTTTGTTCGAATCAGGATTACATTATATAAAAGCATTTGTCTTCAAAAATTTTAATAAACACCCACTTTTATACATATAAATTACAAAATTTTTCACAAATATAATGCAAAATACTATTAATCTAATTTAATATTGATGATATTAAGCCAAAAATCTCGCAAATTCTATATTTAAGTAAAAAATAACAAACAAATTATTTATAATAATCAAAAAGAGTTTTTTGAATTAAGCAAACATTTCAAGGCCAACAATTATACATTGCTGATGCATCAAAAATGTTAACCTTCAAATTTGATAAAAAATTATTTTTCCAAAAATCTAAGTATGCAAAGGTCTCAGCATTCTCTTTCCAGGCACAATCGATCTGCGATGTGTAATCTGCAAAGTTGCGAGAGATTTGAACTTTGCCAAATTTTCAAGGTGTAAAGGCTTCGGAGTCTTCTTCTTTTTGAGGGGAGGCAGCACTGTTGGCAATGCTGGAAGATTTTGTAGTGGATTCTTGAGAACAAAGTAAATTGTCGTATCATCATTTATTTCTCCGTTTTCGAGTTCTTTTTCGAGTAATTCTTTGGATATTCCGTATGTTTCGCATTGGCTTATAATATCCGTGTCAATCTTCTCTGGATTTCTCTTGAATTTAAGACAATCTGAATAATTTTCAACTTTGTAGTAAACAATTGGTCTCGGAGCGCAATTATAGCTTTTCTTTCCAGTATTCCTGAGCCACGGATGAGAGGCAATCTGCGCAAACGATGCTCTTAGCTGTGGACGGGGTTGGAGCATTATATCTAAAAGATTCTGTAAATCTAGGGAGATACCGCTCAGTCTTGCAATATTTGTAGCTTCTTCGATAAGAAGACGTGCATCTTTCTGTTGTAAAGTAAATGGCATCGACATTGTAAGAGATGCATACAATGTAACGCCTAAAGAGAAGACGTCGCATTTTTCATTGTACTCGTTGCATCCTATTACTTCTGGGGCTGTGTATCCGGGAGTTCCAACGACTCCGGTAAGTTTATGGCAATAAAATGTATCAGAAAGGCCAAAATCGATGACTTTCACGTTCAAATTATTGTCTATTAGTATGTTTTCCATTTTGATATCACGGTGAGCAATAAAAAAGTTTGTTTGTAGATAATTGAAAACGTCAAATAATTGAGAAAAAATTCTAAGGGCTTCTTGCTCTGATAACCCTTTTCGAGACATTACATATTGATAGAGCGTTCCTCCGGATGCATATTCCATGAAAAAGAAGAGCAAATTCCCGACTTGAGATAAACGAAATAATTTTGCAAGATGTGGATGGCTCACTTGCATGAAAACACTTATTTCTCGTATGATACCATTAAATGCTGACTTTCTTTGTGCATGTAAATCAATGATTTTTACGGCGCAAAAATTATTCGTACGAATATGACGCGCGATTCGGACAGAGCTAGAGGCACCTTTTCCTATCTGTTCACGTATCTCAAAGCCATCGATAACGCGCCCTTCTATGTTATCGATAGTTAGTTCATCCATAGAAAATTTTGATGTAAAGTTTTGCTAGCAAAATGCGTTATTGCTTTGAAACATTGCTATTATGCAATTTTATCCGGAAGATTTAAATTCAACCATAATAAAAATTCTGTTTTGTGAGGAGCTCTGAAAAATTCAAAAATTGAAAATGCTCGCCTTGAGATAGAAATTATTATACAATAAAAATGGTCAAAATTAATTGAATTCAATGTGAAATTTCAATAGTTTATACTGCCTCGTATTGGCATAGACGTAATTGGGTTAATGATCGTAGCAATACGTTTCTATCTTGAGCGATGAGTTTCAATTTGTATGATAGGCCTAATTTAACTATTATTCAGACCGTAATCCTAATTTCTGAAATATCATATAATTTCGGAAATAAGATTCAGGTAATCTGACTACTATCATTAGGCTTTTGATTTACACTTTAGATTGTTGTAAACAGAAATTCATCAAAAGTGACACCTCAGAAAAGCTAAATTATTGAATTTTTGGAACTTTTGATAGAGCACGTTTTTAAATATTAATTAAAGTAAATGTATATTTTGTAAAGATTCTTTTTAATAAAAAAATAAAATTTTGAAGAAGAACACAAAATCTTCTGAAAAATAATATCACATAAACTCATATTATTTTCTAATATATAACTATTTTATATAAAAATCAAATTCAATGATCTTAAAAGCGAAGGATAAACCTCAAAATTTACGAATATAATGAGTGGGAATATAATGCTTATCTATCATAAAACCATATGAAATATCAATTTTTGCTTGACGCCTAATTTTTGGAGTAGGTGCCAAAAGTGCTTACTCTTAAACAACCGTCGGATTTCCGGGTGAAATCGTGACACACTTTCGTCTTTCGTAGGCAGTGGTGGTTGTTACAAAAGGTAACTTCGAATGTAGCGTGAAATCTGCAAAAAAAATTCTGAAATTTGAATGGGGAACACAAAAATTGAATAGTTTACGTCAATAAAAAAGAGAAAAATGAAGCCAATGTGTCTCGAACCTAGGACTTAGAGCAGCAATCCCACTGTTTATCACATTACACTACATGCATCTCTCACCTCAGTGAATGAGATCAACTATATGATAACTTTTTCCCCATTATATTCTTGTGGAAAAGTGACAAATAGCAACTTTGACCCTCTCTCCTAATTTTTGACGACAATTAGCAAAAAATGTTAAACGTTAACACTCAGTCCATTTGAATATGAAAAATAAAATTGACTTTGATTAAATGTTTTTATTTATCATGCAATTCTTCTTGCGACCAAAGATTTGAATAAAAGTTCAAAAAATAAGATAGCTTAAAAAATAATATACGGTAGTGTTTACTAATAGATGAATAGTATATAAATTCTATTAAAATGGATTTGATCCAAAAAATATAAAACCAAAAATAATTGTTATAATTTAAGGGTGCCCTATAACGATAATGTAAACATCACAAAATTAACCTTATTAGAACTCGAATGAATGGATTATCCGGATTCTAGTTCTCAATATAATAGCCTTAAAAGTGCTTTTCTGAGGGTGGTCTATCGTCTATAGGGCACCCTTAAATGAAGAAGTAATTTAAAACGATTTTATTTATGATCAAATTTTATATATTTTTTTGGATCAAATCCATTTTAATAGAATTTATATACTATTCATCTATTAGTAAACACTACCGTATATTATTTTTTAAGCTATCTTATTTTTTGAAATTTTATTCAAATCTTTGGTCGCAAGAAAAATTGCATGATAAATAAAAACATTTAATCAAAGTCAATTTTATTTTTCATATTCAAATGGACTGAGTGTTAACGTTTAACATTTTTTGCTAATTGTCGTCAAAAATTAGGCGTAAAGCAAAAATTGATATTTCATATGGTTTTATGATAGATAAGCATTATATTCCCACTCATTATATTCGTAAATTTTGAGGTTTATCCTTCGCTTTTAAGATCATTGAATTTGATTTTTATATAAAATAGTTATATATTAGAAAATAATATGAGTTTATGTGATATTATTTTTCAGAAGATTTCATTCTATATGCCTATGAAAAGTACTCTCAAAACTAACTTTTTCCTAATTATAATTAAATCTAGAATATTGTATTATGCTTAGTATTATTTCATTTTTCTCATTCAATTTAGAATTTACAAATGTCAAAAAATTGAGAGCTGTCACTTTTGATGAATTTCTGTTTATTACAAGATCAAAAGTTTATTAATAATGGTCCTATGTGGAAAATTATTGAACGGTAACTTCACTCGTTTTTTTACAACATGTTTTACATTTTGTTGGATAGAATTGGGAAGTTAGTTAATTGAATAGATTATCTAGCTTAAAAATCTTTCCTAATTAATTTCGGAATATGAATTCAAGATGAAAATGATAAACATTACTATACTACCGTAAAAACATGTTATTGTAGTGGTTCACATCACTAATTTGGTAAACCAAACAAAATCAATAAGAATTCATATTTTTTTGTATGCCAAAACTGCTATATTAGGATAAAATCTAGTCAAACTAGCATGAAAATTCAATTTGATAAAATGAAACAGTTCAATTCTTATCATTAATGCATGAAATTATTTTCCAGATTGAAATTAATCAAACAATTTATTTTTATGAGTGTAACAGGTAATAACAATGTATGATATTGATAATTCGAATTAAAACAACAATGAACAAGCAAATAGTAAATCTCGTTAGTAAATAAAAGATAAAATTAGAGCAAGAAATAATTATAAATAGATCATACAGCGTATGTAGATCAGTTATGGGTAGTTGCATACATAGTAGGACTTGAACCATTTCTTTGAAAATTCTCTGAAGTTATAACGGCAGGGTTTGTCCTTGCAGGAATATCCAATCCTGGTATAGATCGCGGCCGCCATATTCTTGCTGAAGCATTTGGCCTTAAAGGAAACTTCGTGTAGTTTGTATATGGAACATCTGGATCAGCTTGACGGAGTTCCGCTATTCTCATCTGAATAGTTTTCTGAGGAAAACTTCTTTGATAGTTTGGTGAGAGTGCTCTATTTCTTGGTGCTCTATGTTCAGACGAATTTCGAGGAGTGCGAGGTGTTTTGCCTCTTGAACCATTGAACATTGAGAAAATCATTTTGTTAATCTTATTTATATCTTTATCTACTTCCTTTTCAAATGTTACCCACTGATTCGCATCAACGTTCATAAAATTTTGTAAAAAATAAACTTTTCAATTATTGTTGAAAACATCATTGATATGCTCAAAGGCATCAGAAACTGATTTCGATATTCCTTGTACTTGCCATTATGCAATTTAATCTAATTCAAGATATGTTGATTAGTCAAAGATATTTAAGTGATAATTTTCAAAGTTTTTGTCGCAAGATCTATAAATCATTAAATCAATGAAGCCCTTATTTGTATCCCATGCTGTAAATATGGTAATTTTGATTAGCTAATATGCGAATTTAATATAAATTATAAATATAATGAAATTTCAATTATGAAATTATATATCTAAGTTCAAGAATTGAATAAAACCTTGTACTAAGTTCTAAAATGCATTTTGCAAAGCACATAATACCTTTTTATATTAATCTATTAAGGATACCCTTACATTGCGTAGTTAGAAAGAAAATATGATATTGTCATGATTGCTAAAGTTTTAGGCTCCAGAAATGAATATACATCAAACTGAAACAATTGATAAATTGAATGAACTTTTGAGAGGTTCTCAAATAAAAAAAATTATCTAATTTTTTACAATATTACTATTATTTTATCCACATATGTATATATAGTAATTTGAGAAAACTTTTAGGAAAAAATAAGTTTAATAAAAATCTGAATTTTACTTGTTGTGGGATTGTTATTAATTGACACTCCAGACGTATTACTAATAGTTATGCGTATGCAATTAAAGTATTTCTGATGGACAAAATGTGAGATTTATATCAGATAATTCATTTCTACTATTAAGTTATTCATTTATGAGTTTGCACTTATTCGCACTAAATAAATAACTATTAAAAATTGTTTTAATTAATTGACACCATATAATAGAGTGAATTTTGTTTGATCAAACAACAATAGATGATAGATATAAAGCCAAGAAACTTGCTATTAATATGCTCTACTTGCTATTTCAATGTAAGTATGATATTTTCTAAATGTTTCGTTCAGATAACTTAGATATATTAGTCAAAATTTGAAATTTTAATAGCACATATATTAAAAATAATTATTATTCATAAAAGATTAATGAAATAGTAAAAAAAAATCAATCAAATTATAAAAATACAACATTTAGAAGAATTCTTATTATCCTTCAAAAAGTCAGTATTTCTGCTGTAATTTTCTACAACATTGTAGTTATTGCACTTTGTCTATGGATTTGTATATATGTTATATATAAATTATATATCTAAACTGCCCATAAGTGCAATTTTTATATAAATTGTTTATTTCTTTAACAATTTCATATGAAATATGCTTTTTTAAGCGTATCAAAGCTGTGTTCTTAATGTGCATGGATATATCAAGAAAAATGTCGAAAAAAAATGTGAATTCATAAATTCACTGAATTTTCACCGTTTTTTGAATTTTGCTACAGCACTAATATTAAATAATACTAAAATCTTCTGTCTTTGTAAAAGAATAAATTCTGACAAAAAGTGCTCGTTTAAATTTAATGATCATCTGTATGACTAAGTGGTAAAAAGTGTTTATGACCAAAAAAGGGTTACATGCTTAGTCTATTTTTCTGACAGGATACTCTAGATTTACATGATCTCTATTTCATATCTCCGTTTTTAGATTCTTCGACAGATTTTATGATAGAAAACCAAGATTAACAAATTTCCGGCATGTTAATGAAGAAATCTGCAGCTACCCTCAATATTATTTCAATAATCAGTATCGTTTCTCTTACAATTTATTTTTTTCTCAATAATTTAACAAGAAATAACAATACACACTTGGTTTTACGTATAAAAGCTAAGTGTCGAACTTAATCAACTTTACTTACTTAGCAAATGAATATTTTTGTGGTTGCGAGTTCTGAATGCTGAAGTTTTAGATTTCTCTATAAATGATATCATTGCACTTACAATGTTGTTCCAGCCTATCGCATAAATCATAGAAAATCCAAAAAAAATAATATAAAGAAAATTCATGTCATGAAGTTCAAAAAATACCGTGTAACATTAAAATTTGTTATGCATAATACATTTTAGCTATTATTGATTTTTTTTAATTTTCGAGAAATTGAATGGTGAGTCCGATAGAGAAATTTTTAAAAATCCTAGTCCCTCATAGAAGTAATTTCCCTCGTCTCCCATACTTCCAAATGTATGCATATGACATAAACTTTTATGCATTACACAAATGGCCAATAATATCTATAGAGTAAAAAATTAGAAATTTAATTTTTTTATATGATAGTTATATTTCAGATTTGCGAGCGTAACTTTTTTCTCCATGGCATACTTGTTTTAAGAGCAAATGATCAAAATCGTCCTTCAATTATTGAAGGAGCTGATATCTTTTGAAAATTGAATTGAAAGGGTATTCAATTTTCAAATTTCCTCTCAATTTTGGAAACATATCAACTCTATGAATTAACAATTATGTGCCTTCACAGTTTATCAGTCATATAAGGTGCTTATAAAGAAAAAAGTTACGCTCGCAAAATATGTTTTTATATAGATTTCACATAAAATAATTATGTAATTTCTAAAAAGAAGATTTTTGTTCTTGAATATTAAAGTGTATTGTAGTTTAAAAAGTTTTAAATATGTTGCTAAAATTTCAGGTTTATAGCTCATGTCTAGCATGACTTCTTCGTATGCGCAAAAAATCTGACACGTAAGGGTATCCTTAAAATCAATTTCATTGGTCTGAATTTCAAAATTCTTATGATTTCAAACACTAGCACACAAACTATATTTTCCTCTTCTGCTGTAAAAATCTGAAAATCTCTTTTTGATCAAGATAACAAAAAGCGTTACCTCTAACAGAAAAAAAATTTATGGCGACTCTTCTCCCACCACGCTATTATGGATCTATATTCCATATTGAATATACGAAAGATGAAAAGGGGGAGAAGAACTTAGAACCAGCAATTTTGATAACTGGAAAAGATAGTTTTATGGTATTAACAAAAGATTGGTCTAAACCAGTTGTACAGATATCAACAAACAATGTTCAAGAAATGAAAAGGGGTAAACATGGCGTGCATTGCAAATATAAAGCCGATAATAAAATCCAACACATTTATTTTAAATCAGAAAAAACTGATAAACTTTATTCCGCAATTACTGTCGAAACATCAAATACAGCTCAAATGCCAAACTATAATACATTGCCTAAAGTAATTCCAACATTTAAATTCGAAATGGACTCCGTTACAGAAGAATTATATCAAAATTTGATCAATTTACAGACAAGATTCTATTCATCATTCAATTGTGCTAAGCCATCGCAAATTCCTTTTGTAGATTTACTTGTTTGCGTTTATAGATTCAGATATTTAAATGATTCAGCGGATCAAATACAAAATAACGTTGATGCTCTGCTTACTGAAATCAGACGTCAATTTTTCAGCGATTGGTGCCTCGCTTTACTCAAAGCTGCACAATTTGATCCAAAAGTACCAAATGCTTACGATTTTTCGCTTAGAATCGTAACAAGTCTTCTCACTGATATACATTTAAACTCTGATTCCATTGAAGCAAATACAACTGATTTATATAAAGCAGTTGGAGAAATGTGTGAACGAGGAGATGCAACAAATATTACAGCTGCTGTCAAATCCATGCTTGATATCTTCGATACAATGTATGAAGATGGATATAAAGCTCAACCATGCGCAAATCAAGCAATTCTACGAGTTCTAACAAGAGTTTTGCTTCTAATGTTCTGCGGAAATATGCTTCAGATATATCCAATTGAAATCGAACGACTTGTTATTAGAACTGCAGAATTTACTGTCGCTGCTTACAATAAAAACCTCTTAGAAGAGCATTTTAAGATACTACGTAAGACTGTTGACTCATTCCATAACGAATTATTAAGATTTATGGATACAAGAAGATACGACCCATTATTTAGGTTTGTTTACGTATCGGCTGAGCTATCAGAAAAGATTAAGAATACAAAGCTTTAATTAATCTCTGTTTTTTGTTAATTTTACATCAAAATTTTTTGTTTTTATTAAAAGATATTGAAATGATAATATAATTCAAGACTTTTACGATGTTACCTTACTCTTTTATATTTCTTCGAAAAAAGCATTTGAATTATAGGATTATTAGTCAACAAAATAACATTTTTACTATATCTAACATTATTTAAACAATATAAGTATATAAATAAGAGCTAAGAAGTTCAAAATCTCCAATTAAATTGAAATATTCTAAAAAGATTATGAATTGAGAATTGAAATTATTCTAGCCAATTCTTCATCTTGTTCAGAAGTAAATGATGGTTCGCGTGTAGTTGAAGATTCATGATATGAATCATGGTATGAATCAAGTGATTCTGGCTGCATTGTTGTTTGAGACATAGTATAAGATCTGACTTTTGTTTGTGATTTTGATAAATCAGTGTCTATACGGCATTGAATTTCAATATCGTTAAGATTAATTGAAGAATCTTCTGTATTTGTTGTACGACTACAGTAATTATTTTTGGTTTGAACGCCAGTTTCAACGTGAATTCTTTCATGCTTTAGTTTAAGCTCTCTAATTGTATCTCGAAGAGAAGTAATTTCAGCTTGAGCTTCCCGATATCTAGCTCTTGCACTTTTTCGGCCAGCTTCGACCTTTTGAACTTCTGATGTTAATTGCTCAATTCTTGCTTGAGCAGTTTTTGAAATTTCAACGGCATCAAATAATTTTGTTTCAAGTGCTTCAACTTGGTTTTTCATAACATCTTCTCTGCCTGAAAGTCTCTGAATTTCTGCTTGTTTTGAATTATTTTCTTGCTCTAATAAGTTGCAACGCTTTTGAAGTTCATTAACTTGTTTAATAAGTTCCATAAGCTTATCTTTATCCTGTTTGCAAAGATTGTCTAGTGTATGTGGTAAAGAATTTGCTGTACTCATAGAAAAAAACTCGCTCAATAAATTTTTAGACGTTTATTTTCAATAACTTTTCAATAATTGCAATACGTCGCATGAAAGTACATGCTTTATTGATTTTCCTTTCAAAGTGAAACCTTGGATAACTTCATTTCGATCATTACCACCGGAATTTGCTGAAGATTTTTTCCTCTTCCCGCTTTGAAGGTTATATATATACCGCCCGAGGGGTAACTTTGCGGATGGAAGATCTGCAAAGTTCCCTCGATCTAATTATTAATTAAAAAATATGTAATAATATGGAAAAAATTAATATCGCATTATCCATCACCCTTATGCTTTGTGATTGTGTGTAGATTCATCCCAATGCACCAAATTTTTAAGTTTTATAATTTTCATTTTAGTTATGTAACTCTCAATCATGATGACGGTTTTAGAGCTCTCAAAATTTAAAAAATTGTGAACATTTCCTCTATCGTTGTAGCGGACCCTTAAGTTTTATATTTTTCAGAGTACGGAACAATTGAATAATTATGCATTCATATTACAGACTTGTTCAAATTTGGTATAGATATATTGGTTTCATTTAAATACAAACAGCCTATGGCAAACCCAAATTTTAGCTAAAAGTGACAGGGGAAAAAAACGTTTAGTATTAAAAAAAAAGACCGATGAGAGCTTCGTTCGAAATATAGAGGGAACTGAGAATGCGCAACCATTCTCAGGGAATATTGGATGCTATTCCCGTTCCCTCTGTATGGAAAATTGAGGTTTTCAAAGGGAGTTAAAATAATATCAAATTTATACTAATTTACTTCAAAATACAAAAGTATTTGACAGCTAAAATTAGTTACTTTAGCAAGTCTATCAATACCCTTTTACGATTATTGTTACTTTTTCGAAATAAAAGTAAAAACAAATTTATACTAATTTACTTCAAAATACAAAAGTATTTGACAGCTAAAATTAGTTACTTTAGCAAGCCTATCAATACCCCTTTACGATTATTGCTACTTTTTCGAAATAAAATAAATTTATTATCAAAAACCTTTTTTTTCTTAGTAAAAATAAACGAAATTTTTTACCTTATGAACTTTTGATGGAAATATGCAAATTTAAAATAATAAAGAAAGCCGCGAGCGAAGCGATCGGCTTAGTTCGAAGATTTTGATTCAAATCTTTGCTGATCTGTAATTCGCGGAAGCCGCGAGCGAATCGAGCGGCTTAGGTCTAAGATTTTGATTCAAATCTTTGCTTATATTCCTTAAATTCTTTATGAAACTCGCAACAGTTCCATAAAAAATTTTAAATTCTAAACTGTCGAAATTACCGATCGGTAATCACACCCTTCACGGGTGTGTCGCTTTTTACAGGCGTGTCACTTTTAGCTAAAATTACCCCTACTCATCTAATTGCCTTCTATTTAATATTTAGAATATTACTGTATTCTTGGTTACCTAGTCAAAAGGGTTTCTACAATATGTTACTCAATACAAACAATGAAGAATACCTTAAATCATTCCTTTCACAACAACCGATGTTTTCTTGTTTTAAAATAGATCCGCGTTATAAAATAATAAAAGAAAGGCATAACTTTAACTATGGATCATGGAAATTGGAACCTTCACAATTTTTAAATGTTGAAAATGAAGTAGTTATTTATATGTTGAAAGAAAAATACATACTAAATGATGAGGCAAATGAAAAGTTCAAAGACTTTTCTCAACAATTACAACAGCAAGTGTTAAATGAGAAAAAACAGATTGAGTACAATGGCACTGATACATGCTTGGTTTTATTTAACAAAAAAAATTCGCAAATATTCAATTTTTTGACAGGTCAATTTGGTCAAATTTTATATATGTTTTTAAGAATACTTGGATTGCATATGTTTTATGAAAAGCTATTTTGTAAACTGGTTGATAAATATATCGAAGTTTCAGTTGTTAAAAATATCTCAATGGATAAAGATGAATATCAATACAAATACAACCAGTTTGAAAGTGGTGCAGGTGAATTGAAGCGTCGATCGAAAGATGATGGTGAAATGACCAAACTTGATAAATACATCTTCGTAACAATTGGAATAATGGTATTAATACCTGGGTTTTTAGCTGGCTACCTTCGAGGTATATGGCCCTGCTTCGTATTCATTTAAATTAAGGTGGCGGCCTTAATTTTTTTTTAAGTTGCAGTAACTTTTATTGTCACCCTTAAATTTTTTTTCCTCTTAAGTTTGATTTTCAATGACATGACCTTCAATTCAGATGCTTAAGGTTGATTTTCAATGACTTTTCACGCCAGTTGTCAAAAATTTGAATTAAAGTTAGATGGGCGTAAGTGCAGCCATATTTTGTTGAATCTTAACAAGATAAGAAAAAAAGATAAAAAAATTAATTAACAGTAATAAGTAATAAAGAGCTGATATCAATACAGACTAATCTTCTGATTTCACTTAGAAACATGAGATATCTTTGGATTTTGCACACCCAAACTCTTGTCTTAATTTTTAGTCTAAAGGATCAAAGTTATAATTATAATTTTAGTAAGCAGAACTTATAAATAAGAAAATATCAAAACAAAATGTGGTAGATATTAATAAAAATCAAAACATTTATTAAAATGATTACAATTTAAAGTAATGAAGTCCAGTTCCGTAAGCAACGAATCCATCTTCAACAAATAGAACAGATTCGCCATGTGAAACAGCTGTATCATATCTCTTTGTATCAATTAACTGCAAATCTCTATTCAAAGTATATAAATTAATTCTCTGATCATAACTAAATGAAACAATTTGTAACATATCTGATTTCGATTGAACATCAACAGATTTAACTCCACCTGTATGATTTGGCCCAATCTCCATTATCATTTCTAGCTTATCTCCTTTGATTTCATGCAATCTAACAAAGCCATCATCGCATGAAGAAACAGCAATTATTCTATCGAAATATTTAATAATTTTGACAGAATGAATTCCACATTTACAAATTGTTTCTGAATGTCCATTCCACCACAAATTTCCTTTAGAAGTGCAGCAGATTAACAAGTCATCGCTGTAGTCAGAACTCATGGCAACTCCTGGTGTTTCGCATTTTTCAACTAATTCGAAATCAGTCCTCTTCAATTTGAAAAGTGTTGCATCACTCAAAAACACAAAAACAAATTCAGGAGAAATGGAAAGTGTTGTAACACGGCGTTTGCATAATCCGCCGTTTGTCAGCGGTGTCAAATCGAAAGAACGAATCTGATATAATTTGTTATTATCCAAAACCCACTCAAATAATAATTGTTGACTTCCGCCCGTAAAAACCGTTTTGCCATCCGATACAATTGCGTGAGTTCCACTGTCAACAGATTGTACGTCATCTTCCAGTGAAATTTTATCATCTTTAATGGACCAAACTCTGATATCTCTGTCGCATGATCCTGTAAAGAATAATTTGTCACTTTTTGTGGCAAATAAACCTCTCAAACCGTGGAATGACGGTTTTGTCATTGAACCGCCGATACAGCTCACTTTTGACGTGTAGACATTTTGTGCTTCCCATGAACTACTGAAAATGTCACTTTTATCTGTCAAAACGAATGTTGATCTCAAATGTTTATCGTCGAACGATAGACTACCTATTTCTGTTTGTGCTGTTATATCATAGAACGATATACCTGTCTTGGACAATCCTCCTACGACCACTTTTCCTTCTTTGTTTGTTGAAATTCCAACGGCACTTTTTGCTCCACCAGGAATTTGGTACAAAGACTTGATTTCCCATTCATCGGAGAGTCTCTTGAGTATTGTAATAACGCCATCATTCCTGCCGATAATGTAATAGCAGCCATTATAAAAAGTGGCACCAGAAAAACCGCCAGAAGTGGTGTCAATTTTCTTTGACTTCACAATTGATTTCATTTCTTGGTCGAAGTCAAAAACAGTTATTCTTGTTGAATGTGCACATACAACAAGAGACTTTTCCTCATTAGCTGCAAAGGAAACACTCGGAGGACGCTTGAAATAATCAGAGGCATCACAATCAATTAATAATTGGCCGGCCAAATTAAAAATTACCAAAGTCATATCGTTCAAAACAACAAAAACTCCATTTTTGCTGACAGCTATTGTTGAAGGAGCTTTTTCTCGTGGTAGTCTAGCAGTTACGCACTCGTCTTTATCTGTATCATATATGAAAACATCAAAAGCTCGACTTGCGCCTGCTGCATAATTTGAATTTTGACCTAAAACAAAGAAAGCACCATTTGAGTGGGCAATTATCTTGTTTTCTGGCATTAATATGGCATCACCGTTGTTGTTGGCGATAATAAACTTCTCATTCGCTAAAACAATAACATTTACGGGGCTGTCACGTTTTTCTGGACAATTGTATTTATTTTTTGTTGATTTCTCTGGGAGGAAGAATCTCCTGACGACGCAATCGTATCCTGCTGTTGCTATCTCATTGTCTGGACTGACAGCAAATGCTGTAATGAGCTTTGTTCGGTGAAGATGATAACTTTGATTTGATCCATCATGGAATTTCATATAACCATCTTCTCCGAGCGAGATAGGTATATCTCCAACGAATTTAGCACCAAAAACTCTTGAAGGATGAGGAGAAGTTGCGGATATAAATTCAAATGAGTCTTCTTTGAGATTCCAAAGAGCAACACTATGAAACTCATAACTTGTAATGATTTTTCCATCTTTATAGTCGATATCGAAGACAGAACCTTTATCATGATTTGCTTCGAAGTATTTTCCTGTCTTTGGGTTGTATAAGCTGATTGTTCCGAATGAATCACCAACAAGGATGCCGGCATCGATGATTTTAGCTGAAACAACTATCTTCCAGAGCGTTGGTCGAATTAAATTTTCAATTTTTTCGAACGTTGAATAAACAATTTGACCATGATGTAATACTGATGTAATTTTATTATCATTTTCGACATGTGCTGTAACAATCCAGTCAATAAATTCTAAAGTTGATTTAATTTCAATCGATTTATAGTCATTTTGAAGTAAAAATATTTTGAGAATATTCTCTGCATATGCGAAAATGAGTTCATCATGGAAAAATATACCCATAATACGCATTGTTTCAGGAAATATTGAAAATTCGGAATAAATTTTGTCTTCTTTGTAAACTCTAATAGCAGGTCCAACACCTGCAATTAAAATAGTCTTATCTTTTGGAGAAAAGCTTAATGCTGAAGGTCCATAAAGTAAAGTCATTTTGAAAAAAAAAATTGACATTTCCATATTCTTACATTGGATTTTTACACTTCCCTGATTAATATTTTGTAATAAGACATAAACCCTTAACTTGAATTCTTTTGGCAATATCTTGGCATATGCTTTTGGGTTATAAAGACGAGATTTACGAGATTTTTTAATTTTATATTTTCCTACAAAATACCTCTATATTATACTTATATAAGATGGAAAATTCGGAAACGAATGAGAGAACGCAAAACACCTTGTCTATATTTTCAAATAAAATATAATTAACAAAATTTGTATATTGTAATGACGCGTATTTAGAATTTATGGCTATCGGTGAGACTAAATTTTCATGGACAACATCATTTATTCATGAGTGAAAAAAAAAATCTGTAAAACAGTCAATAAACTGCTGTACATTTACTCATACTGTAACATTTCTATAGTTACTATATATATATATCGAAATTATCTAGAAATTGAATTTAATAATTAAGGATCGGTGCAGTTTCGAAGCCATGCTTAGCGAATGATATCTTCTATACATATAAAAGTTGACAAATGTAAACTGTTTACCCCATATTTTTAAAATTAGAAAATCAAAAATTGAAAACATAAATTGCTTTTTTCAAGTTCATGTAGTGGATTTGAGATTTAAAGATTATACATGTATAGCATGTCATGAAGTATTACTTACTTAATGCAAGGAATAATATCAATCATGTCGTCCTCCAGGGTGTCTCGAAATCAAAAAAAATGGTCGGGCCGAACCCTTAAAAAATTGATGTCTGATCAAGACATTGATACAAATGAATATTGTGAACTTAGAAGTATACATAAACATCACATCGATTTGTACAATATGTTGTATCAATTAAATACCAAAAACGAAGAGGAATTAAACTCGATTTACAAAATGATCAAAACAGAACTGATTGAATCAAATAAGCATCCCCAAAAAAATATTATAAGAGATATTTTAGAGATCATTACATATAACAACCGCTCTACCAAGTCATATTTAGCTCTTGCAAAACTCATATCTGATGATTATCATGTAACAGATATCCAAAATATTCCAATCATTTCCAATTATCTGTTTTACAAAGAATATGGAATCAAATTATACAAATTTGATAAATTCAAATGGATTGAATCTGAAAATCTAGATATTCTAGAAGAAAATACAATTTACAGGGCAATTATGGATAATGATAAAGATAGATTCATCTTCTGCACGGAAAAAGAAGGTTTTGATAAAGATCAAAAAATTAAAAGCGATTTATTACCACATTACAAAGGTAAATATTCATTACTTGAATTATGTTGTTACTACGGAGCAGTTGATTGTTTCAAATTTTTAAGAACTAAATTTAACTCAGAAATAACTGAAACATGTCTAGAATTATCATTTTTAGGAAGAAATCATGAAATTATGAGTGAATGTTTGAAATATCACAAACCAGACTATTATTGCATGAAATATGCAATTATTTCGCACAACATTGATTTTGTTACGTTCTTGATGAATGAGTACAATATAGAGATCAATTTAACTTATTGGGAATGGTATAACAATCTTGAAGCATTTTTGGTTTATTATGATCAGACTGATGAAATTGACAAATGCTTTGTAAAATCAGCTGTATTTGATATTCCATCCCTTTGCGAATATTTCCTTTCTCTTGGTGCAAATATCAATGAAAAAGATATTAGTGGAAAAAACCGCACTTCATATTGCAGCTATTTATAATAGTAAAGAAACGGCTGAATTTCTTCTTTCGCATGGTGCAAATATCAATGCAAAAGATTTAAATAAAGAATCTGTCCTCTATATGGCAGCAGAAAATAATAGCAAAGAAACTGTCGAAGTTCTTATTTCATGTGGTGCAAATATCAATGAAAAGGATGAACATGGATTTACAACCCTTCATTATGCTACATATAAAGATGGTAAAGAAACGGTCGAATTCCTTCTTTCGCAAGGTGCAAAGATAAATGAAGCAGCTAAAAATGGATTGACGGCTCTTTCTTTTGCATTAATTAGGAATTCTGTTGAAACATTTGAGCTTCTTCTTTCGCACGGTGCTACTATCAATCAAAAAGATGAAAATGGAAGAACGCCTCTTCATATTGCCGCAGAAAATAATAGTAGAGAAATAGCCGAATTTCTTATTTCAAATGGTGCAAATATCAATGAAAAAGATGAAAAGGGAAGAACTCCTCTTCATTATTCTGTATTCAAGGGTAAACGAGAAACAACCGAACTTCTTATTTCAAAGGGTGCAAATATCAATGAAAAAGATAAAAACGGAATAACAGCTCTTGATATCGCATTAAATTATTACCTGGGAAATATGGTAGATTTTCTTTTTTCACATGGTGCTAAATTCTATTGAAGAAAAATTTTAGAAATTTAATAAATATTAAATATGAAAGTTAATTATATATATTTTAATATACTGTGCAGTTTTTGGAAAACCTTATCAATTATATTAATTTGCAAACAATATTCCCTCGAAAAATAATAACAAACCATTAAAAGTATTGTATTAATAAAATTTTATGAAGCATCAAGGTGTTTGATATCTTTCCTTAAAATATGGACACATTAAAATCATCATATGCATATGAGACTATATTCACAGAGATATAAAAATATTAACATATGCTCAGTGAAATGTAAATGTTTATTCAAATTCAAACTAGTTTCAGGAGTTAATTTCAGGGATTTACCATTGTTAAGGAATTTACAAACGACTGATGGATTTAAGAAATGCGACCACATTTAAATGACCATTTTTGGAAGCCATAAATAATGCATCATGTCCAAAGATATTTTTAGCCCTATGGTTGGATCCAGCAGAAATTAGATACTTGGCAACATCAAGTTGGCCTTGGCTTGATGCACAAATTAATGGGGTGTTCCTGCAATTATCCATTGCTTCCTTTTCGGCTCCAATAGATATTAAATATTTTACTATATCAAGAAAACCGAGATGAGCCGCAAGTATCAATGGGGTCCATCCATCAACCGTTTTTTCTTCTTTGTTAAGGCCGATCGAGATAAGATACTGAACAACTTGGAGTTTTCCGCTTATCACTGCTTCATGGAGTGCTGTACTTCCTCCATCTGTTTTTGCATTTATATTTACTCCAGCTGAAACTAGATAGCGTCCCACATTGAGATTACCATTTACTACTGCAAACATGAATGGAGTTATGCCCAAACAATTCTTTGCTTCTTTATTGCATCCAATTGAAATGAGGTATTTAACAACTTCAAGATGGCCATTATTAGAAGCAACAATGAGTGGTGTGACTCCTTCAGTATTCTTTGGTTCTTTATTGCAACCAATAGAGATAAGATATTCAACAATTGCAAGACGACCATATTGTGAGGCAACGCTAAGTGGTGTGAGCATTTGATTTCCCTCTGATTCTTTATTTGCTCCGACTGAAATTAAATATTTTACAAGTTTAGTGTTTCCATCTCTGCATGCAATATGTAATGGGTTATTTCCATCTCCATCTTTCTTTTCCAAAAGGCACTTAATCTTTGTTTGTATGTTTGCATTTTGGTATCCTTTTTCCGAAATTTCCCATAAGAATTTATAAATTCTCGGAAAATCATTTGATGTATTTAATTGATCTATTTTGGATAAAATATCCTGTGTAACTGGATTTTCATTTATTTTCTGTTTCAATGATTCATTTTCTTTTGTTAATTCTGAAATTCGTCTTTTGAGTCTTTCAATTTCAGAATGGAGTGTAATCATTTGATTGTTTAACTCTTGCTTTTGTTCACTCAATACATTGAGTTCAGAATTAAGATTTGGATTTATTTGTAATCGCAAAGTATTCATAAAATCAATTGTGTCTTTTAGAATTCCAAGCTCAAGGTATTTATAGGAAATTTCTAGAATTCTAATTGTTTCATCTATATTACGAAGAGAAACATGAGCAGTTTGTACACCTTTGAATAGATCATGTGAATCATACTTGATTCTGCCTTCCTGGAGAATTGAGATGAAATCATCGGATGATAAAATTGAATCTTGTAAGATTTTGCTTGCATCCTCTATTTCAAATATATCAAAGAACTTCTTTTCTTCAATAAATGTGTGCAAATTATTACGATTAAATTCATAGTTCAGAGTTAGTCCTCCAATCATTTTATAAAATTACTGATATAAACATTCAATTTCTCGGTGAAAAATTGAGACTAAAGTCCTAAAAAAATTAAATCTAATGAAAGGTGATATTTTGAAGGGAAAGTCGATTATATGATCGATCTTTATTCTAAACTTTTCCTAGAATGCTGATTTTATAATATGTTGATTTATTTAAAAAGTGTCACTTTTTTCATAATCCGGATCTAATCCTAATTTTTAAAATGTGTTTGAAAGAGGAAAAAAAACTTTGAAACATATTTATCATCAATGATCTCGTTTTGATACAATTAGAAAATATTTTAATGGGGAAAAAAGTCAAAATAAAGATCAAAATGAGGATGTTTTATTGTCGTCTGGAAAAGTGACAAAATTATTATTGTCGTCTAAAAAGGTGACAAATTATTATTGTCGTCTGGAAAAGTGACAAAATTATCATTGTCGTCTAAAAAATAGATTTTTCAAGCATGTTTCGGTACCTAAATAAAGGAAGAACATCAATTCCATCTATGTATATAGTATGCAAACACGCATGATATATGGAGTAGCTCTTTATCTGGCTAAAAATCCTATTATTTGAAAATTCGCATTGTCGTCTAAAACCGCCAGACGACAATAATAATACCCCGATCAAAATTGTCTCAATTTTCGACTGTTTTCAATATGAAAAAAATAAAAATAAAAAATAAAATAGAAGCATAATATAATTGCTTTCTTGTTCAACCCTTTAAAGAAAACATAAGTTTATTGGCTCTAAAAGTCTGCCATAGAAAAAAAATATTGAATCAAAAAAATAGTCGAAAAATTGATAACGATTTCTTAAATATTAAAACGTCTTTGAATTTTTCCATTAAAAACTAGTATATCGCAATCTTTTGGCACGCCCCATTATTTACGAATGAATATAGCATTAGTATTTCTGACTCAAATTCAAATTTATTAACTATTCAATGAACGGTGCGCACTTATTTAAATGGTATATGAAGGGCAGAACCATAGGTTGCCACATAATTGGCAACACTTAAAGGGTATTAATTTTGATGAAAAAATAAACTTTAGAAAACAAAATAAAATTTATATAAATAAATACAAACATTAAATAAAGCATAACAATAAAAAATTAAACTTTGAATTCTGCAATTGTATTCATTACAGATTTCTTTCTTGTCAAAACTAATCCAGTAAGTGTCTGCAAGTTTGAAGGTACAGGTTTTACCTTTCTAACAACCTTTTCTGTCTTCTCAGCGTTCTCATCCTTATTTTCGCTGTCTTGTCCTCTCTGAGACAACATCTGCATTTCTTGTTCTTTCTTGATTTTCGCTTCATCAGCAGATTTCCATGTTTCCAAGTTACTTTCGACCTGCACTACGTTGCTTTCGAGTTGCGGCAATACTTTGGCAACACTTTGATACAAAGGCAAGCAAACAGACGTGTAAAATCCGATCTGTGACTTTTCTTTGTTCAAATGTTCTCTGTCATTCAAAGCAGACGAATATTGCATTCCTCTTGCCATTTCAAGATCGCCTTGTCTGAAGAATTCTTCGCATAAAACAGCGCACCATCTGTTTGCCAAGTCGAAAGGTCTTGAAACATTGGATAAATCACCAACTTTGATGATTAATTGTAACAACAAATGTCGATGATTTTCATTTTCCATTGAAAATGTTTTTCCATCGATCAAAGTGTTGAATTCCTGCAAAATCGTGAAGTGCTTTGCCATATCCGTAGCAAGGATCAAGTTGATCACCAAATTCCATACTTGTTTGAATTGTTGAGGTGGCAAAGCAGAAAACAAATTACATTGATCATTTGACATAATATCAATTGTAACTTCGCAATGATGCATTTCCATGACAGACTGGTTCTTGAACAAAATACCTAAAGGAGTTTCCGCTTTCACATTGTAGTCATTCGTGAAGCCATCATGATTCAAGTCGTGGCAAATTGCAGCGACCAAAAGTGCGAACAATTCAACTTTTGGAATTTTTTCATCCAAATGAGAAATGTGGACTTGATAAGCCGTGAATTGCAAGACATCTACAGCGTGTGCCCAGTTATGATATGGTACTGGTCTGTAGCCTGCTCGTAATTCTATCAAGAATCTATACAATTTCTCATTAGTTACATTAAAAGTTTGCTGCAAATTGAATCTAGAAAATATTGCGAAAACAACTTGGAAATAGCCAATATCTGTCCAATCCAATGAATCGAAATTAATTGTCCAAAGCTGTGTAACTGTCCTCTGTGGTAAATGCAAGTGTACAGGAATGTTTGTCGTTGAATCTCTTTCATCTCTCGTCATTTGTTGCTTCAATTCAGCTTCATGAGATCCTAATTGAGCAATATCTTTGAGATGATTCCTTTCTAACGAAACACTTGCGAAAACAGCGAAACATTCAAGGAGTTTCTGACTCTCTGTCATCAATTTAGATGTAGTATCTACTTCCATGACACCTAAAACGTTTCCATCAGAACTTTTAAGAGGAATCAAACAAATCGAATTTTCCGTAAACATGTCAGGTAAAATTCTTCTCGACATTGCAGCATTGACGCGACTTAACTGATGGCTGAGGCTTTTGTCTTGTTTGGGAGGACCTTTTGTTTTACCAAGATACTCATTAACCTCATCAAATGTCATTACAACCGTTGATTTGTTTTCAATACATCTTTTGACAATTAATTGGTCGGTTTCTCTATTTGTGTTCAATGAGATCAAAGGAGTTATCTTTTCATTGCCATCTAATAGGTATAAGATGCCGCTCTTCGCTTCGCATATGTTTATCGCGTTTTGGAGAATGCTTTCGCAGATATTCCTCATTGTTGTGTTCTTTGTTAATCCACTGGAAACTTCTATGAATGATGAAACTTGTTTTGTTAATTCTGTTGAAGCTTGGTACAATCTTGAGTTATCTAACGCGATACCACAGAATACATTGAAGCCTCTCAGCAATGATACATCATCTTCAGTGAATGCATCACTTGTTATTTTGTTCATTAGCTCTGTAACTCCTGCGATTTCGCCTCTGTTGTTGAAAATAGGAACTGTAATGATATTTCGAGTTTTGAAGCCTGTCTTCTTATCAACGCTCGAATCAAAACGCGGATCTTCGTATGCGTTGTTGACTACTTGTATTTCACCAGTAGTAGCTGTGACTCCGACGATACCTGTGTTAATTGGAATTCTGATTTCGGTTGTAAGGCCCGCGTGGAAGTAGGAAATGAGTTCTGTTTGAGTGTTGTTAACAAGGAATAAGGAACAACGCTCTGCTTCGAGTAAATCACATGATCTTTGCATAATCATTGGAATTAAAGTATCAATATCAAGAACTCCACTCAATTGTTCAGCAACATCAAGTAGAGCTGTTAGTCCTTGCTTCTTTGTGTCTTTTTCTGGTGGCTGTTTGTTCTTTTCAATAATAATTCGTAATGATCTAATAATTATCGGAACAATTGTTTTTAATTTAGCAATATCGGAATTCCTGAAGCCAGAGATTCTGCCTCTAAGTGAAACACCCCATACTTTATGCTCATTCTCTATAAAAGGATAAACTACAATACTTTCGGCAAAACAGCCATCAATACTTGGTATATGACCAGGAGCTTGTTGTACATCTTGTTCTATAATTATTTGATTGTTTTTAAGTGCCCAACTAACACATCCTGTAGGTTCATCTTGATATGCAACATTTTTTCCATCCATGACGACTTTATTGACAGTTTCGGTTTTATTATGGTAGCGCCATATCTCTGCTCTTCTGCAGCCAAATTCTCTTTGAAGAGTCTTTTGGATATTATTTATTGTTTCTTCGTCTGCATCTGTGAAGGCAGCGCCGATCGCTGACTCGAGGATGTTCGTATCATCAAATAATAAAGATCCGTATATCTTAAATTTGGATAGAAGCCAATCTGCAATTTGCATATCTGCAGGACCAAAAGCTTTTTCTGGCTTTTTGGCAACTTGGATTACAGCGATAGTATGTTTTTGTCTGTTTAATATAGGTATTGTTAAAACTGAATAATTTTCGGGAATAACTTTATCATCTAGGCCTTTGCAGAAGTATTGTGATTGTTTTTGACATTTAATAGACATAGGAGATATAGTTAGAAATGCTGTAGCTATAATTGATTTCTTTTCTTGACAAACTAAAGAATATGAAGGAGAATAAAAAAGATCTTGATGAGGAAGCTCAACCCAGAGAATAATATGTGATGCATTAAACATTTGCATTACATATATTTCAATGGATTGGTATGGTCCCTCATACCTGGCTTTTTCCATCATTGCATCATACATTTCCGCGAGAGAAAGCTTAGGTTGAGATATTTTTGCATTAGCCTGACCTATTAGCTGCGGTAGCTTTGCTCCTTTGTTTGTAGTTATTAATTGAGTCATTTATTTGAAATTTTTATTGAAATAAAAAAAAATAACGAGCTAAAATTTTTGTCAGAATTGAACAATTTCCAAATATTATAATTAATCCATTAAAAAGAGTGTGAACTTCAATTTGTCACATAAACATTGAACAGAATAGTTCCAAAATCATAAAAGAAGAAATGATATTGCACATCTAAGCGATATGGCAGCATATACATGTGCTGAAGTTGCAATCGAGTGTAGTATTGTTATTCTTATAACAATCATTGTTAATTCTTTCTCTATATTTTAATCATTTATATATTAAAGACTTTTAAAAGCACTTCTCTCTATAAAGGAATTCACAGTTAGTGAAAACATTTAACATTGCAAATATTTACAATATCTAATAAAAAAAACAAATAAAATTTATAAATCAAAATTCTTTCGGAAATGCGGATCTTCCGAATGAAAATAGAGATGAAACATCAGACTCAAGTAAAATTCCCTCTGACACTTTGACTAGTGTTAGTTCTCCGCATATGTGACAGCAAAGAACTTTTTCATTTCCAATGTCAAACATATCAGAAATTGGGGAAACAAATTTGAATTTCTTTCCTAATTTCCCGGTTATATCATATATCTCTAACAAACCAAATCTATCAGCAACAACTGTATAATTGCCAATGACTTTGATTCTAGATCCCAAAAATGGTTTCTTAACTACAAAAACTGTTTCCAAACTCTTTTCAAGAACTTTCATCAAGAAAAATCCATTGTCATTTGTCAAACCAGCAACATAAGATGTATTTGCATCAGTAAAAACAATATCTTTCAGTGGAGATTTAACAGAAAAGATCTTTCTTAATGCTCCTGTCTCTAAAGATATTCCAACAAGTTGATCTGAATGAGAAAATAAAGCTAAAGAAGGAGAAATAGCACAAAAAGAAGTAATTGGCTCTCCAAATGTTTTTGTCAATATTGTTCTGACTTTGAAATCAGAAACATTCTGTGTGAACAGCATAAACCTTGATATTGAAGAATTTCCTTCTGTACAAGCAACCCAAAAATTAATTAGCTTTTCTCCATGTTTCGCTTTCCATTCAACAATTGTTCTAACAATTTCATTTTTCTCTAAGACAGTTATTACTTCTCCTCTTGACCAAAACAAAGATGGTGGTTCTCTTATTGAACATACGAATGCATCTTTAGATCTAGCAGCACAAACTCTGTCAATAAATCCGTTGAAATTAAAAAGAGTTGAACTGTGAAATCCAATTGTTGTATTTGTAAAATGAAATGTGAAAAGAGCTGCTGTTTTATCCTTCTTTGGACTAGAAACAATAGCAATACACTTTCCATTTGATAATACATCAATTGCGAGGAAATCTGGTGGTAAAGATTTGACTTTTTGATCAATAATCGTTGAAAATCTTTTTCCACACTTGCAACATATCAAATTTTCATATCCTGATACAGTTACTGGGATATTTCCAATCTTGAACTTTTCTTTAAGCAAAAGTTTATCATCCATGATATATACAAATCCATCTGAAGCTCCAAAAATAATTGAATTATTTGTTGTCAAAAGTGAAGTTACAAAAACATCATTTTCTAAAGTGCATCCTTCTCTTACATTCAAATCATCATCTGCTATATATATTGTGCCATCAAATAGACTTATTACAACATTCGTGGAGTTATAAGTTGCAATAGAAGAGATTTGGGAAGTAAATTTTCTGTCAGAAACTTTTTCTAAACAATTATTTGTATAAATATAGCAAGAAATGGAATCCTGAGCAGCAAGGAATATAGTTGAGTGATGGAAGCAAGATAGTGTTGACGGATGTTTAATACAATTGACGTATCCATGGTCAAAAACGTAAACATTCTCTTCATTCACTAAGAAAAAGAAAGATAAAGAATTGCAATGAATTCTATCAATAGAAAGATGTTTCATGAAAGAAGGAGTTGCATCTTTGAACTCTTCATTAATAACTACACATTTATCTTCATATACGATAAATGCAAAGCATCCTGACGATGAAGTAATCAATCTTGGAACAACAAAATAATTCATTTCCGATACTTTTTCTATTTCAATGCCATAGTCATAAAAAGCAGAATGAACAGAAGATCCAGAAGCAATTATAAAGTTTCCTTTCCTGTAGCTGGAACATCTGCAGATGACATCTTCGCATTCATCGAGAACTTGAAACTCTCTATCGAATAGTTGTATCTTGTTGGAATCAATTGATACAATGAATCTGTTGAATGTTGGTGAACAAATTGAATTTGCACCATTCAGCGTCATTAAATATTCTAAATTTTCCCCATCAAAACGAATTAAGCAGCCATCTGCAGTAAGGAAGTATGTGTTCACACCTGAACTAACTGCATCTATAATCAGTCCATCGCCTCCTTTCGAAGAGACTTGAAATGGATTGAAAAAATATGATGTTTCTTGAATCAAAATTTTTGAAATTTTGTTTTCGGATAAAACATAAACTGCACTGTGAGAAACGGATGGAATAAGCTTGTATGGAATCTCCAAACTGAGTACTTTCTTATAAACAGTTTTTAACTGGGATTTATCATCGTAGCTGTAAAAACAAACTTCGAAATTATTTGCGCGCTGTAAAACTGCGATACGATTGTTAATAATGCATGCTGATAAGACGCTTTGCACTTGTAATGTATATCTTGTGAAATTTAGGTCGTTTCTATTTCCAATTGATAAAAATGGTAAGGAACTATATAATAAAATTAAAGATTTAGCGCAAGTAACATATGTAAGCTCGTGATCTATATCTTTTTTCTGATTTACTTCGAATTCATGCTGTGAATTTAATCCAAGAAAAGAAAGAACGTTCTTAGAAATGAAACATATTTCTGAATGATCGGAATTTTCGACTATTGATGCAGAAGAAATGGATTTGTTATGAATATATTTTGTAGTTTCGACTAATTGATTGGATTTGACAGAATATAATCGAAATGATGAGTGGCCAACCACAATACAGTCCATAATTGTAGGATGAGTGAAGTTTCCTGTCAGTAAGAACTGTATTGATGAATCTATTTTAATTTGCTTTGCCCAAAGAGGAATAATTTCCTCATTCATACAAAAGCAAAATTAAAAAAGAATGAAAATAATAATCAAATTCACTGAAAATATATGAGACATTAAATTCTATCTAATTATTTGATCTTGATAACTCGAATAAATTCAATATTATTTTTTATCAGCATAATAACTTGAAAAATGACCTAAAACTTTCTACCTCTACATATGTAATTGATACATTAGCACTTGTGTAATCTATGGATGGATAATAAAATAAAGATATATCTTTTTATTATCCTACTGAAGGTCTTGGTTATTAATTAAAATGATCTAATTTAACTAATGTTGAAGATAGATTACAATATTAATTAAAAAAAAATTCATGGTTCCGGTTCCTTATTACAATGAAAGAAATTGCATATTATACAGTTACCATAAGCTGACCAATATCTAAGAAAGGAAATATAATACATAATAAAAATTCGTGTGAAATGTGTTGAATTCCATCGTTTCTCAGTTTTTTGACATCAATTATATATGGATATTTTATCTATATAAATTCCATCGAATATCCAGTAGGTATTTTTTTGGATAATGCGATTTTGCCAATAAAACACCTTATTGGGAGGTAAATTCATGAAATCTCAATATTACCGATGTAGCGGCTGAAAAACGAGAAATATTTTGCAGAAACTCGGACTGAAATTCGTTGAACAAAACGATAGAGAGTTCTTTATTTATTTTAAGTGCATTTTCAGTTCTATTAGCATATAGAATCGATAAATATTTGCCTTATTTATAACTTTTTCCAAGTTCTTCAGAATTTGTTGAGCTTTTGAGAAAATTAGAATATTGAAAGTAAACAAATTTGTATTTAAAGAAATTGAAATAATAATATTTGGTGTTAGCTATAAATATGTTATTATTTGATTGGAATATAAAAATAATTCAAACAATCAGAATTTGAATACTTAATCATTTTGATATAAAAATGACTTATTATTCATGTTTTACGTAATCACAAAAAATATTCAAAATGTTGTAAAAGTGTTATAGACCAAAAATAGATTTTTTCGGTTTTCTCTTCAAATAATTGAAAGAATGATACTATTATAGGTTTATTATATTATATAGCATATAATCATGCTATAGCCGAAAATTATAAGTTTTGAGAAGATTGAATATAACACAAATAAATTTGAATGTAAGTTAAATTGCTTGTTGTTTTTAATAGCTATTTAATGAGAAATCCAATATTGCAAAATTCAAATTGAATGATTGAAAGAACAGAAAAAGTCATTCTTTTCAATTTCGAATATGTTTCATTGTATTTATAATTATATGGCAAATAAGATATTTAAACTTGATTTTTGAAGGAAAATTCACAAAATTGAATAAATTCAAATAATTTTTATTCAAAAATAAACTAGTTATTTGAGTTTCATACTTATTATCTATTCAAACTACAAAGTTTGTAATTTAAAATATTTTGTGAGATCAGATTGAATTAATTCAAGGTTCTTTTCAATTAATATTAATGACCATATTTCGCATTTTCGAACATTCTAGACCAAATATATAAAAATGGGAGACGAATGTTAAATTTGCTAGACATGGGGGAGTTGTTTACCGAGTTTTAGCTCTTATCTCTAACAAAAAATTAATTTTTAAAAAAATGACCGAATACGTTTCACAGCGAGAAAAAAATAAAAGGCAAGATAGAATTTTCTAGACATAAAGAAGTTGTTTACCGAGTTTTAGCTCTTATCTCTAACAAAAAATTAATTTTTAAAAAAATGACCGAATACGTTTCACAGCGAGAAAAAAATAAAAGGCAAGATAGAATTTTCTAGACATAAAGAAGTTGTTTACCGAGTTTTAGCTCTTATCTCTAACAAAAAATTAATTTTTAAAAAAATGACCGAATACGTTTCACAGCGAGAAAAAAATAAAAGGCAAGATAGAATTTTCTAGACATAAAGAAGTTGTCTACCAAGTGTCAGCTGTTACTTCTTCTCAATAATGATATAAAATAAAAATCTTTATTATTTATTTAACCTTTATTGTTTCATTAAACTTCATTTATTTTATATTATAGTTTTATTCTTTTAGCTACTTGTAAAATAATCTAATTTTATATCATCATTTTACCGGATTATTCTTCAGTACATCGATTGTGTATCTAAAATAATATCATTATCCTTATTCTGTTTTTTCCAAAATTCTTTTAAATATCTTTTTTGGTTAGATTACTTTATACTTTTTACTTTTATTTTTTAATTTCAAAAAAAAATTTGGTGATTGTTCTATTCTGTTACAATGTGCATTATCATATTCTAATGAATTATTCATTACATACATTTAAAAAAACTTGTTAAAAATGAAATTAAAAAATTATGTTTATTATTACGCTGTGAATGTGTCAACAGCGGTCATGCCTGTATCTGTATCCCATATTTGCCACAACCTTTCTGTATCTGCATTTGTGTATTTCGGTTTCAGCTGATACATTTGATTTGGCGTGTAATTTGTTCCAGTTAATGGATTAATTGGGAGATCTTCATGCGGTGTGTTATTATTGTACTCCCAAATAAAGGCAGGAATAGCCTGAATGCTTTGGCAGCGCTCCAATGTCGGCCAGAATCTCTCAATCTTCCCATTTTGGTAGGGAGAATGAGAGTCTGTATGCCGCCATTGGACGCCCCAAAGATCAAGTAGATCTTGAAAGGCGCCCCTATTTTCTGAACCGTTGTCGGTCCAGAAACAATAAGGGGCGCCAAATTCAATGAAGGCGGAAGCCGCAACGTTCGCTGTCGTTGCTGCCAGCATATCTGGTATTTGTATACACGCTAGGACTTTGCGGCTAAAATCGTCGATTATGCCATAAATATACTGGCCACGAACACCCCTAAAATAATGAACATCTGCGTGCCAGATAAGATTGGGTGAAAGCGCCCAATATCTTACTGCTGTTTCTGGCCCGGCATGCTCTAATCGCGTCTTGGTGAAATGATTTTCTTTGAAGTATCTGCGTACTTCTCTATAAGATACATCAATTTGTTGTAATTTCAAACGTTTCCATTGTTTTGTTTGACCACAGGGAAAGGCCCAGTGGTCATGTATCACAGCAAGAGCTTTGATTTGGTCGTAGGGATTGACCCTACGACCTTTCTTGCCTTTAGGCAATGGGATATTCTGTAAGCTAAATTGATTTTGTAAAAAAGATTTTGAAACATCTAAATATTTGAAATCATTTGATTGAAGGGTTGGGGCGATGGGAACATAAGTGCAAGCTTCTTTCCATATCATTTTACCTTCTTCAATCTGATTGGAAATACCAATTAGGTAAATTCGATCGACATACCCTTTGTAAGGATTCATTCTAATGAAGTACGTTAACAATCAAAATATTCTATAAGTGTCTAGTATGGAATTCAAAAGAATAAAGAAAATGGTAACGTAAATAAAAGTATTATGAAATAATTTATAATTAAAATGAAAAAAAGAAAAAATAATAAGTAAAGTGACTGGAAATGAAAATTAAAATCAGTGTACAGTTTTATTTTTTCTCGCTGTGAAACGTATTCGGTCATTTTTTTAAAAATTAATTTTTTGTTAGAGATAAGAGCTAAAACTCGGTAAACAACTTCTTTATGTCTAGAAAATTCTATCTTGCCTTTTATTTTTTTCTCGCTGTGAAACGTATTCGGTCATTTTTTTAAAAATTAATTTTTTGTTAGAGATAAGAGCTAAAACTCGGTAAACAACTTCTTTATGTCTAGAAAATTCTATCTTGCCTTTTATTTTTTTCTCGCTGTGAAACGTATTCGGTCATTTTTTTAAAAATTAATTTTTTGTTAGAGATAAGAGCTAAAACTCGGTAAACAACTTCTTTATGTCTAGAAAATTCTATCTTGCCTTTTATTTTTTTCGCTGTGAAACGTATTCGGTCATTTTTTTAAAAATTAATTTTTTGTTAGAGATAAGAGCTAAAACTCGGTAAACAACTTCTTTATGTCTAGAAAATTCTATCTTGCCTTTTATTTTTTTCTCGCTGTGAAACGTATTCGGTCATTTTTTTAAAAATTAATTTTTTGTTAGAGATAAGAGCTAAAACTCGGTAAACAACTTCTTTATGTCTAGAAAATTCTATCTTGCCTTTTATTTTTTTCTCGCTGTGAAACGTATTCGGTCATTTTTTTAAAAATTAATTTTTTGTTAGAGATAAGAGCTAAAACTCGGTAAACAACTTCTTTATGTCTAGAAAATTCTATCTTGCCTTTTATTTTTTTCTCGCTGTGAAACGTATTCGGTCATTTTTTTAAAAATTAATTTTTTGTTAGAGATAAGAGCTAAAACTCGGTAAACAACTTCTTTATGTCTAGAAAATTCTATCTTGCCTTTTATTTTTTTCTCGCTGTGAAACGTATTCGGTCATTTTTTTAAAAATTAATTTTTTGTTAGAGATAAGAGCTAAAACTCGGTAAACAACTCCCCCATGTCTAGCAAATTTAACATTCGTCTCCCATTTTTATATATTTGGTCTAGAATGTTCGAAAATGCGAAATATGGTCATTAATATTAATTGAAAAGAACCTTGAATTAATTCAATCTGATCTCACAAAATATTTTAAATTACAAACTTTGTAGTTTGAATAGATAATAAGTATGAAACTCAAATAACTAGTTTATTTTTGAATAAAAATTATTTGAATTTATTCAATTTTGTGAATTTTCCTTCAAAAATCAAGTTTAAATATCTTATTTGCCATATAATTATAAATACAATGAAACATATTCGAAATTGAAAAGAATGACTTTTTCTGTTCTTTCAATCATTCAATTTGAATTTTGCAATATTGGATTTCTCATTAAATAGCTATTAAAAACAACAAGCAATTTAACTTACATTCAAATTTATTTGTGTTATATTCAATCTTCTCAAAACTTATAATTTTCGGCTATAGCATGATTATATGCTATATAATATAATAAACCTATAATAGTATCATTCTTTCAATTATTTGAAGAGAAAACCGAAAAAATCTATTTTCGGTCTATAACAAAAATGTTGTAAAAGGTTAACAAACGTGCTTTTTATAAAAGGTACATTCACTAGGCGATAACAGTAAAATGGGATGAAAATAGGATAAATAGCATCCCTATATACTGCCTAACAATGTTTATACGTTCCAAAAAAATTTGGCTATAGATTTGGCGAGTTAGAAAACTTCGAAAATTGAGAGGGATTTTTATTTTTGAATTTTTTTTGGAAAGTTAAAATTGCGATTAAAAATCGATTTCCAGGAGAACTAAGCATCTCATCATATATTTAAATCGATAAAAATATTAATTAATAGTTGACTAGTATAACAACGTGAAATTATGGCTGAATCTACAGAAAAAATGAACATATTTGACATTTTTGAAAATTCATACATTAGTTGGTGACAGACTCATAAACTATACTTTAGCTAAGATTGATATATGGTTTCAACAACACATGGTTAAAATCGTAAAAATATTTTAGATTTCAAAAAGATATATATGGTAATATAATGGAACAAAGTCAACAAATAGCATGTTAAATATGTTATAATTAACTTTTTATTAGATCCAATAGTAGATATCGAATGGTTTCCAGCTTTATGGTTAAATATTTTCTTTTCGAGCTTCTCTTTAACTGTTGTATTAAGGTTGTAAATTTTTGATGCTAGAAACTATGGAATCTTCTTTGCTGCTGCATTTTTCTTGAGAGTTCTTGCAATTTCGAATAGATCTGCGCATTGTATGAAATGGAGGCTTTAAAATATCTTGAAAACAGAATAGGACTGCTTTTCCAAAGGAATGCTTACTTGTAAATCAGAGAGTTTCAAAATTGACAGCAAGATTATCATCATATAACTTTCGATTTTGCTGCGAAAAAGGAAGACAAGTAATTAACAAATCATTTACTGTTGTTCATCAAAAGAAGAAAACTTTGATAACAACTAATGATGATAAAATCAAGCTATCTTTTAATATTTTAAATTGATAAAACATTCAAAATATTTGAATGGTTTAAAATATTTTCTTTTAATTTCTATAAGATATTATCATGATTATATAATAAAATTTAAATTTTTATTCAAAAAGGCAATATTTCAAACTTTTAATTTCAAAAATCTTAATTCTGCAATAAGTGTATTTAATTGTAGCAAATTTAATGATCCTTCGTAATGCTTAGCAATTTGGAACTCATAAATTAATGATTTCTTCAAGTAAAATTCTGCATTATTTCAAAAGTCAATAATTCTCTAGTAACTTTTCTTCAAACCCTAACCATTATATTATATTATATGTATAATGGAGAATAATTGCAAAGAAAGATAGCCGAATTTACTGGGTAGTTCTTGTGATGCGAAATAATTGCAAATTCACACCTAGTTTTAACAGCATCAATCTCTTTTTGCTCTCATTTAAATGCATTCGCACACTTTAATTTTGAAATATAAGAGTTTTGGAAATTATCAAATTTATCTGCTCAAATACTATAGATCTTCATAAGTGTTAATAGAATCATTAGCCTTACATATAGTGTTTAATATAATGATGCACATTATACTGGGATTCATTCCTTATTCATCTAGTTATTATAAGATTTACAACCCCATGAAAATTTAAAATTTTGTCAAAAATAGTGAATGTACCTTTTTTATATAATCTGATTAAAATGTTTGTCCCGTTTATTTGCTCTATAATGATTGAATTTTTTTCAATTTACGAGTTTTCTAATTGTTATTTTATGAATTTGCCTCCTCGTATATTACAGAGCCCCAACAGAGTTCGCATAACTCACGTTCTTGTCGAATTGGATAATGTTAGCGCTACACTTGAATCTGTGCAACAAGCATATCGTTATTACAAAGATTTAGAAACAAAAACTTCCCAGGAAATCAAAGAAATCAAGCAAAAAGGGGCTGTAACCTTCGAAATTTTAGATAAAAAGGCAAATAACCTGATGGAGGAAAATGTGCAGCTCAAGAAAAAGGATTCTTCATTACCTGAACTCGAAGTGCTTAATTCTATGTATAAAACGATTTATGCTTATTATAAAAATAATAAACCGAGAAGTGATGATACAATAAAAGATCTTATTGAATTGGGAATAATTCAACACAAAAGTGAATTGCCGAATCTTAATACAAACATATCTAAACTTTTATCTAAGCATAAGTTGCTATGTAGTAATCCAAAAGTTTTCGAATTTGGTGGATTTGTTGTTGATGATGGTTTAACAGTCAAAGATCTAAGAAGGAGAATTAAATACTTAACAGAAAAGTCCAAACTTGAACAAGACCATGCTATAAATATAAAATCTTCGCTTTTTGAAAATGTTTCCAATATTCGAAAAATTATGAGTAATTCCAGTATTCTTGTATAATTACTTTTACTTGTTCTTATTAAATATCATGTTTTCAGCTTATAGATTTAAGTATTTCATATGGTTGTAATGAAAATAACGAATTTTGGATTAACTCTATTAAATTATTTTAAAAATCATGGTTATTTATAAAGAAAATATGTAAAAGATGTTGCATGCTAAGATCAGTCATAATGTAAACCTCTCAATTTTATTGTCGTGGGAAGTATCTCAATTCCTTCAAAAAAATTGAAAAACTATTTAATTTTAAAAATATAATACTTTTAATTAGTTAATTAATTGGAGATATTTTTAAAAAATCACTTTTGATAATACTTTTGAGAACTTTAATTAAAAAAATATATTCAAAAATATCCAGGATATCAAGAGGGAATTGTTCCTTATGAGGTATATAGTTATGATGTATACCTCATAAGGAACAATTTCCTCCTTAAGGATACCCTTACGTGTCAGATTTTTTGCGCATACGAAGAAGTCATGCTAGACATGAGCTATAAACCTGAAATTTTAGCAACATATTTAAAACTTTTTAAACTACAATACACTTTAATATTCAAGAACAAAAATATTCTTTTTAGAAATTACATAATTATTTTATGTGAAATCTATATAAAAACATATTTTGCGAGCGTAACTTTTTTCTTTATAAGCACCTTATATGACTGATAAACTGTGAAGGCACATAATTGTTAATTCATAGAGTTGATATGTTTCCAAAATTGAGAGGAAATTTGAAAATTGAATACCCTTTCAATTCAATTTTCAAAAGATATCAGCTCCTTCAATAATTGAAGGACGATTTTGATCATTTGCTCTTAAAACAAGTATGCCATGGAGAAAAAAGTTACGCTCGCAAATCTGAAATATAACTATCATATAAAAAAATTAAATTTCTAATTTTTTACTCTATAGATATTATTGGCCACTTGTGTAATGCATAAAAGTTTATGTCATATGCATACATTTGGAAGTATGGGAGACGAGGGAAATTACTTCTATGAGGCACTAGGATTTTTAAAAATTTCTCTATCGGACTCACCATTCAATTTCTCGAAAATTAAAAAAAAATCAATAATAGCTAAAATGTATTATGCATAACAAATTTTAATGTTACACGGTATTTTTTGAACTTCATGACATGAATTTTCTTTATATTATTTTTTTTTTTGGATTTTCTATGATTTATGCGATAGGCTGGAACAACATTATAAGTGCAATGATATCATTTATAGAGAAATCTAAAACTTCAGCATTCAGAACTCGCAACCACAAAAATATTCATTTGCTAAGTAAGTAAAGTTGATTAAGTTCGACACTTAGCTTTTATACGTAAAACCAAGTGTGTATTGTTATTTCTTGTTAAATTATTGAGAAAAAAATAAATTGTAAGAGAAACGATACTAATTATTGAAATAATATTGAGGGTAGCTGTAGATTTCTTCATTAACATGCCGGAAATTTGTTAATCTTGGTTTTCTATCATAAAATCTGTCGAAGAATCTAAAAACGGAGATATGAAATAGAGATCATGTAAATCTAGAGTATCCTGTCAGAAAAATAGACTAAGCATGTAACCCTTTTTTGGTCATAAACACTTTTTACTACTTAGTCATACAGATGATCATTAAATTTAAACGAGCACTTTTTGTCAGAATTTATTCTTTTACAAAGACAGAAGATTTTAGTATTATTTAATATTAGTGCTGTAGCAAAATTCAAAAAACGGTGAAAATTCAGTGAATTTGTGAATTCACTTTTTTTTCGACATTTTTCTTGATATATCCATGCACATTAAGAACACAGCTTTGATACGCTTAAAAAAGCATATTTCATATGAAATTGTTAAAGAAATAAACAATTTATATAAAAATTGCACTTATGGGCAGTTTAGATATATAATTTATATATAACATATATACAAATCCATAGACAAAGTGCAATAACTACAATGTTGTAGAAAATTACAGCAGAAATACTGACTTTTTGAAGGATAATAAGAATTCTTCTAAATGTTGTATTTTTATAATTTGATTGATTTTTTTTACTATTTCATTAATCTTTTATGAATAATAATTATTTTTAATATATGTGCTATTAAAATTTCAAATTTTGACTAATATATCTAAGTTATCTGAACGAAACATTTAGAAAATATCATCCTTACATTGAAATAGCAAGTAGAGCATATTAATAGCAAGTTTCTTGGCTTTATATCTATCATCTATTGTTGTTTGATCAAACAAAATTCACTCTATTATATGGTGTCAATTAATTAAAACAATTTTTAATAGTTATTTATTTAGTGCGAATAAGTGCAAACTCATAAATGAATAACTTAATAGTAGAAATGAATTATCTGATATAAATCTCACATTTTGTCCATCAGAAATACTTTAATTGCATACGCATAACTATTAGTAATACGTCTGGAGTGTCAATTAATAACAATCCCACAACAAGTAAAATTCAGATTTTTATTAAACTTATTTTTTCCTAAAAGTTTTCTCAAATTACTATATATACATATGTGGATAAAATAATAGTAATATTGTAAAAAATTAGATAATTTTTTTTATTTGAGAACCTCTCAAAAGTTCATTCAATTTATCAATTGTTTCAGTTTGATGTATATTCATTTCTGGAGCCTAAAACTTTAGCAATCATGACAATATCATATTCTCTTTCTAACTACGCAATGTAAGGGTATCCTTAAAATGAGAAAACTTGTTCGAAATTGTTTATCATTTCGAACAAGTTTTCTCGTTTTTAATAGGAAACTAAAGTCTATGAGGCACTGATTATATATTAGTGCCTCATAGCCTTTAGTTCCTAATAGATAGCTGGGGAACTTTCTCCAAATGATAAGTTATTCAGAGAAAGTTTCCCAGCTATCAAGAGGGAATTGTTCCTTATGAGGTATATAGTTATGATGTATACCTCATAAGGAACAATTCCCTCCTTAAAATCGTAGACATTTTTATACTTATTAATCAACCATTCAAAATCATATTCCTCTGAAAAGTTATTTTATTAAAAATTTAGAATTTTAATAAATATAGAGTTTGAATTTCATACAATACCTATATATTTTCAATAATGGAATTTGAAAACCATTCTCAAAAGTTCTCAGAAAACCTTTTTTTCATTAATTTTAAGAAATCTGAGTATTAAATTAAGTGATAAATTCGTTTGACACTACTTTAATTTTTAAATTCAAAAAATTATATGTGCTTCTTAAAATGACTCAAAAAAATTTTATTATAAAATAATATATAATATTAAAAATCCCACAACATTTTTTACTTTACATAATCGTACTTCCTCGACGATTAATTTCCACTCAATTTCTATCGTTGACCGAACTTAGCATGCAACAAAAGATAAATCTAAGAGATAAATTTTGAAGAAAGAACAAATTTAATTAATATAATGGAGGATTTGGGATTAAACAAGAGAGAGTGAGATGCCTTTCTCAATGGTGTAAAGTGCAAATGTTGAAGATAAGAATACAGTGAAGTAATAGATGGATGCTGGTATTGTAATTGGAACATTTGCAAATAAGTTATAAGCCTCAGGTGGGCAAAGTAAGAAATCAAATAAAAGAGTAGAAATATCGAAAAAGAGCCATGCATGGAGATTATCAAATTTCTTTGGTGTTGCAATCTTTAAATTCTTATCAAAAAGGGCCTGTAAAGGTAAGAAAAGCGCAATAAGCCAGTTGAATATCTCGAATTTATATCCTGCGTAAATTTGAATGAAATAAATTGAAATTCCAATTGAGGCGCCAACAATTGTTTGTAAAACAGAATGGTAACCTTTAGATACTCTCGAAAAACATACAGAGAGCATGGTAATAATTCCGATCAATAAATTCTTTTTTGAAGCGTAACAACCAATCACAGCTCCATATAAAGCATCACCTGATGGCATTCCATAAAGAGTTCCGATTGGGCATCCCTTTTCACAGTCGAAGCATGGCCTTCTTTGTTTGAAAATTAAATATAATCCAACGATAGTGCACATTGGGACGATAATAAGGTGGTGAACCTCATAGAATCGTTCTAAGAGTTGTTCTTTGTATTTAAAATCAGATAGCTTTGTAACCATAATTGCTAATTCAAAAGAAAGTGTGATATTCACAACGTCAAAAGCGCTTCCGATTGTTTTACCTAAATTTACGGCCCATGTTGGAAGTCTGACAAGCCAGCAACAATTCAGAAAATCAGAAGCATTCGAATCTTTGATTTTGTTTGTCATAACTTGGAAATAAAAGTGGCACAATCTAACAATGATCGAGAATGAGTAGGGGTAATTTTAGCTAAAAGTGACACGCATGTAAAAAGTGACACACCCGTGAAGGGTGTGATTACCGATCGGTAATTTCGACAGTTTAGAATTTAAAATTTTTTATGGAACTGTTGCGAGTTTCATAAAGAATTTAAGGAATATAAGCAAAGATTTGAATCAAAATCTTAGACCTAAGCCGCTCGATTCGCTCGCGGCTTCCGCGAATTACAGATCAGCAAAGATTTGAATCAAAATCTTCGAACTAAGCCGATCGCTTCGCTCGCGGCTTTCTTTATTATTTTAAATTTGCATATTTCCATCAAAAGTTCATAAGGTAAAAAATTTCGTTTATTTTTACTAAGAAAAAAAAGGTTTTTGATAATAAATTTATTTTATTTCGAAAAAGTAGCAATAATCGTAAAAGGGTATTGATAGGCTTGCTAAAGTAACTAATTTTAGCTGTCAAATACTTTTGTATTTTGAAGTAAATTAGTATAAATTTGATATTATTTTAACTCCCTTTGAAAACCTCAATTTTCCATACAGAGGGAACGGGAATAGCATCCAATATTCCCTGAGAATGGTTGCGCATTCTCAGTTCCCTCTATATTTCGAACGAAGCTCTCATCGGTCTTTTTTTTAATACTAAACGTTTTTTCCCCTGTCACTTTTAGCTAAAATTTGGGTTTGCCGATCGAGAATGGTTATAGGTTCGGTGATCAGAATTTGTGCCTTTTGGCTTTATGAACTCAATATCTCGTTGTAACATGCAGAAAGCATGATTTGGTTTTGAATCTAATATGAATTTGTTTTTTCTTTGTTGCATGCATGATCTGATTTTAAATAGAAGACATTTCAATCATGTTTTAATAATTTTTGTGCTTGATTTGGAAATTTTGAAAATTTATTTAGATGATGCTTTCGCACTTATGCAACTAAGACAAATATGGTTTTAAAGTATGATTCTTTGTGAACAAGCTTGTATTTCAGACGGTATAAAATTGAAAAATTAATCAATGATAATAATTCAGAAATCCTCTTGTAATTATAAAGCAAAAGTATATGAGTAAAAGTTCACATGGTTTTTTGCTTAGTTAATGGATCACTCAACTCAGAAATGTGAATTTTGTTGGCAAAGCCAGTCTGATCTGTATGAAATTGATGTAATATATTTGTTAGATTCTGAAATTGGTCATGTCTATTGATCTTAATCATCTGACACTATGTAAATTTTTGTCACCTTTTTTGGAATTATCGTCAAATGTTAGGATTACTCATCCATAACGTTGCCTCTTATGTTAAATGCCCAACGGCAGAAGCTCTAACATTCAGTATTCGAGAAGAGTCCACATCTAACGAATGGACATACTTTTATACAACACATAACCTCAACAAAGATACTTTAACATTCCGTCTTTACTCAAACTCTTCATTACAACTTCATGTTGGCAAAGGCCTTGAATGCCCAGATGCTAAAACAGATGCACTTATTAAATTAGCAGATAAGGTAAATCAGAAAACATATAAAGTTGATTCTGATCTCGGTTTAGTTAATTTTGGTGTCTATAACCCAACACAAGGCCAAGTTAGCTTTGTTGTTTCTGTTGAAGGCGAAAATCCAAACAACCACGACAATAACACACATGTTACATTCACAGGAATTTACCTTGCATTATGCATCGTTCTTATAGCCCTCTTCTTTGTTCATTCAATCCTTGCCCGTGATAAAGTTCACTATCAAGTCGAAGTCGAAGAATAAATTTAAATATACGAATAAACTTTACTTTATTTTATTTATAAATTAATAAACTCATTACTTTTCCATCTATGGAAGCAAAATCTAGTGCTTGATTTAATCATATTTTCATTGTTTGATAAGGTCAATTAGATTGACAAAGATAAAACTCCAATTCATGAAGAAAGAATGTGACCACTTTGATATATGGTACATTTAAGTTTAAATAAACTTATTTAGATATCTTTATTAAAGAAATTTATTGATGGAAATATCAGATGAATGCAGAATATATATACCAGCGTTATTATACTATCAGATAACGAAATTATTCATTTCATATTGTCAGTATCAATAAAAGAACATGCTTTCCTTAAATCCTTTTTCCAATTTGATTTAACATTTACTCTTACCCTATAAAAAATATGGATGTCCAAGTGTGGAATTGATAGTTTAGTAAACCCTTATTTCAAGATTATATTATTTGCAATTATTTGATCAGTTAATGATAACTTTATATTTCTTCATTGAGGCGTGTCAATTAATTTATTTTAAAGTTGTTAGTGTATGTTGAATAGTTTTCTAACTGAATATCAATATCAAGCAATATTGAAAGTTATGTCAAAGAAAGAATAGGAAATTTGCTTTGAAATAGCTATATACTCCAATGAGCAATAATATTCCAGGTTGGCAACAAAGTCTATTGAATTTTCTCTCGAATTTTCCAAATGAACAATTAGGATTGTCACTTTTTGAACTAATGACCGAAACTTCAACTAAGCAGCAGCGTTTTACAAAACTCGCACAAGTTCGGTCAAGTCAGCATGACATTGTATGTAGTGTTGGTCTTGACACAGAACTTTGTGTTCAAATATACTGGTACACATGTTTAAATGATAATTTAACCCAAGAAGACCAAACCAAAGCGTTCTATCAGTTATGTGAAGCAAAGAAAATCAACTCTCCATACTTAATGAATATATTAGATGTTTCACAGACCGTAAAACCACCACAATTTATTGTTGTTACAGAAGCCGCAGACTCTCCTTCTTTAGCAACACACATCAGACAGCTTGTTGCTCCACCATCAGATAAAACGATCATTCGTTGGTTTAAATCCTTAGCAACAGCTGTTCAAGCTTTACATAATTCACCAATGAAGATTACACATGGAGAAGTTTCGTTGAATAATGTATATTTCCGTTCCACACCATCAAATCTCAAACTAACATTGCCTATTTCAACTTTATCACTTCGCTCGGTTTCAAATCAAGCTCTTGATATTGATTCATATACAGCTCCAGAGAGATTGAAAGGCACCATTGCTCAGTGCAATGATATTTGGTCTCTTGGTATTTGTTTATTAGAGCTTTTGACTCGTGAGACCGCTTATTCAGAATATCGTACACCAATCGAGTTGTTTGATGCATTAACAGAATATAAATTACCAGAATCACTCAACCTCGTTAAAAACCAGGCTGCTGTCGATTTAATTAAGAAATGCCTTACGCCACCAAGCCAAAGAATACAAATAAACGAGCTTTTAAGCGATTCTATCTTCAATGAAACTTCTTCAACAGCTGCTACTTCATCCGCCAAGGACGTTTCACAAATCATCTTTGTATAAAAAATTTTATTACAAACAATTTGTTTCGAAATTTAATATTTTTGTTTTTAAATATATGAGTGTTAACTCAATATTAACAATGTTTACCCCATCGGATTGTTGATGTATGTTCTCAAAAATTCTTTCAAGAGAATCATAATTTGCGAAGTTATGCAGCTTAAAGATAGTCCATACTTTTAAGGAACTTATTCAAAGCAAGTGATTCCTTCTCGAAAAATGAGTTAGTCTTGAAGAACTTTAATTTCTTCATTATTTTCTCTAGTATAATTTTGAAAGTCTATCTTTGCTTTATTAAGCGTGCGCTTACCATATTCTGACTTAATCTCATATAATATCTTTGATAACTTTTTTCCAACCAAAATATTAACTTTTTACTTTAGAATATTGGGATACAAAACTTAGGAGTCAAAAAAATTGATTATTGAAATCTTTTAATCATTGGTTAGCGTATGTTCTATTAATTGAAAGGTAGCCTCTATTTTCGAGGAATTCTTTCAGAGTAGGTGATTTCTTCTCGATGAATGCATTTACCTTCTTGAAGATTGCTTTCGGTTTCGGTGAGCTGGCAATGAACTCTGAAAGTAAAATTGACAATCGCCTAGAATCTTGTTTTAAGTATTAATTATCTATGAGCACCAGATAGCATTTGGTGCGATAAATCTTTTCTCCTTGCCTTATGTGTATATCATTCATTTACGTTCCTCGAATCAGAATTTCGAACTGAAAAGAAGTCATGGTTAACTAATAATAACAAACAATTTTTTATTATGAAATAAATTTCAAAACAAGAAATTTCATTGTTCCATGTTACTAGAAGCTTTGATTTCGGCTAAATAATTCGATAACAGCAATGAAACTCTATTTAATTGAGAAGATGAAATCTGTAAGTCATTTTCTAAATCTTCTCTAAGGTTTTGTAGATTTTTTACATCTTTTTCTGTTGAGGTTTTTTCTTCTTGAATTAATTTAAGTCTTTTTTCTGCATTTGCAAATTTTTGTCTGTTATCTCGATTAGTTAAGCTGCTTTCTTGCGAAATTTGGCTCATTGTTTCTTCTAGATTCTTAATAGAGTCCTTTTTTGCTCCAATAATGCTCTTAATAACATTAAATGAGTATTTTCTTTTTTCTAATTTAATATATGCCTGTTCATAAGAATTTTTTGCCTCCTCGTATTCATTTTGTGCAATTTCTATTTTAGAATTTGTTGTTTCGATATCATTTTGTAATTTTGAACAATCTTGCTTTAATTGTTCAATTTCATTGATATAACTTTGTGCATTTGATTGATCATTTGTAATACTATCTTTGTAATACTGTATAGTTGCTTTAGAAGCGTTTAATTTGTTTCTATTTTCGATTTCTTGTTTTTCACATTTTTTATTAAGTTGATCTAAAGTTGAAGTTAAATTTGCAAGTTCTGTAATCTTGGTATTCATTTGGTTTTGAAGAACTGTATTTTTAGAACTCAATTTTGCATTTGCAATATTATTTTTGATTGCTTGGAACTTTTTCAAAGTATTTTCGTCATATGTCTCTTTCTCGCGTTTTTTCTCTGCGATTTTTCTTTTGAGTTCTCTCTGCTTTGCTCGAGCTTCTAAAAGACGTCCATTTGCTTCTTGCAACGACATGAATTTTAATGAATACTAAAGAAATGCCTGTTAAAAACTGATATTATAATAATAGAATGAAAGAAGCAAAATCATTTCAATCATGAAAATCAAAGAAAAATTAAATATCACTAAAAAAATTATGTTTTCATAGTTAAATTGTGTTGAAAACATATTTTTGCATATTTTATGCCTCATCTGTAAATTAAAAATAACATAAATTCATCAATATTAATCATAAAAGTAATTTTTTAATATCATTTTTTAAATTTTAGAAAAATTTTAGAAAAATCAGAACTTAAATTATAAGGAATAAAGAGCCAATATATACATAATCATTGCAAAAAAACTATTTGCAAATGAAATATGTAAAAATAAAACAGAATACAAAACAATTTATTATAAAAAATTAAACAAAATAAAATCATTCACGATTTATATTCATCAGACCATTGTTTGTAAATTGGATTTCTCCTATAATTGCTTTCGCCTTCTGTGCAACAACGATTCCAGCGCATTGATGGTCTTGTACAACACTTCTCTGCATCTTTATTGTTCCATCGTAGATGCATACTCCTACTTCTCCATTTTTCTCTATACTTCCGCCTTCAACTTCGACCAAAGCTTGTGGAGAATACAAAACAAAGCCGCAAATCGAATTTGAAATGAAAGCAGATGTAACTATTGCTGCAGAAGAAGCACATGCAAGAGCAACACCCATATTCTGGTTCAAACTGCAAGATTGTAAATAAATTGTAGATCCAGAGATTGAGTGAATTCCAAGTGGTCCTTTAGCACCTGCAAATTTTGTGAATTGTGCTTTCAGCGATGCATTGTCTCTTACTTCTGCGTGGAGATTATTATTTTCAAATAAAGTGTTTTTGATCGTAACTTGCGAAGAATCCGAAGCTATAAGAGCAATACCATTCTCTGATAAAGTCGTGTTATCAAAAACAAGCTTTGAATTGCGACCTTCTATTTGAACAGCGACATCTTTATGATTTTCAACGTGGCAGCCATTCAAAGTTAACAAGCTATGCCTAACTATCGAACACGCATAGCCATTGGTCTGTTTGAAAATTGTTTCTTCAGCAATCGAAGAAGATTTCGACTCAAGTGACAAACTTGAGACTCCATTCTTCAAGAACTCGATTTTCTTCATATTCATGGTGCTGCCATGTCTAAGACAGCATCCACCCATAGCATTTCCAGATATTTTTCCTATCTCAAATTTTATATTTGATTTTGAGGACTCAATACCCGAAAAAAAGTTACCAGATATATCAGTATTTGATATATTGACATTTGTACTCTCTTGCAACAAGATCCCACACTCATGATTTTTCTTAATATTGCATTTTTCAATTTTTACCTCTCCTGAGCAACAAAGAAGCTGAATCCCACTTAATCTCGATGAATTGAAGCTGCAGGAGCTTATCGTCACGTTAGAATTCAGCTTTGATCCCAAAAAACAAAGACCAATTTGGCAGTCTTTGAATTTCGAACATTTCACATTCAAATTTGAAATTTCTGAAAGATTTGAGATTATTCCGTATTTTGAGATATGTGAGAATGATGAATCATCAATTATAGCTTGTGTGGCATGCGATAATGAGATTGCGGTCCCTTTTATATTCGAAAAATTTATTTGATTCAATTCAATTTTCGAATTTTCAGCAGCAAGGATCGCTATTGGGCCTGTTTTAGAATATTTATCACCTGAGCTATGCAGGGAAGCATTACATTGGATGATTACGGACGCAATCCCTCCGCAATGCTCAATTGAATTATTTCTCATTGTACAACCAACTCCGTCGTTAAGAATTACAGCAGGACCATAACAATCTGCCAATTTACACCCTATAATTTTGGGAGTTGATAGAAGAGAAGCAGAAATACAAGATTGACCGCATTCTGTGATGGAAGTTTGAATAATAATGGAGCAGAGGCATGCAGCAGTGATGTTTATGCCATGTAAGGCACATGATTGTATTTTGCAGCCATCAATTATAAATCTGGAAGAATTATTTGATGAAATTCCATTTTTTCCTCCATTTAGAATACTGCAATTATTAAATTTTGCAACGGAAGCTCCTGATAGGAGTATTCCATCATCAGTTGTATCATGAATTGTTGTATTTTGTGATTCTATGATTCCATCTTGACTAAAGATGCCAATTGACTTGGATGTAATATCACAATTGACTATAGATGCATACATTTCGGGTAAAATTGTAATACTTGGTTGTTCGTTGGAAATTAGTTTGCAATTTTCAATTAAAACTGATCCATATTCGACAGTAATGGCAGAATTATCATTTGAGGATATAGTAATGCCTGATAATGATATATTTGGTCCCTTTATTATAATAGTACTCTTATTTTTACCTGGCTGAGATCGGATTTCCGTTTTGCCATTGGAAACTAAGTTAATTCGTTTCTTAAGTACGATATTTTCTTCATATATCCCATCAGGGATAAGAAGAGCGGCACCGTCGGGCGCACTTTTTATAAAATCTGTTAATTTAAACTTTGTAGAAGTATTCGGTGTAATTGGATGAGATTTTGATATGCTAATAATCGGTATTTCTAAATCATTGACCATATCACCGGGCGGATTTTTTCGACGATCATTATAATTTTGTGAATGTGGAAGCAATTCGAATGAAACACTAGTGCCCAGCGTCGGTTCATACAATTTGCTTTTCGGTGCTATTGCCTTTTTACTTCCTTTAGATGAAGCTGAGGAATTATCATCGATATATGCTTCTAACACTGGCGCTGCAGAAGGTGTAAGATCAATATGGCTTGATAGGACGGGAGCGAAGCGTTTTATTACGGGTAGTTTCTTTTTCTGCTTCTCCCCCGCCGGAGAAAACATCAATAAAACTTTGAAATTTAGATGAAAAAGTGCCATTTTTATATTTTATATTGAACTATGCCTTTGGTATTACATTATAGGCGATGATTTATTGCTATTGAGATGATTTTTCTATCAGCGAATGCAGAAGCACATATCAAGAGTTTGGTCATCATGAATGAATAAAGTTTAAGATATAATCTATGTGCCTGACCTTTTTGTTATTCAAAATATTATTGTTGTATGTGATTTCAGCATTTTCAAATGTTTATTATTTGATCAAGCGATTATTTAATCAAGAGATTTTTGTTTGAGGAATGAAAATTTTAGAAATTTATATTTGATAAATGATTAATATTTTGATTTTTATTTATATATTCGAAGGCAAAATCAACAAAAACACATTATTTTAGGCTAAAAAGTGTCGATGTCAAAACCGTCTGGTCCGGCCTTTTCGAATGCAAGACGTAAAGCTCTTTGGAAAGTATTCCTACGACGACGTCGACTTCAGCCAGCTTGACCCAGCCCTCGTTGACTACATCTCAGTCCACGAGAAGCAGCATGTTATGGTTCCACACACAGCTGGTCGCTATGTTCACAAGCGCTTCCAGAAAGTTTCATGCCCACTTGTTGAGCGTCTTTGCAACCACCTCATGTCACGTGGCCGCAACACCGGCAAGAAGCTCCTTGCTATCCGCATTGTTGAGCACGCTTTTGATATCATTGCTCTCTCTACAGGCCAGAACCCAATTGTCACATTTGTCAAGGGTGTTCAGTACTGCGGTGCTCGCGAAGACTCCACACGTATTGGTGTTGGTGGTACAGTCCGTCGCCAAGCATGCGATGTCTCTCCACTCCGCCGCATTGATCAGGCTCTCTCCTTGATCACAGAAGGTGTTCGTAAGGCAGCCTTCCGCTCCTCCCGCAACATTGCCGAGTGCCTTGCCGACGAGCTCATTGCCGCCTCAAACAACGACCAGACATCATACGCCTGCCGCAAGAAAGACGAACTTGAGCGCATTGCCAAGTCCAACCGTTAAAATTGCTTTTTATATATTTATAAATTTATTTATATTAAACGTTTTTGTACTTTTTCCTTCTATTTTAATGTATATCAACCTCGTTACCATCAATAGTGTTTTCTCAAATACTGAATTTAAATTGATTGATATTGGATTCTTTCACAATGATACAAAAATATGATATCTCATTCTATAATAAGTTTCTTATTTCTCTTATTCAACTAAATAGATAGATAAACTTAAATAAGATTTTTTTCATAAAATTATTAAATAATTGAGAAATATTATCATAAGAGAAATTCGAAAGATGTTTGTAAATTTAAAGGATATATTCGTCGAGAATTTGAACAAATCAAATTTTTGTAGTTTATGTATTTTATATAAAAAGAAACTTTAACGGTTGGACTTGGCAATGCGCTCAAGTTCGTCTTTCTTGCGGCAGGCGTATGATGTCTGGTCGTTGTTTGAGGCGGCAATGAGCTCGTCGGCAAGGCACTCGGCAATGTTGCGGGAGGAGCGGAAGGCTGCCTTACGAACACCTTCTGTGATCAAGGAGAGAGCCTGATCAATGCGGCGGAGTGGAGAGACATCGCATGCTTGGCGACGGACTGTACCACCAACACCAATACGTGTGGAGTCTTCGCGAGCACCGCAGTACTGAACACCCTTGACAAATGTGACAATTGGGTTCTGGCCTGTAGAGAGAGCAATGATATCAAAAGCGTGCTCAACAATGCGGATAGCAAGGAGCTTCTTGCCGGTGTTGCGGCCACGTGACATGAGGTGGTTGCAAAGACGCTCAACAAGTGGGCATGAAACTTTCTGGAAGCGCTTGTGAACATAGCGACCAGCTGTGTGTGGAACCATAACATGCTGCTTCTCGTGGACTGAGATGTAGTCAACGAGGGCTGGGTCAAGCTGGCTGAAGTCGACGTCGTCGTAGGAATACTTTCCAAAGAGCTTTACGTCTTGCATTCGAAAAGGCCGGACCAGACGGTTTTGACATCGACACTTTTTAGCCTAAAATAATGTGTTTTTGTTGATTTTGCCTTCGAATATATAAATAAAAATCAAAATATTAATCATTTATCAAATATAAATTTCTAAAATTTTCATTCCTCAAACAAAAATCTCTTGATTAAATAATCGCTTGATCAAATAATAAACATTTGAAAATGCTGAAATCACATACAACAATAATATTTTGAATAACAAAAAGGTCAGGCACATAGATTATATCTTAAACTTTATTCATTCATGATGACATAATTTATGAATAATCTTTCATTTCCTACTCAAATTGAGAACGTAAGATAGCTAGTCGAGAGCTGTGACTTCATTTTCATTGATCATTTCCAGTCTGAACATGAATTCCCTCAATGCTTGCTGAGAGAGTGCTACAACAACTCATATTAATTAATTTCATTAGAAACTTTAATGACGACGGAGTTTTTCTTAAATATGCATTATATTTCTTTATCGCAAAATGTCAGATGTGTATAATTATCTAAACATCGATTACTTCAACTCAAACATTCTTTGGTATTAGAAGCAAAAATAAATTATACATTTTATTCAATTAAACTATATGGATTGCGTAATCTCTGTCCATCTAATTTTCTACAAAAATCAACATAAGCATTAAAATCACTACCGAGATCATTTAAACTAAATACGTTTAATGGACATGAAATTGACCTTAAAAATGAATCCCAAATACCACGAAATGTAACTTTATCTTTATCTTCATCTTCATCTTTACCTTCATCTTCATCTTTATCTTTTTCTTTTAATGAAGAATGGCATGGGATAACAACTTCATTAATTAATTTTGTGTATTTTGGAAGGAATATATCAAAATCAGGAGCGAATAAGAATGAAAACGTGTAAGGAAGCATTTGAACTTCATCTGTTTCTGTAACAATTTTGATACATAACTCCAAAATCTCACAGCAATCATTATATTTTATTAAAAGAACTCTCAAGAACTCGTTAATTACTGGAAGAAAATTGTAAATTTGATTTTGACGAGGAATATTGAAGTGTGAAATATTAAGAGAAGATATTAATTGGTAAATTTCATGTAAAACCTCTAAAATTTGTCGAACTTCTAGATTAGTTTTCACAGTGAATTTGATATTTTGCATGAAAGGAATTCTTTTTGTCATGTAAATAATGATGAAGTCTTCATACCAAGGTTGTGAAAATGGTTTATAAAGCTGTACAAAAGAAACCAAAGCAGTTACATATGGTCCAAGGACGTCAGAAAGTTGTCGGTCATTATATAATCCTTTAAATATTTCTAAGTTATTCTTCAAAAATGGCAAACATTGAATATAATTCAAATTATCAAGTGAAGTTAATATTTTATCGTTGATTGAATTAATGAGTTCTGTTGATTGACTTGTCAATTGATTCAACTCTTGATCCAAATCAGTGGGTTCTGTTGATTGACTTGTCAATTGTATCAACTTTGGATCCAATTTCATGATAAAAAATGGCTGCATTTCCGGAATAATTTGATCGAAAACGTATTTAACATTATGAATATATTTCCAGTGTGCTTCTACTTGACTATCATTAGCATCATGAAATGCGAACAAAAGAAGTGCTAAAGCTTTAACAATATCAGAACTATTTGGCTTTTTTTGTAAGATTGATTCATAAGTTTCTGTTGATAAAGTAATTGTAATTGATGATCTGGCGTAATTTAATGCCATAGAATAAATCAAATTTCCTAATTTTTGTTTGATAAATTCGAGATCATATACAGAATAATACTTAAACAATATGTTAAAAACATCTCCAAGAAATTCAGGTGTTAAGAAATGTTGTTTGTGCATCAATGCTGCATTAATCATTTTGAAATAGCTGTATCGATAATGAAAACTATTTATTTCTCCATCAAATTGATACAAATTAAAATAGTCAAGAATTAGAGGAACATCATTATAACGAATTAACTCGGCTACCATTGAGTAAAAAACAGTTATTTTAGCACACTCCAAAGAGTTTAATTGGAAATTAAAATGTTCTTCATCGAAACCTAGAAACTTAATTTGTTTGCGATAAAAATTAACTAATGTTTGAATGTAAAATCTATATTCTTTTGTATCATAAAGAATTTCGTTTGTGTTAATATATTCTACAGCTCTAATGAAAATATGATCGAATACTTCCAGACTTAAAGGATTTGTTGCCTGGTTGATGCAATGATTGATGTAAATTAATGATTCTTGTGAAACAGAAATAAATTCACAATCCAGATAATTAAGTATAATTTCATATTCATTTTCTGATATTAATGAAACTTTATAAGCAGAATTCATCAAACGTGCTGATGCAAGTAATAATTGTTCATCTCCAGTCAAAAACAAATATTTTTCAAGATATTTTTCTTGTCCAATGAGTTCTAATAGGCTTTGATTTCTGTAATCAATTAAAGATGTAAGTAACTTAATAATTGGTATTGCGCTGCATGAAGCTGAAAGTAGTTCGAAATTTGTAGCTATGTTATCTACAAAATCATCAAGTTGAGGGAGAATATGTAAATTGATAAGTTGTGCATAGATGAGAGTGAGATGGTCATTTATGGTTCCTTCTTCCTCGAATTTCGTTAAATTATTCTTTAATTGTTCGTAAAATTCATTGATAATATCAATGATCCTGCCTTGATATTTATTATAGTTTGATATTAATATCTGTAATATCTGATTCAATTGAGAAAAGTTTTTTTGTTGAATTATGGTTGAAAAATCGCCTACTATAATGTAAATGTATGCTAATATTGTTTTGCTAAGTGTTCCTTGTTGCTTTTCAACTATCTGATTGAATATTTCAACATATTTTATCTCAGTATGGGTATTATTAATGAAAATGTGAAATAGTATTGTGATGATAAATTCTGCAAGATTTTTGTTACTATAATCTCCAAAATTGTTAAGTTGCTCCAACAAAGGGAGAGGATTACAAATTATGTGATTTGTCAGTCTAGTGTATTCTTCACTACCAGGGGGGTTGCTATCTAACATCTCTTTGATGTTAGATATGTCGTAACTCATGGAAAAAGCTAGTCTTTCTTAAAAAAAATATGATTAGTCAAAAAATTTCCATCATTTGTTACACCTCTAGCTCGCGATTTGATATTACTTTTCCTCCAGAAGGATCCAGCTAAGAGCATGCCACTTTCTCAAGTTCGTTCTCATCCATGGATTGTTCAACAGCTTTGCCCGGCATCAAAGTAATTAATTATTTATTGACTGAATAAATCTTATCATATGCTTTGGTTAATTAATGCGCATGAATGATCACCAGGATGGATTGAAATCGATTTCTTGAGAAATTCCACTCAAAGATTCTTATTCAATCCAATATTACATTAATATTCTCCACAGAGTGAAAATGAAGAAAAACAGGGAGAAATATTTGAGATTATGCTTTCTTTCAAAGATATTTTGATAGATATATATCTAATGCAGAGTAAATATGAAATTTTTTAATTAGCTCTCGGTAATTAATTCTTTTGAAGTCATAATAAAATGAACTGACAATGAGATATTCATGTGTATTGAGACAAAATGAAAAATATTTATTAATTTTATAGATAAAAAGTAACGTTCATGTAATTAACTGTATTGTGCAACAGGAATATTTACTCTAAAACTTAATATGGGAGAAGCTGCTTCTTGAGAGCTTCAACATCAGCATCTATCTCTTCGCGGTTGAAAGGAGCTACTGGAGCCGGTGTCTGCCTAAGTTCTGCAACCCACTGGTCAACTGGTGGAGCTGGTGTTTCTGGTTCCTTACCATTCTGCATATCTATGTGAGCTTGCATGCGAGCAGCAATGATTTCTCTCTGTCTTTCATATATTGGGTCAAGGGTAACAAACCGCTTCCTCCTGCGGGCCTTCATAGCCTTTCCGTTGGCCGCTTTTGCCATTGTGACCTCTTGGTCTATCGTCCAGATTTTGCGGTTTTACATTTTAAGGGGGTTCAACCACCTCCTCCCCTAAATTAGAAGAAATAAAAAATGGTTGTTATTGATTTTTATTATAATTGGAAAACTGTTGAGCTGGACATTAACCCAGAAATACCAATTTCTGCGTTATTTGCCACTCTAAATGAAACATTTCAAATCCAAAACCCAATTGATGAAATTGTATTTTTGTATTATGGTAAAAAAATAGAAATTAATGACCAGCCATTTCATGAGGCATTTGGGGAATTAGAAAGTGTCAACGAAGTTCATATTGGATTTAAGAATGAAATTGCAATTATCGATGAATTCTGCGTAAAAAACATTCCTTCTCTTAAATATGAGGCAATCATGATGGACGCAAGATTAGTAACATTTTTACGTAATCTAAACGGTCTTCATAAGATAATTACCAAAATTTACGAAAGTCAAATTAATTTTGACGATCTAGTACCGAAAGAATTGATTGTAGAGGACGATGTAGGTACGTTGCAAAATTTGGCTAAATGGTTTACTGGTTCTATAATGACTTGGATTGACGCTCCCGTTTGTAATTACTGCAAAACAAAGATGATGTTTTCAGATTATTGCTCTCCTTCAGCTTCAGACAAAGAAAGAGGTGCCGATGCTTCGAGAAAATACAAATGCCGTCAATGTAAGTCGGCAAAGAGGATACCAATCTTCTTTAATACCGAAGATATACTTAACATCAGAAAAGGAATGAGCGCTGAATATTGTATTTTATTCGGTGCCATTCTCAGAAAATTTGGATTCGAATGTCGCATTGCTCGTGACATTTTCATTAATTATCTTTGGCTGGAAGTGTATAGCTATAAGATTGGCCGCTTCATTCATGTTGATCCAGTTGCAGGAATTGTGAATTTACCATTTATTTATGAAGTCGGTAACAAGCTGAATATTTCCAGGGTCATTTCCGTTGGTATGCACGAGTTGTTCGATGTAACTTCACGATATGTAGTTAATATCGATAACATTGCTTACGTCAGAAAAGCAGACGCAAGAGAAGAGTATTATCAACAAGCAATCGGAATGAGAAATATAATGTGGTCATATGGGCTGCCACAAGAAATGGTTCAAGAATTAGAAGCTAGAAAAAATAAAGAATATGAAGACCTTGTTCCGCAAGAAAGGAAGCCATCACCCGAAGAAAAGGTACGTATAAGCAGAATAGATACGGAATTGGCTAAAAATAAGATATAATATGTTATTCAAAAAAATAAAAATTGTATTATTTTAGTGAAATTCAAGATATTTATTTTAAGAATAGTTTAAAAACATTCCATTGCATAAAGGTCAACTAATTGGCGTAATTTGATTTCCGATTTTTTGATAACAAGATTTGGATTTCTATGAATATGAATTTCTATATGATATAATGGAAATATGTATCTAATATGATATGTTTAGTAAGGGGTATATATCAATAATCGATAATGCAGATAAAAATTTAATGAAATTTTTTAACATGAGATTAATATAATATGAAATTTTAATAAACAGGATAGATAGTAAGTTATTGAAGAAGTTCTTCTAGAGCTTTTGTAAGAGAGTATGTTTTTGTAATATATAATGTCTTCATTCCAATTCTTCGAGCACATTCTAGATTGGCCATAGTATCATCATACAATGTGCAATTAGGTGGTTCTGTATTGGCTAGCATAGCATAGATTGAAAGATTACCAGGTACTTCTTTTGGATGAAACATTCCATCATAAAACGTATCTTCAATGGCGATACATTTAATACACGCGTTACGGACATTTTTACCGAATCTCATCCTTAAGACACGATCAACATGTGACCGACAATTATTTGTTGCAAGATAGACGTTATATTTCTTTGAAGCTGCACATAAAAGTACGTAAAGATGATAATCGCGTTCAACTTTGGAATAATCAATCTTTTGGCACATTAATTCACAAAATTGTAAATAATTTTCTAGATCGTTCTCGCATATTCTTAGAATCCAATTAAATACTCCGACAGCACCAGATCCTTTTGGTGGTTCGCAAGCTTCTTCAACTAGATCAGGCGAAATATTTAGTTCTGCGGCAGTGAGATCAATAACATCGAAATAGACGCCTAATGGAATAAAATCTGCATCATAAACTACATCATCAAGGTCAATTAGCAATGTTTGGCGCTTGAGAGATATCATTTATGATGAAGGACTTTGACAATCTAATGAACTTTCTGAAAATTTCTATCTCATAAAATTTATAGTTGTGCTCAGATATCCAGAAAATATTTTGATAAAATTTTTGGACAATTCAAAATTGAGAGGGAATCTATTTCTATAAAATTATTTTACACTCCTACTCAAAGGCGAAAATCAACTTCATGTTCCATTGTAATGAATGTAGAGCTATAGCTGTCTTCTATACCTAAGTAGTAATAAATCATTATTTATGTTTTAATGATAGATTTTCAGAAATTATTTTTCAATTGATTTACAGCATATGTTTATAGACAAAATGAGGACTTAAATATAAATATCTATAACAAAGACTATTTATATTCAATGTGAATCAAAGATAATTAGATTTATTAATTTCAATTTTGAAAAATATTGAAAAATTGATGGAGATAGTTTGATATATTCAATTTCTCAGGCCTACATTCATGTAAATGAACGAAACATTGTATATGCTTTTCCTCTATCTAATAAATAAATGCTCAATCAAAAATAATCTATAAATTAATAGCAAATTCTTTCAACAAAGTAAAGTGTATAAGATTTTAACAATAATTTGTAATCATAGATCAATTTTGAGCTGTTAATTCAAAGGATTAAGTTGAAAATGTTGAGTCAATTAAAAATAAATAATGAATTTAACAATGTTTTGTATAAGCAAGCTCTACATCATGATGTACGAAAATGTATGCGGTACCCAATTCTTGGATATGCGCGTTAATCTCTAAAAATCCCATCATAGTGAATAAAAGTGACAAATCCGAATGGAAAAGCAAATCAATGATCTTCGTATGTTATCTGTGAATGCAATCGCAAATCTCGTCAATACATATTCGGAACTTATTAAAGATTCTATTGTCCGCCATGATGATGTTCTTGATTCTTCACGTCAGAAACTCAAAATTGAAGTTCACACAATGGAAATTGATCAAAATGCCCGCGAGTTACTTACATGCATCAGACGTATTAAAGAACTTAAAGTTACAGATGACGAATATCAAAGCGAAAGAGCTTCATTTGAACAAGATTGCATAGAATCGTCAAACCAAATCAACGATCAAGTTAAGAAATGCTATAAGCAGCTTACTGATCTTTCAACAGAAGGATTCGAAGTACTTCAAGCAGCTTCAAAGCTACTTCGTTAATTTTACTTTGTTTTTGTTATTGATATATCTTTATAATATAGACTAAATATTTTGTATTATCTAGCTCTAATCAAAGATTTCTACAATTCCTCCTTCTCTGTGATTAAGGGTATAGTCCACTAAAAATTTTTAAGTTTTGACAATGAAAATAAGCTCTGTGACCATGTAAATATATATCTATGCAAAACGAGAGGTTATGCCATAATTTTTTTTAGTTATCAAATTTCCCTTTTTTTGAGAGAAGTCTCTCAATAATTTGAGAAGAATCTTTGATATAAAGAGATACACATTTGTAGAACGAAGTAAGTGTTTTCCAAACATTTTATATGTTCATCCTGTATAACAATATAAAGCTGCATAGTGCCATCTTGTGCGTTTGCTATTTTATGTACTTTTCATTGAGATAATCCCTCTTCTCGGGTGAGAGAGGGTCAAAGTTGCTATTTGTCACTTTTCCACAAGAATATAATGTGGAAAAAGTTATCATATAGTTGATCTCATTCACTGAGGTGAGAGATGCATGTAGTGTAATGGGATAAAGAGTGGAATTGCTGATATAAGTCCTAGGTTCGAGACACATTGGCTTCGTTTTTCTCTTTTTTATTGACGTAAACTATTCAATTTTTGTGTTCTCCATTCAAATTTCAGAATTTTTTTTGCAGATTTCACGCTACATTCGAAGTTACCTTTTGTAACAACCACCACTGCCTACGAAAGACGAAAGTGTGTCACGATTTCACCCGGAAATCCGACGGTTGTTTAAGAGTAAGCACTTTTGGCACCTACTCCTTCTCGGGTGATTTTAACAGTCAACTCAATTTTAAAATAAAGATTTCATCAAAATGATTTCGAAATTCGGATATTGATTATATAAATAGCACTGTTAACATATTTTGGATGAGTAAAAAATACCTTGTTTTGTATGCATTTAGTACACCTTTATTTTTGATTAAAACTATAAAATTTTTATTCCTTATATAATAAATAGTATATGTTACATAAACATGAAATTCAATAGCATTCAATTTTGGATTTTTTAGATTTAGTAAATTTTAGAAGAAATAAAATCAGCAATCAAAATAAAGAAACTTTTTTTGTATCTTCTATGATTACCTTTTGGTACTAAATTTTGCATTAATAAGTAAATTATCTGTATTATTCTGTGAGCACAAGCCCTCAGTTATGCTGGTAGTGAATGATGAATCGTCATTTTGCGAAGAGAACGCGATTATTAAGGTAATTTTGAGAATTGTCTTGAATTATTTAAAATTAAAGTTAATTGAATAGGTAGGATAACTAGCCTTTGCTAAATTTGTATAATTTGACCTTATTCTAGTTGGATCTGAGAATATTTTGCTGAAATAATAAATTTTATCGCCGATTTATGAAAATTTCTCTGATGGGACCGACTCGCTGAAACGTATTAGTGTTAATGGTAACTTGTCTGAATTTTCAAATTTTTTTCGAAATCCAAAAAATCACAAACAAAAGCATCAAAATTAGATTTGCATTTAAGGTTTTCATTTTTTTTTTGGAAAATAAAAATATTTTTTCCCCAATAAAGTTTATTTTTACTTTTGAGAGGAATAGAAACGTTATTTTGGAATTTTGAAACGACAGAAATGTTCCATTTTTAATGTAGATTCTAAAATGGGGTCAAATTTTTGATTGAACCGTTATCCATTGAAAAACCTCGATTTTAAAATGTTATTCCAAAATATTCATCTAATGATATAGTATATATTTATTAATTATTACTTTTTATTCAATTTTCACTTTTGGCGGGATTTCATTTTTTTTTGTTGTATGGGCCATATTGTTCACCCAAAACGGAAAACAAAGGCAATGCATAACATTTTACTCCACGAACGTCGTCGACTCTCAGCGCGACAGATGCTTGGTGCTTGCATAATGACCGGAATGCCATATACAAAAGGTGCTCGCTTTCTTTCTCTTTGTGGAACTAAGCCCCCTGTGAAGAGTGGTGTCATGAGACAACAGAGATTTTGTGACGATAAGATTAGAAGACTTAAAAGTATTTCCCTAATGCTGTCGAGAAAGTCCTTCAGTGGTTACTTATCCATTGATGCAAGATGGACGCACAGGCGAAACTCGCCAAGTTGTACAGTAACTGCGCTCGATGCTGTCACAAAAAGAGTTCTTGCATGCGTGAACATCAACCATATTGGTGGAAACAGACAGCATGCTCAGTATTCCGGAGCTTCCAACAATATGGAAAGTGCTGGAACTCGAATCATCTTGAAGCAATTAAAGAAATACAATATCTTGAAAGATGTTAAAGAGATTATTAAAGACCGAGATAACAAAAGTGTCTCTGTCTTTAAAGAATTTGGCGTCTCTCATCTTGAAAGATTCGATCCAGGTCATGTATCAAAAAATATCTCAAAAGATTTTACAAAGTTCTCAGCTTCTCATAAGACAGTTGAAGTTTTCAACGACAAGACTCAGAAGATTGAAAAAATAGAGAGACCTTTCTGGGGTCTGAATGCAAGCCTAAGTATGTGGCTTTGGTCATGTTTTGCCGAAGAAAATATTGACAAACGTACGAAAATGTGGGAGAATTGTGTCTACCATTACGTAGGCAATCATTCTTTTTGCGAACCGCACAATTACAAATGCTTTGAATGGCAAAAAGGTGTCAATTCGATCCAACTTCAATTCATGCTCTATGACTGGGTTCACAAATGGACACCCATAGTTTCCAAAGTTTCTTCCATTGGATCTACCTGCATGAATGAAGCGTTTAACTCCAAAATTGCATGCTATTTGGACAAATCAAGAGCCTGGAAGAACATTAACATTAGAGTTAACGTTGCAATCTTAGAATGGAATGATCCAGAGCATTTTCTCGGAGATATACAAAAAGCATTACATCTTCCCCCACTTCCAGAAGATTGTGTCAAATCATTTGAAGAGAATTGTTACTCCAAAATGATATTGAAACAAAAAACTGTTACAAAAGGTTCTAAAAAACAGAACAAATACAAAAAATCCATTCAGAGTGTACCAGGAAGAGATTATCAAGTTTTCAAGTCCGAATGGGAATCAGAAGACGAAGACATTGATGACTTTGATTAACGAAAATTACATTTTATTTATTGTTTTTGTTTTTAATTAAATTATTATTATGCTCATTTTCTTATTTTGATTTTTTCTCATTATGATATAAATAATTTATTAATGCATTTATCCAATAATTATGCTATGATATTTTTATGCCTTATTTCATTTCTCTTATATTTGATAATCTGGTAAAATATAGTTCAGACTATAATCATTTTAGATTATTGATATATTTATATAGGTTAGAATAAAATTAGTTTCATTTTCTACTTTTATTTTGAATTAATAATTTATAATATCAAATATTATGGCGTAACCTCTCCTTTAAAATATAGATATATATAGGCCTATAGAGTTTATTGGCACTCTCAAAACTCTAGAATTTTGAGTTTACTATACCCTTAAATTTTGTATCGAAAGAAACTCCAAATTGTTTTGTTTTAATAAGGTAATGAAATATAATCCAAAATTGTTTTTGTTTCAATACTAAGTCAAGTGCAATTATTCTTTCAAAAAATCGAACTTTCAATATCTTCTGGATTTCAAGATTTTATTGGGCAATTATAAGTAGAAAAACGCCACGAACGAACATTTATAGTAAAAGCATATTTATTAAATAAGTATTCAAACAATAATTTATCATATATTAATCTAATCTATTTTGGACGCCATGCATCTGGATAATTAACTACAAATTGTTCAGGAACAATTGACGTACTTCCTTCACCAAAATCTAATAAGTATCCTCTGACAAAATTCTCAGATCCGTCGTCAGCTTGATCGTATGGGCGTTGGCAAACTTTTGCCGGATAAAATACAGTTGTCCAACCAAGTTCATCACCTTCATTTGGCCATAAAGCCAAAACGTCAGCTCCTTTTGCATATTCCCATCTTGAAATTGGTTTTTCTGGTATTACTATTGGTAATGGTGTCCACTCATTTTCTTGTAAGTCGATAACATTAATGCCTGCTGCAATATCTGTTGGATCATATACAGAACAAACGTTATTTTTATAAGAGAGGACTGTCATTAGAATATTTCCCTTCTCTGAATGGTGGCAAACAAATGATCCAGGAGCAGGAGTTTTCAATTTATATGAATAACAGCCACAATGCATTGGTAAAGGTGCAGACTTTGTTTTGATCTTTCCTTTGAAGAAGGTTGTGAGTAAATTTTGAACTTCTTCGTGCGAAGGAAGATTTTGTTCACCAGTGTCGCTTTTGTCAAGTTTCAATAAGGATTCAAGAACTGTATGAAGAGTACGAACTTTATTTTGAGCATTATCGTATGAATCGAGAATGCTTCTTTCTAAACCTTGAATTTCAAGTGTTGATGGATAGATTGATGCGAAAAACGCTTCTTCAGTTTTGGCAAGACTTGCAATAAACGTATTCACGTCACTTAATGATGAATATGCTTCATTTATTTTGTTAATAAGCTCTTTCTTAAGTCCTTCAGCATCAGCAGACATTGTCTAAATTAATAACAAATATTGGAGAATTTAGGGAAAAGTGACAAACAATTATAAGTTATTGATATTTTGAGTTCTTGAGATAATTTTCCAATTAGTGAATATTTGATATGATTAAATTTTGATCATAAATGTAGAAATATCTAATGAAGAAATATTATGATTTAAAAAATTATCGTTTTATCAATATTTATAAGGAAAATATATTAAGCGCAAATAATTAAAACTTTGTACCGTATTATATTTGTTCGATACTTTATTTATTTTAGTGAAAAATCAAATTGAATAAGAAGTTTTCAAAAAAAATTACAAATTTGAAAAATCGAAGATAATTTTATATGCGACTGTTGTCATTTTTATCATTTTGTTAAATTTTTGGAATTTAAAAAATTGTTTGGGAGTGAACATTTATGGAATTAATCAGAAAGGATCTGGTTTTATCCAAATAATTGATAAAAAAGAAATAATTACAATACCACTCGAGAGTTTCACAGCTTATTATCATACTCATCAATAAAGTATCTCAATGATATAGAGAATTGAATGAATTTGAGAGTCCTTATTCAATAGTCTGATCTGGATAACGATTTCTCATTGATCAGCAATGCTGAAAGTAGTTACTTGTAATACACAGTGGCAAAGCAGATTATTCATTAATATTAAATTGTTTACTAAGCTCAAAAAACAATTTATATTTTTCAACTTAGGAGGAAGATGATCAAAAACGATATTGATGTATATATGATACTTGTGATCTGCAGTAATTACGAATAAAAAAGTAAATAGAAGAATCGAAGTTACTAATTTGTTACATATAGCGTGCATTACATATTGAATTCAATGTAGTTATGCGTGTTATCAGCTTTTTGTTAAGGTTGATGTCATTAGAGATCGAAAAAGAATGAAGTTTGGAGAAGAAAAGAAGGAAATCAAGGTAAAGGAAAAAAAATAAAATTTAAAAAACAAAGAGATGTTAATTTCATATATACAATAATAACAAATGCTGTGTATTTTTGTTATTAAAGTGAAATTTCGGTGTCAATATAAAATGTGACATGAGCATTTCCCAGCTGAAACCGCTTGACACGACAAAAATGTTTGGTCTTTCTCTTCTTCTCACACAGATCAAATCCGCACCTTTCATTGTTTTTGACAAGAAGTTATCATCGGTCAGCGGCAAAGTTGGTGAACCAATCAATTGCTACTATGTTATCATTAACCAAGGCGATTCCACAGTTACAGATCTTTCTATTGTTGAAAACGGCATTCCATCCGAGGCCTGGTCATTCAGCGGCGACTCATCAATTTTGTCATGGAAGTCACTTAAACCAGGCGAAAATATCACGCACATCTTCCCAATCACACCCACTAAGTCCGGCAATCTTCAGATCATGCCATCTACAATGATTTACTACGATGGCAACGAGAAGCAGAAGCACTTATCCTCTATGATTCCATTCATTGAGATCAAGGGTTCACGTTCTATTGGTGCACGTGCCAACCTTCAAGGCTACTGCTTGTTTATTGTTGCTGCTGCCTCTTCTGTTCTTGTTCCACTTCTTCTTTGGTGGGTTTCAAGGAAAGGCGTTTCAACAACAACAAAGCCAAAGACAAACTAGAATAATTTATTAAACCTTACATAACACATTCACGTTAAAACAAAATAACTTTTTCAACATACTACAAACCATAAATACTGTAAAATTCCAAATTTTATTTTTTTAATGCCCAATATCTGACCATTCATATTATTTTTCTAATTAACTTTCCCATGTGGTTCAAATGCAAATCTTTGGTTCACACATATTGTTAATATTTCAAAATTATTATTTGATAATCTGAGAAATCTTTCTTTCGAACTCAATTGAAACTTTGAACCATTACTAATGCACTTAGTTACATTGTTGTGTTCCATAAATCTCAGAATCTCGTTAAATTTTAAATTATTTCCGTTTTCTATTCAATTTTTGAATGAATTATGATATTTACACGGATATATTATAATTTCTCGATGAAAAGAACAAATATCTCCGCGTCATTTATAATAAAAAAATAATGTCGTATTCTACTCATTTAATGATTCGTCATTTAGAATATTCGACATTTGAATTTCATAATTTTTTCATTGGGTCCATATACACTATTCTTCCCTACATGGTGACCAATACAACACACTATGCAAAATCGAGCCCTGCAAGTTTGACAGAAGTGTCATTACTTTTGTAACTATTCATATGATGAAAAGTGACAGTATATTTTTGGCACTTTTATAAGTCGGCATTTCCTTTAATTTGATGAATAGCAATGTTGGTGCTCAACGAAATCGTGTCGAATTGAAAATTAAAAAGAATCCAATCATGCAACCGCAAACATCTACTCCACAAACCTATTATACTAAAAAGGCGAGTTCAAATGTTCGTTATGCAATTCAAGACTCTGATGCGATTGACTTATTCGCTCAACTTAACTCTACAGTAACCATTGGAAAGAATCTACAAGCCAAACTTGAGAGAGAATTGATAATTAAAAGATTGAAACAAAGTTTGTTCAATTATTATATTGAAAACCTTTATGGTTCCAACATTGATCAAGATCAATTAAGCACGATTGTTGAAAAGGATATCGAATCTTATGATCTGGATAACGTTTGCAATGAATCCAGAATCGTTAAAGACCAAACAATGCTTGTACCAAGCACATACAGTTAATCATATTTTCATGAATATTTATAACTTTTTTTCTTTCTCGCAAATTTTGTCTATTTTCAGTTCCATGAAGAAAAAAATTCCAAGAAATAGACCATGAGAAAGATTAACTTCACTACAAATTTCTTTGTATCAAATTTTATCGAAATTTTTTGCATTTTTAGCCCAAAAGAAATGTACCAAAGTATAGTAATAAGATATATCTTTTCCTCGCGATATTAACTCGTCATACAATTAAAATGTCATTGAAAATTATTATTTGTCCAAAACAGGTGGTCATTCTGCTTCATATGAATAGTTCATATTATGTGCTCCGATTTTTTTTTTAATAAATAAAATTTTTATTTTATCAAATTTTTCAAATAAATAAATATATTTTCAGAGCTAAGTGGCGCAATATTGTGGGCTACATCGTTCCTCTTTTATTAATTTCAAAGTATATGACTTAATGCATTTACCATACACCTTGTTTTTACACTACGGAGATATTTTCCATGAAAATTATAGCACTGAATTCAAGGCCTATCTAGAAATAGCTATTCTATTCATGAATCAGGAAAAGATAAAACTAATTTTTTTCTGAGTAGTAGGATATGAAGGGTTGTGTGACTTTTTTTGTAAACGTAAGAATTCATACAATATCGAGCGATTTTGTATCATTTTTTTTAACATATGAAGTAAAAAATGTATGAATTCTTACGGTTTTTGAATAAATCAAGATTTAAAAAATTTTCAAAATTGTAAGACATTTACACTCAGCCCAAACATAATGAAATAAATCATTAAAAAATTAACATTAATTTTAAAATAATTTATTTTTTATCTTTTATAAAAGAAGTTATATATAGATGATGTCAGATATTCCGCGATTAATTAAACATTGTTTAAATCCTGAATGGAATCAATAAAGTCATAATCAAAGACCTCATAAACGAGAAAAAGAAATTAGAAACTAATGATTATTTTCATGAATAAAAGATTCACTACCATAATGAAATAAAAAAATAAACTTTAAAATTCATGTCTTACATTTTTGAATAATTTATTTTTATTTTTAATGAAATGAGCGTCAAGACTAACGACGTTAAAAAATTGGGATTCACAAATGAGGAAATAAAGGATATATTAGAGGAGGCGGGTTATGAGGTTGATAAATATTATTTTAGAAATTGTCAAAAATTCGCGGAGTTTTTAAATGAGTTTGATTATGATGGAAAAATGAATAAAGATGATGTTATAAATTTCTTATATCCCACATCTAAAAAGGGAAAAACTAAAGAACCTGATGTTTTCCCTGAATATTATGAAGAACGGATTAAAGATGATGAATACAATGAAATTGAAAGACTGGAAAAAATAAGAGATGAAATAGATGAAAAAATTAAGGAATTAAGAGAAGTTGAAAAATATAATGAAAATGAAGTAGAGGGTTTAATGAATATCCCAGCTTCAGAATCAGCAGTTCAGAAATCTCATGAAGAAAGATATAAAAATTATGTCTCAGAATCAACACAAAATTTATTAGATGGTGAAATAGATGAAACACTTTCAGAAGAAGGTACTAAATTTATTCGTAAACATAAGTTACAATTTATTGATAATGAAAAATACCCTTGTATCTTACTTTCACCCCCTCTCGATTCTGAGAAATTCAAAAAAGCTCTTAAAAACGTGACATATGCAACTAATACGATTAAGAAAGAAGATCATGATATTTACACAAATTATTATTTAAATAAATGCACAGGTGTTGATAAAGTTTTTGATTTATTAGATAAAATATCAAAAGAAACCATTGGAACATATAAAATTTTGTGTGATTGTGGTTTCATTATTGAAGATACCAATAATGTTTCATATGAAAGAACAGCACCGAAGGAAGACGAAGTGGAAAGGTCTATACCATTCGTTATTAAGAATATAAAAGATATGAAAACGTATAAGCATTATATTTATTCATTTATTTCAGAAAAAATGGAAGCAACCCATAAAACATCTTCTCATCATTTTATAGCTATTCATACATTCCTTTTCAAAGTTGTGAAATTAAATAAGACAGGAATTAGATTTAATGTATCAGGGTACGCATTCTTGAGTAAATTAAAATGTATTCGTCACGTCGCAGATGATAAAAATTTATGTGTTCTTAATTCATTTTATGGGCTTTAAAAAATAAACTTTATTTTTTAATTTTTTATTCTTACATAAATGAACAAAAACGGAACAGCTAAAATGAATGATAATCAAATTAGAGCAGAAGGTAGAAGGTTATTTAAACGCTTCTATAACATTCCTGATGGTGCTAATCCTAAAACTCGTAGAAGCTATTTAAATGAAGCAATAGATGCATATGAAGGGTTTGATATTTCATCAGAAAGTGAGAGATTAGCGAGAATGTTAAATGTTAATATTGATTTCTATTATTGTGATCCTCAACCAGAAGACGTGGACATAAATAAGGTAGACTTTCCATTAGTGGAATCAATAATGATAGATCCAGAATTTGAAACAGTAAATATTTTATTAACACAGAGTCCATGTGGAAAACTTCACGCTGACAGAATAACAGACGTTGAAGCACTCACCGGCTATAGAGTTTGTCCATATTGTAAAGAAGAAGTTTATTCTATCCGTGATGATCCAGAAAGGAAACAAAGAAGATTTTTTAAAGCATTGTGAGAAATGTAAAGAAAATAATGGAAGATTAATTCAAGACGTTCAGTTGCAAAAGACACAGCAACCATATGCACCACATATTACGAAACAGAAGATATATCAGTGGTTATTAGCTCATAATTTGCAGGAATATTATCAACCGACAAGATATTATATTACTTTTGACTTCGAAACATTAGAGACTAAAGAAGAATTACAACTTTCTGAGTGTGCAACTTTGAACGCTTACTTAAAACCATTCATGGTATCATCAACGGTTAAATTAAATGATAAAACATATACGAGGAATTTTTGCTTAACTTCGAGTGATTCTTTTATTTCTGATTGGATTGAGTTTTTATTTTCAACCTGTTCATTAGTTGCTAAATCAAATATTGAACAATACAATGAATTATTGAAGTCGCAAACAGACCAAACGGCGGGGACTTTGTCTCAAACATTAAATGAAAAACAGAAGGAAGCATTTAAAGAACTTCTAGATGAGGAATTCAATAAAGTGAATATCATAGGTTTTAATTCGGGAAAGTTTGATTTAAATTTAATTCTTCGTGATTTAAACACTGCAAAATGGAAAATAAAATCAATGCTGGGTTCATCTTCACAATTTAAGCAAATCATTGTAAAGAAAACAAACGTTCCATATGAATTGAGATTTATTGACATCAGAAATTATATAGCGGGTGGGACATTAGACCAATTCACTCAAGATTTCGGAAACAATAAATCACGTGTTAAATCCTTTTTCCCTTATCAATTCATCACATGGGAAAATTACGAAGAAGAATTATATAAAGAGGAACCATTCACGAAAGATTCATTATATTCAGCATTAACTCAAGAAACTATATCAGATAGTGATTATCAAATATATCTCAATGATGCTAAAAACTTTAAGAATAGATTAGAATATTTTATTCATTATTGCAATAAAGATGTTGCAATTATGATTGACCCAATTGATAAAATTATCGAAGAAACATTTGTTTATAAAATTGACATGCTTCATAATCTTTCTTTATCATCGAATGCTTCAATGATTCGTTACGCTTTAGCATATAAAGACTTTAATCCTAATGAAAAATATCCTGAGGAAGAGATAGAATCAAGTTTTGAATTAACGAAAAAGTATTGGAAATATAAAATTGAATCATATAAGAAACAAGATGAAAAGGCGAAAAGGGATACTAAATATAATGTTTCAATGGATGATTTTCAATACTATCACGATTTAATCCTTTCATCTAAATGCAAAATGTGTGGTAAAGCGTTTACATATGCAAATAAACCAACATTGGATAGAATCGATAATGAAAAACCACATACCAAAGAAAATTGTCAGTTAATGTGTTGTTATTGCAATGTCGTGAAATCAAATAAAGATGAAGATGTTCAACGTTTAAGAATCAATTTAAGAAATTACGCATTAAAAAATAATTTACCAATGACTTTAGATTCAGTTGAAGCTTATCACATTCTCCGTAATGGAATTACTGGTGGTCTATCAAATGTTCAACATAGAGTAAATCTTAAAGGAATCACGCACATTAATAAACTTTCATATAGTCCAGAAACTAAAACTGTATCAAATGAGGACACTTCCAACATTATGACTCATTTCGTTGGAGTTGACTTTAATTCATTATATCCTTCATCATTTTCATCTAATCCTCATGATTTCATTCAATATACTGACCATAAAATGTATATGCCGGGAAAATTGAATGGTGTTATCATTTGTGATACAGCAACAAAGAAAGCAAAAGCACTGGGAATAATTAAGAAGAAAAATACTTTATTCGTGGCTGAAGTAAAGGGTCACATTGATGAAAAATACATTAATGATTACATAAACTTTTTACCGATAATAAGAAACTTTGATATTATCACAGATGAAAAAACAATTGGCAGTTTTATGTATAATTACATGAAATCAAACAATTTACCGGTTGACCAGAAACAGAGAAAATTAACTCAGTTAGCATCAACACACAACCAATATCAACCATTTTCTTCTTATTATCTATGGTATCTAATAGACAGATTTCATTTTATCATTGATGATATTCAATCAATTTTAACATTTACTAAAAACACTTGTTTTAATGAATTTGCGAACAAATTTATGAACGAAAGACAAAAGGCTGAATTAGAAGGAAATAAAGGAAAAAGTTTATTTTGTAAGATTTCGCTTAATGGATCATATGGTTACGATGCAATGAATACACAAAATTACGCAAAGACTAAAATAATGAATGCACAGAAGGCACGCGTTGCATGTATGTCAAATAAGTTTAAAAACATAAGAGAAATAGGTGAAGATACATATCAAGTGATGCTTAAAGATAGATTTTATAGATGTGATACATGTTTACAAGAGGCATTCTTCACTTTAGATAATGCTAAATACTGGTATTTGGTTTTCATTTATGATTTTATGTATAAATGCATGAATGTTAATCGTTTTCATTTCATTGAAGGTGATACTGATTCATCTTATTGGGCTATTGCTGGCGATCCAAATCTTCCTAACACTCAAGCATTTCAAGCAATTGTTACCGATAAAAAATTTTATGATAAAAACATTTTCAAATTCGCACCATTTGATTTCTTTTGTTTTGATGAGAAATTTAAACCTAAATTAAAGAATAAAGCTGAAGAAAAAGCACATGAGAAGAAGTTATTGGGTTTAGCAATTGAGAAACAAGGTGATAACATGGTTGCTTTATGCCCTAAATGTTATACATCATTCAACGGTTCAATTGATGGAAGTGATTTTAAAAAGATTGCACAAAAAATGAAAGGTGTTAGTTTAAGACAAAATAAGCAATTAACACCTAAAAAATATTTGGATATAATAAATGATAAAGTGATATTTGATGGTCAAAATATTAATTTACAACTTAAAAACGGGTCAATGACTCGCTTAACAATTGGTAAGACTGCATTAACAGGAGCACACACTAAGGCTGTATGTTGTGAAAATGGATGTTGTATGCCATTTATTTAATACAATTTAAAACTTTATTTTTTAATGAAATACCACAGAAGAGACAAAAGGAACCGTTAATGATGGTTTTGATTCTTGATCAAAGAGGTGGGCACCCTTAAACATTTATTTTATTTTTATATAAATGAATAACACAGATTTAAAAGCATATCTCCAAGACTATGATAACAATATAACGGGTGATGATATGGAATATTATAATAATGAAATTTTGAAATATCATGATAGAATAATTTCTAAAATTAAAGACAAAATTAAAAATAATGAATATACAAAGGGAAAAACTAAATCACAACTTAAACAATTGAAAGATTTCAAAAATAAAGTATTAACAGAAGAAGATATTGATGAATTATATAATTTATATAATCCTGAGCCGCAAAAACAAAAGGAACAAAACGCCCAGGTCCTTCAGACCATAAATGATGCACAAGCTTTAATTTATGATTCATTAGTTAAACCATATTCAGCCCGACTTTTAAATGAAGATCAACTTTTGGAATTCATCCTTCAACATAAACTCGAAGCGGGAAAGTATATCAAACCTTTATATACAGCATATTTAAAACAAATGAATAGAATACATCCAGAATTAATGAAGGGGGGAATGAATTCCAAAATCAAAGCAGATAAAATTAAACCACTTGCAACACCAAAACCTCCAACGACAGTACCTGCAACACCACAACCTCCAACGACAGTACCTGCAATACCAAAACCGCCTCCTCCTTCAGTTAATCCTTCATCATTCACTTTATTATATCCATTTCAAACATTAAAGAAGCAAAAAGATTTTAAAAAGGGTTTCAAGATATTAAATAAACCAACTGACCCGAAAATTCAACCGTTAAAGGAAAAATTTAGTCGCCCTTCATTTGCACTATATCCATATTCATACGAAATCGATCATCTGGAATATTCAAAAGGAAACGTTACTTATTTATTTGCCATTAACATTAACACTAGATATTTATATTGCATTCCAGTGAAAGGGAAAACAGAACAGGAAACAAGAAGAGCTATTCAATACTTACTAGATCATGAAAGAGATAATATCAGGGGTGATAGTGATAAAGGATTTCAGGCAACTATGATTCATTATTTCCCACAAATTAATTTTTACTTCTCATCTTCTCCATATACGTTTCATAATAAAATAGTTGATGCGGTAATGAGAACTCTTAGAGATGCGTTAGGGGTTAACGGTCGGATATACTGGGATGGAAATCATGACTCCATCATACAACAGTTAGTATATTATTACAATAATACATGGCATAGAACTATAAACATGAAACCAGTGGAAATGAAAAATGATATTTCAAAAGAATGGGAATATATTAGAAAGCAAATGGAAAGGTTGAATGATGTTAAACGTGAACAAATTAATTCGGGGCTCATGAATTTTAAACAAGGGGATAAAGTTTTGATTCATCTCGATTATGGAAAAACTAATAAATCAATGACAAAAAGAAGACGAAGATTTGACACAATAGCTGAATTTGTTAGATATATTAACGGCAATGCATTAGTTGAAGTTGACAAAAATTAATAGAAATTCCGATTTATTTTATTACTCCATTATATTTAAATAATATTTAATTTTTTTTTATTTCGTAAGAAATGGGTGACAACGAAGCAGCCAAGAGTCCATACGATGAATATAAAAAGAAACTAAACAGAATTAAATCAAAAATATGCTATTACAAAAAGAAGCCGCAATGTGGTGGGGTTGAAAACGATGAAGAGAGGAAAGAAATAATCGAAAAATTAGAAACTTATCGTTCAATCATTAAACTGAGTGAAGCAAAAATAAAAGAATTTAATAGAATAAATAAATTGATTGGAAGAGATGAATTTAATAAAGATGAATTTTTAAACTCAATCCAAATTTAATTTTTATTTTTCTTTGACAACATCTCTCTTTCCATCATTACTGCATAACCACATTTTCTCAGTTTTAGTGGTTTGTTATTTTTAGCAAGTTCTCGCATCATTTTTATCGTTTCCTCCCTTGTTATGATTCGTGTAAATTTTGAGCTTGTGGGGTATCCATTTATATAAAAATAAAATTTTGTTATCAGTTATTTTATCGTTAATGGTTTTCAGGTTATTCAATAATTAATTATTTTTGAAGAACTGAAGGTGTCACCATGTCACCATGTCACCAGGTCATTTAACTTCTCTGAAAAAATGAGACAACATGACATTTTGACAACACAGGAGGATGGCAGTTATGAATTATTTTTGAAGAACTGAAGGTGTCACCATGTCACCAAGTCATTTAACTTCTCTGAAAAAATGAGACAACATGACATTTTGACAACACAGGAGGATGGCAGTTATGAATTATTTTTGAAGAACTGAAGGTGTCACCATGTCACCATGTCACCAGGTCATTTAACTTCTCTGAAAAAATGAGACAACATGACATTTTGACAACAACACAGGAAATTTGATGCAGTCCAAAAATAAAGTTAGTTTTAAAATTATTTTTATTTTTTTATTCCTATATAAATGACGGCAACAAACAACAACAGTAACTTTATCATTTCTGATGAACAAGTTATTGATTCATTAGCTGAGGAATTAGTTGTGGCAGAAACTAAAACCCTCAACGAAAGAATTGGTGAAAACAAGATTGATTTACATAACTACCTCAAACATGATGGAGGAAGAGGAAGGAAAACTGGTATGGCTTTATTAGTAAATAAAATTTCAAATTTAACGATTATAGATGTTGATATCAATAAATCGTATAATGATGAACTTAAAGAAACAGTTAGAAAAGACATTTTATCAAAACTTTCGGATAAAGATGTTATCGTTAAAACTGCTTCAGGAGGTCTTCACATTTATTGCAACACTAATTTCTTCTATGCAGTTTCGAACAGAATGATTAAATGTTATTCCTGCAAAGATTATGATATTGATATCATGACTTCTATTGATGATTCAAAGCGTTCTTTAGTAGTTATGGCTGATTCAAGAGTTCGCAAGAATGCAACAGAACCAATCAATACATACTCATTCATTCGTGGAAGTTACGATTCAACATTAACCAGAACAGTGAATGATATATTAAATGATTTGAATATTAAGGTAAGAGTTGAACAGAAGAACGAAGAAATAAAGACTATCATGAATGAAAACAAAGATGTAAACATTGACGATAAACTTTGCCCAGAGCATAGTTGATGGCATCTGTGATTTGAAGTACATAATGACGGTGGAAACATGAATTTAGAAAAAGAAGTTACATTATTCACACTGTTTCAAGCAATTAATTCGTTACCTAATCATTTAATTAATGAAGCATACGATAACGTTTATAACTTCTGCAGTTTAACAGAAAATGCAAAAAGTAATTTTGAAAAAGCACGTAGTAGATATGCACATTTAATGACTTCTCCATTTGTTTTAGTGAAGATTCTAAAACTTTATCAAAAGGAATATTATGATGATATGTTTTACCTTTATTACGTAAGCCAAAAATAACATTTGATATAACTTGATGACTCGTTTTTTGATAACAGATATTAGACGCAGGGCTGAAAATCATCAGTATAAAAACAGTTCTGAAGTAATTGAGGATTTATCACGTGTAATCCGTTTTGTAGATTGTGGAAATAAATACTTCATTCAGAAAGATTACAACATACACGACAAAATGAATCAATATCATTTGTTTTCAGTCAAACATGAAAGAGTCACTCAAAATGATTAAATTATTTAAAGAAGAAGGTAAAACAATAACAGCATGGGACGTACTACTAAATCAATTGTCTTCATTAACCGTTAAGGGTGTTTGCTTTAAATCTGATTCCCCAGATGTTTTCTCAACGTTTCAAGGTTATAAATACAACGTTTCTCGAAAAAGTAGATTACTCAAAAATTGAGATGTTTATGATTTCATTAAGAAGCCATATGCGATAATAACGATGAAGTGTATAAATACCTACTCGGCTGGATTGCATCAATGAATTCAACATCCTGGAATCAAGAATGAAACAGCAATTATTTTGAAAGGACTTCAGGGAACAGGTAAAAACAGATTCACAGACATTATTTCTGAACTTCTCGCTGGTTATTCATGTAAAAACATTACCGAAATAGGTGAGCTAACGGGTAATTTCAACTCAGTAGTTGAAAATAAAATGTTTCTTGTACTTAATGAACTCAAGAATGTTGGTGAAGACAGACTCGCAAACTTCAACGCTTTGAAATCAATTATAACGGATAATGAGATTAGAATTAATGAAAAGAATCAACCCAGAAGAACTGCTCAGAATGTTGCAAACTTCATTTTCGTAACTAATAACGTCTACCCTGTCAAAATTGAAGTTGGAGACAGGGTAGACGTAGTTTTAAGGGTTAATGGTAAATTCAAGGGTCAATTTGATTACTTCAAGAATTTAATGGATTCATGCACAAAGGAATTTTATGATAACCTTTTAACATATTTTATCAATTACGACCTTTCATCATTTAATGTACGAATCATACCGATGACTGAAGCCAAACAAGATTTAATTGAATTATCAACAAATCCTTTAGATGTATGGATAAATACACATTATGATGAATTGTGTACAGGTATGATATTAAAAATGCTCTATTCTGCAAACCATCAGACATGAAAGACAAGAATTTCCAAATGAGCATTAAGGATAAATGTGATAGGAAACAGAGAAGAATAGACGATAAACAAACATGGTGTTATGTTTTGAAAGAAGAAATGAAAGGATTATATAAACAGGTTGAACCAAACGATAATGAGGATTCATTTACTGACGATGAAATACCTGTAAATGATGCTTTATAAAGTATGATTGGAATTTATTTTTGCATTAATCCTCCTGTGTTGTCAAAATGTCATGTTGTCTCATTTTTTCAGAGAAGTTAAATGACCTGGTGACATGGTGACATGGTGACACCTTCAGTTCTTCAAAAATAATTCATAACTGCCATCCTCCTGTGTTGTCAAAATGTCATGTTGTCTCATTTTTTCAGAGAAGTTAAATGACCTGGTGACATGGTGACATGGTGACACCTTCAGTTCTTCAAAAATAATTCATAACTGCCATCCTCCTGTGTTGTCAAAATGTCATGTTGTCTCATTTTTTCAGAGAAGTTAAATGACCTGGTGACATGGTGACATGGTGACACCTTCAGTTCTTCAAAAATAATTCATAACTGCCATCCTCCTGTGTTGTCAAAATGTCATGTTGTCTCATTTTTTCAGAGAAGTTAAATGACCTGGTGACATGGTGACATGGTGACACCTTCAGTTCTTCAAAAATAATTCATAACTGCCATCCTCCTGTGTTGTCAAAATGTCATGTTGTCTCATTTTTTCAGAGAAGTTAAATGACCTGGTGACATGGTGACATGGTGACAGTGAAATAAAATTTTGTTATCAGTTATTTTATCATTATTTTATCATCATTTTATCATCATTTTATTAAGTTCATCTTTAGTTAATAATTTGAATGGATTCGCTACTGTTCCACCTTGAGTCACAACACTTGCCCCGGCTAATTGTGAAGAACCTGGGATAAGTACTCCATGAAATGATTTCATTGGTATCATTAATTTAGAAATAGTTGGCTTAATTAATTTTGTCATTTATGATAAAAATAAAAATTTAAATTATGCCGTTCACTCTTTTGGAGCTCAGGACTTTCAGTCCGTTCTAAAGTTTGTTTCACAAACATTGAGCGTTCATTGAACTCTATACCATGCGTAAACTGTCATGTAAGGTGGCATGTATTCTTTACTTTGTCCCGTTGTTTGTGTATATCCTGAAACGAAATGTGTATGGTTTCCTTCTCCCTGAGTGTCACTCCAGTAACAATTTATAGCAAACTTAACGTCGTCTTTAACATCATATCCTTTACCTTTTGTCATTCCTGACCAATCCCAATATCTATGCTTATGCCAACCTGCTTGAGATGTACTTAAATCTATGTAGTGACTGTGTGCAGGTAAATTTTCACCTGAAATCGTTTTACTTCCCCCTGTTTCCTTTGAAGAGTTTGCACAATACAAAAACCTGTCAACTATTTGTTCCCATGCACCAACACCAAACATTACTTGAGGACCTCTTGCATCCATAGATGTATAAATAGAACCTACTGGGTTCATTAAATTAAACATATGAGATATTATAGGATTGTCTCTTTTGAACTTAAAATATAGTGCAACTATTTCTGGTTTCTTCTGGTTTGTGTCAGAATATTTTTTATAATATAATCTTATGTTTTCAGGGTAGGTAAAATCTTGACTATAATATTTATTTCTGTCATCTGTATAATAATATACTATTCTCGTTTTTTCTATTGCATTATATCTTTTATATCTATAATAATCTAAATATAATGTTAGCTTTTGTTCATCTACACGTGGTGTTCTGTCGTCATCTCCATAGTCATAATAATATGGTGCTGGAGCTGGGTCAGGCAATGTCATATCTACCATTTCATAAACTCTTAAATATTTCTTTTGTTCGTCTCCATATAAGTTTAAGTAGCAGTTGTTGTCTAATGGAACTTTAACTTGTGTACCATCATTCTTTTTATAGCTTACATACATTTCATTGTTATTTTTCGGAATGAGTTTACACTGTGTACCATTTTTTAAGGAGTGTACAAACTGCCATCTAAAATATTTATTTTCTTCATTGACAGAAAAATCACCAACAATAGTTTCAATATTTTTTGTTCCTATCAAACTTTGGTATATTTCGTTAACATATGTTTTATCCGCCTTCTTCTCTAACTCATCGTTAACATATTCCTTATCCGCTTTAAGGTCTAAACATCCTGAAACCCATCCTGTATCGGCTTTAACTTTAAAAGTCTTTGATGTCCATTCATGATACCATTCAACCCTTTCTTTAATTTCATTATCTTTTTCATCAACATAAACCAAATTTGCCTTCTTCATTAACTCATCGTTAACATATTCCTTATCCGCTTTAAGGTCTAAACATCCTGAAACCCATCCTGTATCGGCTTTAGTTTTTAAAATCTTTGATGTCCATTCATGATACCATTCAACCCTTTCTTTAATTTCATTATCTTTTTCATCAACATAAACCAAATTTGCCTTCTTCATTAACTCATCGTTAACATATTCCTTATCCGCTTTAAGGTCTAAACATCCTGAAACCCATCCTGTATCGGCTTTAGTTTTTAAAATCTTTGATGTCCATTCATGATACCATTCAACCCTTTCTTTAATTTCATTATCTTTTTCATCAACATAAACCAAATTTGCCTTCTTCATTAACTCATCGTTAACATATTCCTTATCCGCTTTAAGGTCTAAACATCCTGAAACCCATCCTGTATCGGCTTTAGTTTTTAAAATCTTTGATGTCCATTCATGATACCATTCAACCCTTTCTTTAATTTCATTATCTTTTTCATCAACATAAACCAAATTTGCCTTCTTCATTAACTCACTATCCACATATTCCTTATCCGCCCTCTTCATTATGTCATTTAGGAAACCTTCTATGAATTCCTCATTTAAATTAAATCTTCCAATCTTCAAAACTTTAGGAAATGCATTTAATGCGTAATATCTCTGTTCTTCTGGTGGAATTGATGTTATATCATCCGTTATTCCTTTAATTTTTGAATTCATAAATAAAATTTCTTTTATATTTGATATCACTGCACCACCTTTGCAAACGAATTCGAAACGGTCATTTTTCAATACTATCTCCAAATCTCCATATTTCAACATTTGCGTTTGTTCTGCCGTCTTGAATTATATGCATATATGGCGTATGTAATGGTCTGAAGGACCTGGGTGCTTTGTGCCTTAAGTTGTTGTGGTTGCTGTTGTTTAATCATTTATTATGATTTAAAAATAAATATTTAATCCGTTATCTCATCAGCTATTTTTTCTATTTGAAATTGCCATAATATTTCATTCATAAATTTTAAATCACAATCAAATAGGTCAGTTATTCTAAATTTAATATTTGATAAATCTTTTGAATGAAGAATAAATGAATTCCCGGATAATTGAAACGGATATGATAAAGAAAATGTGTTTAAGTTGATGGATAAAATGTTTTGTATTGATGGGTAAGAGTTGGGTCTAATGTTTGATGTGAAAATCTCATTGGGGTATTAACTTTATCACATTTGATTAAAATGAAATTGGAACCAGTGTCAGAATACAAAACATCCCCAACATCTTTTTCAAAATTTAATATCCCCAACAATGAACGAAGATGAGGAGTACAAAATTTAATTTTCAGCGGGAATTTAATAAGGTTATTTATTTCATCAAGTTCAAAAAGTTTATCAGGTTTTGATTTAAAATTTTCTTCATACCATACGATAAATGATTCATTTAAATAACTTAAAATCATGTTAATATCCCATTTCGTTATCACATTATTTATATACATATCATACGTTTTTTCATGGTCATCTTTAATAAATGATATATAATCTGAAGGGTCTAAAAGAATGGGATTAAATTTACCACTCACAGAAACGAGAGTAACATTATAAATTCCGCTAACTGTTAAATTTAATTCACAGTTTTTATTCGAAATAATATTGATAATTGACATTTTTATTACGATTAAAAATATGGTAAAGCGTTATTTTCCAGTGATAAATAAAACTAGAATAAGATTACCTCAAGAATTCATAAATTCAACGAATAAGAAATTCATCCATGTTATAAATTTTAGTGTTTTCAGAAAATATGAGTCAATGTCATATTCATCAACAGGTTATATTTCACTTCATTCAAATTTAGTTCAATCAAACCCATATAATGACCATTTCATAAGATTTTCAGATGGTATTAAAAATGTAATTGATAGATTAAAATATGAACAGATTGACAATATCGAATTTTTGGAATTTTGGTTTAAATATCCCGATGGAAAAAAGATTGAAGTTAAAGATAAAGCTGATACTATAACAAAAACAATTACAATGACCGATCCAGATAGGGGAACAAAAAGAAATAAAACAAACGATAGAAACTGGTGAAAGGTCAATTATTATCGATTATGATTCAAAGGATTATTATTCGATAATGTTAATGCTTGAATATTAAATAGCCTTAACAAAGAATTTTTCAAGTGATATTTTATATTCATCAACTATTTTATTATAAATATCATTATATGTTAAATGAAGTTCAGTTGTTGTTCCGTTCTTTGATATCTTAATTGTGCTAATATCCTTTATAGGATTTATTTTTGCAACTGTTCCGCAGCATGAAACCTCATCATCTATGAAAAATTGAATCTTAACGTCTGAATCTTGAACATCACAAAGAATGGCGATAATGTGAATTAATGATTCATAAGGTAAAATAATTAAACCGGATTGGTCAATTAAATTTATTATTGAATCATAATTATTAATTATTATATCACGGTAAATTTTCATTAATTCAGAATTAATGTCTATTTTATATGGGTTCTCGATGTTTGATGAAAGAGGTGGGGGGTATGTTGGATAAGTGGGAATTTCAACAGGTTCTTTACCGGGTTCAGATAAAATGATTGGGTCTCCATTCTCATGGTTTTCTTCATTCTCCTCATTCTTCGGTAAGTCACGAGTTAATAAATTTGGTTGAGTTGCTGACCTTGTTAATTCGGGGCTAACATTAACTTTAACATTTTGAATAATTCGTGATTTATCATCATTTACGTTATAACCAACCGTAATCTCTGCTTTTGCGTTAGTGTTCTTTTGACTAGTGAAACGTCTTCTCATTTATAATCGAATAAAAAAATATATTTAAACTTTTATTTTGCCGGAACTTTTGAATCTATTATTCCCTGTATTTGTTCATGAAGTTGATTTTTTGCTGTTTCATCGAAATTAATAGACCGAATATATTCATTAATTGCATTCTTATAATCAACTGATTTCTCAAATTTTCTTTTATCTGATTCCTTAACTAAATCATAAGTTAAACCTCGTTGCTGATATAATGGTTTCTTAATTAAATCTTTGAATGCTTGAGATAAAGCACCTGATGCAATTCTTGCTACTATAATTGGTTGGAATTGCTGTTTAAGTTCATCTTTAACATTTGCGAAAACTGGATCGAATAAAGCAACTTTAAAGAATTTCTTAGCTGAAATTTCAGGTCTAATATTTGCATATTGACCATCAAACTGGTTAGAATATCGTGGTAATCCATCCGGTCCCTCTTCAATAGCATTTAATTCTTCATTGAAGTAAGAATATGGATTACCACGGTATGAATTAATTGGACCATTTTCACCTTCTCCAATGTATTGTTTAACAGCTTTTCCATTTTCATCAAATTGCATAGGATAACGTTCATTATATACTTTACGTTTAGGATAATCAGATATAGTTAATTTATAACCATTTATGACTTTAATATTACCTTGACCATCAGTAACGAAAACTTCATTTATACCATCAGGTTTTCCATTTGGACCCGTAATGTCTGCTTCATGTGCTTCCCAATTTGGACCATGACGTTTGGCATATGCTTGAGCTTCTGGTAATGTTAAAACGTTTCTCATTTGTTTAACATCTTTTTGAAGACCAGCAACAATATGAACTAATTCTTTCATTCCATCAGGAACTTTCATAGTTCTATTATATGCACCCCTTTTGTTTGTCCCTTGTTTTAATGGAACCTGTAGAAGATTTGCTATTTCTGTCATGTTTAATTATAAATAAAAATAAAAATTAATTATAAAAAGTTAATCAAATTTAACACTTCCTTTATTTAAATCAACTATTATTTTTCCATGTTCACCTAATTGCTGATATTGTGTGTAAAGTTCATTAATGCTCATTGGTAAATTCACTTGATAAAGCATAACGTTCAACTGTTGACGACTAAACCCACTGAAAATGAAAAGGGTTGATAGATTTGATTTAATGTTTGTGCTTAATGCTTTGAAGTATTGAACAGCCATGAAGAATGAACACTGAATGTGTCGACATTGAGTTAATAACTGATTAAAATATGATTTCTCGTTTGTTATTAGTTTTGATTTCACTGCATCATCTAGAAAAATGAGTGAATGCAAAAATTCTCTATCAAAATTTGAAATAGAAAGTGTTTCAAATAATTCATCCCGTTGTTTATCAATAATTTTATCCTCTAATCCTTGCTTCTTGATTGTATTATATAATTCTTTATACATTAAAAAGTTTTTTAAATAATCTTCTGCTTCTTCTTGTGATAAATAAATAATTGGAATTTTGATTAAATGCTTTAAAGATTCAAATGTATCATCTGAAGGTGAACCTGAACGGTTGATATAAATTAACACGTGTGAATGGGGGGAAGTGTTAGCAATAATGATAATTTGTTTTAATATCGTTAATGTTTTACCTTTATTTTGTTTACCAATTGCTGCAGTGATTGAATTTAAGTAACATTCAGAATATGTAATTTTCATTAATTTTTCCTTAGATAGAGCATTTCTATTATCACTCAATGCTTCATTAATCATATCATCTACGTATGTATTATATACTCCCGCTAATTCTTCATAAGGGGTGGATGAATTTAAATCCATTTAATCAAAAATAAATTTATAATTTTAAACATTTCTATTCATCAATATTTCATCATATGAACTTCTATACTGTGGTGGTGTACCTGTTGGATGATATTTCAAACCTTCATCCGGTGTCCATGTCCAATACGTAGTCCTAGTAAACCAAACCTGAGGAGGATTTGTCACCTTTGAACAGTAAGTGTCATTTACACCCTGAATGATTGGATAAGCTTTCACTTGTACTGTAACTTGTGAGTTGAAAGTTTCTAATCCATCAAAGAATATACCCGCTCCATCACGTTGAACTGGAATAGTGCATAAGAATGAGGTTTGGTCTTTCCATGTTCTAGCTAATGGCGTGCCATCATCATCATTCAGTGGTCTAGTTAATGAGTCCTCATATTCTTCCGTGCATTCATTCACTCCATCTAAATCAGAAGCTTGAAGCATACGTGTAAAGAATATGTCGCCCACTGTGGTCATCGCTTGATCGGGGAAGTTTCTGGAATCTATAGTGACCTGAAGACCTCGAAGCATTGGATTTTCTAAAACTGTTCTTTGCATTGCATTCTTCGGAAATGTTAACACAACATCTGTAACATTATGAAGAGCGTATGAGAAATCTGAGCTAATACCTTCAGGAGTGATGCAACCTCCATTTAGTGAACGAACGTCAATATGTTGAGCTGGAATCATGAATGGATCTTCCTTACTGAATAAACGTGGTATTGCTTTAACTGATTCTTCAATTAAACCGTATCCTGGTGTAATGCATTTATCCTCTAAAACTTCCATCTTTGTGCATGAAATAATAACGTTATCAACTTTTGCGTCAGCAGATGTAGCGGCTAAGCTTGTAATTAATTTGGCAGGAAGTCCGATTTGTTGGAATTTGCGATCATATTTATAAACATGATTCATAATCTTTTCATAATTTCCATCAGTTATCTTTTCATAAACGTAATTTTGTAAATCAGCAACTCTTAACGGGTCAACCTGACAAAATACTAAAGTATCCCTGAAAACATAATATTTAAGAATGATTTCACCAAATGATTTAGGATAATCATCGAACGCCTGAAATGCTAACAAATCATTTACCGGAATAATCATATCAAAAGTGACATCAACTTCTTCATTTGCGTTCTTGAAAACTTCTGAAGGGTCAATATATTTACCACATACTGAGTTATCATATTTTTGAACATTATTATATAACGAATGAACAAACTTTTTAACTTTCCTTTCTGATTTTGGTTTATATGTTGCAAATGCGAAAGATTCACGGGCGCAATCCATCTGAAGATAACCTGCATCACCTCTTTCGGTTTCTACTTCTAATTGTTTAAAGCTTTGATTTGATGATTTGTAACCAACGAATAAACGCATGCATTTAAAAGCGGCATCACATGTGAAAGCTTTATTTGAAACTAGAGTTGCTTTAACTTTGCGTTTAATATATGTGTCACCTAATTGATTCACATCATGAGCCGGATTTGTAATTCTTAAATGAGTTTGTTTATCATCAAAATATGGAGCATCAGAGTCATAGCATGAACTTTCAAGTTCTCTATAATATCTCCTACCGTCATTCTTTGCGAATATTTCATTTATCTTTTCGAATGAATGAAACACATTTCCATTAATCGGTTTAGTGTTTGGCACCAAATAGTTAGTCGTCATTTATTATTAAATAAAAAATCAAAATTAAAAGATGAAAATGAATTTTTAATTTTAATGAAATAATCAACTATGGCTGCAGGATTCTTTAAAAAATTATGGGATAAAGTAAAAAGAGGAGCGCATAAAGTTTGGGAAACAATGAAGAAAGGAGCAAATTGGATATTTAAGAATAAAGAAGCAATTAGTGACGTTGCTGAATCAATAACACCAAAAGCCGCCCCAATAAGAGAAATATTAAATAAAGGAGAAAAAGTTTATCAAAGACTTCAACCGATACTAAGATAAAAATAATATTTATTTTTCCACTATCTACCCCCTATTTTATTAAGTATTCCTTCAGCAATTCCACCAACTGCGTTACCTGCTTGTGCTCCCATCGCCGGATTACCTGCTTTAGTACCTAATACTCCACCTATGATAGTTCCTGCCGTTTTCGCTACTGGTGCCAAAAAGTTTGCAACGGGTTTAATAATATTTTTATGAACCCAACCCGCAGCTTTCTTAATTCCATCCCATAATTTTTTAAAGAATCCTGCCGCCATTTCTGATTTAATATTAATTAAAAAATATATTTCATCACTTATATTCTAATTTTTATTTAATGATAAATGAAACCGATTTTAAAAATAAATGAAACAGAGAAGGAAGAAATAAATGAAAGTGAAGATGTTCAACAAAAAATAAACGTTGTTAAACCAATTACTGAAATAAAATTTTTTTCATCTGTTGAAGAATTTAATGACTATTATGCTAATAATAAAAAATTATTTGAAGAATTGACAACATGTAAATTGAATAAAATGTTTAAAGTTGATGGATTCAAGATTTCAAAAATAAAGGGGGTGGTTAGTTTGAAATCTATTCCTCAATCAAGAATCACCTCATTAATGAAAATTGATGATTTAACAAAAAGAATAGAAGAGATTGAAGAAAGAATGAATCAAATAATTGATTTCATAAATTCAAATAATCATTAGTTTCTAATTTCTTTTTCTCGTTTATGAGGTCTTTGATTATGACTTTATTGATTCCATTCAGGATTTAAACAATGTTTAATTAATCGCGGAATATCTGACATCATCTATATATAACTTCTTTTATAAAAGATAAAAAATAAATTATTTTAAAATTAATGTTAATTTTTTAATGATTTATTTCATTATGTTTGGGCTGAGTGTAAATGTCTTACAATTTTGAAAATTTTTTAAATCTTGATTTATTCAAAAACCGTAAGAATTCATACATTTTTTACTTCATATGTTAAAAAAAATGATACAAAATCGCTCGATATTGTATGAATTCTTACGTTTACAAAAAAAGTCACACAACCCTTCATATCCTACTACTTTTCTGTTCGGAGAATTGATCATACTTCGGTAGAATATTTTCATCATTGGAACAAAGTAATTCTTGTTATGATCTTTAAGTTTTCAGGAAGAATTCTGAGTTTTTTCTTCCTGATTGTAAAGAAAAATTTTCAAAATTGGTAAGATATTTTATTTTGGGGTAGTTGTTTAGAATTAAGGTGGATATTTTTTATTAAACCTCTCAAAAAGTGGAAATGTGACAGATTTTGTGGGTTTATGAATTCCCCCTTAAGCCCAAGCGTCCCAAGCACAGCACCCTACTCGCCGAATGCAGATCCACACAAGCAAAAGCAAACAAAACGACCACGTCAAAAAAAAGGGGAATACATGAAAAAACTCGAAGAAGAAAATGTTCAGCTCAAGAGCGATATTAATATGCTCATCAATAAAATTACTATCATCGAATCTCAGAATCAAACTCTGATGCAACAATTAGAATTTTTCAAATTGCCAGGTATGAATTTTCCGCCGGCAAAAGAACAGCCCGAATAACTTTCGTTTTATATTTCCGAAATAGTGAAGGGGTTACATTTGTTTTGTTTATTTTTAATATTTGTTTGTTTTTATTTAAATTTTTTTTATCTATTGTTTTTAAGGTTTGACTTTTTTGGATTGTGATAGTATAGTCAGAATGATCGTGCTATAATTCAAGCATAAAAAACTTACCTTATGAAAAAAATGAGGTTGATATTGAATTATGACAGACTTGAAAATGAAATTGTTCAAAACAAAAATACAGAACAAAAGCTTGACTCAGAAAAAGAATAGAAATACTATATTTGGCCTCAATCAAACCATGTTATCTGAATTTTACAGTATTTATAGTTTGTAGTATGTTGAAAAAGTTATTTTGTTTTAACGTGAATGTGTTATGTAAGGTTTAATAAATTATTCTAGTTTGTCTTTGGCTTTGTTGTTGTTGAAACGCCTTTCCTTGAAACCCACCAAAGAAGAAGTGGAACAAGAACAGAAGAGGCAGCAGCAACAATAAACAAGCAGTAGCCTTGAAGGTTGGCACGTGCACCAATAGAACGTGAACCCTTGATCTCAATGAATGGAATCATAGAGGATAAGTGCTTCTGCTTCTCGTTGCCATCGTAGTAAATCATTGTAGATGGCATGATCTGAAGATTGCCGGACTTAGTGGGTGTGATTGGGAAGATGTGCGTGATATTTTCGCCTGGTTTAAGTGACTTCCATGACAAAATTGATGAGTCGCCGCTGAATGACCAGGCCTCGGATGGAATGCCGTTTTCAACAATAGAAAGATCTGTAACTGTGGAATCGCCTTGGTTAATGATAACATAGTAGCAATTGATTGGTTCACCAACTTTGCCGCTGACCGATGATAACTTCTTGTCAAAAACAATGAAAGGTGCGGATTTGATCTGTGTGAGAAGAAGAGAAAGACCAAACATTTTTGTCGTGTCAAGCGGTTTCAGCTGGGAAATGCTCATGTCACATTTTATATTGACACCGAAATTTCACTTTAATAACAAAAATACACAGCATTTGTTATTATTGTATATATGAAATTAACATCTCTTTGTTTTTTAAATTTTATTTTTTTTCCTTTACCTTGATTTCCTTCTTTTCTTCTCCAAACTTCATTCTTTTTCGATCTCTAATGACATCAACCTTAACAAAAAGCTGATAACACGCATAACTACATTGAATTCAATATGTAATGCACGCAACATTGCTGATTTTCCAAACTCAGAGTAATCATTCATTTTTTTTCATTTTGTCTAGCCATTTAGCATATAGATAGTCCCATTTCTATTAGTAAGATTGATTTCACATAGAAGACACATATTTTCTTTTAAACTTTTAGTGATTTTAAAATTATTTTTTTTTCAATCTTTAAACAATGATAGTGTTTCTCCTCATATTCCATTATTGAAATCCATGAGCTCTAGATTTACTCTTTCAACCTTTACATTATTCTAATTTTTAAAATTTCATATCTTCTTTTTGTTTTAATCGGAAAGTTTGTTAAAAAAAGAGGTGTTAGTTGTTGTAAATAAATCTATATCAAATAATTTTTTAATCATAATTTATGACAGAATTAATTTCTCTATTTCTTGAGAGGTTTCAGACTAAGTCCCGGACTAGCAAGTTTTAGACCTCCTGGCTTGTCTGATGCAGAAGGAAGTTTGAGGCCAAGACTTAATCCACCGGCTGGTTTTGTGTCTTTCTTTTCACCTGGTGCTGGAAGTTTGAGGCCAAGACTTAATCCACCGGCTGGTTTTGCGTCTTTCTTTTCACCTGGTGCTGAAAGTTTGAGGCCAAGACTTAATCCACCGGCTGGTTTATCTTCAGATTTCTTTACACCTCCTACAGGAAGCTTAAGACCACTAAGCTTCAGTCCTGTAGATGCTGGCTTATCTTCAGATTTTTCATCTTTCTTATTTGATGCAGAAGAAAGATTTAGACCAAGCTTTAATCCACCAGCTGGCTTTTCTTCAGGTTTCTCTTCTTTGTTTTCTGTTTTTTCGGAAGATTCTTCTGTAGATTTTGATTCAGCTTCTGCCGGCTTTTCTACGGCTTTCTCTTCCTTATTTTCTACTTTTTCAGAAGATTCTTCTGTAGGTTTTGACTCTGTTTCTGCTGGTTTAGTTTCTTCTTTCTTTTCTGTATTTCCTCCAAGTTTAAGACCACTGAGTTTCAATCCAGGAGTTGCTGGTTTGTTTTCATCCTTCTTTTCTGTATTTCCTCCAAGTTTAAGACCACTAAGTTTCAATCCTGGGGTTGCTGGTTTATCATCGCCTTTCTTGTCTGTACTGCCACCAAGCTTAATACCTCCAAGTTTCAATCCTGGAGTAGCTGGCTTATCTCCAGCTTTTTCATCTTTCTTTTCTGTATTTCCGCCTAATTTGAGGCCACCAAGCTTCAAACCAGGAGTAGCTGGCTTGTCATCATCTTTCTTGTCTGTGCTTCCGCCTAATTTAAGTGTTGGCTTTGATTTATCATCTCCTGAATTTAAGTTAAGTTTCAATCCTCCTGTTGGCTTCGAATCATTGCCAGAGTTGAGGTTGAGCTTCAAGCCGCCACCAAGTTTGAGGCCACCGCCTGAAGATGATTCAGATTTGAATGTAGTTTCTTCTTTTCCGGATTCTTCGATCTCGCTTTTCGGTGTTGTTGCAGATTCTGGTTTTGTAGCTGGTTCCTTTACATAAATTTCTGGTTTTGTAACGTTTATCGGTGCGAAAGAATTTAATTCTGATTTATCGATAGTTTTCGATTCACCGCATTCTATTGATTGATATTTCTTAAATGAAGGACCGTTCTGAATTCCAATTGATACATATGATTTTTTTTCGTTAGAAATTTTAGAATAGTAGGATAATCCCATTTCTGGATTATATATCATATATAAATCTGTTCCTCTAGGAGGATTGGGCCCACTGATATTCAAATCAGAGTCTCCACACCCTAAAGAAAATAATTTTTCGATGAGAGAACTCATATGAATGAATTTAGAAAATTTTTTTTGTATCGTCCAAAGACATGAATATCTTTTCTTTATCTAAATCTTTATATCATTATCTTCATAATTATGCTATGACCATTATATAAGTTTATTCATCAAATGGAAAAAATATTGAATTGCAAACAACCAATAAACAAGTCAGTAAAATCTATTATTCCTGCATTAAAACATTCTTTTGTATTAGTATTGAATAGTTTTAAATTGCAATATATTTATTTTTGAATATATCTGTAAAGAGGCCATAATACATAAAATTACACAATATAGTTATAGGCATAGACATTGATAAGCTCAAATAGCTCAGGCCAATGAGATGAATAAATTTTTGTATTCGATATTCTTTTATTTACATAGATTGAAGTATATTCATGCTTTATAAAAATAATATTACAATATTTTTATCTAATAAATCTCTAATTTATAATATTTGTCTCCAATGTCTTTAATTTCTAATAAAAACATTAGGAGACACGAGTATATCAAAAACACTCATTGAATAATAAATTGTATGATCTTTTGAACATTCTCTAACTCAATCTTTCCTTCTTTCGCGAAATCAATACAAACCTGGAATCCTGGCTCATTATCCATGAAGCTCATCATCTGATCTGGATATTTCTCGATGAGGAAAGCAATGTCTCTAATGATTTCTGCAATAATTAGCTCATGATGGACTTCTAAGCCACAAGCTACTTCTAAAAGATCGACCATTGCTTCTCCAATGGCTTCAGCATCCTCAGGATTTGATGCTGAAATGCCAAACTTGAAACATTGCAAAAATGAAATCAATAATGTTTCAACTTCGTCTTGTAAGTCGTCATCCTTAGGGTTTTCTTGTATTAGATCTTGGTAGCTATCGAAACCATCGGCTCTTTCAATTAATTGAGGATAAATTTGGGAAATATATTCTTGCATTTTTGTTGTTTTTGCTAGATCCTTGACGCAATCCGCTATATACATTGAAGCTATATCATCGACATACTCCATTTTCAAAGCTTCACTTAATTGGTGAATAATTACTGGTAAATGAGGAGTCATATCATATTTATCTGTAAGCAACGATACAGCCATTGATCCATTAGCAATTGCTTCCGAATTATCCTGCTGCAAACCTAAGATAATGAATTCGACAGATTTACCAATGTAAGGTGCGAATAATTCAACTGAAGTACCTCTGGCCAATGCAGCTATTGGTACTAGTAAATTCTTGCCTATCGAATCGTATTGCTCTAATGCAGCCGATAGTAAATTCCAGCAGGTTTCGAGATAATCGTCTATTTGGCCGGCCAAAACGAAAAACAATTTCCCCAAAAGGTGACAAGCTTTTTCGACAAGTTCTGCATCTTCATTTGCTTCGAGGAGACCACCCAACAGCTTAACAACATCATCGTAAATTGATCCTAGAACAGATGTTGGTGCGTATGTGATCGCTGATTCCAAAGCTGAGAAAGCATTTACGCTTTGTTCGACATCTCCATTGATTGCCAAGTTATACATCAATTGGAGAGACTTCTCTACGTGTGGGAATCCAGGGAATCTCACGAAATCGACAGCAGCAAGTACCGTTGTTGACATTAACTCTTGATCTTCTTCTAATAAACCTAAAACAGTTTCAGACATCGTTAATATATGAGGTGCCAACTGAGGAATCAAAGCAGCAAACGCGCAAGAGTCACCACGTTCCAAGATATTAAGCAGAAACGTATGTAAACAAAGTACAGCGTTATATCTTACACGTGGAGCTTCATCCGTCAATCTTTCAGCGATAATATTTACGGCATCAGGAATGATCTCACTCGGATTACGTTCTGAGCTACTTGCTTCTATGATTGAACCAATAGCAATCAAAGATGCTTCTCTAGCTCCGTATTCGCTTGAATTCATATGCTGTGACGCCAAAGCTACCAACGCAGAGAAGATTTCTTCAGGTGCTGCGTATATAGATGTCTGCAAAGCCTCTGTTGCAACTGTCCATGGCTCATTTTCTCCGATATCGGAAACTTCTGGGAAAGGACAACAAGCAACGATTGAGAATAAAAGGGGCATCAGTTCTTCAGCAACTGTTGCTATTATATTCATGTTTTCTTCGCCATTTGACTCGCATTGTGCAATGATGAGCCAAAAAACTATGGATTGCATCACAATTTGTGTATTGTCTGATTGCATATCAGCAAATGTAATCGGAACAAGGTCTTTGAGGTATGGTTCGAGTAATGGATAATAATTTGTTGCAATGCTCTGCCAGCAATCGTAGCAGTCTTCTTTGTACTCTGGAATCGTAAATATTTCGAATAGTAGATCGAGAATGGCTGTAGTGTTGTCTTGATCTGATAAAACTTCGTCAATATTTTGAATAATTACGACAAGTGTTTCAAGACCACTCTTTTTGTATGGAGCATCACCGTCTTTGATGAGTTTGATAATTGCATCAAGCATTGGAGTTACTTCTTCGTCTTCGAGTTGAGAATAAGTGCAAATTTCATCTAATACACGGGTGACAGCACCAAGTCCTTGATGAGATGGCGGATTATCTAATGCCTGTATAAGAGCTGATATAGTTTCGAACTGATTCGTTGATTGTAGATCTTGAAGTGCAATTCTAGCGTAAAGACCTGCTGCATTTGAGGAATTTTTGATGTCATCGCTCCCAAATTCTTGATAAGAAAGATTTAAGAGTTCTGTAATAAGCTCTGGCGGATAATTTAGAAGATTCTCATTTCCAGATTCGGGTTTTCTTGGAAATATTTGTGTTGCAAGAACCATAGCCATTCTTTTGACATTTGGCTTTGCTTCTTCAGATTTTAAGATAAAAGCAGTATATTCAAGAAATGTTTGAGGATTTTCTGACTTAAAATGTTGTAAATTTTCATCAGCTTCTTTTCTATCTGGACTGTTTTCATCAATACATATATCAAGCATGTGAATAATCTCCTCTAGCATGATTTCCAAATTGCGAATTCTATCCTAAAAAATTAACAAAAATTTTAGTCTCTTTAGACAGAAAATTTCTCAACAAAAAAATCTTGACATAAGGCATGAAAAAAGTCTCTGATTTGAGTGAAGTTAATAAAAAGGCAATTTCGACGCGAATTTTATTATATAAAAAGAGAAAATGTCATGATTTTTGAAAAAACAGGAGTCATTCCACTTGAGGTGGTACTTAGACAGAGGCCAGAAGGATCAAAATGATGGTGTAATCATATTTTATGTAGTAAATGTATATGGCAATCAATCAAGTAAAATATTTAGAGTTTCATCCTATAATATTAAATTTTATTTCAAAATAATTCGAAAATCGCATCTACCCTGTGAAATCATTTACGAATGGCACCATGTGAAATAAGAAGTTCGGCTGTTTTTTTATTTTATAACTTTTTGCAATATGAAGTGCGGTTTTTCCATTATTATCTTTTTCATTGATATTTGCGCCATGTGAAATAAGAACTTCTGCAATTTCTTTTCTATGATACCATGCTGCATAATGAAGAGCAGTTTTTCCATTATTATCTTTTTCATTGATATTCGCACCATGTGAAATAAGAACTTCTGCAGTTTCTTTTCCATTATATTTTGCTGCATTATAAAGTGAAGTTCTTCCATCTTCATCTTTTTCATTGATATTCGCACCATGTGAAATAAGAAGTTCGGCTGTTTCTTTAATATTATTTTCTGCTGCAATATGAAGTGCGGTTTTTCCATATTTATTTTTTTCATTGATATTTGCGCCATGTGAAATAAGAACTTCTGCAATTTCTTTTCTATGATACCATGCTGCATAATGAAGAGCAGTTTTTCCATTATTATCTTTTTCATTGATATTCGCACCATGTGAAATAAGAAGTTCGGCTGTTTCTTTTCCATTATATTTTGCTGCATTATAAAGTGAAGTTCTTCCATCTTCATCTTTTTCATTGATATTCGCACCATGTGAAATAAGAAGTTCGGCTGTTTCTTTAATATTATTTTCTGCTGCAATATGAAGTGCGGTTTTTCCATATTTATTTTTTTCATTGATATTCGCACCATGTGAAATAAGAACTTCTGCAGTTTCTTTACTATTTTCAATTGCAGCAATATGAAGTGGAGTACATCCATCTTCATCTTTTTCATTGATATTCGCACCATGTGAAATAAGAAGTTCGGCTGTTTCTTTACTTTTATATTCTACTGCATAATGAAGAGCAGTTTTTCCATTATTATCTTTTTCATTGATATTCGCACCATGTGAAATAAGAAGTTCGGCTGTTTCTTTACTTTTATATTCTACTGCATAATGAAGAGCAGTTTTTCCATTATTATCTTTTTCATTGATATTCGCACCATGTGAAATAAGAAGTTCGGCTGTTTCTTTAATATTATTTTCTGCTGCAATATGAAGTGCGGTTTTTCCATATTTATTTTTTTCATTGATATTCGCACCATGTGAAATAAGAAGTTCGGCTGTTTCTTTTCCATTATATTTTGCTGCATTATAAAGTGAAGTTCTTCCATCTTCATCTTTTTCATTGATATTCGCACCATGTGAAATAAGAAGTTCGGCTGTTTCTTTACTTTTATATTCTACTGCATAATGAAGAGCAGTTTTTCCATTATTATCTTTTTCATTGATATTTGCACCATGTGAAATAAGAAGTTCGGCTGTTTCTTTACTTTTATATTCTACTGCATAATGAAGTGCGGTTCTTCTAAAGTTATCTTTTCTATTGATATTTGCACCATGTGAAAGGAAGTATTCCAAAAGGGATGAAATATTTAAAATCGGTGAATAAACAAAGCATTTGTTTATATCATTAGTTTGATCGAAATAAACTAAAAAGGATTCAAGATTTTTATATTTTCCACAATATTCTAAATCGATCTTCATATTGTACTCATTCATCAAGAATGTAACAAAATCAATGTTGTGTGAAATAATTGCATTTCTCATGCACTTACAATTTGGTTTTTTATATTTCAAACATTCACTCATGATCTCTGGATTTCCTCCTAAAAATGATAATTCTAGACATGTATCAGTTATTTCTGAGTTAAATTTTGTTCTTAATAACTTGAAACAATCAACTGCTCCGTGGTAACAGCATAATTCAAGTAATGAATATCCATAAAAAGGATATTGATATAAACGGCTTTTAAGTGTTTGATCTTTATTAAAACCTTCTCTTTCAGTGAATGTGATGAATTTTTCTTTGTCATTATTCATAATTGCTCTGTAAATTGTATTTCCTGTATGAATATCCAGATTTTCTGAGTTAAATTGATTGTAATCAATAGATTTGTCTAATTTAATTCCATATTCTTTGTAAAATAGGATGCTTGAAATAGTTGCAACACAGCTGACCTCTGTGATATGGTAATCATCAGATATGAGTTTGGCAAGATATAACTATGACTTTGCATAGCGATTATTATACTGAATGATATCTAAAATGTCTTTAATAACATTTGTGGGGTGATATTTCTTTGAATCGATCAATTCTGTTTTGATCATTTTGTAAATTGACATTAATTCTTCTTCTTTTTCCGTTTTAAGCTGATACAATGCAATATACGAATCGAGATAAGATTTGTAAATACTTCGTAATTTGTTGTATTTGCTTGGATTAACGTCTTGGTCGTACATTAATAATTTTTTAAAAAGGACATATTTACTTTTTACCATATTAAATATCCATTAAATTCATTAGAAGAAAAAAACGCTATGCTATAAATGTGGAAAACAATGACCACAAAGATTTCGGATATAATTTATGAATTTTTATTAAGTCCATTGGCATGAAATGATGCAGTAAGATGGCTGTTTCTGGTTGATAAACCCAAAATCTAGGAAAGGTTCTTGGAGGAAAAATAATCTTGTAAAAAAATCTGGTCTCCGGCGGCAGCGCTAGCCTTTTGGATGCGTCGCCACCTCCAGCCATAAACAACACAAAGTTAAAGTCATCAAATATGTAATATGCCCTATTTTATTTTTCCTTTTTCTTTCTTTTCCTCCTTTCCCCTTTTACTTTCAAATGTCATGATGGAGTTTTCTTTATTTGTTGATTTCTACATGATACTTTGATTTTTTTTTCAAAATAATCGATAAATATATAAAATAACTTGTTCAATAATTTTTCATTATCTAGAAATTTCAGGTTTCAAATATAATACTTTTTTAAAGCAGAAAAAATTCCATTTTTGAATTTGTTATCGATTGATCATGTTTTATTATAATAATTTTATTTTAATCCTTGAGTTAATGGACAATCCAGATTTAGAGAAGTATATTTAAAATTATATATAAAATTATGATAATTTTATATTAATCCTTTCATTTTTCATTCATGTTGGAACTATATGAAACAAGAAGTTCTGCTATAACTCTACTATTACTAAACACTAAACAACAAAGAGCTCTTCTTACTTCATAATTTTTTCATTGATATTTCGATCAAATTTAATACAGAGAAACAGATAATGATGTTGTATTGGAACATCCTTTCAAAGACTGTTTGAAAAAGAAAGATAATTTCAAGTGTAAGACAGAACTTCCTTTGTTAAAATAGAATTCAATATTCCGCAGAGGAAGTTTAAATGTCGGACATTTGTAATGAGTCTTTATGCACCATTATATTCAAATGCAAACAATTTTATCATAGTCATTTATTTTTATTAAGACTCTTGCCTCTGACAAAACCGTTATTTTTGAGAGAACATTCAAAAAAGCAGAGGCAAATATTATTAAAATATTATTTAATTTTTAAAATATATTCAAAAAGCGATTAGTTCGCAATTTTTTTATCCATGATTTTCAAAAGAAATCGGAAACATTTTGAAATAACTTTTTTATGTAGTTGGGAAAATATTTCTTTTATTTATGATTAAAATAACTCACAAAGCTTCATAGTAAATGTATATCACAGACTTTGAGTTTACAGGTAAAGTTCAATCTATTGTCCTTGATCCTGGAGAATATCTTCTTGAATGTTGGGGAGCAAGTGGAGGTGGACGCGAATTTGTATCACCTTCGCTATACAATGAGAATGGCATGGGTCTTGCCGGCCGAGGCGGGTATTCCAGAGGCAAGATTTCAATTTCATCATCCATTAAAATGTATGTTTATGTAGGTGGTATGGGAGCCAATCCTATTTCAACTACAAAAACCTATTTATTAGGAGGCTTTAATGGAGGTGGATCATCATGGTATGTCAATACAGGTGCCCCGGGTTCGAGCGGGGGTGGGGCAACAGATATGAGAGTTGCAAACAATGATTTACATAGTAGAATCATAGTTGCAGGAGGTGGAGGTGATGATTTTCCCGATAATGGCGGTTTTGGCGGCGGTTTGACAGGCGGACAAGGTTCTGGTTCAAATTCAGCATCACCAGGAAATCAAGATGGGACTTATCCAACGGGAAAAGGCGGAATATTTGGACAAGGCGCTCATTCTAATCGTATAGGAGGCGGACAAGGAGGTGGGTGGTATGGAGGAAGTGCTTTTGATGGCCAACCAACACCATATCAATCATCTACTGGTACTGAACTTGCTTTAGATGGTGGTTCTGGTGGAAGCGGATATGTATTCAATGAATCAACACAAATATATTACCCAGAACCAAAACCCGATTCAGATTATTTATTAACCGACTCTGATACAATTGCAGGCAATGCTGATTTCAAAGCTCCTAACGGTACTATAACAAAAGGAAATTTGGGAAACGGTTATGCAAGAATTACTACTTTACAACTATTCAATACCATTGAAATTGACGGAGTAATATATGGAAAACTCAATGATCATGGTAGTGTTATTTCATATAATAGCGATCTATGTAACTCAGATATTGTCATTAAAAGCTTTGTTAGTGATTTTAAGGTGATAAAAATTGCTCAAAAAGCTTTTATTAATAACCTATGTTTACAAAAAGTCGTCATTCCTAATTCAATAATTTACATTCTAGATTCTGCATTTTTTGGTTGCGAGAATCTGGAAAAAGTTATAATTTCGTCGAAGAGCCAATTAAGTTTCATCGATAAGCTTTCATTTTCGAGGACAAAGATATCCAATATTTCTTTACCTTATTCAATTTCTACTATAAATTCCCTTGCATTTTCTGATTCGCAATATCTTGAAAATGTTTCCACTTGTTCAATTGCTTATATTCAACAAAATGACGTATTTGCATCTTGTCCAAAGCTATCAAATATATTTGTCAGCGAATTTTATCTTTATTCAACTTTTTGTTGGATTCATGTTGATAAAGTTTTAACTATTTGTCCTATGTTTTCCATTCAAAATATTTGTATGCAAAATTGCACGAATGCTGCAGAAGATCCTATAGATGCCAAATATTTCATTACTCTTTTGATTACTTCGCGCAGATAAAAACATTAAATTCATATAACAAAACATATTTATTTAGATAATACATAATCTGGAGACCTTATTTCATATGAGAGATCAACAAAATTTGCCTCCGCTCATTTTGTAAACAGATATATTGATATTACACTCAAAGATTCATTCCAAAAATATTTGAAAAAGTTAGGGCTGTACAAAATCGAGAAAAACATTGCCGTGCGGTAATATAGGGTCAAAAAAATCGCGCCTCGGCGGCTCCGCCGCCCCGGCACTATTAAGTGCGCATTATATTTAATATGTCCTTCTTTCTTTTTTTTCTTTTTTCTTCTTCTTTTCCTTTCCTTCTTCCTCTCCTTCCTCTTCTTTCCTTCTCCTTCTCTTTTTACAACAACGTCGAAGATCTTCGAATTTGATTGTTGGAAAAGCATCTATTTCAGATAAAGGATGCCTTTCTCACAGTCAACATACGAGGATCCTGGCTGAAACGTTCTCAAAAAGCCTGAGATGGTAATTCCCTGATCACTCATAGCTGGGCAGGTAGTCATTGCTGACAATACCTGTCTTTATGCATGCACGCTTTCATGTATATGGGTTTACACTATCAATTCGCAAAGTTGTTCCGAATTCTTCCAAAATGGAAGGACCCGAAACAACTTTGCTTGTTAACGATACAGACGCATTACTTTGCATTGATACTGTGCTGAGTTGTGTAGAAAGTTTGATTAGAGTTGTTTTGTTCTGGTATCTCTCATCTTCTGATGAGAGAAATCAAAGCAAAACAACTCTAATGAATTTGTTTTCACTCATTTGTATGTAGGTTTTTAGTTCGATTGGAGCTGCTTCATAATGAGATCTCTCATCAATTGATGAGGGAGATCATAACAAAGCAGCTCTAATGTATATGCTCGTATTAACCGGGTTGTAATGCGTTGTAACGTCAGCTTGTAGTTCGTTTGGGGCCACTTCACATTGAGATGAGAAGAAATGATTAAAGGACTCTGAAAGGCTTTGGCCGTTGATGTTGTAATCGCATTACTTGGAACTAGCTGGATGCTAAGCTGTGTAGAATGTTCGATTAGAGCTGTTTTGATATGATTTTTCTCATCATAAGATTGGAGGAATCATAGCAAAACAACGCTAATGGGTTTACCATCATCTACTTGTATGTAGATGTTTGGGAAATTGTCTTGTTAATCGATTTTCGAGATGACTTTCAAATGCTATCATCAAATGACAAACAAGTCTAAGATTTCTCGACAATACATCAAATCATGATGTTTGTAAGTGCGATGAGATTAGAGTTTTTGAAGGAATGACAAGAGAAGTAGGGAAGCTCGGCATTCGCCGAGCAAATTAAAAATTAACGTATGGATTAAATTTTAAGAGGAATTCAATTTTAATTACGGGTTGTTCAAATATTGATTAATATAAATTTATTAATAAGAATAAACAATTTTTGTTTTTGAATTTATTCAATTTATAGCTTTACATATAGTTTCAAAATTGTACAACTATGATTATTTCAACAAAAAATATCTTACTTTTTCACTTCACTTTCACCCTCACTTTTCCCGTAATTCAAATTTCAACATTATGTATTTTAATTCCTTATAGTATTTTTAACATAATTAATCAAATAATAATTGGAAGTTCTGAACTCACTTTTTCCGTAATTCAAAATCAATAATATGAATAATATATCTATTTATTATATACTAATGCTATTTTCAACTAGAAGTGAGGTACGGTAATCTTACGGATTCCCGTAACTCAATTTTACGGAAAAAGTGCAGTAAACTACTCAATTTACGGAAAAAGTGTCGTAAACTATTGATGTGGCGGTAAAATCACGGTAATTCACGGAAAGCTATATGCGAAAATTTGAAATTATACAAAATCGAGCGAAGCACTTTTAAATAGGTTGTTCTCGTATTTAAAATACTATTCCCAGATTTATTGTCGTCAGAATATTTCCAAATTTTTGCCGATTTACAAAAAATGATTTACAAAGCATATTTTTTAATCTAAAAAATTCCTAAAAAAAGGAACCGGTGTGCGGAAACCTCGGTAAATTACCGCGGTTCCCGTTGGGACTGCCATAGAAAAAGTAAATAATTTCGAATGAAAAACGGAACTTCCTTTGTTTCAAATAGAATGTATTATTTATATAAGCAATATTGCTCTTCAATGCTTTAAAATTGTGATATCAAAAAAACTTCACAAGTTAACTGACGGAAATCATTCCACTAATTCAATTTTGTTCATGATTTTTTATTGTAAGATTACACAGTGAATGATGTGTATGTCTATGGCCCTAGGTCGTTTTTTGGGTTATTTTAGAGTGGCAAAAAAGTAAAAAGTAAAAAAAAAGAATATTCTAGAATGATTCGTTTTTTGCATTACTAATTATGAAATCAAGGGCCATTTTGATTGCAAAGATCATTCTCAAGTGTACAAATCTAATTACACAGAGTTCATTTAGAGATTACTATTAAATAGAGTTGGTTGATAGAAAATAAATAAATTTGATAACTCAACTTTTTTATTTTATAATTTAAATAAAACAAACAAAATTTGCAAAGAATTAATTAGTATTTTTGATAAGTTTTTGATAAATCTTGGAAATAACTAAAGCAGAATCTGGCGTGTTGAAAATAAGTTGAACATCTTGAATTGACGGAACAACCTTTTCAACTGAAGATGATTTCTTAAATGTGTCAATAACAATCTCGTAAATTTCTGTTAATTTAGATTTGATTTCTTCAGGACTCTTCGAAATCACATCAAATATCTTGTTCATGAACTCTTCATCTATTATTGATGCAGTGAACTGACAAACACGAAGAGGATCACAAAGAGAAAGTAAAAATTGAATAATGCTTTCAATTATTGTCACTTTTTCAACATCATTATAATTAAGGAAATCTATTTTCAAAATAGAATTCAATATTCCACCGAGGAAATTGAAATGCAAAACATCTGTAACGAGTCTTTGTGCACCATTGTATTCGTATGCAACAGTATTATCATAATCAGTCATTTTTGTTAAGATTTTTATGATGGAAATCTTAATTTTAGAAGTTATCGTCATCGGACTATTCAACCAAAACATTATTGAATTCCAGAATCTTCCTGTTCCTCTCATGACTAGATATGACTTATAATAAGGGTTTTCAAGCAGTTTTTCGAGGAAAAACATAGTATGGCAAAAAGATTCTCTGACTTTTGATGATTTCTCGGAAGAACACATGTCACTCATCTGGCAATAGATATCTTGAGGTGTAAACATGATATCATATATTGTTTTCATAGGAGCGTTGTTAATTACTAAGTATTTGATGAAATCTGAGTAACATGTAGCGGCAATTGCACTTCCAATGTGACTTGGAATGACAAGAAGGTTGAGAATGGTCTTTGCTATCAAAATGGCCCTAGTAATGATGAATTTTGTGTCTTTTTGGTCGTTTTTGGCATTACAAATTATGAAATCAAGGGCTTGAACAGCTCCTGGAGAAGTAGAAACGGAGAATATGTAATCAAATACAATAAACATCTCCTTGGAAAGGCAGCCGCCCAAGTTTAGGATAGTTTGATATAATTCAACGCATGGTTGGAGAAGAAATGCACTCTCCTTGTGGGGATAGAGGGGAGAAGACAGAGCTGCGTTGAATATCATGATTATTATGTGAACAAAGTGAATGGAAATCGAATTTGAATCTCCAAGAAAAGAAGGGATCTCTAATGAAGACAAAGCTCTCATAATATTGGCACTAGATACCAGTGTCTTCAAATCGGCCGTTGGAAGAGTTAAGCTTTTGACAGATGTAAAAACTATATTCAAAATTTTTCCGAGATTCAACGAAACTGCGTTTTGGAATAAAGCATGGTTCCTTTTTCTTTGGCATAGGAATATAGCAAGCTCATTTATGTCCTCTGGAATTGCTTCAAATGAGATATTTTCATTAATTTCATCAATATCTGCTGTTTTCTTAACGTATTCTAAGATTTGAGAACGGTTCTTCTGGTTATTCAATTTTTCTGATATGATTCCATATCCTGATGATTGTAAAAATGAATTTGCATCTAAAACTGTTTCAATCCCTTTGATATTCATGACATTGAGGGATGCTTTGATAAGAAGTAGTGTAGGTAATATCGCTTGAGGTGAATTTAGTTGTCTGAGCTTCATAATTGAAGGAGTTGGATATTTATTTTCTTCAAGAAGGGATAAACAATGAATTATTGACGGATTATTAAATGCATTTGGACAGTATTTAAGGATACGTAGTAGATGGCTGGATATGTAAGCAAGAGAGCGTGATGAATAAGGAATGTCTAATGAAGACAAAACTAAGGCAATTGAAACAAAACAACGAGCTATTTCGCTAAGTATAACTAATGGAATGGTATTTAAATCTACGCATCCGACAAAATTAAGCTTCATTAAAATATATAATTCATAACCATTTTTTTCTGACTTATGAAGCCAGTTTGCAATATTCTTTGCGTAATTTATGAACTGTAGTATCTTTTTGGACTCTTGAAATGTAGATGCAGAAATTGTTCTTTCAAATAAGCTATAAGTTGGATATTCAGTACATCTAGCGAGCAATTTAAGATTTCTTTGTATAAAATCTTTAATAGTGGTGTCTTCGTTAAGTTGAAAGTATGTTTTATTTATATTTTCGAATAATTGCGAGTTGAAAAAATCAATAAAATTGTCTTCATTAATGGAATCCATGATATACTTGAGGATTTTTTGTATCTGGTTACTATTCTGAGTTTGTAGAAATGAATTTAAATTAAAGAAAATGGAATCAAGAGAATAATTCTGAATTCCAGTTTGAATATTACAATCATCACTAATGATAACATCTTCTGGAAGCTTAGGTGCAGGTATATCTTGCTTGTTTTCTTGTTTTACCTTCTTTTTTGGAGTGCTAAATAAAAAAGTTTCCATTTGAAGAAATTGATTTTAGAATACGATCTATCATATAGGAGTGACATCAAATACAGTATCATTCTTATAGGTGTTGCTTAGGAACACATATCACTGGAATTTCGATTTTGAGGAATTGATTTTTCTATCCAAGGTTATTACAACTTATGAAATGCTTTTATAATGTAATGTATAGTCAATAAATATGTTATCAGGTCAGGATTCACAACTTGAATTAATTCCGTGTTCTATTTTCTCTAAACAAAGGGAATGCTACTTGGAAGAGTATATGATCAAATCAATTAAGTTATTTGCCATTTGATATGAATCATTTCCAATAGAGCTTTCTATTAGAAAATAACTTATCTACACTTACCAAATGACTAACCTATATATCAAGCTTTTAAATGTATGATGATTTATGCTCTATATCTTTTTCTTGGTACAAGTTAAGGGGATTCTTCGACCAAACCGTTTGTATCGTCAATCAGCTCACATTTTGTGGAAAGCCTAGCTTTTTTTTCATCTCGAAAGCAAAAAATTTCGAAAAAATACAACTTGGGTTCATTTAAACCTATTGTCCAAGCCAATCATTTGAGCGAAGTCTTGGGCTCGGATTCTAACTTTTTGTTCGTCATTAAATCTCATTGCAAATAAATTATACGGAAACCTTAGGATTTGACCAGTAAATATTCAAAAATATTGAGTCTACATAAAAAGCTACTAAGCTTTGTAGAGTTTAGATAATTGCTTTCGCAAAATTATTGTTGTAAATTTCTATTTTAAAATAATCTAACAGATGAATAAACATTTATTAAATATACAAAACAAAATGCGTTAGCCTTCAATGTTTTTTTTCATAATCACTTATTAAATATACAAAACAATATAATTACACCATTTTTTCATTTTTAAAAGAATTTGGAGAACTCATACTGCATTATTTTCATTCTATTACATTTTCCCTAGTTATTATTTACTTAAAATGGATTGTTATTCAATATGTTTGAAATAAGTTCATATTATTTGTTGTGATTTGCTTTTAAGCCTAGGCAACAATGAAATACGAATTGCAAATTCTATTAACTTTGACGCCGGCACATATGTGTTTATGAATTGTGATTGTATTACATTTGAAATATTGTATTAATCTTTATTAAGGAAGTTTCATTTAAATATTCTATTTTTCCAAAAGGAAGTATCATGAGTTGAATTTTTAAGATAAAGATCTAAAAGGAATTGCATAGGTGCAATATCATGGCAATTACACCAGAATTAAAATTCAAATGAAACAAAAAATTGAAATTATGAAAAAAGAAAATTAATACGGAGATATTCAGTATTTTGTATATCTGATTCTTTTCTCATAAATCAAAAAAAGTCACCTCACATGGCTCGGAGAGCCCACTAAAGGCCAGCTTCGAAATGCTATAAAGTTCACTTTTCCGGAGGAAATACTTCGTATCTGAAGGCCGGAGTAAGGCAGTCATTATCTATGGCCAGAGCAGATCAAAATCACACAAGTTGCTAAAGGTAGGATTTTTCCGGAAAATGCAAGATAATTGCAAATTTCATGAAAAAGAACTCTTTTCATAAACTTGCTTAAAAATTAACTTACTTGTATATGTGGTATTTTAAAGGTTAAGAGAAAGTTCAGATAAGTATGCTATTTAGGCACTTTAGTACCCTTTAAGTTTGGGAAAATTGAGAGGGTCAGTTCACTTGAGAGTACCCCCATAATTAAAATTGAAAGAAAATTTTTTAGACGTTATTATTATAACAATGTCACAGCAGCAAAATTCTCCAGGCAGCAGGAGAACAGCAGCCACATCAAATGGTCCTCGTAAAACACAGAAAATTACCCAACGCGATATGGACAGTGCCTGCCACCGTTTATCTCGTGTTCCGCAGAAATTTTCATCTAGCAAAGCAGTACAATCAGAAAAATCAGAGCCTTTTGCAGTAACTTACTTTAAGAACAATCCAGATGCTGCTCAAGATATTCGCCCGCCAGACGAGAAACTATCTGATATTGAAACAGCTCTTCAGGGTCAACTTCAAGCATCGGAGAAGTTCTCTCTTTTAGTTCAGCAAAAAGCACTTCGATTTATCAACTACGGAGAAAATTCGCCAGAAGCTTTCAGATCATTCCTTGCCATTGGTGCTTTCTACAACGAACAGAAGCGTCCTGATAGTGCAATTCGCCATTTGAATAAAGCTAAAGCTCTCCAAGAACAACAAAAATGCGAAGTTTCTCCAGATGAAGATGCTCAATTAGCTGTTGAACTCGCAGACGCTCATTTATCATACAAGACTCAAAAGCATACACGAGATGCTTTCGAAGCATTACGTCCTCATCTCGAAACAGAAATAGAAGATATCAAATATCGTCATAGAAGAGACCTTTACAAAGCTCGTTGCTACAACTACCTAGAGCAGCTCGATGAAGCTCAAGAGCCATACGCTGCAGCTCTTGAAACTTACGATGAGGCTCATCAACCACCAGAGGGCCAAGAAAACAACGAAAAGGAGAACGATCAAAGAAAGGAAACACAGAAAGAACACGCAAAGCTTTATTGTGAAGCTGCAGATGCTGCTGAGAGATTAAATCATATTAAGACAGCTAAACGTTATTACCGCGAAGCCATGAATATTTATTCAGATCTTGGCATTGAACAAGCATCAAAGGGTCTCGAAATCAAGATCGAAACCCTTGGACCTGATGAAGAGGAGGAAGAAGAGGAAGAACAAAGAGGAGAAGAAAATCCAGAGGAAAACCCACAGTATGATGAACAGCAGCCTAGTGAGGAAGGCCATGAACAGTCTAACAATAATGAAGAAGAGGAATCTAACAAAGAAAGGACACTTAGTAATGGAAACGAAGAGGAAGAGAAGCAGAATGAACTATCTCTCCAACAGAAGATTGTTGATAAGATTGAGGATAACGCAGAAAAGGAGAATTTATTATAAAAATTTAATATTTATTTTTAATTTAAAATTCTAACCATAGTAGTACTAGCCTTTTATCACATTATATTGAAATACCTTAAAATTAACTTTTGATTTTTGAGCATAAGTGTCACTTTTATTTCCAAAGTTAATGTCGGAGGATTTTACACCTACTAATATTATTCGCCATCCAATTGATGGAAAAGAGCTTCAAAAACGTAGCTTTATCTTCATAGGCATATTTTTCGCCATCAACTTTCTTTTAATATCCTTTTACATTTTAAAAATTTTTCAAGCCAAAAAGCAGCGTGAGCTAAATGATCCTTTCATGTCAAAAGGAGAAATGGATTCAATTGCAATTAATTCTGTTTCATCTTATGAAGCAATTTATTAATTCATCAGGTTAAAACTTGCAATTTTGTTATTAACAATCATGATTTAGTCACACAAAAATGTATACGGGTTTTTAGTAGATAAATTGGATACATGTCGTTGTTTGCCACTCAAAGTTTTAATTTTTACAGCACTAGTCTTGAAAAACAGCTTGCACTTATCAATTTCAAAGTTTCTAAGCCAATTATAGGATTGCAATCCCATGATATCTTACTTTAATTTGCGATTTTTACTTTTAATTGTTTGTTTCATTAATTTTTATTAAAGAATAAAAATTATATAATACAAAACCTAAATTTTTATCGAAAATATCCACATATTATACTTAGGATCTTTTCTATTTTTTCAAGATCTCTTTATATCTAAAAAATACTATCCCAAAATATGATTAAACATCTAGGTGTGCTTCACATGAATTCAAGTCTCTATTATTAATCTTTGAAATTTTCATAAGATTATTCATCAGATTAACATCCTGTGAAATCATGCCTGCGAACTAGAAATGCATCGGGTATACAAATGCAGTTTAACTTTTGGAATTATTTATAATTATTTCAAATTTCATCCATCTGCATGCATATCATTTTGAAATACCACCATAGCTAATAAAAACTGCAGTACAAGGGAATTAAATCATTAAAATTGAGAGAAATAACATAGTGATCATGAGAGATTGAGCAAATTTTTCCAGGAATTAACTTTTCTTGAGATAAACTTTCGTTTATGCAACTTTATCATCAAGGGCTATTCGAGAGAGTAAACATTTCATGCATATCTCGCTAAGTTTTATACTGTCAATTTTTCAAAAGGGATGAAAACTCTACGAGCAAAAATTTCTTGCTATGCCTCGCATGGAGTATGGAAAATCGTAAATCCCCTTTTATCATCATTAGCTCCAAAAGAAGTTAGTGATCCTTTTGATGCAAAACAGACAGAAATGATGAAATTTCACGTTACAACACTTCATGAAATCGAACCATCAAATCTTGACTCATATTACTTGGCGCCACATATAATTTTATATTTCTTTGACTCTAAAAGTCAGCAAGAATTCAAAAAGAATGAATTGCCAACTCTAGAAACTTTTAGAAAGAAGTATACACGCGGCTACATTAACATTCAGTACGTTTTTGTTAATGATCCGAAGAAAACAGGTACAAAAAGCTTTTTCGGCGATGGATCTAACTACATTCCTTATTTACAGCTCCAGCTCAATGATTTATCTGTTTTTCACATCAAATCAAACGGAGAAATCAAAAAGAAAGATGTTTCAAATGCTTGGAACGATTATACAACATTAATTAAGCAATCTGTTCTTCAAAGAGTCGAAGATCTTAAGAAATTAACACAAAATGTTACAAAAATCCAAGATTTCCGAAATGCATTAACTTATGTTTCGATATATGATGATTTAGGCTATTACAGCTACTCTTTACAAGTTTTAAACCATACGAAGAAGCAACTTCTCAAGAACGCTTCAGAAATATTCGATTGCTTTATGTCAAGAGCTTCTTATGGCTATTCTCTTGATTTATCCACCGGATCTGACGAAGCGGAAGAACAACTTGCTTCATCACCAGATTCAATACCATTATACGATCTACTTTTCATACTCTCGAAACGCGTAGTTTCATGTTATTTTTCACTTGAACGACCATGGAGCTCAATCGAAGCCGTTTGGGTATTTCTAACAGAAAATCTCAATACGATATCATCTACAGGCCTGCTTGAACAGCACCAAATCAATCTTTGGGTTGCAAATGTTTTGGCAATTTTGATTCAATTCTGCCAGAACGAGATATCGATGGGACGTACCCAAACGTTTAAATATTACACGGCATCCCTCGAATGGTATCTTCGAATTTTGCCAGTAATTAATGCAGATCTCGATAAATATCCGCCAGCCGAGGAAGCGAAGCTCGGACGTAATGTTCTCGAAGTCCTTCAAGAAAAGGATGGTCTTAGACACGAAATGAACAAACTCTACGAACGATTATGCTTGATTTATGTAAATAATGGTTATATTCGTTCGGCAGCTTTGGTCGCTCAAGCTGAACGCCAGTATACACATGCATCAAACAAAGAGAAGACTTTCATGCACCAAATGGTAAGACCACTCACTAAAGGCCCTCGATTCCAAAATCTCCAAATTCCATCACCGGAATCTTACAAGACCCTCAAAGATAAAGAATGCATGTTGGCTGCAGCAATCCACCTCGTTATTGGAGGCGAAGATTCGGAAGTTGCCGCAAAAGTTTTGAATGATTTCTTCAGCGCTGCCCATCCGAACGTTGAAGCCATGAAATTCAACTTCCCAATTTCTGTTGATGTCACGCAAAAGGTAAATCCTACACGAGGACAAATTTCTAAATTTAATATGAAATTTATTTGTCCTTTCCAACACAAAATACATGTTCCATTGGTATCTCTGATCTTCAGATCAGAGACCAAGAACCTCAGCTCGATCATTGCAAAAGATGTTGAAATTTTTGATGGAGCAACTGCCGAATTTGAAGGAGTTTTCGATTATGTTGGTGTACAGAAGCTGTTTTCTGTTGAATTCCACGCTCAAAACTTATGTCTGCAGATCCAAATGACGAATACAAAATATCATATCGTTGTTGACCAAGAAATTCCTCCATTCACCCTCAAGATCGAACTTCCAGAATATTTACTTCCAAATTGGCAGTACGCTCTTATCAAACTTCAATGTTCTCAGAAGATGAATCTTCAAATGAAGGTAAATGGTATCAAATACAAGTCCGGCATGCTCAAATTGGAGAACGAGAGCACGGATATCAAGCCAACCATCAACGATAAGAACGAAATGGTCTTCGAAGACGTTCCTGAAGGAAATCATGAACTTTACGTATTGATTTTCGCACAGAACGTTGGATCATTTAGCATAACTGTTTCATCCGAAAACCATTCAGAGACTGTTGAACAGAAATTCCAAGTTTCTGAATTTTTGGATGTCAAAGTTGAATATTTAAGGTCAACAGGCGTTGGAATGATTACTGGAAGCACAGATATACAGAGAGGTATCGGTATCCAGAGCATATCCTTCTTAGATAAGAACGGAGCAACAATGGAATCAAATGCTATCGGAATTCCTGCTCCGTTGGGGCCATCTAAGAGAACAGCTTTGTTCGAGATCAATGGTGTCCCTGAAACAGCCGTTGTTACCTTAAGCCAGGAAGGTTTGAAACCTTTCACACTCAGATTTAACGTATCTGAAATTGATGAGGAAATTGTGGAGATGGGAAGTGAAATTGCTGTTGCCCCATTAACAGTTTTGATTCCGGAGTCTTCAAACTTATTCACTGTGTAAATTTTCTTTTTTCTTATATTAATTTAATAGTTTATTTTTAATTTAAGGGTGCACTTACCACTTTCTGACATGCTCATGTAAGGCCATAGGTATTTATAAATTTCATGAAAAAGACCTCTTTTCATAATCTTACTCGTATATGGAGAAATTTTGAGTTAGATGATGAAAATTGTAGTTTATCAGTGTCACTTTTTCAAAACACTAAATTAGAATCATATTAAATATTGATTCTAATTTTACTATTATAGCAATCAATGGCTAAGAAGGAAAGAGGGCATAAGAAGTAATACTAAACAAGCATTTATATCTATTCATATTAATCTTCGAAATGAATCTAATGTTATCTTTATTGTTGATCTATTTATTATAATATGACTTAATTGAAATCTAAAATTACGGGCGCGAAGCATTCCCTACTTCATGAAAAACTTTACTCCTGCTATAATCGCAGCCATTGTTATTAGGAGATTGAAGAAAAATAATTGAAAAAATTTCATAAATTAAAAATTTTAGAAAATTGAAAATTAAAGGTAGATATTGTACGGAGTTTCTTTTTACTGGTTGTTATCAGTTCCTAGGTTATCATAGAGCTTTTTCCCTGTCAAACCTTGAAGACGGCTTGCCAAAGTTGGCGTGAACAGTTTTGATGGCTGGAAAGAGCGCTGTGTTGTAGTAATCGTCTTAGTATTGTTTGCTTGTACAGATGGGGCAACAACTTGGGATTCTGTTTGAATAGTAAATTGATCTTGATTTTTTGCACGCCTCTTGGATGTAGTGATTTGTTTTGCAATGTTCTCTTTAATCATGACAGGTTCGTTCTCGATTCTGCTCTCTGGGATCTTAATTTTAGTAATTTCGTTCTTTAATTTCTGATTTTCGGAGCGAATGTCGTCAATAACTTCTTGTAATTCGCGAATCTTCTGTTCTTGCTGTTCGAAATGTGCCCTTGATAGGTCTTTCTGCTGATTTTGGAATCTAATTACGTCAAGGGTTTTCGAAAGGAGAAATTCAGGGTCTTCGAAGTACTGTAAGACATCATCTGGTAATGTTTGCGATAGTGATATGCAGCTGCAAGTAGATTTGCATATTGGGCATGTAATTTTTTCGTTAACTTTACAATTTAATCTGCATTCTGGTCTATTACAAAAGAAATGACCGCAACTAGTTAGCATGCCACCGTCGGAATCAAAGTTCCTGAAGCATGAATTACAGCGAACCCATTGATTTACAAATTCGCTCATGGGAACTTCATTCACAACATCAAAGACGATAAAACCACATCATTACAAAAGTTGATATAACTTATGAATTGAGGTATTACATATATCAACTGAAAGATTATATATGATTGAGTTCCATTTGATACAATTAAATTTTAAATTCTTTCTTTAATTTTGGCAAAAATTACAGGAAAAAAGATATTTTATTCTTCGATATTCTAAGAGCTCAGGTGGGGATCCCTTATTGAAATTTTTCGGATTGTCATAAAAATTGAAAAGAGCGAACGAAAATGATAGAAGAAATGTACATTCTATAGGTATTTCGAACGATCGTTCAAACAAAATAATTTTAATATAATATAATATTCATTTTCATAGCTGGTCAAGAGTTTATAACTTTTGTCTCAATGCATTGATTGCGCTAATTAACTGCTGGAAATTCTCGTCCGAAATTGAAAACACTTAATCGTTGACAACCTGTGGTGCAGGTAAAAGATAGCCTCTTTCTTCAAGGAATTCTCTAAGTTCAGGTGATTCCTTCTCGAAAAATGCATTTGCCTTCTTGAAGATTGCTTTCGTTTTCGCCATACCATAAAGAGCTTTAATTTCTTCATCGTGATCCCTGAGATAATTTCGATATTCTTCTTTCGCTTTATTGATTGTCTCTTTATCAGGATCATAGAGTTTAGTAGTCATATTCTGTTCTGAATTTGGAATCTTTGTATCTTTGGCAATTGTTTGTATTTCAGGTTGAAGATAGCCTCTTTCTTCAAGGAATTTTCTAAGTTCAGGCGATTCCTTCTCGAAAAATACATTTGCCTTCTTGAAGATTGCTTTCGCTTTCGAAAAACCAGCAAGAGATTTAATTTCTTCATCGTGATCTCTGAGATAATTTCGATATTCTTCCCTCGCTTTATCGATTGTCTCATTGTCGAGGTCGTAAATGAAGCCTTTTGTCATATCAGCTAAAAAATGAATTCAAAAATTTTTGACTAAAATGATTTTCGGCTTATATCAGCGCGCAGCGCAACTTGGCGCCTATAGAATGTGCTATTTAATTTTGCCACAAAATCTAAGTAGAAGGGCTTTGAAATATTGAGGGATTTTGAAATTATGACTCTCGAGTATTCGAATATTTTAAATTGACTTTTGAAAACTCGTCACCTTTCATTTTTTTTATCATGTTGTAGAAAAGTCAATAACTCAGACCAGTTCCTGAGTTAAAGTTGCTCATGATGTGAATGCCATGTGCCAACTTGCAAAATATATCCCTATCGATTATATATAATACTTATTTCCAAATAAATTTCCCATAAATTATATAAATTCACACATTAATCCTCAAAACCATCCTTATAATCATAATGTACATCTTTAAATTAACATAATTGATATGATAAAATGAAAACAAAATTTTTAACAGAATCTTTATTTTTTTCAAACAAATCTTCCAGTTATCTTCTATTAGCATCAACATTCTCAAATATTATACTAAATCAAGATTTAAACCAGATTCATTTTAATAATGAAAATTTAATTCAAATAAAAATCAGTACCTTTATTTATTGCATTAATCAAAAAACCGGACTAATTCTATTCTAGTTTTGCATCTAATAATTTATATCGAGAATCAATTTTTCAATCAAGAAAGAAAACAAATATTGATTATTGCTGTGCATGCAATACAACTCAATATACAGAATTCTTTAAACAATATGCTGGCGAATATAAATTAATGATGTCAAATTTTTCTGAAACAAAAAGCCAATCACAGAGTTGTACCGGTACAACACACTGTCAAAAATTCACGCAAAAGTACATTAATTACTACAAATGTGGGAAAGATTCTGGCGGAGCTTCAATTGAGCTATATAGGGGAAATTGTGACATTAGTTATTCGAATTATATTGATATTGAATCAACAGGCGATTCATTTTTGGTTATTGGATATGGAGTTGCAGCGACTATAAGTAAATGCTTTTTCAGAATTAATGGATATAGATATTTACTTGGATTATTTCATGAAATGCAAAATGAAACAATTAATATCGAAGATAGCACTTTTTTCACAGAAATAAATCACGACTCTCGATATTTGACTACAAAAAATGTCATTTTCGACTCAACCAAGTTAGACTATTCTTTTGTTAATGTCCCATATATTAAACCAGATTTCTTCATTTCTGAAGAAACAGTTACATGCAATTGTATATTCTATCGATTCTCATATTTATTATTTATAATCATTATATAGAGTAAGGTCGATGAAAAATTGAGCGTTTTTAAAAAATCACTGTTGAGAGGAAAATTGAGAATATTGTCAAAAACTTTGAAGGGACAAAAAATTTTATTGTCAGAAAGTTTACAAATGTATACTTTCTGACGAACAGACTCTCAGAAAGTACTCAAACCGCAGTTTTTTTAATTTTCGCACTTTTTTTTGACGGCCTTATAAACATATGATAAAAGATATATTCAAATATATATTATAATTTCTAACATTGACATTTACTATTTTCTTCATTATATCCAATATATATAGTTTCCTTACACCTTCATATTATTTTTCAATTATGAATGAATAAGTTTCCGCAATTTTTCATTATTATGATGCGCTGCAATTTGATGAGGTGTTTCTCCATTTTTATATTTTTCATTGATATTGTTTGCAACTTGATAGAATAAGTTCGATATTTTTTTTTCTATTTTTATATGAGGCAATATGAAGTGTAATAAATTCAACCTAGCGCTGAGAGAGTATCATTTGGATGATATATATTAAAAAAAGTAACATTTTTAAACACTATTCCAAATTTATAATAAACAACAAAGAAATAAAAAAAATAAACACATACATATATAAACAAAGATACTTATAATTAAAAATTAAAAGCAATTCAAGAGTGCCTTCTTTTCAGCATCGTTAATAGAAGAGTTAGAAATTATATATTTGAATTCATGGAATTTTTCACTCATTTTTGTGATTGCGTTTCTTGCGTTTTTCCTAACATCTGGGCTCGCATCTGTTATGAACATTCCAAGGCTTTTTACAGCAGCATTCGGATCATTGATGTCATCGCATAATTTTGAGAAATTATATGATAAAGAAACTCTGCATTGTGTTGGCCTTTTTGAGTGGTCTTGGAGAAGGAAATCTATAGCGGTTTTGCGGTTGATTCCTTCGAGGATGAGATCGATACAATCACTGGCAAGTTTGTTGATGAAAATCTTCGAACTTAAAATGACAGTTAATAATTCATTCAATGTCGCTTCGAAAAATGGAGTGAATTCGTTGCCAAAGTTTTCTGCAAGGTCTTTCATGCACGAAAGAGCTGTTTTGGCAAGAGCACTCCTTATAGATGTTGTTAAAGGGAATAATTCGAAAACAAAAACTCGCAAATTGTCACGAACAAAAGAAGTATTCGTAACAATTAATTTTGATAAATATAATGCAGCTTCATTTTGTTTTTCCCATTCACTTGATCGGAGATCAGAAATTATATCGTCAACCGCCAATTCCTTCACAATTTTTCTGGGACTTTTGGCTTGATTTTGAGGGATTTTCGGAGGTTTTTGGTACTTATGATAGTTTCTTGGGGTACTTGCATGAACTTTCATGGGTTTTACATGCAGTGATGGCTCCTGAACATCGTATTTCTTCGGTTGAGGAGTTTCAGCATCTTGAAATGCAGATATCGAGGGTTGGATATTCAAAACTGGGGGTCTCGGTCTCCTTCGTATTCTATTTCTATTGTACGTGCCTGTATCTGATGATAAATCATCGATAAACAGATTTTCAGCCTTCGGTTCGACAATAGCAAAAGAAATGTGATTTGGCTCTGGTTTTGGAGGATCATCGTTGAAATCTGGCTTGATAGGAAACTCCTGCTTGCTAAATGTATCATGAATACTTCTTTCTGATTTCAATTCAGGAAGATCATCTGAAGAAATCGTAATTGTATGAGTGGATGTAATGATTGGTGGAAAATCAATGTTATCTGCCTCTGAGCTGCTGTTATTAACCTCTTGCGCGTGAGGAGCTGTTGATTGAGCAAAAATTGGTTCAAATTTGGGAGACTGCGGTGGAGAATCATTCATTATCGGTATATGTTCGATGCTATTACCTCTAAAAATGTTGTCATCAATTGGTTCTTGAATAAAAGATTCGATAATTGGTCTTGCGATTGGAGAACCTTGTAGTTTTGGTGTGACAATAATCTGTTTCTTTGCTATTGCAAAAATATCGTTTGCTGTCTTTGAGATACGCGGTTTCCCAAATTCGGTAATTTCGTAAGCGATTTGATTCTTTTCTATTCGAGGAGTTTGCGGGAATTTCTTCATAAAGTTTCCTCTTGGGCTCATTCCGTTCATTGGAATTGATGGGGAATTAACTTTAGGAGTACTAGGTACAATTTGTTTTGGAATATCATCCAAAAGGAAGCTCTCGCATTGTTCAGTAAGAATTTGCCTGATCGAAGGTGCAAGTTTAACGAAGCATTGTAATAAGAGAATTGCTGATGATCTTACTTGGCCGTTTTGAACCATAAAAGCAGAATCAAGCATGGATGATATAGGTTTAAAGTATGACTCTGGTGGTTTGATTCTTTCAATTAAAGAGTTTACATATGTTAATAATTCAGCTTTTGCTAAATTTGGCTGTCTATCGAATTCGTCAAGGGCAGTTTGAAGGAGGATGAATGATTGAGTTTCTAATGAATAAGTTACCATCATGTTTACAGTAATTATTCGAACAGCTCTTCTAATATCACGAAGGGCCGGAAATATGATTGATTTGAGCTGGTCAATGTAATAAAGTGATTGTGATCCAAACTTTTGGATCAATGCTTCAATTGTAAATTCAACATTTGTACAAACTTCGAAATTTTCATCATGTAAATATGGTCCAATGAAAATTAAGAAGTTACCGAGGTCTACATATCTCATTGCAACAGAATTTGTGAGTTGCAATAATTGTTTAGCTGCTTCAACACGATCGGCAAACATCATTGATTGTAGATTTTCATGTACTTGCAGAGGTATAAATCCATATTTGAGGTCAGACACGTCGCCCTGGAAGGCGAGTGTTGACATGAAATCAATAGATTGCAAAAGTGCCAAGAGCTAAATAACAGATATTTCAATAATCAGCAATTTATCTCCAACACAATCAGCCAACAAACTTGTACTTAAATTGTGGTTATGAATTTTTTTTACAATCTTTACAATATTGAAAAAATTCAAATGGAAGTAAGTAGAGAGTTCGTAGTTGTAAGATCTAAGTTATGAGTACGAAGTAAGTAGAGAGTTCGTAGTTGTAAGATCTGAGTTATGAGTACGAAGTAAGTAGAGAGTTCGTAGTTGTAAGATCTGAGTTATGAGTACGAAGTAAGTAGAGAGTTCGTAGTTGTAAGATCTGAGTTATGAGTGCGAAGTAAGTAGAGAGTTCGTAGTTCTAAGATCTAATCTTTTTATTCAAAAATAATATTTTAATTTTATTTATTATTAATCCATTCCCTTTCTTAACTTAATTTCCTTTTAACCCATTTTTAAATAGCAGAATCTTCAGATTTACTTTTGCTTTCTGTGTTCATCTCATTACTATCACTAAAATTGATTTTATCGGTTTTTCTAAACCCAAAAGCAATTTTTGTAATAACCTGAGCACAATACTTTAAAACTTGAAAATTCGCCCAACCCCTTATTAAAAATCGATTTTTCCGCATAAATTTGATGGCACACAATGCAAAAATTCGATTTCCGGTCTCAGAACGGAAAAATATTCAATATTCATCGAGATAAAGAAGAATCCTTACTCTAATTTTTTCAAAAAAAAATCATGTTCCATTTTTTAATCTTACAAATTGTTGTTTTTTTGTACACATTTCGAATTTTGAAATTATTTTGGAAGACATTTCGATTTTTTAACATGACAAATTCTTTTAATTTAATACACTGTATCTAAAATATCTTTTTTCCAAGCAAAATCGATCATATTAAAAAAAAATTGCTATGATTATAGAATTTAAATGAATTTTAATAGAAACATTATATTACTTTAATGAGTCTAATCATTTGAATTGAAAACGTACGTTAGTTAAATCTTTTTAATCATCCTCGATCATAACTACACAATATAATCTCATTGTTACAAATTGTTCATCAAGAAATTACAGATCCAAGAGCCAACCACGATTTTTCAAGGTCATTTTACTTCGAAATAGAGATTTATTACAATTTTTTTCTTAAAGCTTCCTAAAAATTGATGGCCATCATAGTCTTACACACTATCCAGCATAAATACATTATCCAAAAAGTAAAAATCTCTTTAATGGTTTTCTATTCGATGAGAAAACTTGTAACAACATTAATTTATCATACTTAAACACACCAGAACTACTAATTTATAGATTGTAAACCAGTGTAATCAAGAAAATTACAAAAATATAACTATTTAGAAATGACGTATTTAGCTGAGCTACTATATAAGAAAAGCTAGCCTTTGTAAACAAGTTATCTTTCATAAATACACTCTTTGTTAACAATGCTGTGCTGAGCAGTTGGATCTGATCAGCTGCATAGTTAACAGTGAGAAGTCAACTGATCATGTAGAGATCACACAGCATTCTTGGCGCAAGAAGAACAGTTGCTGCTGCCGAGCAAGGTTGCTGTGCTGAGCAGTTGGATCTGATTCAAGAACCTATATTATCCTTGGAATACCCGTACTTATGAAGTCTTTCAAGAGCACCCCCATACTCTATATCGATAGACTTGTTCACAAGTTTCAGCTACCCCAGAACAAAATGACACTTTTTAGCCGCCGTTTTTCCTCACAAAAATTTGAATTCTATTGAATTTTGCCCGCCAAATTTAAATTTACACAAAGAAATATTACTTCAATTTCTTTTATTTCTATTTGACATCTAAAAATAAATCTTTTTCATCCAAACTTTTAGGCGAAAACACTCATTTTGTAAATCAAATTTGTTTTTATTTGCTTTTTATGGTTCATTTCTATTCGAAAAACATATATCACTCATATTTATAATAAATACTTTATTTCAAATTTGACAATATAGATATTATTCTCATATTATATTTTATCTTATATATACCTTATCTAATATGATAGCATAAATTCCCAGACTTCCTAACCCCCGTTTGCCGCGAGCATAGGCCTCAAAAGTCTGTGTAGGTCGAGGAATGAAAAATCTTCGAGGCATAACATATAACGGTTTTTTATGCCCATAAAACCATTTACTGATTTCGTAAAGAAAGATTGAAGGGGAAAAGAGGCGTAGTATAAATATGGAAATAATAAAAAAATAAAATATGAAAGAGGCGAATTTAAAAAGATTCAGTTTATGTATTTTATATAAAAAGAAACTTTAACGGTTGGACTTGGCAATGCGCTCAAGTTCGTCTTTCTTGCGGCAGGCGTATGATGTCTGGTCGTTGTTTGAGGCGGCAATGAGCTCGTCGGCAAGGCACTCGGCAATGTTGCGGGAGGAGCGGAAGGCTGCCTTACGAACACCTTCTGTGATCAAGGAGAGAGCCTGATCAATGCGGCGGAGTGGAGAGACATCGCATGCTTGGCGACGGACTGTACCACCAACACCAATACGTGTGGAGTCTTCGCGAGCACCGCAGTACTGAACACCCTTGACAAATGTGACAATTGGGTTCTGGCCTGTAGAGAGAGCAATGATATCAAAAGCGTGCTCAACAATGCGGATAGCAAGGAGCTTCTTGCCGGTGTTGCGGCCACGTGACATGAGGTGGTTGCAAAGACGCTCAACAAGTGGGCATGAAACTTTCTGGAAGCGCTTGTGAACATAGCGACCAGCTGTGTGTGGAACCATAACATGCTGCTTCTCGTGGACTGAGATGTAGTCAACGAGGGCTGGGTCAAGCTGGCTGAAGTCGACGTCGTCGTAGGAATACTTTCCAAAGAGCTTTACGTCTTGCATTCGAAAAGGCCGGACCAGACGGTTTTGACATCGACACTTTTTAGCCTAAAATAATGTGTTTTTGTTGATTTTGCCTTCGAATATATAAATAAAAATCAAAATATTAATCATTTATCAAATATAAATTTCTAAAATTTTCATTTCTCAAACAAAAATCTCTTGATTAAATAATCGCTTGATCAAATAATAAACATTTGAAAATGCTGAAATCACATACAACAATGATAAAAAAGATTTTCTGTTTATCATTCAGAATGATAAAAAAAATATCACACAAACTATAATCTTTAATCAGACGGTGGAATATCTTTAATAGACTATAGACTGAACTATCTTGTTTAACTGATGATTGATCAAAAAAGAATAAGTTTTTTTTTTGTTTGTTTTAGATATCAATCTTAGCTAACGATTTGATCTTTTATTTAATATAGATGTATCATTGGTAGAAACAAGATAAAGCTGAAATTATAAATAAAACTCAATTGGTTTGTGGATGAATCTTCTCAACAATATCTTCAAGAGTTTTCAACTTTTCTTTCAGTGTCTTAATTGTGTTCACTAACTGCTGGTAAATCTCGTCCGAAATTGAAATCTTTGAATCGGGGACATCTTGTGGTGGTGCAGGTAAAAGATAGCCTTTTTCTTCAAGGAATTTTCTAAGTTCAGGTGATTCCTTCTCGAAAAATGCAGTTGCCTTCTTGAAGATTGCTTTCGTTTTCGCCATACCAGCAAGAGCTTTAATTTCTTCATCGTTATCTCTGAGAGAATTTCGATAATCTTCCTTTGCCTTATCAATTGTCTCTTTGTCGAGGTCGTAAAGGTTGACTTGATTTGTCATACCAGCTAAAAATGAACTCAAAAACTTTGACTAGATTTTTTTTTATTCTCAAAATGGAATTCTTTTAATAATGACGTATTGCTGATTAAGCTGAAGATCGAAGCAAATTTCTAGACTAAAAAATACCAGTACCTACTCATGCATAACATTCGCATATATTTTATCAAAGTAAAATTCTAAATTAAATATGGCACATTATATTAAATATTCACTTTCCAATTTAAGAATGCAACCAACATTATGTATATATCATATAAAGGGTTTAAAATCTGGATCTACATCAAAACAATTTCCAATATCCTCATGATACTGAAATTGAGGTGTCACAGAATAAATGGTACCCCAGAATTATTTTTGCTTTTTCCCTTGTAAATATTTGAATGAATGAAATATTTTGAATTAGCTTAATTTATATACAAATTTATATAATAATTAAGGGTGCCCTATAACGATAATGTAAACATCACAAAATTAACCTTATTAGAACTCGAATGAATGGATTATCCAGATTCTAGTTCTCAATATAATAGCCTTAAAAGTGCTTTTCTGAGGGTGGTTTATCGTCTATAGGGCACCCTTAAGACATTTATTATATAACATATATGATAGATATATTTTTGTAGTACAAACTTTATACACAAGGCTTTCGATTTAAAGTTGGAAAGAATCTCATTAAAACGAGAATGATCCACAGTATTATATTCTCTCATATAATATTTCTATACTTATATTTTGCGATTTGCTCTTAGTGGGGGAGGATATTTCGGGAGTTATTTTTAATATTGCTAAAAATTAGATAATGGATATTCTAGAGTCTTGAGTATAGAAATAAACTACGTCAATTTCATAGCTGATAGTTTATCAGTAAGACGATATCAAAGTGATAATGAGACATACCATATCAAACTAAGTAGTTTAGGTGTCAGTTTTCGTGCAAGTGTTGTAAACAGAAATTCATCAAAAGTGACACCTCAGAAAAGCTAAAATATTGAATTTTTGAAACTTTTGATAGAGCACGTTTTTAAATATTAATTAAAGTAAATGTATATTTTGTAAAGATTCTTTTTAATAAAAAAATAGAATTTTGAAGAAGAACACAAAATCTTCTGAAAAATAATATCACATAAACTCATATTATTTTCTAATATATAACTATTTTATATAAAAATCAAATTCAATGATCTTAAAAGCGAAGGATAAACCTCAAAATTTACGAATATAATGAGTGGGAATATAATGCTTATCTATCATAAAACCATATGAAATATCAATTTTTGCTTTACGCCTAATTTTTGACGACAATTAGCAAAAAATGTTAAATGTTAACACTCAGTCCATTTGAATATGAAAAATAAAATTGACTTTGATTAAATGTTTTATTTATCATGCAATTCTTCTTGCGACCAAAGATTTGAATAAAACTTCAAAAATAAGATAGCTTAAAAAATAATATACGGTAGTGTTTACTAATAGATGAATAGTATATAAATTCTATTAAAATGGATTTGATCCAAAAAAATATAAAACCAAAAATAATTGTTATAATTTAAATGAAGAAGTAATTAAAAACGATTTTATTTATGATCAAATTTTATATATTTTTTGGATCAAATCCATTTTAATAGAATTTATATACTATTCATCTATTAGTAAACACTACCGTATATTATTTTTTAAGCTATCTTATTTTTTGAAGTTTTATTCAAATCTTTGGTCGCAAGAAGAATTGCATGATAAATAAAAACATTTAATCAAAGTCAATTTTATTTTTCATATTCAAATGGACTGAGTGTTAACATTTAACATTTTTTGCTAATTGTCGTCAAAAATTAGGCGTAAAGCAAAAATTGATATTTCATATGGTTTTATGATAGATAAGCATTATATTCCCACTCATTATATTCGTAAATTTTGAGGTTTATCCTTCGCTTTTAAGATCATTGAATTTGATTTTTATATAAAATAGTTATATATTAGAAAATAATATGAGTTTATGTGATATTATTTTTCAGAAGATTTCATTCTATATGCCTATGAAAAGTACTCTCAAAACTAACTTTTCCCTAATTATAATTAAATCTAGAATAGTGTATTATGCTTAGTATTATTTCATTTTTCTCATTCAATTTAGAATTTACAAATGTCAAAAAATTGAGAGCTGTCACTTTTGATGAACTTCTGTTTATTACACAAGTAGATTTGAGAGCATGAAACCAAGTTACATTAAAAATCATAAAGTGAAATCTAAGGTCATTGTTTTTTTTTCTTTTTTTAGAGGATCACATTTCATTGAGTCAAAGTTTTTGAGTTCATTTTTAGCTGGTATGACAAATCAAGTCAACCTTTACGACCTCGACAAAGAGACAATTGATAAGGCAAAGGAAGATTATCGAAATTCTCTCAGAGATAACGATGAAGAAATTAAAGCTCTTGCTGGTATGGCGAAAACGAAAGCAATCTTCAAGAAGGCAACTGCATTTTTCGAGAAGGAATCACCTGAACTTAGAAAATTCCTTGAAGAAAAAGGCTATCTTTTACCTGCACCACCACAAGATGTCCCCGATTCAAAGATTTCAATTTCGGACGAGATTTACCAGCAGTTAGTGAACACAATTAAGACACTGAAAGAAAAGTTGAAAACTCTTGAAGATATTGTTGAGAAGATTCATCCACAAACCAATTGAGTTTTATTTATAATTTCAGCTTTATCTTGTTTCTACCAATGATACATCTATATTAAATAAAAGATCAAATCGTTAGCTAAGATTGATATCTAAAACAAACAAAAAAAAACTTATTCTTTTTTGATCAATCATCAGTTAAACAAGATAGTTCAGTCTATAGTCTATTAAAGATATTCCACCGTCTGATTAAAGATTATAGTTTGTGTGATATTTTTTTTTATCATTCTGAATGATAAACAGAAAATCTTTTTTATCATTGTTGTATGTGATTTCAGCATTTTCAAATGTTTATTATTTGATCAAGCGATTATTTAATCAAGAGATTTTTGTTTGAGGAATGAAAATTTTAGAAATTTATATTTGATAAATGATTAATATTTTGATTTTTATTTATATATTCGAAGGCAAAATCAACAAAAACACATTATTTTAGGCTAAAAAGTGTCGATGTCAAAACCGTCTGGTCCGGCCTTTTCGAATGCAAGACGTAAAGCTCTTTGGAAAGTATTCCTACGACGACGTCGACTTCAGCCAGCTTGACCCAGCCCTCGTTGACTACATCTCAGTCCACGAGAAGCAGCATGTTATGGTTCCACACACAGCTGGTCGCTATGTTCACAAGCGCTTCCAGAAAGTTTCATGCCCACTTGTTGAGCGTCTTTGCAACCACCTCATGTCACGTGGCCGCAACACCGGCAAGAAGCTCCTTGCTATCCGCATTGTTGAGCACGCTTTTGATATCATTGCTCTCTCTACAGGCCAGAACCCAATTGTCACATTTGTCAAGGGTGTTCAGTACTGCGGTGCTCGCGAAGACTCCACACGTATTGGTGTTGGTGGTACAGTCCGTCGCCAAGCATGCGATGTCTCTCCACTCCGCCGCATTGATCAGGCTCTCTCCTTGATCACAGAAGGTGTTCGTAAGGCAGCCTTCCGCTCCTCCCGCAACATTGCCGAGTGCCTTGCCGACGAGCTCATTGCCGCCTCAAACAACGACCAGACATCATACGCCTGCCGCAAGAAAGACGAACTTGAGCGCATTGCCAAGTCCAACCGTTAAAGTTTCTTTTTTATGATATATATATATTAAAATCATACAAATTATAATCAAATATGTTAATTGCTCTTAACAAGCAAATTAACTTTTTTCATCAAACTATTATTATTTATTATACTTTTTTTTTAATTTTTTTTAAATAAATAAAATATTAAATCTTAAAATTCAATTAATATCTTATCAACCCATATTTTAAATATTTCTACAATATATTTTTCTTATTTTTGGATATTCATTTTGCTATTGTTACAAACTCAAAATGTTTTTTCTCAATATTCATTTCCACATTTGAGGTAAAATCATTATTTAAAACAGGGTTATCCAAATTTAATAAAATTCAATTTTTATAAGATAACAATTTACCAGTTTTCTCTTAATTCACCGGTTATAGGATTATACTGATTTGAGTTTGATGCATGGTAAATTCGCTTTGCTCTTGCTTCGCGGCGCATTGTTTTTTGTGTATCTTGTGTCATGAGCATTGTTCCACGCTCTGTTGTTGTATCTGGTGCTGCATTTGTGACAGGATTATATAAAACAGACTCTTCGTTTAAATCATGCTTTCCATTTACTTCAGATCTCTTTTTTTCATCTTCAGCTTCTTGAATTCTTCGTGCTTCAATTGCTTTTTCATATTCTTCTTGTTGTTTTTGCCTGTGTGCTGCTCGTTTCCATGTCATATCGTAGGCCGCTTGTTTTTGAGCTTTTTGATCTGCAATATAATCTCTGTTAAAACGTTCCGCATCATTAATAGCATATGATGCTTTTGGATCGGGTTTAACAAGATCATCATATTGTGGATATCTCTGAAAACATTCATGACGCTGAGCAAGTCTTTGTTTTTCAATTTGATCCCTATCTACTGCAGATACCTTTTGATCTCTGCTCCTGGCTTGGATCTGTTGTACTTGATATGGAGTATCATCAAATTCCATGTAACGTATTTAATTTATTTTATTATCCGACCATACAAATCATATCGTTAAATTCTTCCATCTTTGTGATTTTTTCAATTTCTTGGCCTATCCTAATTAAAACTTCAGTTATCTCACTCTTCAAAACCTTTGTATATATACGAACAATCTTAAATGAGGAATTAAGGGTGCACCCGCATGTACGTTTATTTGAGAGGAGGAGGATTACCCTCTCAATTTTGAAAGCTTCGTTAACTTAATATCTCGATGAATATTGGATTAAAATTGAATTTGCCCATACCAATATATCTGATACAATATCCTTAAGTTTTACTAAAAAGAATTTTTTAAAATCCCTGCAGATTCGGGGATTTTTAAATTTTTTGATTTTTTTGGAAAATTTTTCGGAAAAAAAAGTATTTTCAGAAGAGCCTTAACGGCTAAGTTTTATGTTTAATGTTGAGTATCAAAAAGAATGGGCATCTGATATAGCCATCATATATCCCAGAAGCAAATAAAAATTCTGACTTTTTAAGCATAAAAAATGAAATTTTATATTTTGCAAAAAACAGGCCACTCGGATGTACGTTTATTTGAGAGGAGGAGGATTAAATTTTTGAAAGCACTAAAATTTGTAAATATGCTAGTTATATAATAATATGCATTATTTTAAAAAATAAAAATTAAAGCACGTTAAAATCTTTTTTGATGAATTTTTACAAAAGCTACTCAGGATAATGCAAGATATGAGTAGTTAAACATAAATTTCAAATCAGATTTTACTTATAATAAATATTTTAAATTTCCGAAAATTAAGTTCAGATCGACTCTATACGTAGTAAATACTAAATAAGGTGCCAAAAACCTATTAAATAGTATCAAAACTATCAAGATTGTAATGTTTTTGAAGAAAAATTTATAGAATTATGGACTTCAAACAGATATTATGTAAATAAAAATAATATAATGAATTTATTTATTCGTATAATAGCAGTAATAAGTCGATTATTCACTTCTACTTCTGAGATTTGAATTTAATTTCGACAGAAAAAGAGATTCAAGAGGAAAATACTAGGGGATACAAACAGCCACCATGACAGGATTATTATGGAGCCAAGTTGTATTTTTTGATATTTTTAGAGTTTTCCTACCTATTTAGGTACCAAGTTATTGCTTAAAAATTAAGGTTCTAAATTCTGAAGTTTACATGATCCTCCCGGGCGCACCCTTAACAAAAATGCAGATTGATCAATAATTTTTCCCCCTTCAATTTATTTTTCCACCAAAAATTTAATTTGCTTCATGGATATTAAGTATAATGATCTTATGGAAAGCTACAAGAATTACATCAACATTTCAGATGCAATATATAAACTGGGAACATTCAATGAAAATGAAAGAAACAAAGTTTACAATGAAAGCGAATTAAATCAAATAATTGATTCCATTGGAATTCCCCCATCTCAGTTTTTCAAAATGATAGAAAACGCAATGAAATACAATAATCGATATTTCAGCTCATACTTATTATTACTTCGAAAATTATCAAAAGTTTCTGATCTTAAAAAAGAAGATATTCTTACAAATTATGAACAAGAATATGATTTATTGTTTGATAAATCAAAGAATACAATATTGAAAGTAATAATGAACGATGATTTATCATCTTTTATATTTTGGGTAGAACACGACGAATTTGATGAAGCACAAAAAATAAATAGCAATTTATTATTTCCAAGCCAGCAGTTGGATCTAATCCAATTATGTTGTTACTATGGATCAGTTGATTGCTTTAAATTATTATTGACAAAATATGATACATATATCTCTCAAGATTGCCTTAGTTTTTCATTTTTGGGAGGAAATCCTGATATAATGTATCAATGTTTGAAAGTACAATATCCTGATGAATATTGCATGAGAAATGCTATTGCATCGCATAACATTGATTTTATTACTTTTTTAATGAATGAATACAAACAAAGGATCAATTTAATTACATGCGCTGAGTTTAATAATCTTCATGCATTTTTTGTTTATCTTGATCAAAATAAACAAAATAAAGAAGACGTCGACACATGTTTTGTCGCCTCTTCTCTTTTCAACATTCCATCTCTTTGTGAATATTTCCTCTCACATCATGCTAATATTAATGCAACATATTATGATAACACAGCGATAAATTGGGCAGCACAATATGAATGCAATAAAACAGCAGAGTTTCTTATTAGACGTGGAATTGATATCAAAAAAACGGATGTAATCGGATGCACACCTCTTCATTGGGCAACTATAAAGAAGAATATCGAAATGATGAAAATCCTAATAAAAAATGGTGCAGATATTAATGCAAAAAGTAAATTCCAAAAGACTCCACAAGAAATTGCCAAAGAGAATAATCTTGATTTGGAGTCGATCCGTAGAACAACTGGCGTGAAGCATCATTAAATATTAACCTTATATAAAAAGTACAAATTTCTCGCTAACAAGGCAAAAAATTCACAAAATTTTAATTATAATGTTTAAGATTTATATATATATCAAAATACTGTCTTTTGCATTGACATCTCTGGGAAAATTTTTGACTAGTCGTTTTCAAGATCTCGAAAACTTTTTTTTAACAAAGCTAAGCGACATTTATTTACATAATAGGTATACATTGCACCTGGTTTCATCGAATTTCTACCATCGGATTTTTCGTGAGACCACTTTTTTTTATAAAAAAAAACTGTGGGTGTTTTAAAGGCAACTTTACAGACTGCCACTAGTTTAGCCAATTTAGATTTCAGAGCAGAAATGAAGCAGTCATTGAGACCATTCCATTCTACTTACCCAGTTTGTAAATATATTTGTAAAACTTCCGTAAATTTCAAAAACAATGATTAGTTCCTTTTTGCTTTGATGAAAAAGTGACACGAATTTTAAAAATCGCTGAATGAGATATGAGTTTCACGATGTTTTTTTCCACCAAAAATTGGAAACTTACTCATTAAAAAGCTTCAACGTTAAAAGTCTTTGACATAAGAATTCATAAATAAAACATTCATAACATTGACCCTTAATTAGTATTAAGAAATGCTCAAAAACTTCAAATTTAATAGTTTTAGAAATAAGATTCATAAATAAAACAATAAAAATAAAATGAATTAATATTCATTAATTGAATTTTCGTTTTCTTCTGTTGTGTCTTCATCTTCTTCATCAGAAGACATGAACTTTATAATTACATTCGAAGGAGTCTTCACAAACCGAGGAATTTTCTTTTTCTCCCCATCAGGAGAAGTTTTCGCGATTGCATCAAGCATTTTCTCGTTTAATCTGTCCATTGACTCTTCGAGAATATCAGCAGCATTTCCTTCATCCATTCTTTGCTTAAGGAGTTCTATTGTTGGTTGTAAATCAACGAAATTGTCAGCAGATGCAGATCTGTCCAAACCAGTGATTAAAAATGACTTAAATGGATCTTCTATTGGATCGAAATAATCCAGGATGTTTAATGTTGGATCCTGCTTTAAAACATCGTAAATCTTCACAATTCCTGCATAACTCGTATCCCATTGAGTTAAAAGCTCAAAACCACTCATCAATTCATTGTGAACATCAACATTAACTTCATCGAGAGTTTGTGGATATCCTTCTTCCAAATCTTGGGAATGCAAACGTAAAAACGACAGATAATGCATATCAACATCAGAAATATTGATCTTCTTGCGCTTACTATACATCAGAGATCTGATTCCAAGGTAAACATCAAGCATATCCTGTGGATTTACAAGCGCATGCAATCTTGAAACAAGAATGTAGATATCTTGTTGCATTTCAGGTCTCTTGAACGCTACCATAGATTCTATGAATAATTGCTTGATGTTGAGGTTCGCTGGAAGCGAAGTTGCCGAAATTAAATAATTTTTAATTCTTTTCAGGAGTTCGTCAGTCGGATTGATTTCTATTTCTCTGAGAAGTTCGTATATATCATCTGTTTGTGGTTGCTGCTTTATCGATGCTTTCCGAGGTGTTCTTCTTGGAGATGAAGCCAATGAAATGCTCGTTGAATAAGGAGAGGATGAATTTGTAGTTGAATTGAAAGAATCCTTCGTATAAATCTTGGTGGGTGTTAAATATTCGTCATCGGAGTCAGAATCAATAGTAAGTTTAGAATTTGAATCGAAACGAAATGTTGCATGCCTTTCAGGTCGAGGAGTCTTTGAGGTTTTGGAAAGTATAGATTTCGGCCATTGAGCAAGGAGATGTTGATTGGATTTCGAATTTGGTGTTAAAGGAACATGGATTTGAAGAATATTCCTCGTATTAGTAAGAACAGAATATAATTTATTCCAGCTGTGAGGGCATTGGCAATTTGTATCTGCTAACTGTAGTTCTGATGTTGTAATATATTTTTCTTGAAGCTCTTTTGAGAGTTTATAGCGTGATATATTATTCGCGAAAAAGTCTACAACAATCGATGAATCAATTTCTTTGATATATTGAAGGCAATACTCGAAAACAATATTGGCGCCAAAAATTTCAACTACAGTATTGAGGATTCTGATGCAAAGATCTGTACAGCTATTGACTTTTGTAAATGATAATGGTATTAAAGTAGAGAGAATTGAAGAAGGAAGATTATCTTGATTTTCTATGAAATTTATGATGTGTCTAGCGATTTTTTCGTAGTAAAGGAATGGCCGTTCGTCAGATGAAAGTAAATATGATGCATATGCAATTGCAAATATCGGAATATTTTTGAATTTATGACTGATTGCTATAAATTTGTTAATTGCTTGTGTTTTTTCAACGCCATTCATTATTTTAGGAAACAATATTTGATACTCTTCTGGTGGGAGGATATTTTTTGCATAAATGGAAAGGTATACCAAAAAATGTCGTTTTTTATGGCATAGAATCACAGAAACACCATCGGAGTATGGTTTCTCTAAGATAATATCTTCAATTATCTCCGAAGAATTTTTGTCTTGTCGTTGCAACGGAGAATTAGAAATCATTCAAAAAAAGTACAGAACAATTTTATATTGCAATTTGTCTTACAATTTCTACAGTGCTGGCGCTAATTTGAAAACAAATTCGAAAAACGATGTTTTTGAATTTTCATTGTTTCAAAATTTTCTTGACACATCATCTCTCCTATGATTTTTCTAACACAATCAAGAAAGGATTAATGAATTGTACATCTAGAATGCTACTTTGTCGATGAGAAAATTCTTCATTTTTAATTGAAATCAATGAGAAAATATGGAGGTTTTCTTGAATAGTATGCATCTGATGCTATCTATTGATTTTGATTAAAAATAGAGAATTTCATTAATCTATATAGTCTTTGTTGTCAATGTTTCTTTCATGAATCACATCATCAATCTTAACTGATTCATGATCAGTACATCATAGCCAACAATTCCTTATACAAAGTTCAAAACTTGGGTGCAATCAGTTCTGATTGCACCCAAGTTTTTGAACTTTCTCGAGGGAATGAAAGGGTAAGAGGTATAACATATTGAATATATACCTCTTACCCTTCCATTCCCTCTCTGACAGCGGGAAACTTTGTCTGAATGTTAAACTATTCAGACAAAGTTCCCGCTGTTTGCGAAGGAATTGTTGGCTATGATGTACTGATTCATGATCAGTACATCATAGCCAACAATTCCTTATACAAAGTTCAAAAACTTGGGTGCAATCAGTTCTGATTGCACCCAAGTTTTGAACTTTCTCGAGGGAATGAAAGGGTAAGAGGTATACATTATGAATATATACCTCTTACCCTTCCATTCCCTCCCTGACAGCGGGAAACTTTGTCTGAATGTTAAACTATTCAGACAAAGTTTCCCGCTGTTTGCGAAGGAATTGTTGGCTATGATGTACTGATTCATGATCAGTACATCATAGCCAACAATTCCTTATACAAAGTTCAAAAACTTGGGTGCAATCAGAATGATTGCACCCAAGTTTTTGAACTTTCTCGAGGGAATGAAAGGGTAAGAGGTATACATTATGAATATATACTCTTACCCTTCCATTCCCTCCCTGACAGCGGGAAACTTTGTCTGAATGTTAAACTATTCAGACAAAGTTTCCCGCTGTTTGCGAAGGAATTGTTGGCTATGATGTACTGATTCATGATCAGTACATCATAGCCAACAATTCCTTATACAAAGTTCAAAAACTTGGGTGCAATCAGAACTGATTGCACCCAAGTTTTTGAACTTTCTCGAGGGAATGAAAGGGTAAGAGGTATACATTATGAATATATACCTCTTACCCTTCCATTCCCTCCCTGACAGCGGAAACTTTGTCTGAATGTTAAACTATTCAGACAAAGTTTCCCGCTGTTTGCGAAGGAATTGTTGGCTATGATGTACTGATTCATGATCAGTACATCATAGCCAACAATTCCTTATACAAAGTTCAAAAACTTGGGTGCAATCAGAACTGATTGCACCCAAGTTTTTGAACTTTCTCGAGGGAATGAAAGGGTAAGAGGTATACATTATGAATATATACCTCTTACCTTCCATCCCCTCCTGACAGCGGGAAACTTTGTCTGAATGTTAAACTATTCAGACAAAGTTTCCCGCTGTTTGCGAAGGAATTGTTGGCTATGATGTACTGATTCATGATCAGTACATCATAGCCAACAATTCCTTATACAAAGTTCAAAAACTTGGGTGCAATCAGTTCTGATTGCACCCAAGTTTTTGAACTTTCTCGAGGGAATGAAAGGGTAAGAGGTATACATTATGAATATATACCTCTTACCCTTCCATTCCCTCCCTGACAGCGGGAAACTTTGTCTGAATGTTAAACTATTCAGACAAAGTTTCCCGCTGTTTGCGAAGGAATTGTTGGCTATGATGTACTGATTCATGATCAGTACATCATAGCCAACAATTCCTTATACAAAGTTCAAAAACTTGGGTGCAATCAGAACTGATTGCACCCAAGTTTTTTGAACTTTCTCGAGGGAATGAAAGGGTAAGAGGTATACATTATGAATATATACCTCTTACCCTTCCATTCCCTCCTGACAGCGGGAAACTTTGTCTGAATGTTAAACTATTCAGACAAAGTTTCCCGCTGTTTGCGAAGGAATTGTTGGCTATGATGTACTTATTCATGATCAGTACATCATAGCCAACAATTCCTATACAAAGTTCAAAAACTTGGGTGCAATCAGAACTGATTGCACCCAAGTTTTTGAACTTTCTCGAGGGAATGAAAGGGTAAGAGGTATACATTATGAATAATATACCTCTTACCCTTCCATTCCTCCCTGACAGCGGGAAACTTTGTCTGAATGTTAAACTATTCAGACAAAGTTTCCGCTGTTTGCGAAGGAATTGTTGGCTATGATGTACTGATTCATGATCAGTACATCATAGCCAACTATTCTTATACAAAGTTCAAAACTTGGGTGCAATCAGAACTGATTGCACCCAAGTTTTTGAACTTTCTCGAGGGAATGAAAGGGTAAGAGGTATACATTATGAATATATACCTCTTACCCTTCCATTCCCTCCCTGACAGCGGGAAACTTTGTCTGAATGTTAAACTATTCAGACAAAGTTTCCCGCTGTTTGCGAAGGAATTGTTGGCTATGATGTACTGATTCATGATCAGTACATCATAGCCAACAATTCCTTATACAAAGTTCAAAAACTTGGGTGCAATCAGTCTGATTGCACCCAAGTTTTTGAACTTTCTCGAGGAATGAAAGGGTAAGAGGTATACATTATGAATATATACCTCTTACCCTTCCATTCCCTCTCTGACAGCGGGAAACTTAGATAATACATCCGATATGTAAAGTGTCAAAAATGAAGTGAACCGAATTTTCATGCATTACAGATATTACAAATTGCTAACTTGAAATTTTTTTGACTGACGGTGCAAAGCGCCAAGATGGGCTCAAAGAGCCCTCCTGACTGCTTTAATTTACTAAAACATATTTCAAGCAAAGTTTATAGTCAGTAGATAGTTTTGTATACTCGTTCGAATATTTATACTTAAACTCAACTCCTGTAGTTCCTGGTGTTTCAATGATGCGGATGTTACCTATTTTCATGAATAGTGGAGTTTGACCACAGCATTCGATTTCCGGGTCGAGATAGTCAATGACACATTGTTTCCCTGTTATTCGTGAGATAACATTTTCAAGGTCCTCCTTTGTTAGAATTATTTGGTTCTTGCTTATAAGATTTGTCAAAAGCTTCTTTTCGTCTTTGAGTAAAATTGTTTGGTATAACTGAAGAGGTAATGGTCTACGTTATCTGAAGGATTTGTTTGAACTTTGTGTAAGGATTGTCGTTGGCTTCTCTTGAAAGAATTTGGTCAGTGGTGGATACTCTAAAACATCTGATGTAGCGTTAGCGTTTGAAGCTGTGTTTAAATTCACGGCGCCATGCTCCAAGACCGAAGTCCCGACTTAAGTTCTGGTTCTTTTTCTTTCAAACACTCTGAACTATAGTTCTTTATGACAATATTTGTTTGTCGTTCGTGAGTCAACATTTGATGTTGGTTCAATTGGAACATTAACGGCACCAGCTAAGATGGATTTGCTTCTCATTTCATATAGAATAAAAACCTTTTATATGTGTGAAATGAACAATATACTCGACAAGGGTTTGAATGTAAAGCTAACGAATGAAAATATTGTTGAATTCACTGAGACAGGTGCTGTGTATAAAGATGTAGAACTACTGAACAAAAGAGCTAAGGAAGAAGCAGGAACATGAACAAAGGGTGGAAGCCTATAAAAATTTATGTCAACGATGGCTCAGGAGGTTCAAACATAAAGTATGCAGAAAGTTATAGAGTTTATGCTCTCAAAGGTGAAAAGCCTTCATTTAAGAACAGCTATTCTAACGCATATCCTCAAAAGCTAACGGATGGGGAAGTGGATGATATGAATGACAGCAAAAATATTAACAGAAATGGCGACAGAGATGCATGGAATTTGTTTACCATCAGTCAATTGAAGGTTAAACTTTAAAACAATGTTGGTCGTTCCCATGGAATATTTTTGACTTTAATGGTATTAGTCATGATATGAATCTCAAGGTATGAACGAGGAGAGATGAGAGACTTATATGCTTCCCAAATTTCTTCAAAAGGTAATGTTTACCTGACTGTTTCCAAATGAGTTCAATGTCATAGCGTGAGAAACCTTGAAAGATACGAAGTCAGTTATGAGACGTTTTATGTTTAAAGCTAAAAACCTCCATGTTTGCATAAGTATTGCTACAGTTAAATGGTAATGTCTGACTTTAGTAATGATGTTAGCTAATGGTGAGTCAGGCTTTGAAACTAAACCTTTACCAGCGAAGTCGTCACAAACTAATAAAGTGTTTGATGGATATTTTTTGAAGGGGTATTTTGAAAGTTTTGACAGAATGTAGTTTGTAAGTCGTTTCATATCGTAAACTCCTGAGTACTGACGTAAGTGGTGTTTGTCAATAATTCTTTCCATCTCCTCAGAAGTCTTTTGCATTCCTGACTGTATAAATTCAACGATGGCATAATATTTCCTCTTACGTCGAATGTAACGTTGAAGAAATTCAATGAGTTCACTGTCTGGAACTTTAACGACAGAGGCTTGAATTTTTGACATAAATGTTTTCGCTGTGGAGTCCATAGAGTCTGAAGTTGCTGATATAATGATTTGGTCATAATATGAGTCATTTCCTAAACGTTTCTGTTATGAGTATATGACGAATGAGGTTAAATGTCTTACCTGAACCCATCTTTCCACAATAGAAAATAAACACCATTTGAACAGAACTCATAGTCCTTACTGAAAGGAAGAATGAGAGAACTGTTGAGCTTTTCACTGCTTTCATTCATGTCTTCATCTACGTCATGTATTAAATGCTTCATTTTATCTCCATTAAAAATGCAAGTCAGAAATATTCAGAACATACACCGAGTCTAACTGACAAGAGTATAAAGATATACTATGAACATGTTATGATGAAACCAACCAAAATTCAGA